TTGGTCCTGTTATGTCGCGTTTCGCTTCAGGCGTGAGTAAAGGTGTCCACTATATCGCGTTTTTCCTTTGGCGAAGTCCATTTTTGCACTTTCTCACTTGTCTTGGTTTTTTCTCACTCAGCATTGGTCCCTGACACTGACCGACCCATCAGAGGGTGTGCCAGGTCATTTCCGGGGTCATTCATAGGTGCAACCATAGCCAATTCACCAATGACACTACACCCAAATACAGTGACACTGCAACTTGGCTGCAGAGCGTTTGTAGGCCGGTCTCTTATAGCACTACAAGAGTGTTTCTTATGGCACTACAACCAACTACAAAGCGTTTGTAGACCAGCCTCTTGTGACATTACAGAGCGTTTCTGATGACACTACAACACTCGTAGACCGGTTTCTTATGACACTACAAAGCGGTTCTTGTGACGCGCTACAACTCGACTACAGAGCATTTGTAGGCTGGTCTCAGAGATTTTGTAGAGCGGCTTTTTATGGCACTACAGGGTGTTTCTTATGACACCACAACCAACTACAGAGTGTTTCTTGTGATGCTACAATACTTGTAGACCGGTTTTTTTATGACACTCAACTAACAGAGCATTTGTAGGGCCCATCCCATGCCTGCCCTAAACTAAATCAACCAAGCCCTATTCACCACTACAATCAACTACGGAGCGTTTGTAGGCCGGTTTCTTGTGACACTACAACTGGCTACAGAGCATTTGTAGGCCAGCTTCTTATGACACTACAGAGTGTTTCTTGTGATGCTACAGAGCGTTTCTGATGACACTACAACACTTGTAGACCGGTCTAGTATGGCACTACACAGGACACTACAGCTTGTAGACCGGTTTCTTATCACACTACAGTCAACTACAGAGCGTTTGTAGGCTGGTTTCTTATAACACTACAACTGGCTACAGAGCAACTGTGGCCTTTTGTAAAACAACCTAACCTAGCATGCTTCTCATTTATTGCAAAGCAGCATCTCCTCCCAGCCCTGCCCTGAACAATATTTTCTCAGCTTCAATGAGGCTCCTCACCCCATCCCAATCACCCTTGCTTCTCTCCCTCTCTCCATTATTGACCAGAGACAGAGACCCTTAATAGTCTCAGTCCCTCGCCTTGGATGACTCTCTCAATATGTTATACGAGAGCCATCTCATCTCCATCCCCATTGCACTCACTCTATCCCCATTGCACCCATTTCTCATCACCTGAACCTATTGAGTTTGTCATAGGCACTATCATCATACCATTATCATGCATGCTTCAATGATCTTGGTCTTTTGGTGTAAAGAGAGAGCACCATCCCTTGCCCATCTATTATGCCATGTGCCCCTTGTCTTCATTGCCCTTGCCAGTGCTCCCTCATGTGGTAGGAAAAGGCATCTGTTTGGTCCTGTTATGTTGCATTTCGCTTCAGGTGTGAGTAAAGGTGTCCACTATATCGCGTTTTTCCTTTGGCAAAGTCCATTTTTGCACTTTCTTGCTTTTCCTTGACCCCTAGGCATTGGCCCCAGCAGCTGCATATAGGGAGTCAGCCTCAAGATATGTTATCCACGGCCATAGGACTCTGAAAGCACCGCATCCCGTCCGATCTGCGCAGTTAACCAGAGTGCCGCCTAGTTAGTACCACGGTGGGGGACCACGCGGGAATCCTAGGTGCTGTGGTTTTTGCATTCTATTTTGTTCTATGCTCACTGCTTTCACACAAGGTGACTCGTGCCCTGCCCTGAACATTGCTTCCCTTTGTAAACCAGTGTGTTATGGCGCTACAGAGCGCTTCTTACGGTACTACAACCAACTACAAAGCGTTTGTAGATCAGTTTCTGATGCCACTACAGAGCGTTTCTCATAACACTACCAACATTTGTAGACCGGTTTCTTATGACCCTACAACATTTGTTGCCACGTATAAAGACACATAGGACCTTTTTCCCAACTATACCTTGCATTCCTGATCCACTGCTAGTTAGTCCGTGCTCTTGCTTGTACATATTTATAGCAGCTACGGTGCAGGAGGGAAGCCTTAGGCTATCCACCTCTGTCCAATCTAGGAACTGATATTCATCACATCTGGAAAACTACCCCTTTGTATTGAGCTCTAATTAGTTCTATTTATTCATAATCAAGAACGATTAGGATTAGACATTTTTAGCTTACCCCCCCTTTAAACCTGTTCTAATTAGACATAATTTTCCTAAATCAGGAATTATTAGGATTCATTATAACTTGAAATTTCGGAAAAATCATAATAAATTAAGCATCACAGTTCTCATAGCCTTCTTATAGAGTCATGTCTATTAAAGCACTAGTTCAATACCTAAACACAGAATATACCTTATAACAAACTTGCCTTTTGCCAGAGTGGAACCAACAACCTCATGTATGCAAGCACCCAGGACAGATGCTCTAAGCCACTAAGCTAGAAGGTCTAATATATAAACTTGGTAATCTAAATAAGTAGACATAATATAGGCAACCTCAACATCTCTGATTTTATCTAACATTTATCTTTCCTCTATCTTATAAATAAATGGGTCAATAAATACCTAAAAAGTCAGGTCTTTCAGGATTTAGTTTAAACACCAGCTAAGAAGATAATAAACCAATGGAAAATCAATAATACACTTTATATAGGATAAAAATAAATTATGGCACTTATACAATCTGGACTGAAAATGTGTAAAACTATGATTGAGTGTAATATTCAATGGGACTCTAATAGTATAGACAATGCTACCTGAATTTGCAAATTTAATCAAAAACATGATTATGAATAATCAAGATCCAATAAGGGAGAGGGGCTTTCCAAATAGCTGCTAGTGAGATAGAGGATGGGGACAAGAGTATATGTATGGCATGCCTATATATAAATAAGCACAAGATTGTTGGAGGTGATCTTAATATGCTTAATGCATATATTTCCTATATGGCAGGCAAATATATCATTTTGGCACCACATACCAATATGACTGTCTTTTCCACAGCCTAATAGCTAGAGGAAAACACCAAGTTTGAGCATCTTCTGTATAACAAGGCAATAAACAATATAAATAGTGCTAAAGATTGTAATATCAATAATAATGATGATTGTGTGCTGCACAAGATAGTATTAGGCACTATACTAATAGACAAGGTCTATAAGACTGCATATAGCATATTCCTAAGTCCAACCCACATGTTGTGTCCTATAATAACCAATAGCAGGCATTGGCTAACAATGACAACTTTAATGATCTTGTGTGCAAGGACAAGGTACCTAGGTCTTCATAGCCTCTTGTGGCAGCTGCCAAGCTGCCAACAAAGTGGCTGGGGGCATCAATGCACATTTTTCTCTTTTTATATCCCTTATAAAAGTAGCTGGAAAGTCAGCAAAAGAGCTACAAGATAATGGTATAGGCATATATAAAGGAGAGTAATATGCTGAAATAGTATAGAATGTGCCACATCTTTACCTTTTCACTGATAGAGTAGTAGTACTTACTATTTCCTACTAATAATTAAAGACTTCTTAGTATAGAATTAGTGCTAATATGATGAAATTAGAAACCAATCCAATGCTGACAATGTGTTGCTCCCAATTAGGAAATTAGACACTTTTAGATGCTATTAACACTTTTAGATACTTTTAGACACTATTAGATATAATCCAGAGCTAATACAAGGGGGTCCTTTTCCATATGCAGTCTTCCTTGATTCTCAAGCATTGGTTTGATCAGCTTCACCTCTTCATATTTATCAATCTCACCATCATCCTCTTTGGCCTTGCACACAAGATCATTGAAGTTGTCATTATTAGCCAATGCCTGCTACTAGTTATTACAGGACACAATATGCAGGTTAGGCTTAGGGATGTGCTATATGCAGCCTTGCAGACCTTGTCTATTAGTATAGTGGCTAATACTGTCTTGTGCAGCACATAATCATCACTACTATTAATATTACAATTCTCAGTGCCATCCACACTGTCCATTGCCTTGTTATACAGAAGATGCTCAAACTTGGTGTTTTCCTCTAGCTATTAGGCTGTGGAAAAGACAGTCATGTTGGTATGTAGTGCCAGAATAATATATTTGCCTGCTATGTAAGAAATATGTGCACTAAGCACATCAAGATCATCTCTAACAATCTTGTGCTTATTTATACATAGGCATGCCATATATATACCCTTGTCCCCACCCTCCATCTCACTAGTGGCCATTTGGAAAACCCCTCTTTCTTATTGGATCTTAATTATTTATAATCATGTTTTTGATCAAATTTGCAAATTCAGGTAGCATTGTCTATACTAGTAGAGTCCCATTGAATATGATATTCAATCATAGTTTTACAGATTCCAAATCCAAATTGTGTAAGTGCCATAATTTGTTTTTACCTTATATAAAGTGTATTATTGATTTTCCATTGGTTTATTATCTTCTTAGCTGGTGTTTAAACTAAATCCTGAAAGACCTGACTTTTTGGGTATTTATTGACCTATTTATCTATAAGATAGAGAAAAGATAAATGTTGAATAAAATCAGAGATGTTAAGGTTGCCTATATTATGTCTACTTATTTAGATTACCAAGTTCATATTTTAGACCTTGTGGCTTAGTGGCTGGAGCATCTGTCCTGGGTACTTGTATACATGAGGTTGTTGGTTCCACTCTGGCAAAAGGCAAGTTTGTTATAAGGTATATTCTGTGTTTAGGTATTGAACTAGTGTTCTAATAGACATGACTCTATAAGAAGGCTATGAGAACTGTGATGCTTGATTTATTATGATTTTTCCGAAATTTCAAGTTATAATGAATCCTAATAATTCCTAATTTAGGAAAATTATGTCTAATTAGAACAGGTTTAGAGGGGGGGCAAGCTAAAAATGTCTAATCCTAATCTTTCATAATTTAGTGTAGTAGAGCATGAATTATAGCTAATTAAAGCTTAATACAAGAGGGTGGTTTTCCAAATGAGGCAGATGTTGTATAGCCTTTTGTAGTGTTCTAATAGATGCTGAGATATTACCTTCTAGCCCATATTTCTACAACTTTATAAGAAGGCTATGAGAACTGTGATGCTTGATTTATTATGATTTTCCGAAATTTCAAGTTATAATCAATCCTAATGATTCCTAATTTAGGAAAATTATGTCTAATTAGAACACGTTTAGAGGGGGGTAAGCTAAAAATGTCTAATCCTAATCCTTTAAAATTTAGTATAGTAAAGCATCAATTATAGCTAATTAAAGCTTAATAAAAGGGGGTGGTTTTCTAAATGTTCGCTCTACGCTCTTACTATAATGTGAAGAAAAACGCCATGAGACAGATCAATATGCAGGTAAAATATGGCTGCATCAGGTCCTAGGTGGGCCCTGAAGGGCTGTGATTATACTTACTATATGGAATGCTTGAACTTTCATTTGCATTTGTTTGGCACTCTATTAGCATTGATGACCAAACTTGCTAGGCTCAAAAGGCTAAGACTCCTGAAAATAAGGGGGTAGGCCTGAGTCATATTTTTGGTAAATCCTGAAAAAAGCTCAGACAAGTGAGCCAAATTTCACTCAAAATTTTGGATTCACCTCTGGTTTTTGGGTCAATATTCATAATTTTGCTAGACAGAGGCATCAGGCATCCCGGATGTCCAAAATGTTTGGATTGCTGGGATCAGGCCTCAAAAAAGCCAATTTTTTGTTGGACAACATAGATCAGGCCTTTAAAGACACAATTTTGTTAGAGTCTATATTAGAATATCATTTTTGAACTGATGGTATATAAGAAAGCATATGTGAGAGTATCTATGAGCTCAGTGATTGATAGTTGATGATGAGGGAGAATTTTTGTATAATCCAGAGGAATATCAAGTTGAGGATCCAGTGCCATGTCAGAGCTAGTGTTGGATATGTTGAGGATAATTTTGGTCATTGTATTGAGCAAATGAAATGATACCAGACCGGTGCCAGATAATACTAATATTAACATAGTAACACTAAGCTGACAAATAAGTCTATAGTGGCCTCTGACTAGTATGAGATTGTAAACTAAAAACAGAGAAGATATCTCAGATGAACAGCTTTAGAAAGATAGTTGAACATGAAGAAAGATGAAGTAGAGATGAGCATGAGAGAAGTGCCTATTCTATGTAACAAATAGAGTTAAAGCACAGCAGGTTTTTAGCTTAAGGAGTAGAAGGCCAGTCAGGTCTAGGAAGTCCCAAAAATGCTTATATGAGGAATGGAAATGGATAAATATGCAGGTGATGGAAGTGATGTGCCCAGAGAAGCTTGTGTATGCATGTATGTATGTATGTATATATGTATGTATGTATGTATGTATGTATATATGTATGATGCAAGACATAAATAGATGGGCACAGCGATGGAGTAATGGTTCATGGTAGGTAGAGCAAGGTGAACGGGAGAACAAGAGCAGTCATTTGCAGATCATCTTGTACGTAGAGTACCCATTGATGATGGCAAAGGCCACCAGGCAGCTGATAATGGAGACAAACCAAGCATTTGACTGTAGTGAAGGTTAGTGCTGCATGCACATATGCACGCAGATTCAAGGCTCACCTCAATGCCCTAGCCTGGAACGTGGACGTTCATCCCCCACAGGCCTGCAGATCGACAGTATGTTCAGGGTGCGACGACTTGATGAGAGTGAGAGTGAGAGTGAGAGTGGGATGCACCGGTGACGAGGTTCGTGGGGATGAGGACAGTGCCGAGGGCAGTGAGCTTGGAGAGCACGCCGTTGATCTGGTTGCTTATGTCAGTGATCTCAATTGGAATCTGCGCAAGGTAGTTTGAGTGCGAGCGTGAGAGGATCTTCTCATCATGGCTCAGGCACTGGGGTTATTGTGATCAGGTGGTCCTGGATGTCAGAGAGGTAGAGGCCCTGCAAGCATGTGCATCAGTGGGGGGAGGGGTAAGGGTGCAAGAATGGTGGCGGGAGGGAGGATGCATGATGGGCATGATCTTACAGTTCTCGTTGCACTGCTTTGCAAGCCCCTTGATGACATCATCCTTGTTGCCCATGAGGCGCAGGAGCCACTCAGGAGCCCCATGACCTTCTTGCGACACATCCCAATGCGATGCTCTGGATGAGTGGCCCGAATGCGTCAGTGATGTCGTTGATGAGCGCGTACGAGATCTAGTCAGAGGTGACGCTAATGTAGTCCTTCAGCTGCTTGATACACCAGTGAATGTTTTGTGGGTGTGACATGGCTCTGAAGATATATGAGACTGGATGGAGAGAGAGGCTCTCTGGACTCATGATTGATCCTATATGGAGCCATTAGTTTAAGGGTTTTCAGCCAAAACAGGGCTCAGGCTCAGAGCCAGTATGAGCGGGCTGTTGAACAACTGTTGTGCCAAGCTGGGGGCGAGTGAATAGGATGCCGACTGAGACTGCAAGTGTGACCAGGTTGCATTGTGTTCGAAGGAGATTATGGAAGGGGGGCGGCGGAGTTTGGTGATGGCATTCGCAATATGTTTGTGCTTTCCAAATACAAGAATGCCGGTTTCTGTCTTGAGGAGATCAACGTCCAATTTAAGCAATACATTGCCCAAGATCTCTTGTTCTATACAGTAATCGACATCAGACCATTAGTACAATCACATCCATAAACCGTACAAGCTACGCACCAATGAACTTCTCACAGACACCCTCGTCGAACCCCTTCGACCTTAACCAGTCAACGATGTCGTCCGTGCTCAATCCGAGGGATGAACAGATGATGTTCTCCCAGATACAGGGGACAATGCCATTTCAGATGGTTAAGGCTGTCAAACCTAAAAATCAGGAAGCCTGGATTCAGCACAGCAAACATGGTCTCTTACCGGATTGCTATGGCATCCTGTTGATGATGTAGCAGGAGATGGCAGAATGCCATTGAAATCGTGGAAAATGGGAGCACCAGTTTAGACAGGAGCAGCTAATCTCTGGGAAGGGATTTTTTCCACAGGGGCAGAGTGCTACTAAAGAAACGTGGAACTGTTACCACAGTCATCAGCTGAGAGACGAGAGCCTGGTCTGTTTGATGTTGGCAAGACAGGGCTTGGGAAGGAAGTGGACGATGGGTGCTCCAAAGTTCCCAGAGGTGTCAGAAGTCTGCACGATAATCCTCAGCGTATGAACAGAAGACGCTGTGTATGTATTTATGTACCTGCACGATAATCCTAGGATGATACGTTAGGATACAATAAGGCTACCAGAGCGCGCAGGATACTCACCTCAGCGTATGAACAGAAGACGCTGAGGTGTCACGGTAACGGTACGGTCACATAAGTAACGAAATCCGGAAAATACTGTATCGTAAGTACAGTGCTGATGGGCTAACTTCTAACAAGAGGACTGTCATCTCCGCCTGTGGTAGGGAATATAGCTTGAGTGGCAATGGGTAGCTCTGAATCCTTCTTGAGGTGGGGTGAGCAAACAACATAGTCTTCTGAAGGGACGATGAGGGTGGATGTTTTAATAGAAGCGCCACTGCCCTGTACAGGTTAGATGGGCAGGGAGAAATGTTTTGTCTTGTCCTCGTCTTCTTCCTCCAAGATATGGGGATGCTTTAACCGATGCTGAGTAACCTCATGCTCCTCCTCCTTGTCTTTGCTCTTGTCACTGACTTCCACCTCGATCGGGAGCACTGATGATGTCGTCAGCCTCTGCATTTCAGCCTCCTCGCGCACCCTCTCCTCTTCTACCTGCTGTCTTGTCTTCTCAGCCAGTTTCTGCTGAGCGTCCTTATAGAAATTGTCCCCTTTGGCGTCTGTGTCGGTCTCGGTCTCGTTGTCAGTCGAATTGCCCTCCTGGACACTTGAGAATACGATGCTGCAAGTGCCATAACAGTTGTCATGCCCAAGCTGCTCGATGGCCTTCTGCACATCCATCATTGTGGCACGCATGATCTCGCTGTCTTCTCTCGAGCCTTTCATGGAAGTGGTGCCATCAAGGTCCCTGAGCTGTTGACGGAGGTGGGCTTGGGCTCTTCTTGGAGAGGTTGAGGTGAACTCACCTTGGGGCTTGAACGGCTAGTGTCAAATACGTCTAATGACAGTGATAAAGGGGCCGGAGTTTCTGATGGTGGTGCAGGCTGCGTGTAACTCTTTGGAAAGAGGCTGACTTTGCCAGAAAGATTGCGACCCTGTTTTGCGAAGGGGTTCAAGTGAGACAACCACATCCTAGATGGCGCAACAAGCATGATAATGCCGGGGCTTAGTGTTACAACTGCTCGTCGGTAACCCCAAGAGTAGGAGGTTCTTCCCTAGGTCACTCGTGGAGGATGTGTGGAACGATGGTCTCGACTGTACGTGTAGCACAGGAGCCAGAGGTGTATTGCGATATAGCAATGAAGTCTGCAGTAGGATAACTGCAGTAGAACGAAGGTTCCCGTATATGAAGATACGGGGGAACGAAGAGAATAGACTGAAGATCGTCAGCCTATTCTATGGGCCTTTTATACTACTTTGGGAAGTAGGGCGTGAGAATACCGAATATGTATCCGTAGGTATTCTCTAAGTCGTCTCTCTCAATAACGACTACTCTTGTGCTTCTCCGTTGGTCTCCTTCCGGCCAGGAGAGACTAGGAGGTTCATGCCCTGCGTGTGAGTAATTTATAAGGCGGCGTTCCATGCCCGCTAATACAAGGCCCGTGATACTCGACCAATGATTGATGATCCATTGGGAGTGGATGACCAAGGTTGATATCTGTACCTTGGTGTACGCCTCAGCTCGTGAGGCCGCGTGATATTTGTGATGATCGTATTGGAATAGACCGCCGTGTAGGCCCGATAGAACGTGATCATAACAATACCCCCTTTCTACGTCCTATTCGCCTGGTAGGACCACGCCTTGCGCGTCATCGCCGCTCCATATACGATTTGCTTTCTTGATCCAATGATGGTCGCCGGATGCGACTTCCGGGACATGACTTCGTTTTCTGGGAGGAAGACCGACTTACATCGTTTGATCCTCTAGGAGTTTTCCATCTCCGTTGAGCTGTTTGTTTGTCGAGGCACGAGGTTTGTCGAGGCACGAGGGTACCAAACCTCCGCTCTGTAGGGTGTTCTTCCTTCACCCGTGGGATTGATTTTGCCGCGGGTAAACCGCATCGCGGTCTTACTTCCAGCCCGCTTCTGGAATAGCATCAAGAAAGGCGTATGAATGCGAGTGGTGTGTGGATGTGTAGAAATTCGAGCGTGTGGGTTCTAGTTCGTGTCATCAGGTTCTTCTTCTTCCTTCTCCGAGGGCCAAACCTCAGTGTTTCCAGGATAGTCGTCTATCCTCATGATTTGTTGTTCCTCTTGACGACAGTGGATGGCGCCCATGGACAAGTAGGTTGATCGCTTTACGAAGGCTTAGGCCTACTTCTCCAGGCTACCAGTCATGACGCCCCAAGCAGTATCGCTCCCATACGGTGAGCTCATCTCCGGTGAGGTTGCAGCCAAATCCCAAGCAGTATTGTCCCCATACGGTGGACTCATCTCCGGTGAGGCAGTTTACGGCGTCCAGAGTTTGTTTTTCACAAACGTGGGCCTATGGTGGGGAATACCACGTGTAGTGTTGGGTTCGAGGCAAGGATGTGAAGAGAATTAGACTTGAAGGGTGCAGCGAGGAACAAGGAGGAGTCTGACTCCTTTCCCAAGTCTGTCCGTTCGCTTGCACGAGTAGACATCAAGACCACAGCTGATATATTAGTCGGGGTGCGAGATATATCCACGACTGGCAGTTTAAACGTCATGCGGGACGGTCCGTAGTTTATCGTCGTTTCGGACGATCCGTAGTTTAACGTCTTTGCGGACGTCCTTCATCATCAACATGGAATGTCTGTGGGAAAAAGATGTTTCTGCACGCCGGAATTTCCATCGGTTGTGTGCATAGGGCCCTAGACCAGACTTTATCCTGCAGATTTCCACTGAGGCATGATGGGAACGGTTTATGCTATATCAAACCGGATAACTTATACGTCTCAATATTAGGAGACCGCTCAGTTTAATGCCGTGAGGTAGGCATCCTCGCAGTTTAATGCCGTGCGATAGGCATCCTCGCAGTTTAACGCCGTGCGATAGGCGGGCTATCGTCTGACTATGTCCCTCGAGTCACGATAGGTTTTTCCTCCGAGGATGAGGGTAGTTTAATGTCATCTCGGACGTTGTCGACACATTCTCGTCAAGAATGATGTCGACCGATGATCCCTGTACCAAGAGGGACGAGTAGTTTAACGTCATTGCGGACGATTCAGCACCAGAGTGATGAATCACAACTCCTATGCGGTAAGGAGCACGTAGTTTAGTGTCATTGCGGACCGATTGACACCATGGCGGTCAATCCACAACTCCTATTCGGTAAGGAGCAAATAGTTTTTCGTCGTTGCGGACGCATTGGCGGCCAGGGGATTGGACGTCAATGACAACCCCTAGGTTCAGAGGCACCTAGTTTAACGTCGTCGCGGACGCGCGGTATCCTGTCAAGATCGCCACGCACGATCCCTAGAACGAAGGGACAGTAGTTTTACATCGTTCCGGATGCCCGTAGTTTACCGTCGTTGCGGACGTCAATGCCATTGGCCTCGAACAATCCCTATGTGGAAAGGGACAATAGTTTAGCGTCATCGCGGACGTTGTTTCGCCACAAATATTGTGGAAAAACAATGCTTAGTTTAACGTCATCCCGGACGCTTTGTAGTTTATCGTCGTTGCGGACGATGGCCTAGTTTTTCGTCGTTGCGGACGATTGGCAGAATAGACTTCGGATGAGTGGCCCGCTCTTGTCGTTCTTCCGCTATGTGGGCCAGACGAGAGTCGCATGACCTAGTCCCTTCCCACTAGGTCTTCGACTCGAGGCACGTGTCCTAGTTGCCTCCTGACTAGGTCTTGGAGCGGAATTTCTTGTACTTCGACTCCAGGACTAGACTGAGCGCTCCATGAAGAGATGCTTGCTCTTCCATGTCCCCAGACCCCTCGCTTGGATTTGAACCAAGACGACCCGATATTCTTTTACTGAAAAGCGAGTGAATATCGGAAGCGCTTCGACCTTTTATAGGCAGGGTTCTGTGACGCGAGTCCTTCCGCGCTTCGCCAGAATGCAACCACGCTCCTTTGGTCAATGGTAGTTTAACGTCATCTCGGACGAGGGTAGTTTTCCGTCGTTTCGGACGAAGACTAGTTTAACGTCATTGCGGACCCTAGTAGTTTATAGTCATTGCGGACCAAGCCTTTGGTAGTTTTACATCGTTCCGGATGTAATTTGTGGCCTCGCATCATTAGGAAGACTTGTGAGGTAGAGGCGGCCCGCTCTCTACATCATCTCATGCGCCAGCTGTAGGATCCCCTAATGCAGAAACGATCCTGTAAAACGGGAGATCCAAAGTGGGACGTCCCAAAACACCAGTCAGACCTTGACTGTGAGGGTTCACGATACAAGTTATGCATCATAATTTCTTGACTCGGACTTGCAACCGGTTATGTATGGGCACTTCGCTGTACCAAGGCGAAGGGCCTGCTTGTCGACACCTACGAGTAGAGTATATGTCATGTAGAGGGTTCCCTAATGCGGAAAAAACCCTGTAAAACTGAGGATCCAAATGGGACGCTCGATGCATCTGTCAGATTAACTCCTTGACAGCGAGGAGGTGAAAGGATTCCGCCGTAGGTCGTACGTGGAATTATGCCCGCTGTTGTCCTTGATTCGTACCATCATTTGAACCTAGGACTAAAAATGGTCAGGTACTTCCCCTGCCTTCTTATCTTTTCACAGTTTTAAGACATGCAGGTCCGATAGTTTAGACGTCATTCCGGACACGGGGTAGTTTAACGTCTCTTTCGGACGAGGTCGTACAGTTTAACGTCTTGAGGGACGATCCTAGTTTTACGTCGTTGCGGACGATCGATAGTTTAAGGTCATTTCGGACCCTACTTTGTCAGGGGAAGGAGTTCCTCAACTTCCTTACCCCCTTTTTTTCTCCCTATGCCCTGTTATTAGTCCGTTTAATAATCAAAAGGTCCTTGATAATCCCCGCCCCCTTCGTCAGGTCGGTAGTAGGGGTCCGCCTCGTCGTAATTTCCTGGATCGTCTAAAGCATCCCATGCGTCGAGCTCGGATCTAGTCCAAGAGCTATTTCTTCGAGCCTCCGAATCAGTGCGGCGAGTTCTGCGGCTACTTCGGTTATCCTCTCTTTCGTTCGTACGAAATCGAGCACTAGGAGGAGGCGATCTAGGCTGGTGTCGAACACTCCGGCCAGCAGTTGTTCCGCGTCCGAGGGTTGCCTGGCTTCCCCGGCTCCGCCTTCCCTCATTTCTTCGATAGACGGGCGGTTCCTCCTCGTCGGTATTTCCTTGGGATAGGGGAAAACCTCGTATCCGGTGAGAGGGGGGAGTCGCGGTATGGCTATGCGCTGTAGGAACCTCTCGTTGTCTCGATGGAGGGCGCTCCACGACCGTACGCGGAACCCTCCTTGGATTTGGTACAGGCGTGGGATGTTCTCCGGGACGTGGTACGTTCCAAGTGACAACTCGGAAAGGGTCGGTTCTGCTTGGCTGGACGTTTCCCAGTTCTCCTCCGAAGAGGAGAGCTGGAAGGAGCTCTCGGTTGACGTATTGGGAGAACTCGTCAGGGTGGATGAGGAGGGCTCGGGGTCGCCCGTCATTGTGGGCGTACCAGGAGGCTGTGTCCGGGTCGGTTTGGAGGGCGAGCGCCCTGATCTGGAGACTGGCACTAGCCAGTCGTCGAGGTACGTCGCTATGTTCATTCCCGGGTTGTCCTGCCGAGAAGTTAGCGAGTCTTTGGAGGGCCATGGCTGTGGCCATTTGTATTACCGCGGAGATGGTGTTCCGCTGGAGGAGCGCGTCCGCGTGTCGCTCCAGTTCTCCGGCGTGAGGATCTGTACGAGGGGTAGGTCCTCCCATGGAGCTGGGAATCGGTCCACTAGTTGGTACTGGCGGAGGTGCAGTTTCTGATAGAACTGGTATTGGTTCAGCTTCTCCATGGCTTGGGAGTTGAGCTGCCGTTCTTGCTCGAAATCCCGAGGGACCTGCAACTCCACTATTTGGCGTGCCTTCACTAGGAGGTGGAACTCCCACTGGTAATTGGCCAAGGCTCGACTGGTTTCGGTCATCAGGGTTTTCATGCCGTGGTGCATCTCGTGAGGCCCTCTCCGGTGAGGGTCTTCGGGTTCTTTCCCTTTCTTTGAACTTGGCATAGTCTTCGGCGTCGTCGTCGGAGAAGTTGTTGAGTTGAGGGGTGAGGAGGTCGCCGGTAGGTCCTGGTTGTTGAGGACTTGTTCCTCTATCAATTCGTCCAGCATCTGGTCGGTGAGGACTTGTTCCTCTTTCCACTCGTTCGACATCTGGATTGGCGACCATAAGGACGACATCGGGGGAGGAGTTTCTGGATGGAGACGAAGCATCGTGGTCGTCGTGGAGGAGCATTCGAATGGGGGATGTGTTTGAGAGGGGAAGAGGGTGAGAAGATGTTTTGGTTGGAGTCCTCTCGTTGCTCCTTTTATACTCTTTTCGTTCCTCCTCTCAGGCTGTTCCCGGACGAGGTTTGTCAGGGTATTGGTCATGGAAATCTTTCATGGCTTCTTCCGCCGTTCCTTTTAGGAGAGCGTAGGGCTCCCAGGTGTTGTCTGCTTCGGGATATCCCATCCATTTGACCAAGTATTTGGTTCCCCGTCCTTGCCGTTTTGAGTCCACGATCATTTCTACTTCGTAGTGTTCTTCATCGTTTAATACTTCCGGTATTGGTCGCGCGAAATTTTCTCCGTGGGCTTCGGTTTCTCTATATTTAGTGAGCACTGCGGCGTGGAATACCGGGTGGATCTTCCACTGCGGAGGAATTTGGAGTTTGTACGCCAGGGTTCCCACTTTTCCCAGTATCTTGAAAGGGCCATATCGCCTAGGGGCGAGTTTGAACTTAGGATGGGTCGTCCGAATATGGGTTCCTTCTAGCCATACTTGGTCTCCTTCTTCCCATTGGGGAAGTTTCCTGTGAAGATCCCGGTCTTTGGCGTAGTTGCTGGCTATTTGTAAGCTAGCAGCTGCTTCTTCCTGAACTTCTATGATCGTCTTAATGCGTTCAGCTACCGCAGGTACCTTTGTCTCCAGTGCCGTGTCAGCTGAATAGGGAGGATTGAAGCCGTATAGCACTTCGAAAGGGGATTTTCCGGTGGCCGAGTGCTTCCGTGTGTTATGCGAGAATTCGGCAAACGGCAGAAGGTCTACCCAATTGTCTTGATGGTAGTTGCAGAACGTTCTCAGGAACTGTTCGATCTCCTGGTTTACCCGTTCCGTTTCTCCATCTGTTTGGGGATGATAAGCCGTGCTGAGAGCGGCGGTGATTCCTAGCCGTGTCCAGAGTTCTTGGGTAAACTTGGCCGCAAATTGAGGGCCCCGATCGGACACTATTTTGGTCGGCAGCCCGTGTCGATTGAAAACGTTATTTTGGAAAAGCACGGTTGTTTCTTCTGCCGTAATCGTTTTCTTGCATGGGGTGATGACTATGCCTTTTGACAGACCTTGATCCACTACCACGTTAATTGAGTCGAAACCTTTGCTTTCGGGTAGGTCCATGACGAAATCCGTCGAGATGAATCGCCAAGGAGCGTTGGTGGTTTCCAGAGGGTGGATAGGTGGGTGTGTCTTGTGTGTCAAATTCTTCGTAGATTGGCATATGGCGCATCCATCCACATATTCGTGGATGAATTTAGTCATGTTTTGCCACCAGTAGTGTCGTTGCACCATTTCCAGTGTTTTTGCTCTACCCGGGTGTCCTACCGCGGGTGCATCATGATGTGTTTTGACGATGAGTCTTCGGATGACGTCGTCTTTGGGGACGCATATGTGGCCGTTGCGTCTGGTGATTCCGTCTTCGTATGTCCAATGTCCCAATAATCCTCTCATCCCTTGTGGTCCTACTCGTAAGAGCTTTGCGAGGGCTACCCTCGTTAAGGCATCATGTTCCGATTTCGAGTGTCGGATGAGGGAAATGAGGTTTGAGGAGGCGATTTCCGTGGACTTTATATGCCGTGTCGGGGGTGGTTCTACCAATGTTTCGTCGGATTTGTTGAAAAGCTTGGCCGGGAGTAAAATTTGAGATTTGTTGTCAGATTCTACCCCCTCACTTAGATCTGGACGCCTGGACAGAGCATCGGAGTGATTTGTTGATCCTGCTTTATAGCTGAGTGTAAAGTCGAATCTGCTCAAATAAAGACTCCAACGGGCGTGTCGTCGTGATAGGTCTCGCGCCGTTTGGAAATGTTCCAGGTTTTTATGATCTGTCCAAATCTCGAAGGGGTGTCGCGCGCCTTCGAGGTAGTGATTCCAGTGTTCCAATGCTTTTATTATGGCCAAGAGTTCCCGGTCGTGAACGTCGTAATTCCGCTCTGCTGGTGAAAACGATCCAGAGAGGAAAGCGACTGGGTGCCAGTCGCCATCTTTTCCTTCTTGTAGAAGGGTAGCTCCATAGGCGATTAGTGATGCGTCCGTTACTAATCGATATGGGTGCATGGGATCTGGATAGTTCAAGACGGGTTTACTGATAAAAGCTTTCTTTAACCGTTCGAAAGCTTCTTGGCATTTTGTAGTCCAGTTCCATTTCTCGTCCTTTTTGGTGAGGTCATGTAGGGGGCGCGCGATGAGTGAGAACTTGTCAATAAAGCGCCTGTAAAAATTCCCTAGACCCAGGAAGGATCGAATGTCGCGGACTGTGCGTGGGATAGGCCAATCTTTTATCGCATCCACCTTTGAGTCCTCCATGGCGACATGGTCTTTTGAAATTGTATATCCCAGATATTGGAGTTTTTCCTTGTAAAACTCACATTTTTCGGGTTTCAAATATAGATCGTTGTCGCGTAGGATTTGGAAAACCTGGTTTAGGATTTTGACATGTTCCGCCATGGTTTTGGAGAAGACGAGGATGTCGTCCATATATACGGTTATCTTCCGGGCTGTGATGAGCTCCCTGAAGATCATGTTCATCATAGCTTGGAAGGTGGCTGGTGAGTTGGTTAGGCCGAAAAACATCACCGTAGGTTCGTAAGAACCTAACGGAGTGATGAAGCTCGCCTTCCACTCATCTCCCTCTTTGATGCGTATATTGTTGTATCCCCATCGCACATCCAATTTGCTAAAAATGACGGCCCCTTTTATCACGTCCAGTAGTTCTTGGATTAGTGGGAGGGGGCACACATTCGGGATGGTGTGCGAATTCAAGTGGCGATAGTCCTGTACCGGGCGTAGTTTTCCATCCTTTTTTCCTATGAAGAAAAATGGGGCTGCTGTTTGCGAGGTGGATCGACGGATAGTTCCTCTTTCCAGATGTTCCTTGATGAATTTTCCTAATTCGTCGTGTTTTTCTGGGCTCAGGGCGTAGATTTTGGGCACTTGAGGTTTGAAGGTCGGTTTTAAGTCAATGGCATGATCCCAGTAAGTGTGTTCTGGGAGTCGCTGCGACTTTCGTTCGCTAAAAATGTCCAAAAATTCGTGATGCGCCTTGGGAACTCTTTCCTTTAGATTGGTGACGATAATTTCGTCTTCCAGGTCTTGGTCGAAGCTGGCAAATCCTGACGGTTCGGGGGCCAGTTTCCGAATAACTGGGTCCCGGGTGGCCTGTTTTCCTGAGGGTTTGTCTGGGAGATCAGGTTCTCCCTCGTTTGGTGAAAGAGATGGCTTGTCTTGAGCCTTTCGTTTCTCTTCTGCGTATTTCCTTATGTCCTTTAGGAGCCATTTCCTTTTGAGGTATGCTCGTAGTCGGACACCAAACGTTCCGCTATGGTCGCGGAGTCCTACATCTTCCGATAGTCTTCGGAGATGTTCTAGGCGCTGTTTTTCGCGCTCATTGATGCGTGGTTTGTGCCGTGGCTCCACGTTTGATAACCGCCTGCTGTATGGCGGTTCTTCCCTTGCCCTGGTGAACCCATATGGTTGCTGGCATTTCTGGGGGCACCGATCAAAGTGCACTTCACGTCGCCTCCATTCGATGGAGGGATCGTGGTATTTCAACCAATCTGTTCCCAGGATAAGGTCGTCTTTCCCTAGATTGGAGATAAACATCTGGACGCGCTCGGTATGCGTTCGTCCACGGATGTCCCGAATGGTGAGGTTCACATCCAAGGCGGATCGGATGAGGCCTGCTTTATTGATGGTGTCATCGACATTCCGGACGCGAATGGGGTTGTTGAGTGTGTAGGTGGGGAAACGATGTCTTTTGACCCAAGTTTCGTTTACTATAACCCCTTCGCATGCCGAGTCGATGGTTGCCTTTGCTCCAGCGTTTTGACTCCTGTTTGATACTTTCACGTTCAGGTGTATGGGGGTGATGATACGGTCGTTCATTGCTCCGATACGAATACAAGTGTGGGCATCAAACTCGGGTCGTCTTTGACCCCTCTCCTTTGCTGGCGAGGGAGAGGTCAGGAAAAACGCTCCGCGTGTCCCAAGATCACTTCTCTTGCTTCATCTTCCCCTAGTTCTCCGAGCACTGCTCCGATTCGAGCAGAATGACTGACGCTTCCGTCTCCCCGTCGTCCGTTAGGTAACATAGCGCGTTGCCCATGGTTCGTTCGGGGTCGTCCGGATGAGGTAGAGTGAGGACGTTCCATTGAAGGACCAGGTTGTGGTACCCGCTGGTCGTTGCGAGGGACATCCTCTGTCTCTATTCCTCGATATATTCCCACTTGGTTTCCCATAGCGGGTGCGTCGTCTTCTCCTTCCAAATCAACCGCGCGGCTTCTTCTCCCTGTCGTACCCATGCGTCTCTTCGAGTTTCCTCGAGTCGGTTGAACGCCTCTGCGTCGTGACGGGCAGTCAGTATTCCAGTGTCCTGTTTTTCCGCAATGGTAACAGGCGCTTGGAGGCTTGCCATCATATTTCCGTTTTTGGCTAAGGGCATTGCGCTTGCATGTCGCGTCAATGTCCATGTCAACGACTTGGTTGTTCATTCTACGAGGGGCGTTTGTGGAATTGTAGCGGGGAGAGATTTGGTTATGAAAACGATTCAGATAATCGCTTCGAAAGGAGGTGGAGTTGGCGAGGATGGCTTTTTGAGCTGTTCTGGCTCGAAGTCATCCATCTATTTCGCAGGCTGTATTGATCCAGTCCTGAATCGTATCCTTTGGCTGAACTTCCTTGTCGTATATTTTGTCCATGACGCGCGGGTCTAGCCCGCGTTGGAAGTAAGGGACTTGCTCTTTATCGGAGATGTCGGCATCGGCGGCGATGAGAATGAATTGGTTGGAGTATTCATCAACCGTCATTCGTCCTTGGGAGAAGGCCATAAGTGCGCTTCGCGCCTTGTCGGTCTTGCCCGTCTCTCTGAACTGTAATTTGAACTTGGCTAAAAAGTCCTTCCAGGTGCCTAGATCGGTAGGTGGGTCTGCTCCTACTGATTTGAGGAGGAAGTTCTCCGCCCAAGCTCCCGCCGTGCCGTATCTCATGCATGAGAGCACAAGGGATATTTTGTCTTGATCGGTCTTGTACCGATCGGATTCTGCTGCGAAAAGAAGGAGGCATTGGAGCATGAATTTCTGGGATTCAATGCGGTCGCCTGTGTAATTGTCTGGGAGTTTGACTTTTCCTCTTCCGGGTTGTACTGTCGCGGAAGGGGTGTTTGTAGAAGTCGAAGCTTGTCCCGACATTTCGGCAAGTGGTTCGTTTCGGGTGTTGATCGGTGTTTGGTCTGGTGAGTCGGAGTCTGATTCCGAGGTTGTTTCCTCTTGCTCCGAGTCTTCGGGGATTACCGGCGCCGGTTCCCTGTATTGTGGGGCTAGTTCCCACTGAGCTTCTGTTTCGTTCCAAATATCCTCTTCTTCTGTTCCGTCTTCAAGGGTGAAGTAATAACGCCCGTTTCGGTATGAGCAGTTATCGTAATTCGGAGGGGCAGTTCCGTTATTGTCTTCGTAGACCCAGAAATCCCCTTCGCGCCGGATAGGGCGATTGTTGTGACGGAGTTGGTTATTGATACGTCTAGTGCCGGGTGGATATTCCTGGCCTAGGTCTTGCTCCAGAGTGTGTGCAGTAACGCTTTCTCAATGGGGGTCTATATCCCCACTGAGCAAGGTTATGAGAGAGGGTGTGGCAGCAAGCTAGTGCGAGCAAGGTAGGGGTAGAAGAGTCTATTCTAGTGTTACAACTGCTCGTCGGTAACCCCAAGAGTAGGAGGTTCTTCCCTAGGTCACTCGTGGAGGATGTGTGGAACGATGGTCTCGACTGTACGTGTAGCACAGGAGCCAGAGGTGTATTGCGATATAGCAATGAAGTCTGCAGTAGGATAACTGCAGTAGAACGAAGGTTCCCGTATATGAAGATACGGGGGAACGAAGAGAATAGACTGAAGATCGTCAGCCTATTCTATGGGCCTTTTATACTACTTTGGGAAGTAGGGCGTGAGAATACCGAATATGTATCCGTAGGTATTCTCTAAGTCGTCTCTCTCAATAACGACTACTCTTGTGCTTCTCCGTTGGTCTCCTTCCGGCCAGGAGAGACTAGGAGGTTCATGCCCTGCGTGTGAGTAATTTATAAGGCGGCGTTCCATGCCCGCTAATACAAGGCCCGTGATACTCGACCAATGATTGATGATCCATTGGGAGTGGATGACCAAGGTTGATATCTGTACCTTGGTGTACGCCTCAGCTCGTGAGGCCGCGTGATATTTGTGATGATCGTATCGGAATAGACCGCCGTGTAGGCCCGATAGAACGTGATCATAACACTTAGAGCAAAGGGCTCAAAAGAGGAATACTAAGGCTGAGAGTCAAGGAGAGAGGATGAGGGCATGTATGCACCAAGAGGCAAGCATCGGGGGACTGGGATAGGGGATGATGTAAATAGTCAGACATAAACCAAACCAAATGCGAAGGCGGCGATGAATCAAACAAAAACCATCAGATTGCTCAAATAAAAGCCTCGCCAGACAGAACACTGAAAGAAGGAAGAAAATATGGAGGCTGACATCACAGAGCAACATGCCTGCCACCAGCCATCACCGTGCATATTGTCTTTCTCGACAACTTCTGTGCGTTCTCCAGCATGGAACGGTACCTTGTCCTCACATTTGGGTACAAAATTGTGCAGGGCGTCAACATATTCGACACTCAAGGTAGATTGAGCAATCAAAAGTCCAGGACCCAGGGCTTGTCCAAGCGTAGGGTTGAAAGCGAGAGCATTGGCGGTTGAGGGGATGAGTGTGCATACATGGGGCTGGTAATGGAAAGGTCAAGGGAGTTGGGGGGTAGCAGATCAAGAGAGGGGTGAGTAGACAGGTTGAGAACAGGAATACCCGTTGATACGCTAGAGGTGGCTCTAAGTGCCGAGCACAACACTAAAACAACCTCTAATGCAGGGGTGCTGGAGCTAGTATCTAATACACAAGGAATTGTTAGTGATGACTTTAGAAATTGAAGGCGTACTGAGAAGCAACGGGAGTGTGAGATTATAGTGCCCGAACGGTTTCGGGACTGCGCCAAACACCAACTGAACGTTTGGTCGGTCGTGTTGGGGATTTGGTCGGTAACAAGAAGGTAGTGTCGCAACCGACAACTACGTGCTTCAAGAGCCACACGGGACTCTGACAATATACAAGGGAGGACAGGGGGGGGGGTACGAGTGAAGATACAAGTACGAATACGAATGAGACCAAACAAACAAGGATGACAATTTTTCAGAAGTCGACGAAGGCAATTTTGATGGTTGAGACAAGTGCAGATGAGCTCTGAACTGTGGGGTGCGCAAAGCTGGTTTATTCCAGAGTTGTATGTAGGTTTTTATAGTAAACAGAGCCCCTAAGTAAAATATTAAACAAGAAATGAGAGTAGATGTCAAATGGGCGCCAAGCCTTAGCGATCAGAGAAGATAAGAAGGTAGGTGAGATGTCCATATGGGTTCCGAAGGTGACAAGGTAAAAGTTAATCAGCGATGGCAAAATCCCAAACATTCGGGATTTGTTGCCCGAGCGTAGGTAGCCGGAACAGGCATTGGAGAACCAATGAAAATAAAGAAGAGGTATCGTACAACCAGGGTGGCCAAGCAATGGTGCAAGATCGTGTTTGACCAACCATGTGGAAGTCGGGAAGATAAGCGATAAGGACCGACCAACTTACGGAGCACATCGGCCGACGTGGAAGACTGGCTCCGATTTCATAAACACTTATCGTAAAACTCCTATGCGGTCATGGTAAGTACGTGAAGTGTGGGCGAACTGACCCAAGTGCTGCCGAACATCCTTCGGAGGGTTGCAGTTGGTCGGGTAGGGACCGACCATGTTCGGTGCAAGTCGGCATTTTCGGTACTCGTCTAACACTGTTCGGTATCTCCCCAAAGCTTCCCGAATACCTCCCTCAGACCCTAGCGCGGGTACATGCTTATCACCATGCGCATGGAGAGATGAGAAACGACACACCTAACATCAAGCAAACAAGAGTGGGACTGAAGGTCGAGGGGTACAGGGTGGGTGTCAGTGGTGCGTGATAATGAGGGGGCGAGGATGCGCGCTTGCCGTTGATGACAGGGATATTGATGGTTAAGGGGACTGAGGGGGATGAGCATAGGGCTGTGCATGCATGGATGGATGTCAAAGTTGGGTATATGAGCTGGGCACCTGCCTCTACCGTCATGTGGGCCAAGCGGCATGAGGTGGCATTCAAGGTCGAGGTCAAGGTTGAGAATCATATCAAGCACGAGCTTGCGCCCATCATCATTGTGGTCGACGAGGCTGCCAATGAATGGCATGCAGGAGAGGTGGATGCTTGGTGGGCAGAGCAGGGGCATCGGCACACCGGGCACGTAGCTGGTGCTTGCGCTTCTGGCCCGCAAACTGGTGGTGCATGAGCAGCAGCATGCCAAGGAGCAGTGGCGAGCTGTCATCATCGTCTGTGTTGAAGTAAAACTCCTCCTCGACCTCCTGGTAGTGGAGCTCGAATAGCTGGCTGAGGCTGTGCACACGTTTGTGCATCAGTGTGAGCATGAGCACAGATGGGGGAGCGCAAGAGAAGACTTGCCAGAGTGCGGGCGGCTTAATTTCTTTTTGGAGCTTGGATGTGGCGTTCATCTCCCAGCACAGGATAATCTGCTTGAAGCACTTCTTTGTGAACCTAGACTGGGAAAACTGCTGCATGAGCACCTCCTGTCCGTGGGGGTCAGCAGGCGGTACGCGCACGGGTACGGCAAGAGAAAGGGTACACACTGTTTCTGCCACAGCCAGTAGTTGGGGATGTTGTACTTTTGGATCTCCTGCGTGATGTGATACGACGCAAGGATGTACATTCGCTTGTAGCTGTGCACCCTGTAAGCGTCGGCACACATACGAGATGGAACGGAAGATGCACTACTTCCACACCAGATCCCGACTGAGACAAAACAACGGGACAAGCAGGAGTATAAAGTAGAACACGGTGCCAGTCCAGAGCCTCGGGACCAGCCCTTGATACTTGAGGGAAACCCCGATGACAGGGGTGACAATGGCATACATGGGCAGGAAGAGCATGGTGAATGCAAAGGAGCTGGGGATCACTGTGGTCGGATGCGCTCAGAGAAGAAAACATGAGGAAACGGGAAAGGACGACGTACCGGCATCAGTGTACTTTGTCCACAGGCTGAGAAGGGCATGGTCTTTTAGTTCGTTTTGGTAAAGAGGCAGAGGCACTTACTCGGACACCAGGGCCACTTTTCCCAGGATGGTCAGGAGCACCGCAAGATAGAGTATGGTCCCCTAGTACCAGTGGCCAGAGTCAAGCCTGGTTGCCTGCTTGAGGTTGCCTAAGAAGAGGATGGCGGAGAACCCAAACAAGACCTACGGAGATGTGAGGGTAAAGGAGAGACATGTGGGGAATGGGGCTGCTCACCACACTGTGATAGGGGCGTTGAGGACCCAGAGCCAAAACATGGTCTTTGTGAAGAATATGTTTTGCTGCCCAAGCATATACAGCTACGAATAGCGATGAAGGATGCGGGCCGAGACAAACTGATCAAAGACGCCAATGACGAGCGGCAGGAGGACAGTGAAGACGATGTTGTACAAGGACAGGGTCCAAAACCCATATGCAATCTGGCTCAAAAAGTTGTTGAAGAATGAGAATTGTAGCGAGGGTGTCAGACAAGAATAGGGAGAACAGGACATGATGAATCCAGAACTAGGTCATGTACAGCATGATGTTGTTATAGAACGAGTCTGTGCAAGGGACATGAGCCACAGATGCACACATGCAGGCATGTCATGCACAAAGGATGAGCTTAGACAGGCACTGGTAGCTCCAGGTCCTGTGGACCAAGAGCAGCTTCTTGAGGAAGTAAAACTGCGAGATGATGATGTCAGCGGAGCAAGCCACTTGAAAACCCTGCACGGCGTCGGTCAGGCTTGCGTGTTAGCAGAGGCAGGCGGAAAGGCTTGCCTCGATGCTAGAGATGCCAATGCCAACGTGGGCGGCCTGGATCATGCTGATGTCGTTAGCGCTGTTGCTGATGGTCAAGAGGATCGACTTTTGATTCTTCTTGACGAGCTTGACAACAAGCGCCTTTTGGAGTGGGGACATGTGGCCTAGAAACAATCTGTCAGTGCCGGCGCAGATGGACAGGGAGTGACAGACAGCAAATGATGGCCTTGCACATGACAGCAAGTTTGAGGAACATCTTGGACAGCTCCTTTTTGAGTGCATATATCAGGCTCTTGCCGTCTGGTTGGGCGCACATCAAACAAAGCATGACAATGGAGGAGAAGAATGCAAGGCGGTGCACCGATGATGATAGCGAGCTCTTCTAGCTTGCCAGAGCTGTGCTGGCTCTTGATGGCGGTGAGATGGTGGTCTTGGTGTTGTGCATGGTCTCCTCATTGATGATGACCTGTTATGCTCACCTGGTCGCATGGCCGCACAAGGATGAGAGCGAGTGGGTTGCCATGTTCATCGACTCTGTGATTAGGCGACAGGACATGCCGATGTTTATCACAGTCTCCTGCCTGTCACTGGTCAAGACCCAGACCTGTGCAGGGTGGGTGAGCGAGGAAGGGATGATTGGGCGCTGATCAGGAGGGTGTGGATGGCATCGGGGACATGCCCTCTTGGAGCTTGTCCTCAATGACGGTCGCGCTAAGGAGGAACATGTTGTGCTCGATGATCTTGGTGGCCTTGTTGAGGGTGTCAACACAAACGTTGATGGTGGAGGCAGCCTGGTCGTTGATGGCGGACCACTGCTTGTACTTAGACTCTGAGATGTTGCAGTAAGTGATGCAGAGTGTGCGCAGGCCCTCGGTCACATAGTCCTGTGTGAGCAGGTCAGCATCAGTGGTCAGCGCGCGGTGGGGCTCTCACCTCGAGGACCTTGCTGAGGCGCTCAAAGATGATGGTGCCGGCATGGCCATCAGAGGCATAGTCGATGGTGGACATGTGCTTGCAGGTCGAGTTGAACTTGCAGACATTGAGGATCTGGAACTCTTGGGACACGTCGAGGACATCAACGAAGATAGACTTGGGCTTGTGGGTCTGGAATGGATATCAGACAGGACATAGGACGGTGATGAGCATTCACCTGCGCTTGGGTCCGAGGAAGGTATTTGGAAGCTTTGGGGAGATACCAAACAGCACTAGACAAGTACCAAAGATGCCAACTTTTACCGAACACAGTCGGTCCCTACCCAACAGATGACAAGCCACCAAAGGACGTTTGGCAGCACTTGGGTCAGTTTGCCCACACTTCACGTACTTACCATGACCGCATAGGAGTTTTACGATAAGTGTTTATGAAATCAGAGCCAGTATTCCATATCAGCCAATGTCCTCCGTGAGTCGGTCAGTCCTTATCGCTTATCTTCCCGACTTCTGCATGGTCGGTCAATTGCGATCTTGCACCATTGCTTGGCTACCCTGGTCGTACAATACATCTTCTTTATTTTTCATTGGTTCTCCAATGCCTGTTCCTGCTACCTACGCTCAGGCGATGGATCCCAAACGTTCGGGATTTCGCCATTGCTGATTAACTTTTACCTTGTCACCTTCGGAACCCATATGGACATCTCACCTACCTTCTTATCTTCTCTGATCGCTAAGGCTTGGCGCCCATTTGACATCTACTCTCATTTCTTGTTTAATATTTTACTTAGGGGCTCTGTTTACTATAAAAACCTACATACAACTCTGGAATAAACCAGCTTTCGCACTCATCTCAATCATCAAAATCGTCTTCGTTGACTTCCGAAAACTTGTCATCCTTGTCATTCGGCCTCATTCGTGTTCATACTCGTCCCTTTGCTCGTACCCCTCATCCTCCCTTGTATATTGTCAGAGTCCCATGTGGCTCTTGAAGCACATAATTGTCGGTCACGACACTACTTTCTCGTTACCAACCGCATCGCCGACACGACCGACCGAACGTTCGGTCAGTGTTCGATGCAGTCCCAAAACCATTCGGGCACTATAATTTCACACTCCCTGTTGCTTCTCAGTACACCTTCCCTTTCTAAAGTCATCACTAGCAATTCCTTGTGTATTAGATACTAGCTCCAGCACCCCCTGCATTAAAGGTCGTTTTGGTGTTGTGCTCGGCACTTAGCGCCACCTCTAACGTATCAATGGGAGATGGGCACACGCATGCAAAACTAGAGCCCAAGGAGCTCCGCGCCGGCAATGAGGGCAGCCTTGTCAGGGCTGCTGGCCTGGTAGTGAATCTTGCCGTCCTTGAGCTTGGGGATGATGGTGTAGCAGACGGTGAGGAGGGTGAGAAACTCAACGAGGATGTCGTGTTCCCTGGTGAAGGTGGCAGCAGCGGTGCCAAGGAAGAAGTTAGCGCCTACGCTGTCAAGGATGACGTGCATGTCCTTGAAGGTGCACTAGGTGTCCTTGCCCTCGGCATCATTGGCGTAGGCAGTGCCACTTATGGAGCAGCAGCGGAACTCCATCTGGTTACAAATGAGAGTGCTGGTCTTGTTGGAAAAGACGTACTTGATCTGGCCGATCTCCCTGATGAGGGAGGAGGTGCAGCAGAGGGCGGGGGTGTCCATCTTGATATAGTACATGTCGAGGTCCGAGTTGATGAGCTGCGCCTATTGGAACTTAATAACCTTCATGGTGATGATGAGGGAGATGGGGATCAGGTTGTTGTAGAGAATGATAAACGTCAAGATGTCTGATGGGGCGTATCAGACGGGGAGGATCAGGCCAGGACGAGCCGCTCACCTTCGATGAAACCTGTGGCTGTGAAGGAAAGCGCGAGAGGCACACATACGACAGAAAGGACCGCAACGCACCCCGACCGGAGAGGGACGTGGTCTCAAGCAGATACCATTGCTTGTCCGTAAAGAACCACTGAGCGGCTGGGAGTTAGCCAGGGGTCAGGGAGCAGAGGGAGAGAGACACACTGAGCAAATGCTGCTGCCGATGGTGGAGCCGGAGGAGAGGGCTAGCAGGACAATGAACATAAATACAATCTGGATGTTGACCTGTCGCTTGACAGCGGTGCGCTTGATGAGTGCAGCGCTTGAGAATGGGGGAAGGTGGAGTTGTCATCGTCAAAGGTCCAGCTTTGGAGGACACTGTCGGAGGGGAGGGATATCTGGGACTGGCCTGTGTGGGGAGCAGAGTGAGGTTGAGGCCGGAGGAGTTGCCATGGATGGGGGGGATGGGGCCAAAGGCAGAATCGGGGCCATTGCAGTCATCGTCGTCATCAAAGAAGGTCAAAGAGCCAGGGCTCTGTGTGTAGGGCAGACGAGTAGGGGTTGGCGGATGCAGGGTTTGACTGGTTGATAAGATGGACAAAGTTGTCGCTCCCGACGGATGTAGCGGAAGAGGACAGATACTGATGGGAGTGCATACAATGGGTTGGGGGCATTAAAAACAGCAGGAGAGGGAGGAGGAAAAAAGGGGGAAAGGCCTACTGGGGCTGGCTGGAGAGTGGCTCAAAGATAGGGCCATGGCATTGCAGAGGCGGTGGGGCTAGGCCATGCGAGGGTGGAGGGCCATACATGCAGAGAGAGGCAGTATCATGGAAGCCCTAGGATTGGGGATAAGTAGAGGTGCCCACACCAATCTAGAGAAGGGAGAGGGTCCAGAAACAGCTAAGGCCAAGGCAGCATTGGAAGAGGGTGGTGGCAATGGCATTGAAGGGTTACTGGGGCTGAGTGCATTCCACAGCGGGGTTGTCCCTTGCTATGCAAGCACGGGTCTGTCTATGTGCATTGTGTGACCTGACCATCAGACAATGTCATTCCCTAACCCCACCGCACCTCATCCTGTGAACGTCACTGATGCGTCGCTAAAGCATCCATATGAGAGCGGTAGGGGGGGCAATGACCAGTTGTTTGTGGCCAACTTGCTGTTGGGAGAGCCGGCCGAACGAGTTGTCGAGGGACAGCATGGATTGGGCCATCTGGGAAAGGAGATGGAGTGGGATGGAATATGCTAGCGCTGGGGTGCTGTGTGGGGAAGTCTGGCATGGGACGCTACCCTACATAGTGTGCCGCCATTTCTGCACCTTGCGTAAGTCATCTGTCGTAAAGCTTCCATCATTGTCTTTTTTTCTCCAACATGTGTGCAAGTTGTGCACTGTACACAACTCATGCGCAGTGGAGTGCTGTGGAGACAGGTGGTGTGAAAGGAGATATTAGATACATTCCTTACCTCTTGCTACCTTCTCGGCACACTCTCTGTTGTTAACTAGTAGTATCATACCCCCGCAGTACACACCTCTTAATGCCATCAACATCAACTGATGCCTCTAGACAGGTCGAAGGTGAGTGTTGTATTATTTGAAGACATCCTCGCCAAGCCCTACCGATACTTATACTGCCAACATTGTTGGCATATCCTTAGACATGTCAGTCTCACATGTTGAACTATCAGGTTAGCAGCTTATTGCTGAGAGAGACACCTGAAATGGCGAGAGATCAGAAGAAGGAGGGTATCACTGCTATTTCTGTATCATACACCAACTGTCTGTCGCGTGACCTGAGGTTGATTTCCAGACCATAGCTGCATGCGAGTGTGGGGTGGCTGTAGATAACCTGACGGAGACAACGGAAGACTTGACAGAGGCTGTGGTTGACTTGATCAATGCAGCGGAGGACTTGGTCAGTCAAGCGGTGTCGCTTTCGGCAGCCTTGTGATCAGAGTGCACTGTCCATTCATGGCCAATGAGGAGCCCACCGTCAAGAGGATGCAGAAGCAATCAAAGTGGGGGGCTCACCTGGTGCCTCTTCAAACATGGTCGTTGGACTCGCACTCATGACAATAGATGACACAATGCGTATGATGGATGTGGTGTTGGATGGGTGAGCTTGGAATCGCGCCGAGGGCCAAGCAAAGGGCTGATGCAATGCAGTATAGGCACTGACACTGTGCTGGCCTGCAATGTGACTAAGTGCGTACTCTGCACGATGGATAGGATCGAGCTGGAAGACAACTGCTGCATATCGCCACAAGAACAAGACATATTGTTTTGCCATATTGTGGCTGAGAATGCTCGTCCACAGTGAGTAAACTCCAATCGACTCTTGGCCGGCATCACCTTTTCTAGTGTTTGTTGAGCAAAGGACTGTACATGTGAGAGATCCTATTGTTGATGGAGGAGTGGATGACAGAGCCAAGTTTTCTAGAATCCGACGTCTAAGATAGCACGTGCACATAAAGCATAAGAGAAGAGTCATTACACACCGCTCGCAACCCTGCCACCAGACATTGCCTCGAATATACCACAAATATCCCCAGACCCCCCCCTCCTCAGTACATTCATGGTATATCCGAGGTATAGTCATAAAATTCCTCGAATATCCCTAGGGGATATTTGGGGCTGGGCATATTCATGGTATATTTTAAGTATATTCAAGCTCATTATCATGAGCCAATTGCTTGAAAATGTGCTCCATAAATAGAGAATAAATATATTAACAAATCATAAAACTGATAAAGGCTATTGAAGGCTATACAACAATTCTAAGGCTTGAAAGATCTACAAAATATACTTGAAGAGGTGAGAGGTGTGAATCCCTGCTAGATGTTCTCTCGCATACACAAGCAGCCATGGCATGCATTAGGGATGGGATGACTAGTGCCTTGATGCAAGAATCTATTGTGGTGGCAGGAGCGGTGCATCCATGCATGGCCTTGAATTTGAGGGGTACATTTTGGGAGGGGTGTCGGGCTGCAGCACCGTGCTATTGAACATAAGCATATCTAGTAGCACATTACATGCATAAATGCAGCTGCTGGCAAGTGCATTAGTACTGGCAGCATAGAGGTGCATCCTGCAGAGGAGTAAGGTGAGCATGCATGTCAAGGCTGAGAAGATCAGTGTAGGGAGAGACAAGGTCATCAGAAAGGGTTGCAGCTTGATAAGGTTGGCAAGTGCAGGGAGCGAGGGGGATGGAAAAAATGTGGTATAGTGTGGGGGTCAGTACTACTATGCAGGGGGTTAGCACTGTGACATAGAGAGCCCAAATGAACTCTGGCCTCACTGCTGTTGCTGCTGCTGCTACTGCCCTAACCACATTGGCACTTGTGTGCATACTGCAGACTCTGAGGCTAATCCAAGCCACCATGTGCATGAGAAACACAGATGATAGCACCCACACCATCACCACCAAGCTCAGCCTGTGCTTACCCTTGATCTTATCCATCCAACATTCACACTTACACCCACAATACTCACTGTTCTGACAATTCTTGCTACATACATGTCATAGGCTATGCTTGCAATCTCCTTCAGTCCCACCCCAGCCTGCCCTAAATAAATGCATATATGCACTCTGATCCCACATTTTCAGGCATTTGAACACCTGGAAAACCACCCCCTTGTATTAAGCTCTAATTAGTTCTATTTATGCATAATTAAGAACAATTAGAATTAGACATTTTTAGCTTATCCCCGTCTAAACCTGTTCTAATTAGACATAATTTTCCTAAATTAGGAATTATTAGGATTCATTATAACTTGAAATTTCGGAAAAATCATAATAAATCAAGCATCATAGTTCTCATAGCCTTCTTATAGAGTCATGTCTATTAGAACACTAGTTTAATACCTAAACACAGAATATACCTTATAACAAACTTGCCTTTTGCCAGAGTGAAACCAACAACCTCATGTATAGAAGTACCCAGGACAGATGCTCCAGCCACTAAGCCACAAGGTCTAAAATATGAACTTGGTAATCTAAATAAGTAGACATAATATAGGCAACCTTAACATCTCTGATTTTATTCAACATTTATCTTTTCTCTATCTTATAGATAAATAGGTCAATAAATACCCAAAAAGTCAGGTCTTTCAGGATTTAGTTTAAACACCAGCTAAGAAGATAATAAACCAATGGAAAATAAATAATATACTTTATATAGAATAGAAATAAATTGTGGCACTTACACAATTTGGATTTAGAATGTGTAAAACTATAATTGAATATCATATTCAATATAACTCTACTAGTATAGACAATGCTACCTTAATTTGCAAATTTGATCAAAAACATAATTATGAATAATTGGCCATAATTAGCTCAAATTAGTATCATTAATGATTATTAGTAATTAAGATCCAATAAGAGAGAGGGGTTTTCCAAATGGCCACTAGTGAGATAGAGGGTAGGGACAAAGGTATATATATGGCATGCCTATGTATAAATAAGCACAAGATTATTAGAGATGATCTTGATATGCTTAGTGCACATATTTTCTACATAGCAGGCAAATATATCATTCTAGCACTACATACCAACATGACTGTCTTTTCCATAGCCGAATAGCTAGAAAAAAACACTAAGTTTGAGCATCTTCTGTATAACAAGGCAATGGACAGTGTGGATGGCACTGAGAATTGTAATATCAATAGTGGTGATGATTATGTGCTGTACAAGACAGTATTGACCACTATACTAGTAGACAAGGTCTACAAGGCTGCATGTAGCACATCCCTAAGCCTAACCTGCATATTGTGTCTTGTAATAACCAGTAGCAGGCATTGGCTAACAATGATAGCTTCAATGATCTTGTATACAAGGCCAAGGTACTGAGATCTTCATAGTCTCTTGTGGCAGCTGCTAAGCTGCCAACAAAGTGGCTGGGGCATCAATGCATATTTCTCTCTTTCTATGTCTCTTGTAAAGGTAGCTAGAAAGTCAGCAAAAAAGCTACAAGATAATGATATAGGCATATATGAAGAAGAGTAATATGTTAAAATAGTATAGAATGTGCCACATCTTTACCTTCTTACTGATAGAGCAGTAGTACTTACTATTTCCTACTGCTAATTAAAGACTTCTTGGTATGGGATTAGTGCTAATATTATAAAATTAGAAACCAATCCAATGCTCATTATAAGTTGCTCCCAATTAGGAAATTAGATACTTTTAGATGCTATCAACACTTTTAGATACTTTTAGACACTATTAGATATAATCCGGAGCTAATACAAGGGGGTGGTTTTCTAAATGCCAAAAGATGCTATTGGTAGGGTCTTGAAGCTGTAGAAGATGATTTATAGCTTATGTTATGATCACGTTCTGTCGGGCCTTAACGGCGGTCTATTCCGACACAATCATCACAAATATCAAGCGGCCTCACACGGAGAGGCGTACAACAAGGTACAGATAGTAACCTTGGTCATCCACTCCCAACGGATCACCTTATCGTTGGTCGAGTATCACGGGCCTATTGCGTAGCGGGCATGGAACGCCGCCTTACAAACTACTCACACATCGGGCATGGAGCTCCTAGTCTTTCCTGGCCGGAAGGAGACTAACGGAGAAGCACAAGAGTAGTCGTTATTGAGAGAGACGACTTATAGAATACCTACGGATACATATATGGTATTCTCACGCCCTACTTCCTAAAGTAGTATAAAAGGCTCATAGAGTAGGCTGAGGTTCTTCAGTCTATTCTCTTCGTTTAGTACTGTCTTCCTACAGTACTCCTTCGTTCCCCTGTATCTTCACATACAGGGATCTTCATTCTACTGCAGTCTTCCTACTGCAGGCTTCATTGCCATACTGCAATACATCTTTGGCTCCTGTGCTACACGTACAGTCGAGACCATCGTTCCACACATCCTCCACGAGTGACCTAGGGAAGAACCTCCTACTTTTGGGGTTACCGAACGAGCAGTTCGTAACAGCTTAAAGCAGTCTAGCCAGCATTAGTATCAGAAACTTACACAGATCTTTATAAAGAAGATGGTGTTCATATGATATTAGGTCAATCAAGCTGTATTCTTCTAGTACAAGGGCTCTGACCTTATGGTTGTGGTTGTTTATATTGATGACTGTATGATTGTATCTATGTCACTAAAGCTTATTGTGAATTTTAAGGCAAGCCTTTGATGGTTTGTTAAGGTGACTGATCTTGGAGAGCTTCATTGGCTCCTCAGAATTGAGATCTAATATAACTACAAAGCATGTATAATTAGGATGTCACAGTGCTCATATATCAACTCCATCTTGTGCTATTTCTATCTTGATAAGCTCAAACCCATTTCTACCCTAATGGACACTCATGTTTAACTCTCAACCTCTTAGGCTCCAGCAACAACTGCTAATTATGCAGCAATGTAAGATATTCCCTATTGCAAGGCTGTTGGTGCTCTTATGTATGCCTTCATTGCCATATGCCCCCATATTTTATTTATAGTCTCAATAGCATCACATTTCTCAATTAATCCTGGAGTTGCTCATTAGGAGGTAGTCAAGAGGATTCTTTAGCACCTAGCTAGTACTAGAAACCTATGGCTGATGTATAATGGAATGAAAAAGCAGTTGATGGAATATGTTGATGCAGATGGGAATATAGTGGAGGATCAGCATGCAATCTCAGGATATACTTTCCTTATCAATGGCAGAGCAGTCTCCTAAAGCTCAAAGTAACAAGAGATTACTACTCTTTTAACTATAGAGAGTGAATACATTGCTGCAACATATGCCACAAAGGAGGCTTTCTGGCTATAGATCCTTATTGCAGAAGTTTTTGAGCCACTCACATTGTTGACCACTCTTTTCTCAGATAACCAGTCCAAAATTGCTCTTACTAAGGACCACTAGTACTATGCCTATTCTAAGCATATTAACATTTATTTTTACTTCATTCATTGGATTATCAAGAATGGTACTTTGTGTATCATTTATTGTCCAACTGATAACATAGTTGCCAATACTCTTATAAAGGCTTTACTCTCTGTGAAGGTGAAGCATTTTGCAGTTGAGCTTGGACTTTACAAGACTTGAGGAGGAGTGTAGGATTAGCAAGTCTTGCCGAGCCCTGTTTTAGAGTCTGTTCATTTCTTATCACTCATTGTTCTAACATTTTGATATGTCCATATGCACATTTGTGTTTCTGTCCCTTTTGGTTATTATATGTTTATTTAGATATATATTTGAATCTTCATCTTCATTTCTCTTAAACTGTTATTGCCTACTGAGCACAAGTCTGAGGTGAGATATATACTATAGAACTTTTTTCTGTACTACCTATACTTACTTTGAGACATAATGTCTATTACAGGTAAATATAGACTGTTATTGCCTACCATATACAAGTCTGAGTGTCTGTTTGTCATATAGATATCATGTGGTGTTTGTCTTATTTTTATAGTCAAGGCTGATGTTGTGTATATAATGGCATTTAGAGGCTTATCCTTCAAGATGAGCATGATCTATGTGCCTATTTATCTGTTTCTCATCTTCTATTCTTTATACTAATCTAATGTCTTTTCAGGCACTTCTTTCTCATAGTCTACCATGCCCTAGAGGCCTCAGATTTCTAGTACCTTTTGGGTGTATGATTTCCACAATAAGAAGTTGTTCTCATCATTCTTGAGGAGGGAGATATTATGTGGGTGGTTAGATGCCCTGACTAGTAGAGGGTTTATAGTGGGTCTTGAAAGAGGTGTTAGTGCCTTGCTAATAGGTAGCACTATTCATAGAGAGGGGTTCAATAGTATTAGAGTGTTTTGAGTGTTGGGGAGTTCTAGTTCTAACAAGTGGTGTCAGTATTTTAGCAGAGACTAGCAAGTCTCATAATTCATTAAAACAGGTAAGTTTTAGACTGTAGGGTAAATAAAAAACACTACAATGGCTATTAGCCTTTGGAACAACAGTATGTACTCATCATGAATTACTAACCTCAGTCTCATTTGTGAGAACTGAGGAAAGAAGAAAGTGGATGGAGGGAACAACTTCCCTCCAATCTGCTCATCACATGATCACCCCACTTAGTGGGTAATCTCAATGCATATAGGAGCCCCTTACTTCCAACATTATCAGCATTGAAATGGACTAAGGAGAATGTGATAGGCAGATATGTGATGCAGATATGTCGTGTATTACAGAGTATGTTCGAGGTGCAGGTGCTATGAGAGTTCCAACTTCTTCGGTCTCGATGGCGGGATGCTAGTGGGATGCCGCGCCTCGGGTACGTAAGCGCCGAGAAGCAGGCACGGCGGCGATAGATAAGATAACATCGTCATTTTCCGATACCCCATCCAAGTTTCCACCAGCGCCTCAATTTTTACGACAGCACCGAAAAATGATGTCAAATACAACAAATAATAGTCGCCAAGCTCCTTCCGACTTGACTCCATCGTCCTCGTTTCAACCCTCGTCCCATCCTCTCCCTTCTCCTCGTCGCTGCAATGCTCGCCTCTTCGCAGTCCAGTCACGCCGATAAAGCCGATGTCGACGCCGAAAAGGCAGAGTATAGCGCTCAGGTGCATGTCTCACCAGAACACAACGACTACAAGAGCCATGGCTTGAAGAGGTCCCTCAAGCCTCGCCACCTCACGTTCATCTCTATCGGTGCTTGCATCGGCACAGGTCAGCCTTACACTCGCTGCTCCCATTGAAGCTTGTTGCTGACGATTTCACTCGTCGTGGACTTCGGACGATTTCAGGCATCTTTCTGGGAATCGGCTCAAGTCTCGCCAAGGGTGGTCCGCTAGGTCAGGTCGCGTTGTCTTGAGATATCACCAAAAGACTGACTTGAGCCTCCCCTCGCTCTATAGGTTTGCTCATGGGTTTCTCGCTCATGTGCTCCGTCACGATCGCCGTCATGCTTCTCGTCGGAGAGATGGTCACCTTCCTGCCCGTCCCTGGCGGTCACATCCGACTTGCCGGCCGCTTTGTTGATCCTGCGCTGTCCAGTGCAATGGGCATCAACTACTACCTCTGCTGGGTGCTCATCCTTGCCGCAGAAATTTCCGCGACTGCGGTCCTCGTCACTTACTGGACCACTTCCATCTCCCAGGCCGTTTGGATGTCCATCAGCCTTGTCGTTGTACTCACGTTGAACCTGTTCGGCGCAAAGTATTACGGCGAAGCCGAAGTGTGGTTCGCGTCCATCAAGGTCGTCACCATGGTCGGTCTCATCATCCTCGGCATCATTTTGAGCGCGGGGGGAGGCCCCAGCCACAAAGCTACCGGATTTCAATATTGGCGTAACCCGGGGCCGTTCGTGCAGTATCTCGGTATTCCAGGATCGACGGGACGTTTTCTTGGGTTCTTCGCGGTTCTCACGCAAGCGGCTTTCTCCGTCATTGGCACAGGTAGGTTACTCGTCCTTGTACATGCACACATGGCTCATCTTGCTCCGCAGAGATGCTCGCTTTGGCTGCCGCCGAAACTAAAAACCCGCGGAAGGTCCTTCCTCAAGCTCTCCGCACCGTGTGGATTCGCATCGTCGTGATCTACTTCATGGGTTCGTTAGTGGTCGGCATCCTCGTCGCTTCCAACAATCCGCGCCTCGGCTCGTCGTCTACGGCCTCCGCCTCCCCCTATGTCATTGCCATCGAAACGGCAGGCATCAAGGCCTTGCCGTCGGTGATCAACGCAGCCATCATCACTTCCGCACTCTCCGCAGCCAGCTCAGACCTGTTCACCACATCACGGACCCTCCACTCCCTCGCTTCACAAGGTCACGCGCCGCGCATCTTCAGTCGTACGAACAGAGCGGGCGTGCCGTACGTCGCCGTCGTCTTTTCCTGGCTCTTCGGTTGCCTCGCCTACCTTGGCGTCAAGTCGTCTGCGCAGAATGTGTTCAACTTTCTCGTCAACCTCACCGCTCTCTCGGGCATCCTCACATGGCTCGCCATCGCCATCACGTACCTCCGTTTCCGTCGCGGTATGGCGGCTCAGGGCCTCAAGCATGAGGATCTCCCATGGAAGAGCAAGCTCGGTTACCCGGCCGCGATATGGGTCATTTTTATGGTCTCCGTGGTCACAATCTTTAGCGGTTGGGAGGTGTTCAGGCCAGGGCACTGGGACCCCTCCGCGTTCTTCTCGAACTACCTTCCTGTCGTGTGGTTTATCGTCTTCTACATTGGATACAAGTTTTACCTCAAGAGCAAGATCGTGCGAGCGTCAGAGGTGCGCGCGTGCCCATATTTCCATTGTTTTTAATCAGTTGTGGACTGACTCGCGCTTGCTTTGCGTAGATGGACTTTGTGTCCGACCTAGATGCGATCCTTGCAGATGAACGGGCAGGGGCCGCAGAGGACGCCATGCGTCCAGAGCCGACCACCTTTTTCGGTAAGGCAATGGCCGTCCTTTCCTCTATCTGAATGACTGCACGTAGCTGTATACCCACAATTATAATTTAGTGTCTACTGGAAGCTCTCATCGGGCGCAATATCAATTGGTTTTGTGGATCTTATCAGTAAGCTGCAGGCATATCGAGGTGTGAGGACGACCCGATTGTTTCCTTCGAAGGAGTAGGAACAAAGCCTGGCAAATACCCAAGACTTTGCCTGAGATTCTCCACAGCGCACGGGATGGCTCATCCTGATTTGACTTTTTTTTTGGTATTAAGCCGGTGAGGTTTCTTCACAACATATAAGACTGAAGAAAGAGCACAGATGTAGCATAAACTCCGACAACCACGCCACAGACGGACGATCCGGTAAAATTCCGTAACAAGCAAGCAAGCGACAAAACGAGTGTGCGCGCCAAACTGAACCGGCTTCGGGACTAGCATATTCAACACACCAGTGAGAGAGGAAGTGACCATGACGCAGTCGATAAACCAAAAATAAAAGGCATAATGAGATTCCACGTTCAGAGCTCCGAGCCCACGGCGTCGATGACATACAACACCTGCTGAGGTCGCACGAAGAGCCCCCGTGACTCCGTCATAGTCACGTCTGACACCGCAGGCGAGGCTGCACGGAAACGCTTTGAGCGGTCGATACTCAGCTGGTCCCCCTCCCGCTTCAACCCCTTGTTATAGGACGTCAGGCTGCCCACAGGATCAAGCCTGCGCCTGCGCGTCGCGCGATCGTCGCCATAGTCCCACTCCAAGCCGTTCCCGAGGTCAAAGTAGCGGACGCCACCCCAGGTGCCGTCATTCCACTGACGCGTGTCGAGCTGGTCTGGCGACCAGCTGTCCCCCACTGGGACTTCGACCCCGACCCACGGGCCGAGCTCTCCTGCGACTTCGCCGATGTAGCGAGCAAACGCGCGGAACCGCGCGCGCTTTGACGAGATGATGCACGGGATACCGATCTCGAGACTCGCACCCCGCGGCGACGAGCTGTCGTCCACGGGTGGAGAGACGCGCGGTAGGCTCGCGGCGGGCGTGGCCTTGGTGATGGTATCTGAAGAGCGCTTCGGCTTGAGCTCTCTCGCCGTCTTGGGGGTGACGTCCGTTGAAGAGGAGGCGGTCTTCGATGGGGACGCGACCGGCGAGTCGGGTGCAGGCGCTCTCTCCTTCCCCTTTGCAGGACTTTCCCGAGATGCCGCTGGAGCCTTGAGTTTGTTCGAGTCGGTCGACTTTGTTGGTTTTCCCAGCGGAGGCTTGCGCGCCACAAGGGTCTTCTTTGGTATTGTGGGAGATGTCGAGGCGGTAGACCGGACTGACGCCACGGAAGGCGATCTCGCGGCGATCGGCCCCCGTTTCACGCCGCTGTCTAGAGTAGCCGGTTTCTTGACTCTGGCTGTCGTGCTTATAACAGAAGTTGTGGAGGCCGCAGACGCTCGCCGAGGCCGCATGGCGGGTTTGGTGGATGCGACCGACGTGCGGACGCTGGCGGTGGACACGGAGGACGAGACGGAGGGACGGCGTACGCGGAGCGTGGCGTCGCCGGCTAGATCGGATTTAGCGCTCTTGAACGTCGACGAGCTCTCACTCGTGGTAGGGCGGGATACAGACGAAGATGTGCGCGACGTCGCAGTCGATGGCACGCGGATAGAGGGGACAGATGGTGTGGTGAGAGTAGACGACGGCTTCCGGATCGTGGAGGCACGCGAGCGCACGGACGAAACGGATGCGGTGGAATTTCTGGAGGAAGAGGCTGTAGATGACCTGACGGAAACGACGGACGACTTGACGGAGGCTGTGGTCGACTTGATCGACGCAGCGGAGGACTTTGGTCGGTCGAGCGGTGCTGCTTTCGGCGGCCTGGGGATCGGAGTGCGCTGTCCATTCACGGTTGACGAGGAGCCTGCCGTCGAGGAGGATGCGGATGCGATCGGATTGGAGGGCTCACCTGGCGCCTCTTCGAACACGGTCGTTGGACTCGCGCTCGTGACAAAAGATGACGCGGTGCGCGCGATGGATGTGGTACTGGACGGGGTCAGCTTGGAGTCAGGCCGGGGGCCAAGCGAAGGGCTGATGCGACGCGGTATGGACACTGAAATTGTGCTGGCCTGCGATGCGACTGAGTGCGTACTCCGCGCGACGGACCGGATCGAGCTGGCGGACGATTGGACGGTATCCCGCCGCGAGGACGAGACATGTTGTTTCGCCATGTTGCGGTTGAGAACGCTCGTCCGCAGCGAGTGCACGCCAATCGACTCTTGGTCGGCGTCACCTTTTCCAGCGTTTGTTGAGCGAGGGCCTGTACGCGTGGGAGACCCTCGTGTTGATGGTGGGGAGGATGCCGGCGCGAGGTCTTCTGCATTTAATCCAATGTCTAAGATAGCGCGTGTGCGTCAGTCAGTACAACATGAGAGAAGAATTGTTGCGCACCGCCGGCAATTTCGCTCAACGCCCATTTTGGAACGTCATCGAAACCGCCTTCCTGTCGCACGCCTACCCACCGCCGCCGAATCCATTGAACCAAGTCGACCCGCGTTTGTTCCACCTGCACGCGAATGTGTGACGTTGCGGACAGCATCGCCCCGGAGGGATCAGCAGCAGGCGTTCGCGTCAGGATACAATCGACGAGGGTCTGTAGCATCAACGACAAAGATGAACGATCATTGTTGAGGAAATGAAGAAGACGATGTACCTGGTACAGTTTGCCAGCGGATTTCTCTGAGAACCCACGTCGGAGGGCATCCATAATCCATTCTACTCTTTCGCCATCGTCGAATCGCGCGGCATCGACTTCCATGATCTCTAGCCACTCCTGCTGTTCGAAGCACTCCTCCGACTGCGTGCTGAAGACATGGTCGATCGTTTTCCGGGCTTCGGTAATCATATCTCGCACGATATCGGCCCACACCTCGACGTTCGACTCGAGCTTGTGCAGTGCCGCCTGCGCTGCGTAGAGCAGCTGAAATACATTGAGCGGCGTCGTCCGCTTGGCGACGCCCTTCAGGATCGACTCGCGCGTCTTCTTATCGAGGTGCGCGAACTCGGAGTAACACCACCCCTCGCCAAAAAGGCCGACCAACGCGCGCCGCGCGCCGCGCTCGATGTGCGTATTTTTGACGTCCTCGAGAAGCGCAAACTCGAGGACGCGCGGGACGCGACGAGCGCACTGCTTGCAGCGACAGCCGCCGACGCCCCACTTGCCGCCCGTGACGCGCTCGTACTCGGTGAAGTCGAGAAAGGCGTGGTAGAGCCCGTGCATCATCTCCTGGACAATGCGCGCCTGAATCTCGTCGTACAGAGTATCGAGGGAGAGATAGGTCGCGGAGCGCATGATGTGGAAAGCGGTGTCGAGATCGTAGGACCGGTTGGAGAAGATAAGGGTGCCAGTGTAGATGAAGCCGAGAATGAAGTGGAGTGCGGGCGGAGTGAACGGGGGAGAGGGGAGCGCGAGGCTGAGCGGCTCACTGGGCTTCGGCGTCGTGCCCCATGCGATGAGTGCGTTGTGAAAGTATGCGGAACGGGAGACAAGGACGAAGCGGTGGGTAGAGAAGACGGCTGCGGTGCCTTCGTGCGCGGCCGAGGCGCCTTCGATGGTGACGCGCACGTCCGAGTAGAGCCGGGAGCGCCACATGAAGACCAGGTCTTTCCTGAGCTTGTCGATCCTGTTTTCCTCCGCATCGCCCTCTTCGCGATGCTCCGCCGAGTCGAAGAGAAACTCGAATGCCTCGCCGAAACCCTTGCCGGTGTAGAGGTACTCGAGCTCTTTGGAGAAGAGAGTCGGATTTATGGAGGTCTGGAGGCGGAGGATCCCGCCCTGATTTGTGGAGGGGACGGGAGATGCGGCACGGAATGGGGAAGGCGAGCGAGAGACGGCGGGGAGGTCGGCGCCGAGGTTCAAGGAGAGGGCGGACTGGGCTGGATAGGGCGTGGGGGTATAGAGGCCAGGAGACGAGATGGGAGCGGGACGGAAGGAGAAGTAGCGCGCTTGAAAGCTTGGGGGCGCGCGGGCATAGACGATGGCTAGAGGAGATGGTATGAGTACGGCGTAATAGTTAGATGCACACGATGATCTAATTGATACACGGCGATAACAACGGGGGCCCTGGCATCCGCAGTGCATGGCGAGTTGTACATCGAGCCAAGAGAAAGAGAGAGAGAGAGAGAGAGAGAGAGCAAGACTTACCTTTGTGCCCCCATACCTCTTCTGTGTGGGGGTCGGAAGAGTCGTCTGCAAAGAGTTCCCAGACGACGTCAGGGAAGCGGTCCTTTGCGAGGTGAAAGAGGGCCTCGAGGTCATTTTGCCAGGCAACTGTGGACCGCTTCGTAGCCTCTTGGAGGGATGGGGGCTGGAGGGGGAGCGTGGAGGAGGGAAGTTGAGACATGGAGATCTAGCCAGGTGATAGAGAGACAGGAACTAGGGTATCGGGAGAAGAGGGAGAGAAAAAGAAAAAGAAACACGGGCACAACGAGGTGGATTCCAGGCGAGAGAGAAGGATGGAGAGCAGCGACGAGGGAGATGAAGCAGAGGAAGGACAGAGGGAGAAGGAGAAGAAGGAACGGCGAAGGGTCAGTAGTCGTCCGCGCGTGGCAACGGCGTGGCGCCGGAGAGGTGCAGACTCGACGGTGTGGGGGCGTCGAGCACCGCGGACGGTTGCGATGCGACGGTCGGAGTGCCGCAAAGACAATGCTGCTGGACAACTGGGGACGACGGCGACGACGGCGACGACGAGGACGAGGACAACGGGGGACGGACGGAGGCGGACGCGGAGGACGGCGAGGGCCACGCGAGCGAGTCACGTGGGGAGTTGCCAGCACAGCCAAACAAAGGCGGGCGAGCGTCGACGCTGCTCTCGACTCGCTCCTCGCTGCTTTGCTCGACGTCCTCGATGGCGCCCGCCATGCCCGCCATGTTCGCACAATCACACATACAGCAGCCCCTCCCCGCACTTTACCTATACCCCCTCAACGACTCCTTCATCCCAAAACACATCCACCTACCCCCCAACCAGCGCGTGAAGATCGGTCGCCAAACCAGCGCAAAGACCGCGCCCGGCGAGAGGAACGGCTTCTTCGACTCCAAGGTCCTCAGTCGCCAGCATGCAGAGGTCTGGGAGGAGGCTGAAAAGGTCCGTCTCTTCTGTTCTCGCTTCATTTCAACTCTCATTTCCGTCCGTTCAGATATACATCAAAGACGTCAAAAGCTCCAACGGTACATTCATCAACAGCGAGCGCCTCAGTGCAGAGGGTGCAGAGTCAGACCCCTTCGAGCTCAAGACAGACGATATCGTGGTGCGTCTCTCTCCCCCTCGTCTTGTCTTCCGTCCCCGCCCATCCGCCTCCTCCCAAGGAATTCGGCATTGATATCGTGGGTGAAGACAACAAGACGATCATCCACCACAAGGTCGCCGCACGCGTCGTCTGCGTCATCACGGAGCAAGATGCGCAGGCCGCAGCCCGCGCAGAACAACATCAGCCCGGTCCGTCCATGGTCAGCCTCTCCGCTCGGACTCCTGCCGCAGCCACCTCCTCCAATGCCGCATTCAACTTTGCTGCTGCACAAGGCGCTCCCGGTCAGCCTCAGCGCAGAGGCGTCATGCAACAGCAAGGCCTCAGCGCTCTCGACGGCATGGGCGGTAACATGCGCGCCCCCGGCAAGGGCAGCCTCTCCTTCGACTATATCCTTACTCGTCTTCAAGGCGAGCTCCAGAAGTCTCGAGAGACTGGAGCGGAGCTTAACTCCCTCTCGGGCGCGATGAACGAAATCCACGAAACACTGAGTGGTGTCCCGGTAAGTTCCTGCCTCCTTGCTTTGTGCGCCAATTTTCGTCTGACACATGCCAGCCCTCGAATCTCCCTCCATACCCCCAATCAATTCCTCCTGTCCAACCACCTCAGCCACCGCCTCCAACCGAGCCGCCCACTAGCGAGAACTCGGCGCCAACTCCTGCCACAGTCGTCGAGCTGCAGTCTCAACTACAGGAAACTCAAGTCTCTCTTGCCTCCTTTGTCGACAAGATCCGCGCCATGGAGGGTATGCTCTCTGAGCACGAAGCCATCAAGCGTGAAGTCAGCACCCTCCGCGAGCTAATGGAGGAGGAAAAACGCGAATTAGACAGCGTACGCGGCAGACGACGCTCAGGGACGCTGCGTGCCGAGGACCACGACGACAGCGAGTACGGCGGCGACGATGATGACGCGCGAAGTATCGCGACCGTCACGCCCCACGAGCTGGAACGCGTCGAGGAGGAGGACGAAGAGCAGCTGGCGGCGGAGGAAGAAGAAGAAGAGGAGCGGCGGCGGCGGAGAGATGAGCTGGGTCGACCGAGAACACCGGAGCCTACAGGGATGGGCATGGACGATGAGGACATCCATGGCAGATCCAAAATGCACCTTGACGTGCTCAATATGCACTCACGATCGCCGTCGCCCCCTCTACGAGAGCCGTTTGCTCTTCAGCCTTCGACGTCTTCCGTGTCCGAGGAGCGCCTCAATGCCCTCGCCTCTCAGCTCGAATCTGCGCTCGAGCTCTCGCGCACGCTCCAAGCCCAGCAGGCTGCCGCGCAGAGTACCATCTCCATGCTCGAATCCAAGGTCTCCTCGCTCGAGTCACTCGTCCAGGCGTCGCAGACCGATATACAGTCGCATGCCACCGAGGCAAGCCAAGAGCGTGCCTCGCTCACCTCGCTCATCGCTGAGTGGAAGAAGGATGTCGAGGGCCAGTGGAGCGGCGTCCGTGAGGAATGGGCTGAGGAGCGCGCGCGGATCAATAGGGCGCGTGAGGATTGGGAGGCGCGCGTGCGGGCTGCCGAGGAGGGGTTTGACGGCGCCGTCGCGAAGGTGGATGCCGGGCTCGCGACGCTGCAGCAACACCAGCTCAAGGCAAACGGGAACGCGCGCAACGGCGTCGGGCTCGTCACGCCTCCCAGTCCGCGCAGTATCTCGTCTGACTCGGGCAAGCGTCATCGGCGGAAACGGCCGGCGACCTCCCGGGGCCGATCGCGTTCGCACTCGGCCGAGTTGAATAAGGACGACGGTGGGTACGCGAGTTCGTCCGAGGGCGCGACACTGCTCGATGACAAGCGCCAGTCAGTATCCAAGGCACGCGCGCGCGTGCCTTGGGCGCAGGACGATTCGGACTCGGACGTGCGTCACGCAAGCGACGATGCGAGGATCATGTCCTTGAAGCACTATCCCATCACCCCAGAGTCGTCGGTCCGGAAGGCATCGACAGGATCCACGACGACGATGACGACGGAAGATGACGCCGCACACGCCTCGTCTGCCGCCGCCGCCAATCTGAAGGGCGCACACCTGGCGCCAGTGAGCTTTGTTCTCTTCGTTTTCGTGCGTTTGCTCACAGCACTGTGCCGACAGATGGTTCAACATTCAGCACAGATGTCGACAGCGGTGGGCGTGCTCATGCTCAGCGTCGCCGCCTTGGCGGTGCTATGGCGTGTCAAAGGAGAATAGTTACCGGGCAATTCTCACAGTTCTTTTATGATTCGACCCCTGCGCACGTCTGGCTCAGTGGCGATCCTGTCCCTCCTTTTCCCGCCCTCATGTTCCTCGCTGCTGCGCCGCCTGCTTTGTCGCTGTGTATGTCTCATTTTGCCTTCGTGTCGACCATATCTTCTCTCTATTTGTTTGATGGTGAATACCTTCGTCTGCACATTATGCCGCCTGCTGCCCTCCTCGCGTCTCTTGCCTCTTCTTGTCGCGTGTCTTTTCTTCTCGCTCATCTCTCTCGCTTTGCGCTGCCTCGTCTCTTATCTTATGATCTGTCACGACACTGCCCAATTAGCATCTGGAACCATGTGTTTATCCGGACTTGGATATGGTCGCCCTTGTGCGTTTGCCGATGTGGGTAATGCTTTAGACACAAATCCAATTTCGTTGAAGAGCGTCTATCGATCTAACCATACCGCGCGACATCCATGAGACAAGTGTGGCCTTTCTCGTAACGCTCGTGCACAAGATGTATTTATATTTATAGCTGCTCGCACTTCAACGATATTTGTATCTCTTCGTGAACCAAGAATAGTGCCATACTAGCTCTATGTGAGCTTTGCTTCCAAGTGCCGTTACGAAAATGCTGTGTTGAGGAAGATTCGGAAGCGAAACACAGAGACACAGCACCTTTGCGCACGGAACCTGGTGACGCGCGGTGGTGTCTGTGCCGTCCCAACGCGGATCCTCTGCCGTCCTGTGGCGCATTCGATGACGTGCCCTGGCGTGCCCTGGACCTCGACGCAAGAATCCAGGGAAAGTGGGCGTGCCGAACCTGGGCAGGACAAATTTCTGGAGGCTATGAGAGAAGCGCTCGCTCCCACACTGCATGCGCGCAAAATAAGACGACAGTTCCTGCGGAAGTGGTCATGAACCCTCCTGTGGTAGACGTCACGTTGCGCAAGAGAGGCGATCGATGGTCATTATTGTGCGCGAGCGGACTTGAACGGCGGACCTAAATGCTCTGCAAAGGCACTTGGGTATGCGCGGAAGCTTCAAAGGACAGACAGCAGGGACAGGAGGCCAGAGGAGCGGGGCACGGACCTTGTGAAGAAACATTTGAGGTGGGACCCACGTGTGCAGGAAGGGCGGATGGAAGGGGACGAGCGCGGCTGTCAAGTGATCACGCTACATTGCAGAACGCAGACGCAATTGGCGAACGGGCTGTCGACAGAGAAAGGACATGAGCCGAGCTGCCGCGCACCCAAAAGGTCCTCCTGTCCATGCTTTCGACAAGCCCTGCCCTTCCCTGTCGCCTCGCTGCCACGACGCCTTCCATCCCCTCCCCCGCCGCTTTTCTCAGCAGACACAGCCCGTGGCCGCCCACTTACAAACACATGGCTGACCGAGAGTCCTCGCCAACATCGCGCAACAAGGTCGCAGAGCAGATCACCGCACTCGGGGCGCGGCTGAGCAGAGTGTTGTCGGGCGACAGCATGCACTCGACCGAGACGGGGCGGACCGCGGTGACGCGGGAGAGCAAGGAGCCAGGTATGGCAGCTCTTATAGATTGAAGGGGAACGGCTTCTCTTTCGTCATCATGCTTTCCACTCTGTCCTTATCTACACTCCTCTTATCGCTCCCTCGCCATCCCCGCGGCTCAGATCTTACTACGTCTGCGAGCCTGCGCTGACCAGCTGTTTGTGCTCCTACAAGTGGACACTTCAAGTCTCGCCAAAGAGCGTTCCGTCTCGAGGGGCCGTGAATTTGTATGGTCCATCCACGTTTACACCCGGCATGTCACGTTCACGGTATCTTTTACAGCGTTCGTCCGGGCGAGGAGGCGCCGGAAACATTCGCCCTTCCTCTATTTCCCATGAATATTCATCTGCCCGCCTTGATGGTCCAAACGACTTCTCTGTGACGAGAGGGAGGGAACCACGTCCCTCTGTCGTCGCTGATCAGGTCTGTCGTTCTTCCCATCAGCTCTTGTCCTATATTCATCGTTCGACCTTTCAGGTGGTATCCACCGGCCGTGGAGGAGTCGGCAACATACGCTCTCCATCTCGAGATATCACAGTCGATGGCCTAGCGCGCCCACTATGTGCGGAGAACGGTATCAAACAAACAGAGTATGAAGACACCTTGATTCGCAGCAGCGACGAAGCCCGCACCTCTGGACCTGTAAGTTCACGACTGTTTCGCAGTGCTTCCTCAAACACTGACAACATGCCATCATCTGCTCTAGCACTCATCGGGCCGTGGCGGTGTCGGCAACATCACTCGTTCTCCAGTGCATGCTCAGCCTCAGCCACAGCCTCGATCGCGCTCCCGTTCGTGCGGGCCGCAGGCCTCGCCCACATTGAAAGTGGCTAGTCCCACCTTGCTGGGAGATGTCTCGGAGACCATAAAATAATCGCACCGAGCCTCGAAAGCTATTATCGGCACGCAGAGTCAATTTTTCCCTCGACAACATGTATTACTCAAAAGGAGATCTATAGCATGAAGTTCACGAGGTTCAGCTGTACGATAACATGCGCTGATGCGGAACACTGTATTAATCTAGTTTTCACTAATTCATTCACATCTCCCTGCTCAGAAACTAGTGGACTTGACTTGCCCTCGGTGACATAACCGGCGGTGGCATTGAGACGGCGAATCGAGGAAGGCCTCATGGAAAACCACTTGAATGAGATTAGAGTGGTCTTTAGTAACAGCATAGGCCTTATACCCGTAGACTTGTTGTGTAGGTTTATCTTGTTTCTTTTCTTCCTCCTTTGTGCAACTCACAGCCTTGATGTCCAGGTCCCAGCCTCAGCCCACTCTCTGTGGACGTCGCTTCATTGGCCCTCGATGTCCTTCTGCCACTTGGCAATGAGCAAGATAAGTGAGGCATGCGAATGGATCTCGGTCTGGGACGCCTGAACGAGCGACTCGAGCAAGGACACCTTGCACTCGAGAATGGAGATCGTGCTCTGCGCGGCAGCCTGCTGGACTTAGAGCGGGCGGGAGGACTCGAGCGCACGAGTACGACGGAGTGCTCCTCGGGCACAGTGGGAGGCGATTTTGAGGTGCGAACAGCTCTCGTAGAGGGTGACGGCAATCGTGAGCGAATGTTAAACACGTTGGGTTGCATTTATAAATCTGCGATGGGCGTTTTTGTCATCCATGCCTGACCCGGAGGACAAAGGGCCGATCCCCCGCCATGTGCAGAAGCAAAGGAAACTCCTGTGGGAGGGCCGTAGGGTCGTGTCACAGAAGCTGTTCATCTTACGAGCTCCTACATATCGGGCGCGCGAGGTAAGTCTTGCTTGGTGCTTTTATCACACACTTGGTCAATAGCTTGGCAGGTTAATGAGGTCCTACGGGGGGTTGATGCAGTCGTCAGGAGCAATGCAAGTGTTCTTGTGCATGTATAAGGAAGCTCAAGGGAAAAATAATTACCCACCAGTCAAAAGAGAGTGAGCGCTGATGCGCTTGCGATGGCTCTGCGTGCGAAAACACAACACAAAACACACCACTAAACACAGGGTGTTAGAGTTTACGAGGCCGACTAATAGAAGCGCGAGCAAACGAATGACTCAGTGCGTGTAGACAACGACTGATATATATAACAAGTACCTAATAGAAGCGCGAGCAAACGAATGACTACGGTAAGTCAGTAAAAGATCTACGAAAGTGTGAATGGTATAGTAGCTTACCTCAGTGCGTGTAGACAACGACTGAGGTGCTCGATAACAACAAACGTATGGTAACGATAGTGTGTTCGGAGTGTGAATAGGAACTGTATAGTACCAAGGCATCAACTCCGCAAGGTAACATGTCCGAGTGAGTCCATAAAAGGAAACTGGTAACATATTATGTAATAGTCCGTTTGAAGTCAAAACATACCGCTGTGCCTTCGTGCACGTTTGTCGCTGCAGTAAATCTCGACACAGGGTAGGCGGGGAGCTGACTTTACTACAAATATCGGGGGACCCTTGTGAGTTGCGGGACGGGGCGCGATATACGTACTACGAGATATCGAGATATCTAGCGAGGTGATGCAAGGTCACGCGAGAATACTCTCGTGTGAAACGAAGTGGTGGACCTTGGGCCAAGGCGCGAGTGACCGAGGCAACTTCAAGGGCAGCGACGAAGGCCCTGACAATAGCGGCGATGAAGGTGACGAGTGCTAAGGCGAGCGCGTGCGATATCAGGGCAATGCGATACGAGCGAGATCTTCGTGCGAAGTTGAGCTCTAAACAGAGGGGTGTTCGAAACTGGTATATTGCAGTGTCGTAGGCAGATATTTATAGTAAGTCGAAGTGAGTATAGTAAATGCGAACTCGTAAGGTAAAGTAAATCGATATCGCGCCAAGACCGTAACATAGAAAGATAAAGAGAAGACCACGCGCAGAGGTGCTCGCAGACCGCGAGGTTCTGTCGTGCCGCGGTTGCGAGACAAAGCGATATTTAGTAAAGAGGTGTAGCGGTGAGACGAGGTAAACTCTAGGAAGGTGGAGGGGCAATGGATCACGGGACCTGTACTACCCAATAAGCGCACGCGATAAAGCTCTCTGCGATATCGCGTCGCGGAGCTGCTTGTGGTGCGGTCCGTGCGGTCGATGCTTGCGAGGCGTATGGCGAGAGCTTGGCGAGGTCTTTGCGGGTGTAGCAGGCTCGAGGTCGTCGTGCGATACGCGTGGGGGCTGAGTGAGATGATGCGAGGCGATGACTGGGGGGGTGTGAGACAAGACCGCGTCGGCCCGATACCGTAATGCTGAGGTCGTAGTGGGCATCGGAGGGATCGCTCTGGGCGGCGGGGCCACAAGGCAGTCTCTGGGGTATCTCCTGAGGTCAGCATGCTCGTGCTCGTAGAACTGCGAAAAACGGGGTCCCGGCGCTTAGAGGGGTGGCGCGCTCATCAGCGCAAAGATCCTGCATGCAAAGATAGACCCAGAATGGCTTGTAAGCTATCCTGACAGCGACACCCCTCTCCGCATAGCTGACTTTGAAGTTCAAGATGTCCTACGGGCTGAAGGAGAAGATGAAGAAGGTGACGTGCACATAGAGGGAATGGACAATGAGGAGCTCTATGGAGAATACCCTGCAGAGGAAGATTAGAGGGAAGAGGGAGCTCTCTGGCAGATAGATCCATACTTTTACTAGGGGAGATGTAATAATTTATGTTGTCAAAATCAAAGTCCTCGGGTTCTTGAGTCAATTAGGGAGGATGAAAATTAAGTGATGAGCAAGTAGTCTTAAGAGTGCTCACATGATCTAGCGAGATGGTGGCCCACACTCTACGCTTGTCAGGGAGGGGAATCTCTGTGAGGGCAGAATGCCCACACAGCCAATGTGGTTCGATAATCTCGGGCTCAGAGAATTTATTGAAATTCCAAGTCCTGATCCCTAGGTCTGTTTCCCTGGCACGATTGAGTGATATGCACATAATATGAAAATGATGAAACTCACTTACCAGTCAGACCATGGCATAGCCGGCAGATCATTCCTCTTGAAATGCACAATGATTATGAGGGTTGTTGATAGTGGAGGGAGGGTGACATTGTGGCAGTCGTGTTGCACATGGAAAATGCTGTGGATACGCACCGCTTGCCGGCCCTCAATGAAAGCATACAAGGTGCCTTTCCCTTAATAGGAGATACACATACCAAATTGTGTACCATTGACCAAGAGGTGCAAGAAAGAGGTGGTTGTCATACCTATAAAAGGCTCACCAGAATGCCAGTCATCTGTATTAGAGACAAGATTCACCTGAGATCTCCAGACCATCCACAAGTATGCAAAGATGAGGCAATAGACGTCGGTGCGGTCAATGTCAATTAATTTCAGGTCTGCACAGGTTCCTTGCCGAGGAAGCTCAATTGTGTAAGAATCTAGAGTTCAAAAAATGAATTAGCAATGTTTTATGCCACACAGCAGCCGACCTGTTGATTCCTGCTAGTATCTGCAACTTGCAATCATGCTAAGCAGAGATCCTCTCATACAATGCTTCTTGTGATTCCCCTTGAGGTGATTCCAAAGGTTCTCGATTGCTACCAAGTTGTCTGCAGTTTTGTTGTTGAGGTCCTCAAGAGAGCATATCTATAGATCCTTATAAGCAAACTAACCTAATCTGCATACTGAAAGGAATACACTTACCAAATCATGGATCAGGATGTTCTTGATCCAGCTCCACATCATGGTGGATTCAAGCTCTCCCCTAGTATGTCTGTTGGTGTTGACTTTGACGAGTCATCCATTGTTTGGCCTCAGGTCCAAACAACCAGAAGCCGTAAACAGGGCCTAGATGATAAATAAACAAATCCCTGTGTGTGAGGAGATGAAAATTTGGGGGTTAGATGACAATGCATGAGTGACCATGCCTGACAGGCACGCACATAAAGTTCTTGAGCCCACCAAGCTTCGTCCAGCATAATGGACTATGCATCCAGATCCGAATGGCGGCGCACACACCAAGAACTGCCTTGAAGTGCTGTTGATAATTCCAATCCATGGATAAGTTGTCCATGGGAAGGCTTTTGAGATCTAGGTCCTCACCAGGCTGTTGGGAAAGGTGAGCACAATATGCTCTCCGACATTTTCGCAGGAGTCTCTCTGTCTTGTAGAACACAGCTCCGGCATTTGTCCTTAGGCTTGCTTTAGGGGAATCACAATCAGGAATCTCTCCGTTGTGCTCCCACATACAATACAATGTGACGGGCAGTACAGTCGCCAAGTTGCACTATTGCTCAGCCTTCAAAGAACCTGAGATCTGTACCAAGAATAGGTAAGATTTTCTCTTCGCATGATGAGGGAACTAGAACCTTAGACGGCACTCAACCAATCGTAGATGGCCACCAGATGGAGCCCAGGAACTTCTCCAGCTTCTTCCATGGGTCGTTGGTCCGACTCCAATGCATCAGCATCCCACCAACCACTATTATCTGCTGTATGATATGCTTGACCTCCCCTAGAAGTTCCCTGGCATGTTCAGTAATGATGGACATCAAACAATGGTAGAAAAGAAATCTTACCAAGAAAGACAGCGTGCATAAAATCTACAGGTGAATCACATGCTAGCATCCATCCAGGGAGCGCAGTGAGGTTTGACCAGCTAACTGCATGCTGCTCCTCGATTCACTCACATTCCTGAGGACTGGCATTTTTCCACAAGTAAGCATGCTTGACAAAGCAGTACAGTAGCGTTTCTTGGGCCAAGAAACACTTGGATCTGGGATTGTTGAGAATGGTGACATAGATGGTGCTGGTGGAGTACGCATGTGAGCACTTTGTTGGTGAGAACCTGGAGAAAACTAATCAACAAATAGGATGAAGGGGAACTCGCGTGGACATACCAGTCGATGTTGATGGAGAACAGCAAACCACACGGTAAGGATATGAACCGCTGCCATTTCTCCTCTACTAACACATCCTCAACACCCCATGTAGACACGGCGCTAGTGACCTGTCGTCATTCGAGGCCCCAAGACACAACCCACCAGCGCCAGCCATCGCTTATGTCGCCAAGAACCTCAGGGAGATTTTCATACGCATTGAGGGGCTCGGCCAGTTGATTGATGGGCTCAGCCTTGCCGGCGTCGTCTGCTCCTGGTCTCCTCCAATGTTGAAATTCTTGGTACTTGCTAGGGCGAAGCAGAAATTGTTGGAGCATGGGCTTGATGGGCACGGTTGGAAGGACTTTATGGGGCATTCTTTTGTGGCTGCCATCAGTGAGTACCTTGGCATCATATAGAAGGCCCGAGCACTCAGAATTGTAGCAAAAGGGACTCTTGAGTTCATACAAAGTGTTCAGCGCATGTCATGCCCAGCAAATGTCACAGAGAAAATAGTATACCATGTATTCATTGGCATCGATACGCAGCCGTCGTTTTGCAGTCAAGAGTGTCCACGCCATAGTGTCGAGACCAGGCATCTCAAGCTCAGTCCTCCTTCACATAGACAGTAGCGTCTCGTGCTCAGCATCCAAGTAGGCCTTTATGGCTTCTTGCATGGATCCATGACATGCAGCAAGGAGATATGCCATGATGTAGGCATTGCAAATGGCAGGATCTTCGTCGAATGCCGGGGGGTTTGAGTCGTCATCGTTGAGATGCTCCAAGCCTGAGTCTAAGAGACACTCGAATAGTTCCCTGCTAGTCTGATACTGAGGGTCATTTTCGAGCTTGGGTATTGGCTCCTCATTTTCAGAAAGGGATAGAGTGGGCTCTGGAGTGCCAAGAAGCCCACGGGGGTCTAAATCTGAGTCAGATGCCAATGGAGCAAGTGAGCAAGTACCAGAGCGAGAGAAATGACCAGCGTCGTCGTTGTCTAAGAGAGATGCATTGTCATCTAGAGTGGATGCATTGTCATCTAGGGTGGATGCATTGTCGTCGTCAAGCCGCGAGGGTGATGGGAACATGCTGGGCAGTGCATGTGGGTCAGTACCGGCATATATGCATGCTCCTTCATCCTCATTATCAAGAAAATCTGTTCAAATGTGAGCATTGATGAAAATGAAGAGACAGAAACATTTGTTGAGGAGGAGAAAACCCACCGAGGGTGGTCCATGTCTCACCTCCCTCATATGCCCCGAAATCTTCCTGCCTCGCCTCTAGATGAGCGGGGGCCTCTGATTCTTCGCATCCTCGCTTCTGAGGGACAATAGATGTGGCGGATGTATACCCTTGTACATCGTGTTGAAGGATCGTTTGTCGTTGGAGGTGTCAGTGGATCGTACGGTGGAGCTGGTGTATTGGTGGATTGTGCGTGCTGCACTATTCACAAGGGCAGGGGTCATATCAGGTGTCTGCTTCTCTCCAGCCTGTATGCATATGTGAAAAAACGAGGGTTTATTGAGGGATAATGAGGTACAGGCAACGAGGAAATGACTAGCGTAGGACGACTTGGAAGAAATTTCGAGGCGTCCAATGACGCGCCCCTGTCACGTGTCTGTAGAAAAAAGATTAGTCAGCTGTCACTTTGGTTCGACATCGGGATATTTGGGATATATTGCGTAGATGAGATATTGCGGATATATTTCAGATATATTTGCTATATATCTGCAACATCCCCTGGGAAAAATTCGGGGTGATGTCCGGTGGACAGGGAGGGGAGAAGAGATGGGGAGGGGGGAAGAGACAGAGAGGGGGGAGGAGATGGGGAGGGGATTTGGACAGGGGGAATTGACGGTGGGGCCAACGCGATCTCTTCTCCATGCGGCCTAATCCACGTTATCTATCACAAGCCATTAGTGAAAGGAAATTGTAAAGAATTGAATCAGCACATACAACCTCTCCATCGAACCCTTCCTCAATGTAGTCCCTGACAGTGAGATCGGCTCTCGGTAATATCACTGTCGGGACTCTATCTCTCACATCGAGCACAAAGAATTTGTACGTCCTCTGACCGATGCTAACCCTATACACTTCCCTGTCCGCCGCTATTGCTAGGGTGCACACACGATGGATAACGTGCGTAACCGAATCGCTCGCAAACCATAACGTTTCGCTCTCCGGCGAGAAAGACCGACCCCCATCGGAAGTAGTCATATGCCAAATTTTAACACTTTCTTCGTGCATGAAGAGGCAGTTTTTGATGTAGTGTGTGACAGGGAGGTCGCGCAGGTGGGCCATGGGAACCCCAGTGCCCACGGAGGTTGAGTTTATCGATCCTCGGCGCTTGGCCGAGGTGACTGACTCGTCAATCGATCGATTCATGTGAATTTTGCGCCCTGTGACCGAGCGCTATCTCGCAAATGACGTTCAGCTCTGCCATAGACACTGCCGGGGTGTGTCCCCGGTGGAACTCGCCTCCTTGTCGGTCTCAAACACAGTCCTCCAGGAACCTGTCACCGAGCAATTTCGACCCGAGCACTTTAGCAGAGCTCCTGAGCGTGCGTGCACCAACACCTCAGCCGCCTTTCACGTTTAAAACTCACGCACTATTCTGCTTTGCAGAGCCTGCCGCGATGTCATTCCCGCAGGACATCCCCAACGTCTCGTCCTTGCCGCGCTCCCTGATCACAGACCACGACGGCTCGCCCACGCGCTACCGGAACGCATCCATCGATAGCGACCGCGCCTCCCATGTGCGCTACTCCCCGACCCCTCATGCAACTACAACCCCCTCGACCCCGACGTCCGCGAGCGCCAGCACACCCTCGACGTTGACACGGCCCTCCACCTATCCCTCGCCCGTCGCGAGTCCATTCTTACCTCCCCCGTCACATCCACCCTCTCCCCCCGCGACCGCGAGCATGAAGACGCCCGCGGCCGTGGCCCCGACACCTCCGGCATATTCCCCAGTCTCTCCCTCGCCCGCGGCGCGCCCCCGAGGACATATCGACGAGGCCGGCGGGGCCCACCAGCGCACCCTGACCCCAGAGGACCTCCGCATGCGCCACCTCAGCCAGGACCACAACCCGTCTCTCCTTGTCTCCCTCGACCATGACCGCCGCTCCGACCTCGCCCTCCCCATGTACCAGGCCGCGCTCATTCAGGACCACTCCGATTCCAACTTTGGCCCCACAGAAGAATTTGCCGCCGAGAAGGCGCGCCTCGGGCTCTCGGACTCTTCCCAGAACGGCATCCGCCGCTCATCCGTCACGGCGCATCGCAGGGGAACACGCCTGAGGGCGCAGCGGAGGGTAGCGCGGGCTTGCCTGACTCGCTGTTCCCCCTCCGCCGCTCGGCGCGCCAGCGCAAGCTCAGCCACAGCAACGCCGCGCCGCGTCGCCAGGGCCGCAAGATGGCGCTCCTCGAGGGCTCAGCGGGCGCCTCGCCCGCATCGCTCGCGCGCACGACGCACCCCTGCGTGAGCGGCGTCCCCGCTCTCGTCCAAGGAGCACCTCCCGGCAGCGTTGCCCCCGACGGACGCGGGCCACGACAGACCATACCTCTTCTCGCTCTACTCGAACGGCCTCTCTGCGACGATCTACGCGCGCATCCTCAGCGAGCCCCCGGATGAGGGCCAGATGTTTGAGGATCTGTTCGGTGTCGCGTCGGGCCTGGGCGCGAGGGGTTGTGCGATGTCACGGGGGTGAAGAAGTCCATTGGGATGAGCTTTGTGTCCTGGTACAGCAGCTGGCAGAGTGAGCGTTGCCCCATCGTGGCCTCCGTACCCCAGACAATCGGCTGCGGCATGTGCAGCGCAGTCAGCCTGGACAGTAGAGGGCGGGCTGAGAGAACAGAGATACACGCCGGTCTGATAGTCGACGCGCTTGACACCCTTGGTGATGAATTGCTGTTAGACTCCATGTCACCTTGCTGGGAGTAGTCCGTGGGTGGTCCGCGAGCTTGTACATGTACTGGTCGTATGGGAGCAGTGCGTGAATTGGGCGCCTGCAGGCACAGAGAGCCGGAAAGGGCGAGTGATAGAAAACAGAGTGACCAGGAGTCAGCAGAGTTAGACGAAGGAAGAAGGGAGGCTGAGTGTCTGGGAAAGGGACGTGCATGCGTAGAGTGGAGGGCAGAGACGTCGAGAGAGGGGCAGCAAGGAGGAGAACGAGAGGTACGCACCTTTGTACTACTCTGCGTGCTCATCGAGTGCACGTTTGTCGTGGACGTCCCCATTGTCCGTGCTTGTCTCCTTTCCCAATCTGTCTCTCCGCTACGGCCGCTGCCGTGAAGAGCGAGGGCCGAGGAGGTCGGGAGGTCAAAGGGAAGAGGGGTCGAACATGTTTGAGGTCGAGCGGTTGCAAGGTATAGCGTGTGCGGGTTTGATGAGCCTAGAAGGGGAGAGGTTATAAGGATGTGAGGACGAGGGGTCCAGCTTGCAAGCCAATTCAGAAAAACACAGTGGATAGAACGTTAAGGCAATGGATGACAGTGCTTTCGAACATGCAAGCTTTCTCAGGGCCTCAGAGGAGGCCCATCGTCTGCTCGCAAAGTCGAGTGCATGAAAGAAGGAGTATTTTATAAAAAATACATAGACGTGCTCGCTTGAGGGGTGGGTGTCTTCTCAAGTTGATGGTTATAGGCTATTGCTCGCGCGGAGGGGCGTTTGGACGCAGTGTTAGGTTGTGGTTGGATGGAGAGCAGGCTAACCACGATCGGATCGACGCAGATCGACGTGCTTATAGAAAGGGCGCGCGTGTATCGAAAAAAGTAGCAACGAGTAAGGTACGTGTATAAGCGAGCAAAGAACGAGGAACCAAATTGCAGACAGACAAACCCCACTTTATCTCGAACGAAGGCGGTGTATCATCAACGGTACAGCGGTGGTGCATTTATCGGAGGCAGCTACGCTATTGGACAAATAAACAATATTGCGACATACACCATTCATCATCTCAATGCCGACTGAAACGCGCCAATCAGATAGTCATAATCAGGCTCTTCGGTAAACCCGAGGCCTCGTGCATAATCCAAAAGTAAAGCGAAGCAAGAAAAGGCCCCAAAAAGCTCTGAGTTACTGCACTCCTTCTTCATCCGAGCGATCTTCCTGTCTGCACCAAACAGGTTACACAGATGACTCCACGGGAGCGGTTTGGGATACCGAAGAGCATATGCCGCAGTGTATGCTAAAGATTCCAGATCATTGCGTCGAGACGGAGCTGTTTGATGGATGTCAGTGGCGTCACAAAGCCAGGAAACCGACACGTACTTTGTCCCAGTTGTATGTTGACAGATGAAAATTCCGAACTTAGATACAGAGTCCGACCGTCAACCTCTTGCCATTCCACATGACAGCCGTCCGAGTCAACATAGGGGACAGCGGACGCAAGGTCAAAGAGACACAGGGGGTGGTGTGGGCGCGCGTTCTTATATCCTATATTGAATGGCGTGATATCGCAGTGGACGAAGCCGTGCTCATGCAGTATCCGAAGGGGTGAGAGCTGCACAGAATCAGCTTACCGCTGATTGAACGTCGTTGTTATAGTGGAATAGAGGCACTTACTGTGAATGCAATCGCCGCCATTATATCTTCCGCGGGTAGCCGTATCCGTTTGAGCAGTGCAAAATCTAGAAACTTGTGTAGAGTGCACAAGAGGCGATCCATCACAAGAAGATGAACCCCATCCTGTGTGCCCGACCAGAGGACGGCCAAAAAACCTGGCTGAGGGCCAAGCTTTGCATAAACATCACCCTCTTGCGATGCTCCCGAATCAACAGGCGAGATTTTCACTGCGACCCAAGTCTCCAATTGGGTGTCCATCGCGAGACGAACGGAACCTGTGGGCTGAAGCGTCAGTGAAGACCGTTCAAATGCAATGGGCACACCTTGCCCTCCAGACTCCTCAAGATAACGAATGGAGTACCTATTGTTAATCAGGGTGAATGGCTTTATATAGAGCATGGCCTGGCAAACGATGTGGCAGGGTATATGGAATGGGATGATGCAGGTTAGCCTCGTGCTTACCAAGCGGAATAGGCCAAGCGGGCATTGAAAAGCCACGACGTGTTTTCGTTGGAGTCGTTACGGCCGGGCAAGCCGAGCTGGCTCTATACTGCCTGGCTCGCGCCAAATGTGAGTTTGACTGAGCCACACTGCGTGCACCGCACGGTTTTTCCCGGGATAAACCGTGGATAAAACCGTGGATATAAATAAAGTTTTTGTCCGGGTTTATCCACGGGAATTACCGAAACAAAAACTTAAAACTTATCCAAGGTTTTGTCCTGGGACAAAACTGTAACATAACCTTACGTTTAAGCTCAGACATTTTGTTTAAGTTTGTCCTACAGTCGTGGATAAGCAAAGTTGACAAAAAAGAAAAACAATTGTAGCGCCTGACATGCCTAAAATTTACAAAATCTGACTGCAGATTCAGACTCAAAAGGTCAAAAGATGTCTAAAAATGCCCTTTCTGGGATTTTCCCACGAGAAATTGGGACCCGCCAATTTTTTGGCAAATTTTTATGGGTGCTAGATGCCCCAAAAAAGATACATGTGACACCATGTGAAGTAAACTAGTAGAGAACTGCCTCGATGCTCATTATTGCACTTTGAGAAACAGTGCAATGACTTTTCTGCTTGCAAATAGCCCATTCCACTGCCTTTCGGGTGAACCCTCTGCAATATATATCTATAAAATGCCATGAGCGATTGAAGAAGCAGCAAATAACCTCAACAGGACAATTGTCGAGGCATTTAAGCACATGCTTCTTCACATGATCAAACCTCTCCTTATAGACCTCACAATACCAGTTTACTCATCATCTCCATTGGGTTGAGCTCACAATGGAATTTTGGGAGAAACATACAGATGTGACTGTAAGTGGTAATCTCCTGTTCAAGAAGGAAGACTTGATTCCTGACATTGGCCTGGTTTGAGAGAAGACAAGTCATGCAGCAATGCTTGTTCTCAATTGAGCACACTGGCGAGCACTTAGCCTATATGCACATCACTTTGACAATTTTTTTGGCAATAAAATATAGAAATTTTTAGCAATTTTTTGATGGATCCATATAGTACTTATTGAAAAGAGTCGATTGGTGTATTTTATGTGATTTATAGACCTTTTTTGTGGGGTCAGCCAATTTTTAGAGGTTTCTGGGTCAAAGAATTACTTTTTCTGGACTAACAGCTTATAGGATTTTACTCAAAATATTTCCACGACATCCACTCAAGCATTGCTATCAATTCTAGTATAACTGGGAAGCCCTAGAAATAGGTGTCGAAATTTATCAACTTTGCTTGTCCATGACTGTACAGTAAATCCTGGGATAAAACTCTGGATAACCTTTAACTCTTATGCCACAGGATTTATGTCACACATGAAAAATCACAGATAATACCATGAAAATTAGTGATTGATTCAGTGTTTATTACACAGCCCTTTGGGCACTGCCTGGCACCAAATGTTAGATAGCCTTTTTATTCACAATATCTCTTGACCAACCTCAACAAATATGGCCTTCTGCAAAGGCCACCTTGCTATAGAGAGTTTCTTTAAAAAACACAATGTGTAATTGTAAATACAAAGTGAAGCAGCATGGACAAAACTGGAAAAGTAACAAACAAGAACCATACTAGCAATCACAAATTATCAAGGCAATACAAAGGCTAGCTCATAGCTAAATTCATCATAATAGTGTCTAGTCTTAGAAAAATAGGGATTGTCAGTATCAGATCAAAAAATCAAAGAAAAAAATAGTAAGCTGTGCATATTGTCTGATCCTCTAATAATCTATTAACCACTGGAATAATTGTCTCTTGTAAGTGGCAGACACTGCAACAAACCACTGTTGCACCCTGCTCCAAGTGTCCAAAGCTGTGACAAACTATTATCGCACCCTATGACGAGTGTCCGATGCTATGACAAACCACTGTCGCACCCTGTGCCAAGTATCCAACACTGTGACAAGCCACTATCATACCCTGCACCAAGTGTCCAACACTATGACAAACCACTGTTGCACCTTGAGCCAAGTATCCAAAGCTATGACAAACTACTGTCACACTCTGAGCCAAGTGTCTAAAGCTATGATAAACCACTATTGTGTCCCATGACAAGTATCTGACACTATGACAAACCACTGTCACACCCCACAACAAGTGTCTGATGCTCGAGGAACAGCATGCAAGCATTGATCAAATGATTGCAAACAAGTCCACAGTCTATCTATATTTTTCAAGGTCAAGGCTGTGTATTCAATTTGTAGACTAGGGAGCACACAAATATGTATCAATATAGCTTCAAAAACTACTTAATTCATTTGCCATCAAAATCAAAAGTTTATACTATAGAGAAGTGTGGCATCAGACAATTTACAATTTGAGGCATAAAATGCATGAAAACAAATGCAAAGCTTTCTATGACAATGTTGAATGAGAATGTTGTCATCCAAGAGGGTAAAGCAGGCTGTTTGGCCAAAACAAAGAACACTATGCTCAAATTGACTGCAGATGCTCAGAAGTTAATTATCTTTGACTCTATCTTCAATGGCATACTTGCCTCTGCTCGACCATTACAACGATGACCTCAAGGCTGCCTTGGCTCACATCAGCCCCATTGCTCTTCCTACCGCAATGATCACAGATGACATCACATCTGCTCCAGATCAGTTTGTGTGACTCATACTTGCAGATTTTACTCCTATCCGGGCTGGCTGTTGTCCTCCCTCGTTGCAGCAATGATTGGTCAGTGAGAGCAGAGTCAGTGAAAGCAGAGTCAGTGGGATGCTCAACATATGCCAACAAAGTTCCCAGCTCAATAAAGGAACATGAAAAAGCAGGGCACTAAAATATAAGTGGGCAAAAAGCAGGAGATCAGATAGCACATGTTAACATACAAATGACAGAAGAGCATTGATAGCAAAAAAGGATCCCAAGAAACATAGCAACATGTGCACAACCATCGATCAAATGATTGCAAAAGAGTCCATGGTCCACCTATACTTTTTACAAAGTACCTTTCCAACACTATACAAAGTGCACAGTATGAGTGAGTGTGCATTAAGACTAAGTTTCACATACTGTCATCTGGAAAAACACCCCCTTGTATTAGCTCTGGATTATATCTAATAGTGTCTAAAAGTATCTAAAAGTGTTAATAGCATCTAAAAGTGTCTAATTTCCTAATTGGGAGCAACACATTGTGAGCATTAGATTAGTTTCTAATTTCATGATATTAGCACTAATTCTATACTAAGAAGTCTTTAATTATTAGTATAAAATAGTAATTACTACTGCTCTATCAGTAAGAAGGTAAAGATGTGGCACATTCTATACTATTTCAGCATATTACTCTCCTTTATATATGCCTATACCATTATCTTGTAGCTCTTTTGCTGACTTTCCAGCTACTTTTATAAGGGATATAGAAAGAGAGAAATGTGCATTGATGCCCCCAGCCACTTTGTTGGCAGCTTGGCAGCTGCCACAAGAGGCTATGAAGACCTAGGTACCTTGTCCTTGCACACAAGATCATTAAAATTGTCATTGTTAGCTAATGCCTGCTACTGGTCATTATAGGACACAACATGTGGGTTGGACTTAGGGATATGCTATATGCAGCCTTGTAGACCTTGTCTATTAGTACAGTGGCTAATACTGTCTTGTGCAGCACACAATCATCATCACTATTGATATTACAGTTTTTAGCACTATTTATATTGTTTATTGCCTTGTTATACAGAAGATGCTCAAACTTGGTGTTTTCCTTTAGCTATTAGGCTGTGGAAAAGACAGTCATATTGGTATGTGGTGCCAGAATAATATATTTGCCTGCCATATAGGAAATATATGCATTAAGCATATTAAGATCACCTCCAACAATCTTGTGCTTATTTATATATAGGCATGCCATACATATACTCTTGTCCCTACCCTCTACCTCACTAGTGGCTATTTGGAAAACCCCTCTCTCTTATTGGATCTTGATTATTCATAATCATGTTTTTGATCAAATTTGCAAATTCAGGTAGCATTGTCTATACTAGTAGAGTCCCATTGAATATTACACTCAATCATAGTTTTACACATTCTCAGTCCAAATTGTATAAGTGCCATAATTTATTTTTATCCTATATAAAGTGTATTATTTATTTTCCATTGGTTTATTATCTTCTTAGCTGGTGTTTAAACTAAATCCTGAAAGACCTGACTTTTTAGGTATTTATTGACCTATTTATTTATAAGATAGAGGAAAGATAAATGTTAAATAAAATCAGAAATATTGAGGTTGCTTATATTATGTCTACTTATTTAGATTACCAAGTTTGTATATTAGACCTTGTGGCTTAGTGGCTTAGAGCATCTGTCCCAGGTGCTTGCATATATGAGGTTGTTGGTTCAACTCTGGCAAAAGGCAAGTTTGTTATAAGGTATATTCTGTGTTTAGGTATTGAACTAGTGCTCTAATAGACATGACTTTATAAGAAGGCTATGAGAACTGTGATGCTTAATTTATTATGATTTTTCCGAAATTTCAAGTTATAATCAATCCTAATAATTCCTAATTTAGGAAAATTATGTCTAATTAGTACAGGTTTAGAGGGGGGGTAAGCTAAAAATGTCTAATTCTAATCGTTCTTAATTATGCATAAATAGAACTAATTAGAGCTTAATACAAAGGGGTGGTTTTCCAGATGCTGAAGATCCCAAATTTGGATTCACAGCGACATTTGACCTTGCAGCACTGACAGCAGGCCCCGACGTCTCGTCCATGACACATGTCCGATGCCTCGACACGGGTGCAAGTCACTACATGTTACCCTATTGAGAAGAATTCACAGACTTTGTCAGTATCCCATCCAAACTCATTTACGCAGCTGACAAATGTACCTTCATAGCAACTGGCCACGGAAATGTTACAGTCTTGCTCCCAAATGGGGATGACATGACCACCATGCAGCTGTCTAACGTGCTGTACACACCGTCAATTGCAATCACATTGATCTTGGCTAGTCGCATTGACAAGGCTGGATACTCTATTTATCTGAAAGGGGGGATCTGCAGGATCTCTAACCCCTCCAATCATATTGTCGCAAGAATTCCATGGTCAAACAACCTGTACAAAGTCATCAGTCAAAAAATTTTGAGAACTGCAGGTTCCACCAGAATCGCCGATGGCACCCCTCTGATACCACGTGGGGGGGACGAGGAAGCTCATGCCAACCTCGTGCTATCAGCGCAGGAACTACACCGTCGCCTGGGTCACATATCCCTGGACACAGCAAAGAGGCTGGTCAAGGAAAGAGTCATTGAAGGCATCACCCTCGACGCTCTCATCTCCGAAATGGAGCTTTGTACTGCCTGTGTGCAGGCAAAGATGACACAGGTCTCATTCCCAAAGGAATGCACCCGACCGCACGCAAAACGTTATGGTGAGCTCTTACACTCAGACTTGTGGGGCCCCGCACCTATCAATTCTCTTACTGGCTATCACTACGCGATGCCCATTATGGACAACTTCTCACAAGAGATTGTCCTGAAACTCTTATGCCCGAAGGATGAAGCCTTCAAGAATTATCTTCAACATGAGGCTTTCATGAAGGGCCATCGTGGCATCGTTTGGATCGGCATTCTACGCACCGACCGCGGTGGCGAGTACACCTCTGACACTTTTGAATCTCACCTCAGAGACAAGGGAACGGTTCATGAGAAGACTGTTCATGACTCGTCGGCACAAAATGGGACCACCGAGCGGTTCCTACGGACCGTTGTAGAATGCGGCCACGCATTGTTGATAGCATCAGGACTTCCAAGGTCCCTGTGGGGTGCAGCCATGTCATATGCCATCTGGTTGTGGAATCGGACCAGAACACGCATGCTTGAAGGCACAACGCCATACGAGAAGGTCCATGGCGCGAAGCCGGACCTGGGTGGACTCCACAAGTGGGGGTGCCGAGTATGGGTGAAAATAGAGGGGCAGAGCAAGCTCGACATGCAAGCTGACGAAGGACGCTTCGTCGGCTATAGTGCTGAAAGCAAGGGGATACTGGTGTACTGGCCGACAAAACGGAAGGTCAGCATTGAGCGCAACGTGCACTGGGACAACTCACTGGTACCAGACGTCATTATCAACGATAACAACAGCCCAAACGACAACGCACGGACACCGGTGCACTCTGCAAAGGGTGCAGGTTGCGCAAGTACACCTGGCACCCCAGACATGACGCCATCGAATGCTGTTGATGCGTCGCAGCTCAAAACCGAGTCGCGCAGGCCTACAAGCATCCCAGGAGGTCAGCAGGATGACGCGGTGCCAGCGCAACTCGACGCAAGCGCAACGAGAGGTCAAAACCTACCTATAACCCCGGATTACATCCCCAAGTGCTCCGATTCTCCTCCCAGCGTCAAAACGACGTGTCCCCGTCATACTCCCAAGCCTTCTGAGTACATCCGATGCCTTGAACGAGGCGAAGGAATGACGACAGGCAGCGCATGAGCACCAGCTGTCCCTCGCGGCATGCGAGCATCCAAGGACCCCAAACCAGACCTTGAGTCGAATCCTGTCGACAGTGCGCAGGTAGTGGCCATGGAGTCTTTCCTAGCCAATGAAGAGGCCAATGAAGAGGTCCTGGAGGAGGTAGAGATGCTAGGGAGGAAGTGGGAAGGAATAGAGTGGGCAATAGCAGCGGAAGCAACCAAGGGGATGGAACCCCACACCGTGGAAGCGGCTCAGAAATGACCGGACTGGCCGCAATGGGATGCGGCAATTCAAGACAAACTTGACCGCCTTGCAAAGCTCAACACCTAGGAGCTCGTCGACAGGCCCTTGAACACCAACGTTGTTGGCTCCAAGTGGGTCTTCAAGTTCAAGCGGGGCACGGCCGGCGAAATCACACGCTACAAAGCGCAGCTCGTTGCACAGGGTTTCATGCAGGTCCCCAGCATCGATTATGGAGACACGTTTGCACCAGTTGCAAAACTTACCTCCATTCAGATTCTACTTGCTCTTGCAGCTTGCTTTGACTGGGAGATTCATCAGATGGATGTAAAGAATGCATTCCTTAATGGAAACCTCGAGGAAGAGATCTTTATGAAGCAACCCCTGGGTTTCTCAGTGCCTGGCCTCGAAGAGAAGGTCTGTCACTTATTCAAGACAATCTATGGCTTGAAGCAATCCTCTCGGCGCTGGTATAAGAAGCTCTACAACGTGTTCCTCAACATGGGCTTTACGGTCTGTGCTGTCAAACACAGCATCTTCTACAAGTGTGATGACGAGGGTGTTTCCATCATTGCTGTCTCTGTCAACAACCTCGCTCTCTTTGCTAGTTCCTTGGCTGCCATCTTAGCTATGAAGAAAGCCCTCAATTGGGCCTTCAAGATGACAGATCTTGGCAAGATTCACTATTTGCTTGGTATCGAGATCAAGCGTGATCATAGGGCGCGGACTATTTCCCTGTCTCAGCATGCATACATCGACACAATTCTCTCACGCTTTAATCTCGAGACTGCAAATTTACTCTCCACTCCCACCGACCCAAATGCACACCTCACAATGATGTAATCCCCATCCACTCTGCAGCAGTTCTCCGGGATGCGCAATGTTCCATACCAGGAACTTATTGGATCTGCCATGTATGCTGCCATTGCTGCTCAACCCGATATCTGTTTTGCAGTGTCATATCTTTCACAGTTCATGCAGAATCCTGGATGTGCTCACTGGGAAGCCGCAAAGCGATTGCTGAGGTATTTGAAGGGCACACAAGAGTTATGGCCAACTTTTGGGAAGGAGCAGCGGGGGATTGAGGGATTCTCAGATGCTGATCATGGGGGTCAGGAGCACAGATGCTCAATCTTGGGTTATGTTTTTCTGTTCGATGGTGGCGCTATGTCTTGGTCTTCCAAGAAGCAGTCAATTGTTGCTCAGTCTAGCACCGAGGCGGAGTATGTCGCGCTCGCTCACGCAACAAAGGAAGCATTGTGGATCCATATGTTCTTAGGCAACATCTTCTCCCCTCTCACCACACCTACCATTCTCTATGGCGATAATCAATCCACCATTGCCCTTGCCAAGAATGATGCCTTCCATTCTCACACGAAGCACATTGACATCCACTATCATTTTATCTGCGACATTATCAAGAAGAACTTCATTGAGCTATGCTACTGTCCTACTGGCGAGATGGTGGCTGACGGATTTATTAAACTGCTGGCTCAACAGAAGATTGAGAAGATGATAGAGCTTATTGGACTTTACTTCAGGAGATTTAAGGGGGTGTGTTGGACTGAAGCAAATCGCCTTCATCATCTCTTTCTTATGATTTACTTATTGCTTACTTACTTGATGAGCTTGGAGATTGCCGAAGTACTATATAGTTCTCAGCCACTGCGCTTGTAGTTACTGACGCCTTCGGTGTCAGGCTTCCCTCAGTGATCTACACAGATGCTGAGGTGAGCCCGCTTCTTCTTAAGACATAGATGTCACTTTTACTTACACTTCTATCATGTAGTAATACTTCTAGGTACTTACCGATTAAATATATAGTAATCTACACAGATGCTGAGTAATACTTCTAGCCCATATCTCAACACTTCTCCCTTGCCATTTTGTTCCCTCAGTTCTCTCTTTGCAAGACTGAGGTTAGTTTAATATTTCTTACTTCACACATCACACAAGCTAATAGTCCCTGTAGAATACATTCTTATTGTGTCCTTACAGGTTAGCTTACTTACTTACTTACCCCTCAGTTCTCTCTTCACAAGATGAAAATACATTTCTACTGTGTCCTTACAGCCTTGACTGAGCACCCAAGATGGTCCCTATGTCCGACAATAGTAAGAGTCCATTGAGGGGCCCATTCCTCAGCTAGGTGGGATGCTTTTAGAAAATGCCAAGCTGATGTTGTCTCCTTGAGTTGTCTCTAATTCTGCACATCTTTCACTCACCTCCCTTTTTGAAAGCTTGAAACCTGAGCTCAAAATTTATAAACCAGCTTCCAACTCTCAAAATTATGGCAATGCACTTTTATCCAAAATAAGTATATAAGTGAGTACATACATAGCCTGTTTAGCAGCCATAATATAAGAATGGTAAGAGTTGACATTGATCTTCTCACTTGATGAAACTCCATGATTTATGTTGTCAGTCAAAGAATATTCTAGCTTCCGAACAATGTCTCTTCATTCACATAGTACCCATGGAGTCGAATATGCACAGCCATCTAACTAGGGTAGCAGATGATCACTATAAGTATAGTTTTCAGCATGTGTAGTACAACACCACATAAGGCTTCACTCATCATTCGTTCTATGCCCAGAAGAAATTCGAAGTCACGGTGTCCGCAAGAGAGCTAGCCGGAAGATGCGGAAACGCCAAAAACAAGTTGTAGACTAAGTTGCAGCAACGCCTCAGTGACTCTACGAGGTCGATGGGTATGCGCCTGGTCATATTTATCCAGCTTCAAAAACATCATTTGACCGTGTACCCTCCGATTGGCGGGGAGCATATCAACGGAAGACGGCAAAGTCACTTTGATTGAGACTTTGAATCTGACGTTACTATCTGAATCCTTGGACGCGGGTCGGCAAGCCTCGCGCACAGTTAGAGGAGAGCTGTAGATATGGTTCCGTATCTGATTCTGTTTTGTGCATTGAACTGTTTTTTCACATTGTATATATCAGGTGTTCAAGAAACGAACCAAGGTGTCTATCGCGAACTTGATTCTGACCTGTTTCATCTGTCCAAGTCATCGGAGCGGTGACTCGACAATCTGTTGTGGGCCTCACAATGCCCATCTGTGCACGCCTACCAAGAGCCACAATGCGGATGACAGACCCTTTCCAGAAAGTAATATGCTCGTCCGCGTCATCAATAAACTTCAGCACGTCCTTCCTCACCCATCGAAGCCATCCATAATCTACTCGGTTGGCGAGGCCGGCTTACTCAGTGGGTTCAGCTCGCTCAGTCAGCCAACGGCGCTGGACCATTTATACGACAATCTGAACGGCGTACTGTTCATCGTTTGGAAATTTTCACATCATGGCCGCGAACAACCACAGCGCGATAGGACTAATAGGCTCCAGCATCGCATCGCAACTGGCCTCTTTTTCACGCCCGACGCCACGACCGGGACCCGGGCAAGTGTTGGCCAAGACACTGCTCGTAGGACATACGCCCCTGTCACAGTGGCAGGTCGACTTTCGATTGTTCGTCGGAGAGGAAGACCACGTGCTAGGCGGGAACGTGGTCGGGGAGATCCTCGAAGTCGGAGCGGGCGTGCGGGAGGAGCTTCGAGTCGGCAGTATCGTAAGCATGTCCAACGCTGGCGCGGTGGAAAGACTGAGTATAGAGCTGAAGCCCACGCGCGCTAGATCATGGGGTTCCAATTCGCCCTGCCCGACGAGAGGCCGAATCAGGAGCTCGTGCTCGTCAACCAGCACAATGCCTGCCTTGTGCGTCGCGCCGCGTCGTGATCTCTCCCCGTGCACGCGCTGACCATCCGAATCCAGGTCCCTGGCAATATCTCTCTTCATGAAGCAGCTACCGTACCGGACAACTTCGTCACCGCGTACCACTCTCTGATCACAGAGCTCGGCGTCCCGCTTCCGCTGTCCTTCCCGTCGCCTGCGGCTCCACCCAACCCAGGACTGTGCATCCTCATATGGGGCGGGGCGTCCACGAGCGGCATGTTTGCTATCCAGGCAAGCCCCTCACCCTTTGGTAATAACACGCATCCGGCATGTGCTGAGACCACGGCCACCGTTGTCAGATTCTGCGCGCGGCGGGGTACACGAACATTCTGAGCGTCTCGTCCGCGCGGCACTTTCCCCTCCTCGCGTCCTTTGGCGCGAGCGCGACGTATGACTACGCGTCTCCGGATATCGCGCGCACGCTCTCCGCGCTCGACATCGACGTCGCACTCGACTGCGTCGGCGACGAGGCGACGACCGTGCGTCCGATCGCCGCCGTCGTGAAGCGCGGCGCGAGGGTCGGCGTGCTGCTCCCCGTGAGGAGAGGCGGGTACGGGAGCACGGAGGGCGTCACCATGGACATCGACGTGCCGTTCGCGGATGGGGTGCGGGTGGCGGGCATCCGGACACATTTTTATCAGAGGGTGCGTCACAGACTCTGCTCGACGCGCCACGAACGGGAGCCTGATCGCGACCGCGTCGCGTCGCTGTTCCAGAACGAGGACATGAAGAATCTGCTCCAGCCTAAGATCATGAACCAGATGGTCGCGCTGGGGCTCGTCAAGCCAGTGCCGTTTAGAGTGATGGAGGGCGGCTCGATCTTGGAGAGGACGGAGAAGATGCTCGAGGAGTACAGGAGAGGGAACGTGCGAGGGGAGAAGATCCTGGTCGACTGGAGGGCGTAGATGCCATGCAAAATAACGATAAGGGGCTTCGACCCATTTCCGCCTGCCTATATGTGAGAGATTCCGTGGGTCCCCCCATTTGGGAGGTATCGTCAACCATACTAGACCATCGTCGAGAGTTACGTACCCTCCATTTAGGTAGCCATATCCTGGCCGGAGCTGGAACAAGAACACGATAGCAGCGTTAATACATTGGACACACTCACGCTGCGCAGCGCTTGTGCGAGGTCGGACTGCTGCTCAGAAGGCATTCCGCTCGCCGCCCCGCGCCCCGGGCGCGCGCAGCACCGTCGGTCGCCGACGGAACGCCACGTCACAACGTCAAGCCGGATGTCCAAAATAGCGTCCCTGAAAAAAAAAGGACAACGCGTCTTAACGCGTTTGCGCAGCGCGCGCCTGGGCCTGGACCAGCGGGTCCCATTGACAGGTGGCCCGGCGCAGTTGGAGTACGGAGAGTCGGGGAGTTGGATCGGGCGCATCGTGGAGCGGGCAGCGGGCTGCGATGATGCACGGCGCACGGACGCACCTGTGCAAAGACCGCAAGGGCGGGTCGAAGGGATCGTCCTCAAACAAAGCGCGACGGTGTGCGCCTTACATACTGTATGTCGATGCGGCAGAGGCGCGCGGGCAGGACGGATCTCTGCGAGATCATTGATGGGGGATCCGTGACAAGTGCGCCACGAGCGAGAAGCGACGAGCGCCGGCGCTCGACCTGGGCCAGGGCCGCTGGCGGACGCCCGCTGTTTGTCGCGTAATTGGGTGAATAGCGAGATGGCACGTGCGTCATCACTTGTATGTGGCGCGAATCTTGGGCCACGAAGAAGCGTGCTGCTGTAAGCCCGAGCCCGAAAGGCCGCACGGGCGGGCGTTGACTACTATAATAGACGGCGAGGCACGTGCGAGCGCGGCTGCGGCCATTCGCGAGGCTCGTGACGAGTACTTGAGGGGGTTGTATCAGGATCCAAGAGGACGTGATTCGAGGGGTGCAGACGTATGCGACTTGGTTGGAAAGAAGCTCACGTGGACGAGTCAATGAAACAGCGAGATCATGGTGGGTAGGGCGCGCGATGAATTTGTTGCGCGTCGCTGACCGCGAAGCCCGTCAGCACAGAGAGAGGAAATGATGGGGATTGACATTGAGCCTGGTGGACAACGAAGGGATGTGTTTGACAGGATCAGAGATCGCGGAGATGATGTGGCGGTGAGCCGCGATGTGAAGGTCGACGGGAGCCGAGCGACAAGCGAGGGCGAGAGGGCATGGATTTGCCGGGGATGGACGAAAGCAGGGTTGGCCGTGCGGGGCGGCGTCGGAGGCGAGACGGGTGGCAGGGACGCTGCGGGCAGGAGCGCGGCGGTGAGCAGCGAGGGCGGATGGAGGTGATGGGGGCTGTGTGCGCGGCTGCGGCCATCGATTGAATAAATATGGGCGGGCCACCCGCGGCACTGCGACTACATAACTCCTGCCATGGCCTCCAACGCCAACCCGCTCCCCGTGCCCCCTCGCCCCCAGCAGCGCTACGACGACCTGCCCCCTCCCCCGCCCGTGCCCCCGCTGCCGCCCAACCACCAGCCAGAGCGACCGCCAGACCCGTACGTGTCGCCGCCGCACCTCGAAGACCCGCTGGTCGCCCCGCGGCCGCAGAAGATCACGCCCGATCTGCCCGCAGACGTGCGTCTCTGGTCTCCTGCGTTGCACGCGCCGCCTAACCGCCTAACGAGCTCCGCCAGATGGCCCGCACCCTGGACCACTCCCTCGCCTTTGCTGCCCCCGACCACCACAGGCTCCCGACCCCGGCCCCTCCCCCGCCACCGCAGCAGCACTCCGGCTTAAACAGCAATCCCGGCTTTGCCTTTCCAACTCCAGCACACGCTGCTTCTTCACCTCCCCCTCCCCCTCCTCCTCCCTCCCAGCCCGCTGACGCCTGGTCGCCGTGGAACGTCCCCCAGCACAACCACCACCAGCCCTACCCGCAATCGCCCCCGTCTCTCAGACAGTCCTTGCCTCCCCAGCACCCCCAGCAGCCCTACGCCCCGCCCGCACGTCCCATGTCTGGCTACGACCCCCTCGCCTCCTCCATGAGCGGCCTCGCCATCGCCACCACCCCACCACCCCCACTCCAGCGCACGCAGAATGACGGCCCGCCCTCGCTCACCGCGCCCCTCCCCACCGTTGCCTCCCTCACCGCAGCCCTCCCTGCCATCCAGAACCCCGCAGGCGACCCTGCCTCCAAGCTCGCCTGGGCCCGCGACGTCCTCTCCCTCGTCGACCGCCTCGACGCCTCGGCTCGCTCTGCCTCCGCTGCCTCCGAGCCCCCGCCTCCGGGCCCCGTCAACATCACAGACCAGGGCCTCGCTCGCCTCTCCCAGGTCGCCGTCCCGCTCGTCGCCCAGCTCGCGAACCCCCAGCCCCCGCCGAACCCCCTCCCGCTCTACGTCGCCGAGGCCATCTACCACCGCGCCAACCTCGCCGCATCCGGCGCCTTCCCGCAGTTCCTGCCCCACAACCCCCGCTCCGCCTTCCGCGACTACGAGCGCGCCGCCCGCGCAGGCTTCCACGCTGGCTGGTTCAAGCTCGGCCGCGACTACGAGACCTTTGGCGATGCCCCGCATGCCAAGGACTGCTTCGAGCGTGGAATCAAGTATGGCAACGAGAGTTCCCTCTACGTGCGTCCTCCGCCTTCGGCCTCCGCCCTTTCTGATTTTTATCCTTCTCTCTTCCGCAGCGCATGGGCATGGCCAACCTCATGGGCCAGCTCGGTCTCCCCCCCAACCCCGAAGCCGCCATCCCCCTCCTCCAGCGCGCCGCCACCGTCGCGACCGTCGACATCCCACAGCCCGCGTACGTATTCGGCTTGCTTCTCCTCGCCGAGTTTTCCCACGTCACGGTGCCCCCGCACCTCTTCACCCCCTTCATCCCCGCGGGCAGCACCCGCGAGGGCGAGGCCCGCCGCCACCTCGAGCGCGCCGCCTACCTCAACTTTGCCCCCGCCCAGTACAAGCTCGGCCACGCGTACGAGTTTGCCCAGCCGCCCTTCCCGTTCGACCCGCTCCTCAGCGTGCAGTACTACTCGCTCGCCAGCCAGCAGGGCGAGATCGAGGCCGACATGGCGCTCTCCAAGTGGTTCCTCTGCGGCGCCGAGGGCAGCTTCGACAAAGACGAGTCCCTCGCCTTCACCTTTGCCGAAAAGGCCGCCCGCAGGGGGCTCCCGAGCGCCGAGTTCGCCATGGGCTACTACATGGAGGTCGGCGTCGGCGGCCCGAAGGACATCGCCGCCGCGACCAAGTGGTACGCCAGGGTGCGTCTCCCGCTCTCTCTCCCTCCAGCCCCCGTGCCCCGCGTGACCGCCCTCTTCCCCCGTGCGCTCCTTCCCAGGCCGCGCAGCACGGCAACACCGACGCGACCGAGCGCCTCGCCGCGCTCGCCCAGCCCGCCGCGCACGCGCTCTCCCGCCAGGAGCACGACACGCTCACGGAGAGCACCCTCGTCCGCAAGCGCACCCAGGCCAAGCAGCGCTCCGACGCGCGCCCCCGCCCCGCCCCCGGCGCCGGCGGCCAGAACCCGAACCCGAACCCGAACATGCCCCCGCAGACGAGCAGCGCGCAGATCGTCGAGCACATTCGCAAGAACTCGCTCGCGCAGCGCCCGCCCCCCGGCTCTGGTCCCAGCCCCGCACAGGGCGGTCCCTCGCCCTACGCAGGCCCGCCCCCGCCCCGTCAGGGCTCGGGCGACGCGTACGGCCCGCCCCCGCCGCAGAACCAGAGCCCACCGCGCGCGCATCCCGGCGCGCCGCGCTACGGCCTTACCGACCCCGGCGTCGGCCCCGGCCCCGGCCGCACGTCGCCCGCCGGTGCTGGGCCTGGCGGTCGCCCCTCGCACGGTCGCGTGGTGTCGTCGTCGACGGTGCCGCAAGCCCAGCAGCAACAAGGTGGAGGATCCCCGACCCCCGCGCCGCGCCCACCGCCTGCCAAGGGCCCTGCGACGTTCCAGGAGATGGGGTTCCAGAGCCAAAAGCTGGAGGACAAGGAGTGCGTGATCATGTGATGGCGGCGCGTGCGTTGGCTAGCGGGTGCTGCGATTGTTCTGTTCCGTGCTGTTCAGTTTTTTTCTTTTCTTTTTTGTTTCTTCTTTTTTTGTGTGTTCTTGTCAGATGCTCGCTTTCCGTTTTTTGCCCTTGTCGCTTGGACATTATTGCATCGTGCGTAGATCTGCGCGTCCTCGTTGACGCGGTGGGCGGTGGTGGTTGAGGTTCTGGCAGCGGTGGGGAATAGATTAGAGCCTGTTCGAACCGTAATACTCTGTACAGTGATCGTTGCTCGCGGCGTAGGTAACTTGGCACGAACACAAAAAGCTCAAACTTGCTTTAGAACTCGATCGGCTCGCGCGTCTTCGGCGTATCATAGGGCTGGGTTAGGGTTCACGCGTCACCGACGCTACCGACCACCATCTTCAAGCGCAGAGCTCGTGCAGAAATCATTTATCAACCTGCAGACCGAGGAACTCACTGCGTGTGTTCATCTTTTGAGCCCTGCACAAGCGAGAAGGCTTCAATTTCACGCTGTCTCCCTCAACATCTTTCGATAACCCTCCACTATCAATATAGCGCCGGTATGTCCTCCCACGGAAGACGCGACTTCTCGGACGAGGAGCACGGGACAAGTCAGAGTCTCCCCCAGCGCCGCAGCATGCTTCCGTCTTCCTGATCCGTCCTTTCAGCCGACGACGAAATCAGCGAGGAGGATTTCTCCTCCAGCGAAGATGACCACGGCGACGACAACGACGACGATGACGGGCCCGAGTTCGACGCGCAGTTGCAAGGTCCGTCTGCAGAAATGGAGATCGAAGGCGATTTCAAGTATATTGCGGTCCTTTGGGCTTTCCCTTGAGCGACGCATTGAAGACGACTTTGTGTTTTTCTGCACGCAGGCGCCTCATCGAAAATATACGCTCCACAGAGGGCGATCCGAACGCTAATGTGCTGACCAAGGACTGGGACTTCAACATCGAGGAGCGGGACGTCCTGTTCCACGAGGATCTCCGAGCGGCATCTGGCATCGGGCGCAGAAAGCGCAAGGTGAGCCCCAGGCTTGCGACGAGGTTCGGTTTCGTCGTCGGTTCTGACGCCCTGCGAAAAAGCGAGGCAGACACGCCGGCATCGCGCTCTCACACCAAGTGCGGGCTCTCATCGGAGAGGGAAACCAGGCCTACGTCGACGCCGACATCCCCGAAGCGATGCGCGTCATGCAGGAAGTGATTCGCATCGAGCCCCGTGCAGCCGCGGCGTGGCTCGTCCTGGCAAAGTGCCACACCGACCTTGGACAGCCCCACAAAGCGCTGCAGCTGCGCATCATGGGCGCGCATCTGCACCACGATGCGGAGGAGTGGGATCACCTCGCCCGAGAATCCAGGTAATCTTCGCGCGGTTTCCGGTCGCTTGTCGCGCGCCTCACAGTCCGATCAGGGAGCTGGGCTTCAAGCAGCAAGCCCTGTACTGCTATGGAAAAGTCCACAGCCTCGACCAGACGAACATCAATGCCCTCTGGGACAGGGCTGCGCTCGCAAAAGAGCTCGACGATAACCGCATAGTACGGCCGATTTAGTCTCTGGTCGCGCGCGCTCACCGTCTGTTCAGGCACGCAATTCGTTGGTGGCGATTCTCAAGCAGGTTCCGCACGACCTCACCATCTTGGAGGAGCTGCGTCCGGTCTTGATCGACCTTCACGAGCTCGCTCTCTGCGCGTCTCTCTTCCAGAACGCGTTTGTGCATTACTCGTCTACATACCCCTCCGGACGTGGCGTTCATCCCGAGACCGGCGCCGACGTTCCCGGCGGCGGGTTTGGTCTGATGGAGCTGCTTGTTCTCGCGGATTTGTACAACAGCCTAGGCGAGCACGACAAGGCTGTGCATGCCATTCGAAGCGGGTGCCGGTGGCTGCAGGGCCGAGCGCAGCAGAAATTCTGGGACGCATGCGAGGACGACAGGGAGTATGACGTCGGCGAGTGGAGGGCTCCCCTCCCGGGCAGAGACGAGGAGGTCGTTCCCGGGAGGTATCCGCTGGACGTCAACGCGAGGCATCGTCTGGCTGTCGCGAGAATCAAGATGCACGAGACGGATGAGGGAATTGTGCGTGCCGCCGTCCGTCCGAGCCAGATTCACCCGCGATGAACCTCACTTTTCAGATGCATGCGAACATCGTGCTCTCGCAAGACGTCCTGGACTATGCCCCGCTGTTCGGAGAGATCGCGGATGCATACTACGAGCGTGAGATGTATGCGCAAGCGAAGCCGATCTACGAGATACTGGGCCACGATGCCGGGGTATGTATTGGCCGGTCATCTTGTTCTGGTGGCCTGGTCGCTGACGCGCTCGTAGACTAGCAGTTTGTACGTCCTCATCCAAGTGGCTCGATGTTGTCATATGCTAGGGGAGCTGCACGAAGCGGCCGAGGTTTATGAACACGGTATAAATTGATCCGATGTTAGAGTGCTGTGCCTCTGACGATGTGTATCGCAGTCATCTCGGCCGACGATACACAAAACGAAGTCAAGATGAGCCTCGCAGAGATATACGAGGTGTTGAACGAGCCTCGAAAAGCGCTCAAGCTGGTGTATGAAGGTCAGTTTGTATCACCTGCATCGCGTCCCCCATCGGACGACCGCATCTTCTTCCAGTCATCGACTCACGCAAACGGAGACCGCGCGAGGCGGCGGAGTCTGCTCAGGCCTCAGAACCGCATCTTGTCTCGTTGTTTGAAGAGACGGCAAGAAACAAGGGCAAGGCGACCGGGAAGGCGCAGCACAGGCTCACTATCACGCAACTGCGCGAGCTCGAGGATCAAAAAGAGAGAGAAATGCAGCAATTCTACCGTCGTGTCCAGGATTTGTGGCCGGCCATGATGAGGCCAGTTGGCGCGGAGGGCCAGGAACTCGCTGAGAGAGAATGGCTGTTGGAAGCGGAGAAAATGATAGAGGCATTCCGAGAGACAAGGAATTTGTTTCTGACTGTCAGGGTGAGGCACACTTGCACCCTCCTTTTTTAAAAGAAATAGCAATCACTGAAGTACATGCAGAATCCGTTTAGGGGGATGTTCCCCACCCGCAAAAAGGGCAAGAAACCTGAAGTCAACGAGAACGACATGTTGTCGCGGTTACAGCTTGATCTTGGTGCGTTCCTGCCTCTCTCAGTCCCGAGATGTGCTCACACTTTCCTGGCAGAGCATGATCGGGCTCATCGATCGAGAAAAGACGACGAGCACGCTGACAAGGTGGATATATTTAGGGGAGTCACATTCGACGATTGGTTGAAGGTATTCATGCAGGTAGAGTATGGTCATTTGTGGCATTTCTTTCAATTTTGCTCATCTCGTGTGGTCGCAGTACGCCTTTCTTCTCACCAAACGTGGCCAGTACGAAACTGCTGAGGAAGTGCTCCGACACCTCATGCTCTCCAACGCCTATCAGAAGGCTGAGACCCAGATCACCATACGGCTAACCCTCATAGGTACAGCATACGCTCTGTTCATTCTTCGTCCGCTCCAAGCACTGACCTCTCGGCTGTACAGCATGCGCCATTTTCGAAAAGCGTCATGCTGTAGTGGTTGAACAGTGTCGCAAGATGATCAACAACAACCAGTTCAATAACGAGCCCTTTCGTCTGCTCACGGCTTCCCTTGCCAGCGGATTTCGTTCCACAGATTTGTTCATCACCTCTACCCTGCAGAAGCATATCTTCCGGGAAATTAAACTCAGCGATGCGGCAGTCAGGAATAAAGACAACTTGAGGTGGAACGGACCAACCCGCCGGTGGGCTTTCAATGTGAAGGGAGGTGATACAGAGGAAGTGGAAGACGACCGCGACGAGAAAGACCGGGAGGGTACGCCAGAGGAAAGTCCAAGCGCACGGATTACGCCCATGCCAACGAAAAATAATCCGATCCTGGTGGCGACATACGGGCAGATCAGTATCGCGGCAAAGAGCTATCAAAGTGCGATCTGTGTGTACATCTATCTCATCAGCATGCATGGTCGAACTGATTGTCTATCTTCCCAAAGTCTACTTGCTTCACGCGTATGATTATTGCCCAGACGATGCCATGGTTTGTTTGAGCTTGGCAATCGCATGCATGGGTCGCGCAATGCAACGTCAAGCGGACAATCGACACCATCTAGTCGCACAGGTACGACCCCTTTTATTCGCCATTTACGTGAAGAATTCAGGATCCTCGTTAGGCAATGGCATTCTTATCCCGCTATCGTTCCCTTCGGCAGTCAGATGCTACCGGCCTGGACGAAGTAGAGTTCAATTTCGGCCGAGCGTTTCAACAATTAGGTATATTCGCGCATTCACTCGTCTATGCAGCTGCTGTAATGATTTTTCCCAGGCCTGCATTCGCTCGCTGTCAAGCACTACGAACGTGTGTTGGAAATGGCAGAAGACAGGCAGGGTACGAATTCCGAAGTGCGTAGAACTCCTGATATACCATCATCTACCGTGCTTATAGCTTTTCTCCAGGATGTCGGACTCGCGAGGGAGGCTGCATATAACCTCTCGTTGATATTCGTGACTACAGGTGCTGCGCCGTTGGCAGAACAGCTGTACCGCCGCTGGTTATCACTGTAAATCTTTATCGCGCCAGTCTGTTGATAGCGTGTCACGCCGAGAAAGAGGACAGCTTACAACCAAAACCCTCCAGCCAGCTAGTCGGCCATAGTCTACTTTCGTATTGAACGACAGCGTCTACTCTCCGGGAAATCAGACTTCCTTCATTCGATTGTGCCCCTGGTCACCTCGCCCACATCACCTTTCAAAGGTACGTGCACGATTGCGTTCAATGACGCTCCCGGCGCAGCGCGCGCCACAGCCAAGCCAAGCGTCCAGACTCTCGTGGTCGAACATTATGCTCCGTTGGGATTAGACGGTGCTGAAGTCGATGAACGGCAAGATCGGCGACTATATGAGACGAAGACTGCTAAATTGCAGATCGTGGACTACGAGGGAAGCTGCGACCTAGAGTCGGCAATACAAGAGGTATTGACAAGATGACTCGCAATCTTCGCACATAATTTACTCCACCCACCTTTCGGTACCACTCGTGATATATCAGGGGCGTTTCTCCGTCCACTCCAGATCGTGATCTTGTTAATGCACAAGCGATCAAACAGGCATACCAACTTGAGTATGTATCACTACTGATGGAAAACATGTGTCATGTAGAATGTCTCGATGGATTCCGCCAAGTGACCCTCAAGCTTCTAGCGCGTACTATACACACAATGTGAGTTCAAATACTCCGATTTCAAAGTCGTGCCCTCGTCTATACCCTTCTATACCCTGGTCGGGAAGCTAGAGCATATAGTACGACTTGTGAGCGCACACGTCGCTGCAGTCATCAAACATTTTTAGTTCGGGCACGAAGACGAAACATTGTTGTGATTGGAAAGATTCCAAGTCCTGAACCATACCTGGTCTTTTATCAATACAGGTATCGAGCACCATTTAACTGGGAGAAGGGTCCACAACGTGACTCAGGAGAGGGTGCCAATCATTATACTGGTGACTCTTTGGAGCATAACAAATTTGGCGTGCATCAGCCAACGTCAACATACATATGCTTTGGTTCCGTTTGGGAACAATGCCCATCTTTGCTTCATCTCGTAGTCAATCGTTGTTGAAAAATAGAATGTCCATCAGCAGTGTCGGGCACACCATCGGACCAATACCCGACATAGCTGTATTGAATACAGGACCTTTCAAACGAAGTGAGATTTTTCTCCGCGCCTGTCTTCTGCAATGCTGTCAGAGATCTTGGTGGTCTCAAAGAAAGAGGGTCAAGGCGCATGAATTTCTAGACGAGAGCCAACTGCAAGTTGAGTCCACGGCGCGGCGGACACGTGCGCGGACTGATCACAAACTGCCCATCAAACTGACTTCGGTTCCTTGTGCGGGCGAATGCCGGAGGCTCACACTGCCACGACGTACATGAACGACCGCGGGTTCGAGGACACACAGCTACACCCCACTGACATCCAGCCATCATCGGGCTTGCCTCACATCCAAACATGCCCCACTCGTTCCTCTCGGCCGCGACTGTTGCGACAATAGGCCTGACCTGTAAAGCAGTTTTGAAGCTTGGCCTGTGCTCGATGACGGTCAACGGTCTCCCGATTCTGTTGGATGCTCTGGAGAGCGGCGAGAGAGCGCAAGGGAGGGGCGTTGTCACCGGTATGTCTCAACCCATGCGCTCGAGCCCTGCTGTCGACCTGACCGACTCCGCGTCCAAAGTATCCAATCATATCTCCACGTACGCGTTCAGCCATCCATCGCACCCCTTCCCGTCGTTCGCTACCATCCAGCTCACCCATGCACTCCTCCAGATTAGATGATCCACTCACTTGGGGCATTATGCCCGCACGCACGTACCTCCGCTCGCGCCTAACCCGTTGGTCGCTCGGCGCATCCGACATCATGTTTACTAACCCGTGAGGACCTCATCGCCTGGCTTTTCCCTTCGGCATCGTGCTGTACTCTCATATCCCTCCGACACATTCTGACGCGACTCTGCTAGCCAGTGTATTTTCAACGTTCTTCCGTCACGGACAGGTGCTGGAGACATTCCGCGGGAAGGGCATTTACCAACCAGCGGTTAATGCCGCGATTGAGAAGCTGGGGAAGGGTGACTGGGTAAGTTTGATCGCATGTTCTGCGTGGACCTTTCTAACTCTGCGGGTTGAAACAATGGGCCCGCGACAGATCCATCTGTTTGGTGAGGGAAAGATCTGCCAGCCCGAGACGTACGCGCACACGGGAGGCATCGCGCAGCTGCAGCGGTTCAAGTGGGGCGTGTGCGTCGTCTTCTCATCTCCCTATACTCTGCGCTCGTCTCACCGCTTTGTTGACGCGTACAGAGGCCGCATCTTACTAGAAACCCCGTGCCCTCCCACAATCATACCGATGTGGCTGACAGGTGCGCTCCGCCTTTGTCTTGCCTTCCGCCTCGCCTCTCGCGCCGTGTTCGTAGCTAACAACGTTGTGCTGCTCACGCGACTTGCTATTCGCCGCGCCGCGCCGTGCAGGCTTCGAGCGGTTGATGCCCGAGGGCCGCACATTCCCATATAATTTCGTTCCTCGACTCGGCGCACGACTAAGCGTCACCTTTGGCGAGCCCGTCCGCTTCGAAGACATCACTGCTGCTCTGGGCCGGCTGACGGCCGCCCTTCCCGATGCGTCCGGAGGCGAGGCCAGCGGCGGCCCGAATCTTGCCGGCCCAAGTGCGGACGGTCCCGCGGACACGGAATGGCAGAGGCTAGCCAGGAGCGAGGTCACGGCGGTCATCCAGCGCGCAGTTGAGGCACTCGGACGGACGGTGTCGGGGGACATGCTGGGCAAGTCTTCGCCGTGAATCGGAGTGTGCTATCTTTATAGATGCTTTCCTAGAGCTCGAGGTATTGCTTGTTGCTGTATCACACTGACATAATGGTCTAGCTAAGATGTACTTACCCTGGTGTGTTGTAGCGAGAACAGGCATGCGTCACCTGTATATTCATCATTGCGCTTCGCGCCATCTCGTCAATCTTTCCTCTCAGATCTGAGTGCCCTAGCTCCAGTCTCTTGGGGTCAATGCTCGTATGAGATCTCGATTGCACTCCTCTGTCATTTCCTCACCTCTGCTCACACGCACAACTCATACAGTACTTGACAGCTACCACCTAGTCTACTAACACCCGAGCATGTTGTTCACATCGGAGGCAACCACCGATAGCATGACAGCTGCTACCATACCACGCAGGCAAGTAAGCAACGGAAGTGAGGCGACCGGTGTCGGGTTTGTACCGAGCTGGGTTGAGTATTTTGGGCGACCCTGAAGGTTTGTCAAAAATCCCGCGTCTCGTTCTCGAGCCACTCCCACAGTCGCCGTCCGTTTTCGGGGTCGCTTGTCTCGGGCCTGCACTCCCCGACGCGTGCCCAGGGGATGAAGAACTGCACGCCGCACAGCCCCAAGGAATTAGCGATATTGTGCAATGCGAATAGAATCAGGAGGTTGGGCACTCACCTTACCGTTGAGGTCGACCGTCTCGGGGGACGTGCCGGCCCAGAGCTGCGTGAGAGCCCCGTACGGGACGGGATACAGAATCAGTTGCTGCAGGTGCGTGAAGTTCACGGTCAAGCGTCATTTTATCTGTAGCATGGACGGAAGAGGGGACGCACGAGGAAGAAGCGGCTGATGGGGTCCAAGTGTCGCTGGAGCTCAGTCTTGAGGTTGCCCGGGTTGACAGAGGTGGAGACAATTCCCTTGTCGCCGTACCGTCTCGCGAGCTCCTTCGCGAATACCACGTTTCCCTGTTGAGAGTAGCCGCGCATTAGGAGATGTTCTTCAAGAAAAGACGCACGTACGTGTTTGCTCTGGTTGTAGAGCGTGTAGGTGTTCAGCTTGTCACGGGCAGGGCCGGGGCGGAACGAATCCCAGTCGATGACGTCCAAGTAGGCACTTAGAGACGCGGTGGTGACGACACGCGCTTTCGCATCGGGGGAGGAGCGTGCGCCGGCAAGGAGGGCAGGAATAAGCAGTTTAGTGAGGAGGAAGTGACCGACGACGTTCGTTCCCCATTGGAGGTCGTATCCATCTTTTGTGAGGAGAGAGGCGGATGGCCACATGACGCCGCTGCAAGGATAAGGAGAGGGGATGAGCGAGGCAAGTCATCGAGAAAAAGGAAGATCTGTACCCATTATTGTAAAGCATGTGCAGCTCCGTCTCCTTTCCGAGAAACTCCTCTGTCGCGCGCTTCACGCTATGCATGTCCGCAAGATCACACTCGAGGAAGATGGCGTCCTTTCCGGTGTCGCGCTTGAGGTCCGCAATGGCGGCGGTTGCCTTGGAGCGGTCCCGGGCGGCGACGTAGACGGTGGCGTTGTGGGAGAGGAGCGCACGCACGGTCTCCTTGCCAATTCCGGAGTTCCCGCCCGTGACGAGGGCGACGCGACCGGTGAGATCAGGGATGTCGGAGACGGAGAAGTGGGAGCGCGGGGGGAACCACTGAGTGAGGAGGCTCCAGTTCTGACCCATTGTGTCGTCGTGCGCTCGCTCAGGACGCCGGAAAGGTGTGAGGTAGTGTAGAGAGGGAGACGAAGGGGGGAGCGAGCGAGCGATTGGGCTTATAAGGGCGTCGTCTCATTGCGGTGAGACTCGACGGCTTACCGGCTTCGAACGCGTGTTCCCAGACGCGTTCCGGTCACGTGCCTTCTTTTACGACCTGCATGCCGATAGTGACGCGTCCCTTCCGGGCCAAACCACAATAAGCGGATCCTGCTATCGCCGATGTTCAAAACTCATGGCAGATGGGACTAAATATGAGCTTGTATTTCTATTTTAGTCTTATTTTCTGTAAGTTGTAAAGAATTATAAGCTCTATAATGCAGCATTATATGTTTCAAGGTATTGAAAGTAATACTGAAGCTATTACACAAGAACATAGTCTTTCTGATTGTTTAGATTTTTTATCACTGTCCCATCCAAAATAAAATTGGCTAATATGACCCTGGGTCCTATTATTGGAACAATTTGAATTAGATCTTGGAATATGTTGTGCTACCATATATTTCTTATTGTTTGAACTTGGTCCCTTGCCACATAGGGAGAAACTCATTTATATTTGGCTCACTAAAAACAAAACACAAGAGCCAAGGTCAAACAATAAGAGATTTATAGTAGCACAATATATTCTAAGATCTATTTATAACTATTCCAATAATAGGACCCAGGGTCATATTAGCCAATTGCATTTTGGATGGAACAGTGATAAAAAATCTAAATAATTAGAAAGACTATGTTCTTATATAATAGCTTTAGTATTACTTTGAATACATTGAAATATATAATGCTACATTATAGAGCTTATAATTCTTTATAACTTACAGAAAATAAGACTAAAATAGAAATACAAGCTCATATTTAGTCATATTTACTATGATTATGTACTTTGATCTCATTCAAAGCTATTGTTGATATAGTCTGTGGTTGATTTTCTGCTCAAGCATGTTCACTGCTTGCTAAGGCATAGCTCTTGCACTGCAGATAGCACTTTATCATGCATTATCAAAAGGCTTACATATAGCACACCCTATTACCCTTCTACTGTCTATCTCTATTTTTTTTACTTGGATAACCAGGGTTATGTTATATATGCCAACTTTCATATATATAGATGTCAATGGGGATAGGGTACCTTGCCATGGCAAAGGGGATCTATATAGCAGCTTTTGATGCTGCTATCAAAGAGGCTTTATTAGTAAGGTGTTCTACTCTTAGTTTACCCATCTCTATATAGAGGGTGATAGTAGGGGTCCGGTGGCAACTAGCCGTTAGCTAATTCCACGCGACAAACCACGCGAGACTACTGTCCCATAGGCTTCGGGAGGCGAAACGGAGCATATTGGAGCTTGAAACGGAGTTGGTTAGCGTATGCATGCCCGGAGCTAACCTAAGCATAGGGAATTCTCTTTCCCTGGCACTATCTTGCAGTGATTTCTTCAGGTAAAATATGAGGGGGCATTCAGCAAGGGCTTAGCTTGGCAACCACTCTAGGCTCTTGGTTTTGTTTGCAGGTATTTTTTTATGTAAATAAATAATAAATAAAAGGGGACAATAAGAAATGGTGGCACTGGGCTAATAGCTCAAGTTATATGTCCTTGATTACACTTATGTAGGCCACATAAGAAACCATGTGAGCAAAGCAAGCATCCATGATAAATTGGGTGAGCAGAGTAAGCCATGTCTTGGTGCTTCTAGCAACTCTAGCAACTAGAGTGGGCTATGCCTTAGTGGCCATTGAAGCTTGAAATAGCATCCTAGCACCTCACAGAGAACCTCACGGGGGAGCCTCATAGGGCAGAATCTCATAGGGGAATCTAATAGATGGGACCTTATAGGGAGCTTTATATGGGAATCTTACAGGAAGGACCTTATAGGATGTCACAGAAGAGCCATATAGGGATATTGGGGCACAGGAATTTTAGTAAGCAGAGTGAGCCATGTCTTGGGTGCTCCTAGCAACCCTAGCAACTGGAATGGGCTATGCCTCAGCAGCCATTGGAGCTTGAAATGGCATCCTAGCACCTCATAGAGAACCTTATAGGAGAGCCTCATGGGTGGGACCCTGATGGGGGAGCCTCATAGGGCAGAATCTCATAGGGGAATCTAATGGATGGGACCTGATAGAGAGCTTTATATGGGAATTTTATAGGAAAAACCTTATAGGATATCATAAAAGAGCCATATAGGGATATTGGGGCACTGGACTTTATGGGCACTGGACTTTACAGGCACTAGACTTTATAGGCACTGTACTTTACAGGCACTAGACTTTATAGACACTAGACTTTGTGAACACTAAACTTTACAGACACATCAGACCAAGCACTATAACAAAAACTCAGATTAAGCATGGTTACGCCATCGCAACACGACGGGTGAAAAGCTAGTGTTATATGAGTCTAGATGTTTTATTTTGCTAGCTTTACCATTAGAAAAGCAGCTGCCCTAGTGACTCTTCTCTATATTGCCACTTTTGACTGTCTCTTAACTAGAAGCATTGACCATGCCAGAAGATCTGCATGCATTTCAAGGAAACACATATTGACAATATAGTGTCTGCATATGATATGAATACTAGGCTCAAGGGCTTGATACATACTTAGTTTAAACATAGTATTTGAGTCTCTCTGCCTAGTCCACATCAAAGTTAGGGCCTTTGGTAAGTGGCCCCCCTTTGCCTTACTTGGAAGGCATATTCATAATCTGAATATCCAAAAAGATGGCAATATGTAAGACAGATTATTAGTGTGCATAAGCACTAATGTGTCATTGTATTAAGAACTTGAGTGGTCTTGTCTAAGTCATTACATTTATTTTCTCCTATTACACATTCTCTTCTTTATTTGTTATTTATGGGTCTATGGCCATAGAAACTAGGCCTATAACATGGACCTCTAATAAGGGCCTAGATTTTCTCAAGGCAACACTCAACACAATCCTTATACAATGGCTAGAGAGGCCTCACAATTGGCAGGTTAAAGCCAAAGCCAATGCTCTCTATTAACAAGATCAACTTCTTATAGTAGAGTATAGTGAGGAAAAGATGGCAGCCATGTACCTTTACTTGCTTATATATAGGGAGTTAGCAAGAATATAGGAAAAGTCATATTTTGCACCCAACCTATGTATAGAACATCCTTTTGTTCTAAATGTAACACTGTTAACAGACCTTGCCCACAGTCAAGTAAGTGATATAATGGTCATCTAGATTTCAATTGTATTCTAACCTGTAGGTCAAGGAGATAGAGAGAATAGGAGTCAAGGCTGTCTCCTTGGATAGAAAAAGTCTATTGTTGGCCAAAAATCCTAGTCAAAACCTTTACCAAGAAGTAATGAGTTATACTTGGTTTATAGTTATAGTGCCACCTAAGTGGTTAATATCACTAGAGTTTGACAAGGTCTTATATCTAAATAAAAAAAAACCCCTCTCATATTAGATCCAAGTTATACCTAATTATTAATAATACTCATCTAAGATAATCAGGGTATATTATAAATAATTATCCATAATTATCTTTATGATAAATCTGCAATAAATACTACATTGATTATGATTCTAGAGTTTACTCAAAATCTATAACTTAAGTACAATAATACAGACTCTAAATCCAAATTATATGAGTACCAGAATATTTTTTATTTAATATAGAGTGTATTTTTTTTTTAGTATATCATATCCTTATTTAGAACATGAATTGAGATCATAAAAGCCCTGATTTTTTGGGTGTTCATTGATCAAAAATAAATCAAAAATAAGTAAGTAATAAGATTAGAAATATTAAGATTGCCTAAATTATGTCAATATATTTGGATTACAAAGATATTAATTTAGATCTTATAGCTGAGTAGCTTAGAGCATCTGTTTGGAGTGTGTACAGTTATAAGGTTATAGGTCCAACTCTGGCCAAGGGCAAGTTTTTTATAAGATAAGATTTTAGCCATAGATATTTAGATAGTGACCTCTATAGATATCTCTAGGTTATAGATTATAGTAATAGCAAGAAATGATGACACTATAATAGATTTTATTTTTCTAAAAATCCATTTGACTAATTAGCTTTAATTAGCCTTAATTAGCTATAATTAACTCTAAAATAAAGGGAGGGTAAGCAACAAAAAAAATGCTAATGCTATTTTGGTAAAATTATCAATAATTAGAGCTTAATACAAGAGGGGCATTTCCTAGATATATGCTAAGCAAGAGCCTAGTTTGGATGTAAAGAGTTAAAGGTGGCAAGCACTAAATAGACCTCTAATAGCTGTGCCTTTAAGAATAGTAAGTTGATAAGAATTGATGAGTTATTCAATAACCTATTGGGAGTATCTTTTTGAATGTGCATAGTGTGAGTTTGAGTATGCTATTTTGTACTTATACTAGGGGGCCATGGCTAAAGATGTTTTCCCTAGCATAACTAGCTAGAATATGCCAGTTGAATGCCTATTTGCATTTCAATGCATGGTTCGTGGCAGCAGCATAGCCATCAAGGTTTTGTTAGACAATATAGAAGACCTAGATGGCAACATCTGTTGGATATAGTATACTGGTGCTATCTATGAGCAGAGTATATATGGTATTAACAACAAGACTGAGGAGTAATTCTTTTAGGGAAAAATGAAAAGGAGATAACAGGTAGTAATTAAGGCAACAAATTGCCTTATCCAGATGGTTAGGCCACTTTCATAGTAGTTTGTTGAATCTGCAGCCTTGTACATCTGGAAAACCACTCCCTTGTATTAGCTCTGGATTATATCTAATAGTGTCTTAAAGTATCTAAGAGTGTTAATAGCATCTAAAAGCGTCTAATTTCCTAATTGGGAGCAACACATTGTGAGCATTGGATTGGATTCTAATCTCATAATATTAGCACTAATTCTACACTAAGAAGTCTTTAATTAGCAGTAAGAAATAGTAAGTACTACTGCTCTATCAGTAAGAAGGTAAAAATGTGGCACATTCCATACTATTTTAGCACATTATTCTCCTTTATATATGCCTGCACCATGATCTTGTAGCTCTTTTGCTGACTTTCCAGCTGCTTTCTAAAGAGACATAGAAAGAGAGAAATGTGCATTGATGCCCCCAGCCACTTTATTGGCAGCTTGGCAGCTGCCACAAGAGGCTATGAAGACCTCAGTACCTTGGCCTTGCACACAAAATTATGAAAGTTGTCATTGTTAGCCAATGCCTGCTACTAGTCATTATAGGACACAACATGTGGGTTGGGCTTAGGAATATGCTACATGCAGCCTTGTAGACCTTGTCTATTAGTACAGTGGTTAATACTGTCTTGCACAGCACACAATTATCATCACTATTGATACAACAATTTTTAGCACTATTTATATTGTTTATTGCCTTGTTATACAGAAGATGCTCAAACTTGGTGTTTTCCTCTGGCTATTAGACTGTGGAAAAGACAGTCATGTTGGTATGTGGTACCAGAATGATATATTTGCCTGCCATATAGGAAATATGTGCACTAAGCATATTAAGATCATGTCCAACAATCTTGTGCTTATTTATATATATGCATGCCATACATATACCCTTATCCCCACCCTCTACCTCACTAGTGGCTATTTGGAAAACCCCTCTCTCTTATTGGATCTTAATTATTCATAATCATGTTTTTGATCAAATTTGCAAATTCAGGTAGCATTGCCTATACTAGTAGATTGCTATTGAATATTACACTCAATCATAGTTTTACACATTCTAAATCCAAATTGTGTAAGTGCCATAATTTGTTTTTACCCTATATAAAGTGTATTATTTATTTTCTATCAGTTTATTATCTTCTTAGCTGGTGTTTAAACTAAATCCTAAAAGACCTGGCTTTTGGGTATTTATTGACATGTTTAGTTATTAGATAGGAATTATTAGGATTGATTATAACTTGAAATTTCGGAAAAATCATAATAAATCAAGCATCATAGTTCTCATAGCTTTCTTATAAAGTCATGTCTATTAGAGCACTAGTTGAATACCTAAACATAGAATATACCTTATAACAAACTTGCTTTTTGCCAAAATTGAACTAACAACCTCATGTATATAAGCACCCGGGACAGATGCTCCAAGCTACTAAGCCAAAAGGTCTAATATACAAACTTGGTAATCTAAATAAGTGGACATAATATAGGCAACTTGAATATCTCAAATTTAATCCAACATTTATCTTTTCTCTATTTTAGGAAAATTATGTCTAATTAGAACAGGTTTAGAGGGGGGGTAAGCTAAAAATGTCTAATCCTAATCTTTCATAATTTAGTATAGTAGAGCGTTAATTATAGCTAATTAGAGCTTAATACAAGGGAGTGGTTTTCCAGATGTACCACATACATTCTCCCTCACTGACTTTGGAGAACAGGTCCATGCCATCATCGTCTTTAGCATCCTGCTGTGTGACATCATTGGCATTGCTATCCGATATGGTTTCAAGGCTTGGTAAGCTCCCAGATTCTGATTCTAAGCCAGACTCTCACACTACCCATCCACCATCCTCCTCATCAAAATCCTGAACAGCATTTGATAAGCCGGCAGCTTTGTCAGCATTTCCAAAAGGTTTCTTTAGTGGTTTTGTACAGTGGCTGCAAATGTGGCTGCATTCCCCATAATTCCAGAAAACTGGCCCTCCACCTATTGCCTTCTTGTCCTTGCCTTTAAAGGGTTGGACAGCGAGCGCCTCTTCTGTTCCCTTTGGTACTAGTGACTTTGTCTGCCGGGCTGCCTTAGCTGCAGTGGACTCATAGCGCTGATGATGGTCTTCCTCACTGATTGATCTCATGAGAGAATTGGGAGGAATAGAGAAAGATGGGTCAATGAGCTGAACAGCTGACAGCTGTGAGGTAGCAAAAGCAGCAAGATGATGGGGAAGCAATGACAAGATAGTGGAGCAATAATCTTCATCACTGATGAGCACGCCAACCTGAGCTAACTTCTCTTTCTCTGTTCACAGGGCATCAAAGAATGACCAAGTTTCCTGACCTTGGGGTCACTTTGACTGCAAGAAAGCCTTCTATATCTTAGTCTGTGCATATGCACCCTTGACAGTATACTCTGTGACAATCATAGCTCAAGCAACAGCAACAGAGGGAAGTGCTGCACATTTGATAACTGTAGAGTCTGGTGCACACTAACTAAGCAGATAGCAAGAGGTGTGTTTGGCCTTGTCCCACCCGGTAAGACAAGCAACATGATCATCAGTCAAGGGGTCAAGGAAGATTGGCTGAGGAGTAGTGCCATTAAAATGGCCCTATTTCTCCTTTGCATCCATAGCAAGCTTGAAGCAGGCCTGGAAGATAACCCAGTTAACTCCACTGGCTTTGAGCTTTGGAATCAATGATAGAAGGGTGTCGGTAGAAAGAGAAGTGGTAGACGCCATCAGGAATGAGAGCAGATAAGTTTATGGGAGGGTAAGCAGGGGCCCAGTAAACTGTAGAAATGAGACAAACACTGTGCATGGTCTGTACAACAAACAGACACTCAGACTTGTGTGTGGTAGGCAATGACAGTCTATATTCACCTGTACAACAAACAGACACTATGTCTCAAAGTAAGTACAGGTAATATGGAAAGAAGTCCTTTAGTATGTATCTCACCTCAGACTTGTGCATGGTAGGCAATGACAGTCTGAGGGAAAAGAAGACGAAGGTCCAAATATATATCTAAATGAATGTACGATAATGAAAAGGAACAGGGACACAAGTGTGCATGTGGACATGCCAAATTAGGAACCACAAGTGATAAGAAATAAACGGACTCCACTACGGAGCTTGGCGCGACTTGCTCATCCTACACTATAATCTCCTTACTAACATTCCTCCAAGGCTTTCTTCGATCACAACTATGCTCAGCACATGACTGTCTCGGCTTGATAACTGCTTGTGCCAATGATATTCAGTGGGCGTTGGCAGGCGTTGGCCGAGATTGGCATCATGGAGGCAAACACGGCAATGCCACGGGGTTAAGTCGGAAACCACAAAAAACTAGTAAGTTCCAGGAGGTGCTCCTCAATCTGACAATCGCAAATTGTATCTCGAGGGGAAAAACACCTGCTTCTCCAAGGCAAGTGTCTGTGCGCATAGTACCTGCCCGAATTCACGCTTCCGTGCCATCTCGTCAATCTTTCCTCTCATATCAGATCTGAGTACCCTAGCTCCAGTCTCCCGGGGTCGATGCCCGTATATGATCTCGATTGCACTCCTCTGCCATTTCCTCACCTCTGGCTCACACGCACAATTCATACAGTACTTGACAGCTACCACCTAGTCTACTAGCACCCCGAGCATGTAGTTCGCATCGGAGGCGATTACATAGCATGACAGCTGCCACCACACCACAAGTAAGCAACAGAAGCGAGGAGACCAGTGTCGGGTTTGTACCGAACAGGGCTGAATACTGAGTGTTTTAGACGACCCTGAAGGTGTGTCAAAAGTCCCGCGTCTCGTTCTCGAGCCACTCCCACAGCCGCCGTCCGTTTTCGGGGTCGCTTGTCTCGGGCCTGCACTCCCCGACGCGTGCCCAAGGGATGAAGAACTGCACGCCGCGCGGTCCCAGGCGATTAACAATATTGTGCGATGTAGTCAGAATCGGGAGGTTGGGCACTCACCTTACCGTTGAGGTCGACCGTCTCGGGGGACGTGCCGGCCCAGAGCTGCGTGAGAGCCCCGTACGGGACGGGATACAGCACCAGTTGCTGCAGGTGCGCGAAACCAACGGCCGAGCGTCAGCTCATCTACAACAGTGGGTAGAGAAGGAGACGCACGATGAGGAAGCGGCTGATGGGGTCCAAGTGTCGCTGGAGCTCAGTCTTGAGGTTGCCCGGGTTGACAGAGGTGGAGACAATTCCCTTGTCGCCGTACCGTCTCGCGAGCTCCTTCGCGAATACCACGTTTCCCTGTTGAGAGTAGCCGCGCATTAGGAGATGTTCTTCGAACGGAGCAAAGGAAGGATGGCCGTACGTGTTTGCTCTGGTTGTAGAGCGTGTAGGTGTTCAGCTTGTCACGGGCAGGGCCGGGGCGGAACGAATCCCAGTCGATGACGTCAAAATAGGCACCCATGGACGCGGTAGTGACGACACGCGCTTTCGCATCGGGGGAGGAGCGTGCGCCGGCAAGGAGGGCAGGAATAAGCAGTTTAGTGAGGAGGAAGTGACCGACGACGTTCGTTCCCCATTGGAGGTCGTATCCATCTTTTGTGAGGAGAGAGGCGGATGGCCACATGACGCCGCTGCAAGGATAAGGAGAGGGGATGAGCGAGGCAAGTCATCGAGAAAAAGGAAGATCTGTACCCATTATTGTAAAGCATGTGCAGCTCCGTCTCCTTTCCGAGAAACTCCTCTGTCGCGCGCTTCACGCTATGCATGTCCGCAAGATCACACTCGAGGAAGATGGCGTCCTTTCCGGTGTCGCGCTTGAGGTCCGCAATGGCGGCGGTTGCCTTGGAGCGGTCCCGGGCGGCGACGTAGACGGTGGCGTTGTGGGAGAGGAGCGCACGCACGGTCTCCTTGCCAATTCCGGAGTTCCCGCCCGTGACGAGGGCGACGCGACCGGTGAGATCAGGGATGTCGGAGACGGAGAAGTGGGAGCGCGGGGGGAACCACTGAGTGAGGAGGCTCCAGTTCTGACCCATTGTGTCGTCGTGCGCTCGCTCAGGACGCCGGAAAGGTGTGAGGTAGTGTAGAGAGGGAGACGAAGGGGGGAGCGAGCGAGCGATTGGGCTTATAAGGGCGTCGTCTCATTGCGGTGAGACTGACAGCTTCCCGGCTTCGAATGCGTGTTCCCAGACGCGCTCCGGTCACGTGCCTCCTTCCACGACACAGAATCTCGCTCTTGGCTTTGTGTTCCTTCCTATGTGGACCACAGCGGGTTCCCATCTATCCCCATGCAAAGGTGAGCACTGTTTTCTTTTATCATTCGTCATAGCCATCGCTTGCTATCATGCGCACGACCATCCGTCATGCCTGCGTGCCGACTGTGACGCGTCCTCTCCGAGCCGAACTCGAATACTCGGATCTTGCTATCGGCGATGTTCAAGACTGAGCGCTCAGTCCTCACTCGGAGCTATCTTGGACCGTTGGGATAACCTGTCGTTAAATTTTCGCTCGAGCGCCTTCGCCGTTCGCTGCTTGTCATGGGCCTCCCGCTCTGTCGATGATTATGATACCTTACCATGCATCACCAAAAGGTTCACATACCACACACCCCACCACCGCTATCCACTCCTCTCTCTGTCACTTGGACAACTAGGCTTATGTCATATACGCCAGTACTCACACTTGTGAATGTCGATGGGGATAGGGTACCTTGCCACGGCAGAGGGGATCCAAGCGGCGGCTCTCTATGATGCCGTCGTCAAAAAGGCTCTATCGGTGAGGTGTTTCACTCTCAGCTCGCCCATGCTATATGGCTCTAGATATCTAACTCTGCTGGCTTTGGCATGAGAAGAGCGCCGGTAACTCACCTCTACACTGCCGCTTTCGGCCAACTCTCAACTGCGAGCATTGATCATGCTAGGAGATCTGCATGCGTTGCATGGAAAATCAATCTTGACAATGAGGTGTCTCTAAACGCGACGTGAACGTCATGCTCGTGTTTACACAGTGATAGAGTCTCTTTGCATCAGATACGGGACGAGCCAGCCTTCCCAATGGTATCATGCTCAAGTTCGCTAGGAGGTTGCGCGTCGTTTGCAGTCGGTTCTCGTCCAGTGGCGCACGCTCACTGCTCCATAGTGTTGTAGGTAAACACGTATGGCAACGCCTTCAGAGCCCGTCCTGATGTAATACCCCTCGAGGATTTGATGTTGGTCGGGTCCAGATTCACGATCTAGGACCGGAAATCCTTGGCTCCCTCAAGCAAAAGCACTTCGTTTGCGGTAAATGCAAACAAAGCCAAAGCATCACTCGCAGTCTGTGAACAGTCATCCGAACGACATTCGAGCTTGAACCATCAGACAGTTACCATTACCTTCACGGGTCCATCTCCTTGCTTGCTTATAACGCACTAGGCTCTCTTCCACCACAACTTGTAGCTTTCACGCTACAACCCCCAGCGCACGACTGTATCGGCTGGTCAACCGCTTGTGCCGATGATGTTTCGCGGGCGTTGGCCGAGATTGGCATCATGGCGACGAACACGCCGATGCTGCGGGGTCAGGCCGGAAACCGTAAAGCACTAGTAAGTTCCAGGAGGCGCTGCTGAATCTGACCAATATAAATTCTATCTCGGGGGCAGACACACCCTATGTTTTCTCCCCTCAACGCACGCTTCTCCAGGCCGAGTGTCTGTGCGCATGGCACACCCCTGCAACGGACAACATGCCCTGGAAGTACTGCCAAATTGTTGGCACACAGCGATCCTTGTCAAATACGCGCTGCATCTGCGCTCTGCAGATAGCTTCTCTTCTAGGCGCCAACCCATGTCGTCGAGGAATTGATTTGAGCAGACCTAGAAGAAGAGATGCTCGATATAATGACTCTGGCGCGTCAGCTCAGGCAAGAACAGCAGACCAGGTTTGCGGAATGTCGGTTCAGAATCATTCTCACCTTCACAGATCAGAGAGCTTTAATGCTGTAGACCGTGCAGCACTGCAGGGGAAGAAAAGCACAGTTCACTTATCATTGTACTTAACCGGTCGTGTCAAACATCGGCCCGGAGTCGATCGATAAGCATGCAATTGGGAAGTACTGATGACACGTAGGTAAATACATAGCTATCCCTGTATTGACTATCACCCTCTAACCCCCATCTCCACTCACAAAAGTGCTCTATCCAGTCTATTGAGAACATACGCCATGCCGCTCAAACTTGTGGCCGACACTCATGACCACTCTCAGTGCACGCACACTCCGGAGGAAGACAAAGCTGTACTCGTCTTCTCATGCAAAGTGGCGAACAACTATGTCACAACTCAATGTATGCACATGGATTCAGGAGCAAACTGGAGGGTCCATGACGCTGAACTTGAAAAGCTCTTCCTCAAATGCAAGAAGAAGGGGTCCGTGGCAGATATGCGACGGCTTAGTGAGTGCCACCTCCAATATGCCGCACTCCCTCGTCAAATCCCGATCTGAACTCGCTCCCGATAGAGAGTTTTCAAAAGCCAAAGATAGATTTGAAAATACTGTCTCCAGCATTGAGTGGGTATAACGAAGCCGCCGCGATCGCGGGATATCTGACCGTCGTCTCCGTGTGACCTAGTGAACAGTGAGTGCAGCCATCATTGTCCACGATCGAGAGATGAGAGCGAGAGCTCGTGCATCTATAGACATCCATAACGCATTCAGAGATTCCTATCAGGGAGAGGGTCATCAAGCCCTGTTGGCCATGATAGATTCTTATTGCGAATTAGGGCCAGCAAAAGCTATTCCACCCTACAACTACTCGATAGACATGCTTCGATCCTCCGGTATGGGCAAGTCTCGTACGGTCGACATCGCAGCGCGAAAGCGGTTTGCGTTTCTTCTCAATCTGCGGGACCCCGGGTCGGTCGGTACTTTCTGTGAGTTGCTCATCGTAAGACCCCTCGAGCATATATGAATTTCATACAGCTTATCCACCTACCGACATCGCTGTGCGAGAATTTTTTTCGCACCTGCACTCCACCGCGCTTTCGGACTCCCAGGTTCAGCTTCGATTGGGCGCATTCTTCATTGCTCTTTTCCGAAAGGCAACGACTGAGCTCAAGAGGTTCCGGCCCACGACTGCAGACGACACCGCGCAATGGTGGCACACTCGGATGGAAGAAGGTAGTTCTGCAGAGAGAGTCGGGACTAGACGGGCGGCGTTGTATGAAGAGGCGATCGACGATGCGGAAACGGTGAGCCGTCGTTGGGTTCGAAGGCTCGTGACTCGCTCACAGGTGTGATCGCAGATCGTGAAATCCGGAGGCTTCCATATTAAAAGCGCGCAAGAGTTACTGGAGACAAGCTGCCAAGGCCTCTTGGACGCACTCGAGGATGCACGAAGCGAGGGCTCGCCAGTCACTCCTGTCAAGTTTTACATATCCATCGACGAGGCACATGTTATGACGGGGAAGTTGAGGTACTTCCCCCATGCACGCACCGTGTATCAAAACCTGGGCACGGTGCTAACGTGGCCGGGCCGCTGCCTGTCTTCACGATATTCCTTTCCACGAAGTCTCAGCTACAAGAACTGGCTGTGCCAGCATATTTACAGTCTTCCTTTCGCGTGGAGCATGGCACTATGCTTTCCCCCCCTTTCACAGAGCTCTCATTCGATACGTTCGCGACTGGTCTGTACACCAGCCTCAAGGAGCAGAGTCTGAATGAGCCGGTCTCCCTCAACTCGGTTCACAATCTCGATGTCATCGCCAGATCTGGGCGCCCATTGTCACTTTCTTGCCTGAAACTGTTCTGCCCGACTCACCGAGTCTCTTTCTAGGTGGTGTTCTCTCTACAAACATGCCTATACGAAGAAGGACTCGACCATAGGGTTCGCAAAGCTCAAATAGCACGAGCCATCGGCGGGAGATGATCTGAGCCTGACTGCGAAAATGGCCTGCCTCTCCGTGCGCATCCTGCTCGATTTCGATTCGGTCGACGAAACTGGACGAGCCACCGTCTCTGAGCTCGTGGAGTGGCACACGCGCGTCGTGTTTGCAGTTCCCAAGCACCGCCAATTCATGCGCACGAGAACGCCGTCGGAGCCCATCCTCGCAGAGACTGCAGCGAGGTTCCTTAACATCGACCGTCATGGAGAAATGCAGCTTCGGATCGATGAACTAGGTTCCAATTTCCTTGCAGTCTCTACAGGGAGGATATCTGGCCCTTAGTGAACGCGGGGAAATGGTCACTCGCCTCCTGTGGATCATCGCACATGACAAGGCCATCGAGTCGATGTATGGCATGAATGTATCGGAGGGCTACCTCCGATTCCACAGACCCATCTCCGTCATCGCCTTTCTCAAGTCTCTCTTTCACGAGGATCACCACAAGGAGATCCTGAACGCGACACCAGTTGGCGGTCCCAATGGTGCCTCTCTCGAGGAAACATTCAAAGACGCCTATTTGAATTTCACTCACTTTGCCTTGGCTGCCGATAGCGAGGTTCTTCGAGCATCACAGATCTTTCAACTGCTTCTTCGAGGCACTGCTATCCAATGCCGGAACAACAAAGACATGATCCATCATGTGGTGCCCATCTTATTTGGAGATCCAGCCATGACCGAAATTTGGGAGGATGCTGCGTTGGCCATGCAAGGTCACATCAAAAATCGGAACACCCCTCGAGACGGCCTGCGGATCAGCCCGAACATCACCCACCCAAACCACGATCTCCCTGTACTCTCTCTTCAACACGAACTAAGCGCCTCGTACAGCAGTGTGCGGTGCGTCGAGAGAGACTCCTACGGTGTTTGCGCGGGGCCCGACGGTCTCGATGTGCAGAGACGGCACTGTCACATAGTTGCGTACGGTACGAGTTCCGCGACCTATGCGGCGATCCCTCCCTCAACAGACGGTATCTATGCCTCGCTCCTGGCCCCGGCCCATGTGATCGACGATTTTCCTCGAGCGAGTCTCCCGGGATCGAGGAAGATGCTGGATCAGATGCTTCCAGCTCTGCAATACGCAGAGAGGGGTTTCTCATGATTTTAAGTTGACGCTGTAAATGTCGTTTATTAGGATCAGATCTGACTGATTTTCTTTGGCGATAGCGTGTATGTATTCCCGTGCTGGCCATGTTTTCATGTGCTCAATAAAACTAGGTGAAAATATCTGGAATCAACAATGTTCTTTACCTCCGTATCGCCAGTCACACTTGTAGCACATTCCCAAAGCAGCCTTAACTGGCCTGACATCTCAACTTCATTACAAGCAAGACAAAGGCTCTGATCACCAAATTCTCATACAAGATGCAATGGTATTCTTGAGCGCCCAGATGTTAAGATTCATTCCAAGATAGGGGCCAGTCAACAATGCAAAATGCTATCGATACTATTACTCAGTATCTTTAGATGTCGAGAAGTTCCCTTGCATGCTCCAAAACGGACAAAACCTCTGGAGAACGTGGGGTGAATTGGCATTGAAAAGGGACTGGGCGGCTATGATGCGGGCTAAAGATGAGCTCTGAATCAAGTCAAGTCTAGAAGACACACTCACACCACTAGCCCATCCTCCACGCATCCCTTCAAGTCCAAAGTCATTGGCCTTCTATTTATTTCTAGCGGTCTCCTGATATCCATAGCCCATAAAATCATGGCTATATCTATAAAGAGCGAGTTGTCCGCGACGTAACGTCCAACACAAACTCGCCTCCCAAATCCATACGTCGCGTGCCCCTCGTGCCCATCAAGACTTTGAGTGCTCTTGGCGGAAACGAGATACCTCTCTGGATTAAAGTGCTCTGCATCTGCACCATATGTTTCGATGTCCCGATTCATTTGCCAGGTATTAGGTATGACGATGGTGCCAGCTGGAATGAAGTAGCCACGGTACCAGTCGTCGTGTGTCGAAGAGTGAGGCAGACCAAGCGGATCAATAGGTCGCCAACGGAGGGCTTCTTCAACCATCGCGCGTATGTATGGAAGGTGGTCGTAGTCGGCAAAGGACGGGAGGCGTGATCTCCCAACGACTGCGTCGAGCTCAGCTTGCGCGCGCTCCTGAGTCTCAGGATACATGAGCATTGCGAGGACCCACCAGGCTAAGACGCCAGCAGTTGTCTCGGAGCCGGCAGCGCTTAGCATGGATCATTTTTAGTAAGGATCAGGTTGGAGCAGTAGATGCACCATGCGTACTACATCGTCGCCGCAAGCCACGCGTTGTCGCTATTCGAGAGCTGGTGGTGTTCTTGCTGTTCTATCAATGTAGAAGCAAAGCTGGGACCTCCATCACCGTTCTTCTACGAGCAGCTACTCGGTCAAGAGAATGCGAGCATCAAAAAAGATGTGACACATACATCCCGCTCTCGCGCACTGTTGAACAATCCTTCGAATATGATTGTCCCGCGACTAAACCACCCCTCAGCTTGATGCTTCCATGTTGCAAACCTGCGGCGAAGAAATTTTGAATATATATATATTGCATACATGAAATGCAGAGTCGAGTGCACCGTTCAGGAATGTATATCATCCAAGGGAAAAACTCGACCAAGTGGGCACCGGGATGAGCAGCCGTCGTAACTTGGGCGACCAACTCGTTGATGTTTGCGATCGAAGGGTCACTGTTCGACTCAATGGGTGGAGTACCATATACAACGGACATAATAACAGATGCGGCTGCGCGGCGGAGGTGCTGATCCCAGCGGATCGGATCGGTGGCAATCCCATGAACAAGAAGGATGGCCTCGGTGGTTTGGGTGTTATGATACTTCTTGACTACATTCTTGTTGAATCCTCCATGTGCAGCCTTGCGCATGCGGCGCCAGCTGTTTCGTTCTATAGGTAACAAAGTGAAAATCGAGCGAGAAAAACCTTACATGCCGTCGTAACGCCCAAAGGCAATGACAAGACCCTCTGTCATCATGTTGATGACATTGCGCGGGCGATCTGAGTAAATACTGGCTCGACGGTCCAGTAGGTCTGTTGCAGCTTGCTGCGAGTTGAGCACTAGAAATGGCTGCCCAAGAATATGGAAATAGACGAGGTCACCTGAGAAGGAGCTGAAGAAAGATTATGTGAAGAGTTATTAGAGTATCCCACCATAAGTTTTCTTCCATTGGGTGAATGACAGCCATAGTTGGCTGTTGGGCTGTAGGACATTGCCCACTAGGGGAAAGCCCCTTGGACCTGGGGGAAGTTTCCGCCAAGGGCTCCGAGTATACCTTATTATCAGGAAAGTGAGGAATGCAATGGTGGAAGCGACGAAGATCAGGTTGTGAGACGCTGGTAATTCTGTCATAGCGATCGACTGAATCGATGAAAGTGGCGATAATAGAGAGTCGTTGACTTCGCTATCAGAGGATTGAGCCTTTATACCCATCTGTCCTCTGAGTGTTCCGTTTACAACGATGCACGAAAGCATTTCTTGGTCTGTGGAATGCATCATGAATCTTGGTCCATATATCACCCTCGTAATGCGAAGGCGGTTTTCCAGCATTGCTTTCATCGCTGTCGTACAAAACTCTGGCAATATCGAGCACCGGCACCGATTGATACGCAGGGCTTCTATCTGAGGATAAGGACGTAAGAAAAAAAAGGTAGGTAAGGATACCATCAAAGGAGAGATGACGAGAAATCCACTGTGAACTTCTCGTGATAGCAGACTCTACCTACGATTGTGCGAAACAATGGCTCCGACAGCAATGATGACAACATATGATACATGAGTCGCGTGTTTCTGTAGCACTCATGCTTGAGTTATGGCGGCAATTCTGCCAAACGACGAGGATTGCGGAATGGCGTAGGAACGTCAGGAAAGACGGAAAGTTACGGAAAAGGGAGTTGTGCAGAACACTTTGGGGCGATGGAACTTGACACCTTATTTTGCGGATTTACGGACGCGAATCTCGATGTCAAGTAACAGAAGAATGAGGATGAGCTGTCGTGTTTCCTAGACCCCGAACGGCCCAATGGCAACGATACTACTGATGCGTCAGTGCGTCCTGCCGACTAAGCAGAAGGGAGAGGTAGAACGATGTATAGAGCTAACTTTTTGTACGAGGCCCTGCCTCATGGTTTAAGACGGAATGAGCAGGTGCTGTGGGGTTGCGCAATCACTGATGCAAAATGGAGGCCTGTGAAGCGTGCTCCGTGCTCACCTACTTCTCTGGCAGAATTAGTTCAAGACTACATCTTAGAACGGCATTGTCTTCTCATGAATATCCAAGGTCCCTGAAGGAAGAGCGATCGAGACTCAAGGGTGTGATACACATACTTCATGTTGGATAATTGCTCGCATGTTAGATGCTGGACGTATGTTGGATGCTGGAAGCGGTGTCGGGGATGCACGCTGAAAGAGGGTCAAATACCGATAGCAGCTGTACGTCAAACGGCGCGTTTCAAGCTGTGTCGAGACGACAGCAATAAGTAGAGATGTGGACCAGTCCTGGACCGTGGTCGGCCACAGAGTCACAGGCGTTCGGGGATGACCGCAACTTTGCCCACGACCGTTACTGTCGACGCTACAATCATATGCAACTCGCTCGAATGACCCACCACTTATTCCCTCTACCGACCCACAGGTGACGTGGCCTTGGCTAAGGCCGGCTCGCAGACTTGGACCTGCCCCTGCCTGATCTACCGACAACGTTGCAATGGGACAAACCCTCAGCCTGTTTTCTCAACTGTTCCCGCCTGCTTCACATTTCTCTGTTCACGACATTCCAGACCTTACAGGCCGTATTGCGCTTGTAACAGGCGGAAATGCTGGAATCGGAAAAGAAACAGTACGCGCTTTGTTAGAGCACAACGCCACAGTATATCTCGCCGCGCGGTCGAGGAGCAGGGCCGAAGAAACAATTTTGGAACTTAAGCAGAGCATAGGGAAGGAGGCGCAGTTTTTGTTGTGTGATTTGGCGAGCATGGAGAGTGTGAGGGGCGCCGCACAGGAATTTATGAGCAAAGAGACAGAGCTGCATATGCTGTTCAATAACGGGTGCGAATATTTCTCTCATACATCCAGAAAGTGTGGAGACTTGACGTCTTCTAATTGCAGCGGGGTGTTGTCTCCTCCAATAGATCAACTCACCGTAGAAGGTATCGATCTCCAATGGGGAGTCAATGTTGTAGGACATGCCCTTCTTACTTTCCTCCTCCTCCCTGCCCTTCTTTCCGGAGCAAAGTCGTCTCCAGATGGCAAGGCCAGAGTGGTGAACACATCATCGATTGCATCTTATGGTGATATCATACATTGGGACTCTTTTCTACCTGGAGAGGCGAGAGACAAAATGGGCTCAAGGCGTCTGTATATGCAGAGCAAACATGTGCGTAGTAATCTTATTCGTGTGCGCCATGTGACAGAAGAGATGTTCACAACACGTTCAGGGTAATATTGTATTCGCCCGTGAATTAGGTCGGCGTTATGGAGATAGCATCATTTCGACCGCAGTCAATCCAGGAAATATCCGCACTACTCTATACCGCCATTACCCTTCCCTGCTCGAGCGTTTGGCTGTACGTCGTTTTCGCACTCAGCTGCCGCACGATGATACCTAATGATTCATTGATGTACAGCTTTCAACAATGTACCCTCCTCCAACAGGTGCACTGACGCAGCTTTGGGCCGGCACTTCGCATGAAACTATAGATTTCAACGGAAAGGTCCTGTGATCTCTGCTTTCGCTCCTTTCGCTGTCCTTACTCACAAGGGAACGCTGCAGTTCCTGATCCCTTTCGCCCGTGTAGGTGAATGTCGTGCGGAGGCAAACGACCCCGAAGTTGGTAGTCGCTTATGGGCATATCTTGAAGAAGTGACTACCAAGCCTTGAACTGTAGGTCCTTCGCAGGAAATGGAACATGGTAACAATGCAAAGGCGTTGATTGCATCATGTAGAGCAAGCATGGCCGAATGACATGATTGGAAGAATCATTTTCTTCTGTGCGACTGTTGGAACAAGTTATGGATGCGTATGGTTTACTTCCGAGATACGATCATTCGGGCGCACAAGGATGCGGTGTACTCTCAGTACAACAAACTGGGTAAGCCATACAAAGGTCGTCCTGATCTCTGGGTATGGAATGTGATCCATAGCCGCCACGTCTCAGTATAATTCGTTGCGAGTATTTTTATTCATCCAATCAATCATACATGTTTGGTATTGAAACAGCTATCCAGCACCGATTTTCTTCATACACTTTCAGATCTGCGTCGACTAACACGCTGCTCACAGCCCGACACATTTACCCGCCAACCCTTGTACCATTCTCAGCAGTGCACTGGAACCATACGGAGCATTGAGGGTAGATTCCACTAGGCTCGTCTCCGGCATCTTGGAGCAGAAGAGCGACGACTCCATGAGGAGGTACACTTGGAGCTGTAAAGTTTCGCACGGCTGTACCGTTGTTCGTATGGGTCCAGAGGTCCTACGGAGATGATAAGTTAAAGTGACCGTGGACAGTGAACGAACGCATACCCTAACGGAGTACTGTCGCCCAGCACGGATCCAGGGAGACTCAGTGAGATTAAAGAAGAGGTCAGACGGCTCGCTGAGCGTGTTCAGCTGTGGTGGAAACGAGGGATTTAACAAAGGCGTAAGCAAGAATTATGTGTCAAATCCGACGCGCCAACATGAACACAGTTCCATTCTGACTCGGTCCGCTCCAATATTGCGCAGGATATGTCGAATTACTGGTCCAATCCGGCTATAGCGCTGTTATTCAGTGACAAAATATAAGTCGGCTAAACATACATTGATTCCCCATCGAAAGGGTGAGATACTGGATCCTTTGACAGGGTCCTGGTTAATCGCGAGGATTTCTCGGTTCTTCAGAATGCCCAGTATATCGTCAGTGATGGCGGACAACTGTGGTGCGAATGATCGAGTATAACCGACAGATAAGCATACGCGAATAAAAATTAAAATTAAAAAATTAAAAAAAACGACGTACGTTGGTGCCGATTAGGAGCGGGGACTTCATGAGCGCCCAAGCGGTGAAGTGGGACTTTGCCTCATCGTAGGTCAGGCCGCCATTGCCTCTATATAGATGTTATTACAACTCTCAATTTGCACGTTCATAAACCCAAGGCGAGAGCGTTGACGCACAATTGTAACTTATATTGTGAGAAGTTTGATATGAGCTATTTGTTCGGAACAAGATGAGCTCACCATGTCCAAATCATTTCGACCATAAAAGCCCGTCGCTTGGGTGATGAAGGAGTTGCTTAATTATAGGTCAGATCAAGATCTATCCACGAGAGAAAACACAAACAAATTGATGATATTGGTCAAGGACGCCCAGTTGGGACCAATGTCACCAGTGGTCTGTAAACGATCAGAGCAAGCATCTCATAAAAAAGAAGACGCCTTACACGCCAACTATGCGCCATACTAGCTCCCCACCTGAGGAACAATCATATATCACGTCTTCTGGACGGAAGAGGTGAACATACATCCATACTTGGCTCTGAGAAATACTTCGTCAGTGCGCTCATCGTGCCATACATAATATCACAGACCCAGCCCCATTCACACAACGAATAAACGATCTGGACATGTGACTGCTGCGAAACCGCATTTATCGCGTCTGCCATGCGCTGGTATTCTATAATACCGGTGAGAATCGGTAGTAGGATGTGAATAACAGGAAGCTCACTTCCTATGATCCCCTGGCGGATTATGTCGTCAAATGGGACTATTAGAGGAAAGTTAGCATACTATTCATGCGGAAAATCAAAGAGGGCTTACTAGCGCAATTGTCGAATTTCAGATAATCAAAGCCCCAATCAACGAAAAATGTCTGAGCATCTTGCTGTTCATGCTCGAACGAACCAGGGTACCCTGCGCAAGTGAACCATCCCGAGTCGCTATACTGGTCAGGGAAGCGTGAGGCATTGAATGCTGATGCGGACTGTTCATACTTACAATTCCCGCTTTGCTGGTAGGAAGAATGGTTAGAACGTATATATCCTAGCCACAATAATCGCGAGCGTACAATCCAAGTCTTCGAATCTGGGTGGTGAGATTCTTCATTCCGCTCTTGAATCGTACTCGATCTGATGACAATTAACCTGTATGATTTGGGCAATGAAAGTGAACTGAAGGCGCATTTACCGGCCACCACAGTACCAGCTGATGTCCTATTCTTTTCAGCCCAACAATCATCAAGATTAACGTACGTGTAACCAGCATCCTAGAACCGAGCTCATAAGTCGAGGTTGGCCTATCTTCAGACATGTTTTTACTTACTTGAAGACCAAGCGATTTCATTAGCTTTGCGGTGGTGAGGATGAGGTCTTCGTCGATGTCGCACTGATGAAGAGATCATTCGTGAAATTACTGGATCCACACGGAAGGCAATATGTGCAAATACCTGATAGGCATTCCATGCTTTATGACACGAGAGGTGAACCAAATGAACAGGTCTAGAAAAATACTGGCGTACTATTATACCCAAGAACTGATATTAGAAGCCGGTGTTATAAATATGTAATTATACACAGCAACGTTGCAATTCACCTGGAAGCCTTGCAATGCCGTTGGCAAGACCTTGAACAGGTGAAACACCTGTCATAATCTGGAGAAGTGCTAAGCCCTTTAAAGTAGTTGTACCAATCTTTTGCCAATGCATTCTTGAGAGGATCACGGATTCAAAGGAACGGGGGAAATGGATTCAACAGGACGGGCAGAGGCTGAACCTTTATAATGTTAAGGAGTGATATATATGGCCGCTTGCTTTGTCAAAAGAACAGAGAAGCTAATTCTCAGAGAATTCTACAAGAATGCCGCATGACTGTCAAAAACAGTGAACAGAGTAGATGACACCGTACTGAAACCATCTTGCTCCGAGTATTGCCCGAGCAGTACCAGGAGACATAAGATCGCTTAACCACATGATCATCAAGGGCATCACAAGGACCTTCCTTCAGCGAATGCGGACTTTATACATGAGCAGTAGGACGTCAGGGCTAGAAGGACTCGATGAGGAATCTCTTCTGCGACGATAAAGAGGCCCCTACAGAATGGTAACGGCCCGGGACAAGGTGACCAGGTAATATTAGTTCCATTGAAACGCGTCGAGCCAGGCCGAGCCTTTGACAGTCAAGATGACCGATCCAAGAACAGGGAGAGGGCCAATTTGATCTGCCGGGAGTCAAGTGCCCTCTAGTGCCCTTGATGAAACGAGCCAGTAGAATCAACCTTGCGTTAGCTAGCCTACGAACCATCCAAGTAAGCAACATGAGATGCTGGGGACAGGATGTTGACAATGCATTGTGGCCGGAAAAGCAGATGATTTGTAAAACTGAGCATTGTAGTAACAAATCGAAAGAGCGGTGGAAGAGACATCCACAGGTCGGTAATTATTCCAGAGTTCAAACTCAGCTTACCACGCCTCTTCCGTCGTCCTCGCCGTCGTCCCCAGCATACTCCTCTCCCGAACGATATCGCCGTCGACTTGGGCGATTTACCACCATGAAGCTCGTAAGGTGAATACCTCGCTTTCTTTTCATATTGCTCCACAAAGTTGGACTGTATATCCTTCATTCCACAGTCACTCTACCTGCGCACATTCCTCGTTTTCTCCCTGTGCGGGTACGCCTGGATAAGCACTGATCGCCGCATTCTGCACAGATTTTTGATGAAACTCAACAATGAGACTGTAACGATTGAACTCAAAAACGGATGCGTCGTCCATGGGACGATCACTGGTACGTTTATACATCATCTCGTCTCGATATCAGGCTGATGTCCTACTTTTCTTCGCCAAAAAGGGGTCGACATGCAAATGAACACTCATCTCAAAACGGTCAAAATGACCGCTCGCAACCGTGATCCGACATCCCTCGACTCGCTTTCAATCCGCGGAAACAACATCCGTTACTTTATCCTTCCTGACTCCTTGCCTCTTGACACTCTTCTTGTCGACGATGCGCCTAAACCGAAGGGAAGGAAGAAGGAAGATACACGCGGAAGGGGTCGTGGTGGTCGTGGCGGAGGAGACAGGGGTCGTTCTCGTGGACGTGGACGAGGCCGGGGCCGGGGTTTCTAGTCGTTCGATGGAGCATTGAACGGATGTGGGAATAGCGATGCGCGATCCGATGTTATTGAATGCAGTACGTCGTTTGTCTCACTGCACGAACCTCTGGCTTTCTTGCTAGTTTTGTATCCATTCTTCTGTTTATCTTGTCCATCTCATCCTCTCGCCTTGTGAGCCATTACATAGCAATTCGCGCTTTGCTCTCCATAAAAGAGTGGCTAGACGAGCTTGCTTCATGTCGAAAACGCTCGGAACCTTCTCATCAACATCACAGTTGTGGTCCATGGTGGTGAGCATCGTAGGTGGAAATCCTTTACTCAATCTCTCATTCTTGTCTGCTCAGTGAGACATCAATGGTCTACAGATGTTCTGCTGCCGGCTCTCTTTGACACATATTGTACTGAGAACACAAGTACAGCATGTATTACACAAATTGTAGTGCAAAGACGAAAATATACCATGTAATGGAAACACATCTTCTCCACTATCTTCCGAGGAGAGTTCAAGCCTTGAGGTCCTCCCTCCCAATTCAGTGTACACATCCTGACACTTGCCGTCGGAAACATCACCTAGTGGTAGCAGGGGACTTGTTTGTAAGTGTGCGGGAATTGAAGTGCATGGCATCAACGACCCACTCAAGCTGTATTGAGGCATATACATATATGCTCCAAGATCATGCAACGAGAGCTGACTCGCCAACCGTGTGGGTGATAGAAACATGCTCAGCGATAGAGCGCGGCCGTAAGGCGTTGCAATGGCTTCAAGATCATTATGAACCGCCCACAGGAGATCAAAGTGATTGCCGTAGTGGGAGATCATCGAAGCACGTCCCGGGAAGAATCCTTGATCTGCCATGTCGAAGACAACAACAATATAAATAAGTACTAGCAGGTACTAGCGTCATGGATCGGCGGGAAAGACAATAGCCTGGCTGTGAGTTGTTACCAACCGCGTTGTTAGCATTGGGCAGCATTGTCGGTATCCCTTGTCCTCTGGAAGTGTCGTAGACATCTTCAGCTACAGTCAATCCAAGTATACGTGGAAGTGGTACTGCGAATTTTTCCGAGACAGCAAGCGGAGAATACTGGCAAGTTCAATGGCCACAGGACTGAGCATTGCCCATTTTGAATCTCCATAAGTGCACGTGGCACAACGCACCGAGCTACAGACCTCACAGTTCGATCAACTCCATATACTATGCAGGATTCTCGACGAGTCAGCGTATGTTCCGAAAGGAAATCGCTCTCTTTAAGGTTCTGGAGTTGATCCATAGCTGACGCTCACGGCCTTGTATACCAACTATGCATTTTCCTTGACTCATCCAAAGCTTGTCACATCACTTCGAATTATGGACTGTATCCTCGAAGGATAGCAATGTGGAAGGTATCATGATATTGTATAGATCACCGTAGCAGGACACCAATTTGCATCCATCTTCGCCTGAGAACGAGGGTGAACTGAACGTCGGCTTAGGTATGAGACAGGAGTACATACACGGTGTGCAACAGATCCTATGCCCGCCACTGACTGTTGAGTCGAACCCAACCCACCAACCCACCGACGACGAAGAGCGACGCCCATGCTCTCAAAGTCCACGGTGCCGAATCGCTCTCTATAGTCGAGACGTCTTCCCACAACTCCACTTCTACATTCTCGACGAATTGTTCTTCAGAAGAGTATCCGTCCAGAGGGTGATTTTGGCTCAGTGGTATCGAGAGGCCAGTGTCGACCACAGATGAAGCAAGAACTTCGGCATGCGCGACGCCGCCGAAAAAGTCGGTGATGAGTGTGCGCTCCAGCGGGCGGTTAAAAAGATCAGCACGGACGCCTGCATGCGAGCGGATTGTCACAGGGTCATACTTTGAAAACTGAGCCACACAAATATGCATGAGCATCACAGGAATACCCAAATCGTGAGGAGAAAAAGAACACTCACGAGGTCGGTCATACTTGCATGACTCGTCTTGTTGATGCCTTCCATGAAATCAAGAACGAAGTGCGTGAAGCTATCTATTACGGCGACGCCTATATCATTATCGTTCTCGTACTATAGTAAATGTGAGTTTTATAGCGCTCTAATCATGACGCAGAGCCTACCGAGTATGAATTCTCCCGAATCTCAGACGAGCCCGTTGCCAGAATGTTAGGAGAGTAGAACTTGGAGTACATTGTATTGGCTTGACAAGTATCAATCATGAAGAAGATCTCGTTGTATCTATCGCGGATGCAACAAGAGCACAAATGAAAAGTCGTGAAACTGCCGTGAGCCCCGGCGAAAGGAAGCGCGACATGACGATGGAAGGATTGCTCACCGTTTCTTCTGCCACATCTGCTCAAACGCATCAGCAATGTCAAACGCACTGATCTCCTCGTTGTCTTGGAACTTGAGGAACTCGTTCCCACCATGACCAGTCATGTACACGAAGATGTTGGAGCGGTCATCCGTGAGGAGCCGCTTCGAACGTGGGACGGACGGCTCGACACGACCTAACGCAGTGAGATGACAAGGGGTGAGATGACAAGGGGTAGGCGCATAGGCTGCCACGCACAGGCACGACGGCGTCGGGTACGTACCCGTCAATACACGCAAGAAATTCTCGACAGTAACTTCGTATCCACGGTAGTCAACCTCGATGTTTTCCCCATAGAGGTCCAGATGTCGTCCCTTATTCGCGAAAACACAGCCCGGGTAGCGGTTACGCGCGTTGCATGCGACATCATCGGCGAGCATGAGAATGATATTTGAGTCGGGTATACCAAGTCGCTTCACAGTGCGATACCTGAAATGCATTGCACGGAGAAGGCGGAGTAGAAGAGGTTAGACAAGTATTTGCATCCCGGCTTTGCGGCAGTGGGCGTGAGGTTCGAACGTACATTCCTAGAGCATTGGCCATATGCTGCGCCAAAAGGAAATAACTGAGTCACATTTCCATAAAGTGAAGATGATTGCACCTACTCGATAGTTGAACCAATAGCGCGATGCACATACGAGCACTGCCCAGTTGTTAGTGTGTTCTGACTCGGATGCGGCGCCAACCGCATTGCGATCAAAAAATTGTCGGACATCAGAGTCTGGGCCCTCGGTGGGCCAAGCTGAAATAGCAAGGCGGATGTGAGAGAGCAGACATAGGAGCAGGATGTGTTGGGGGAGGAAAGAGAGATGCATTGACTACAAGTTCGAACCCGGAGGTCGTGGGAAATAAGATCTGAGCCTTCAGGCCTTCAGGGAACACCTGGGAACACTCTGCCGGGAATACCAACACCGACTCAACATTCTTGTGCTATCGATGTCTCGCTCAACACCATTAGCACCTGCTGAATAAAAACTACTGCAAAGCCATCATGGTCAACAAGCATGCACCGCTAGATGCATCGGTGGAGTTGATGAGCGTGTTTTCGCGTCATCTGTAAGGGAATGTCACATCTTTGAAAGTTCCTCCCCCAAGATGCGAACACACGTACGCCTACTGATGCAGTTCGAAGGCAGCAACGGGACGCAATAAAGCGTCCTAGTCTTGGATGGGAGAGGGTGGTTGCAGAAATGCACCCGACTCATTCTAGCATCGCACTGGGCGAAAATCTCATATAATTATATCGACGCAACTAGGGGCAAGATCATGAACATTGTGGAGAGCAGCAGCAAATTCTCTTCAACTCCCTCTGCTGTCTACACTATACAAGTAGAACATGATAAAAGTACCGATGCAAATGGATTCAATTATGGTCGCGGCGTATCCCTGCGTGGAGTCAAAACCCATCCGAACATCAACTCAGATCAAAACCATGAGAAACTCCTCTCTGCGTATTGCAGAGCTGGAAGCATCTGATCCAGCATCTTCCTCGATCCCGGGAGACTCGCTCGAGGAAAATCGTCGATCACATGGGCCGGGGCCAGGAGCGAGGCATAGATACCGTCTGTTGAGGGAGGGATCGCCGCATAGGTCGCGGAACTCGTACCGTACGCAACTATGTGACAGTGCCGTCTCTGCACATCGAGACCGTCGGGCCCCGCGCAAACACCGTAGGAGTCTCTCTCGACGCACCGCACACTGCTGTACGAGGCGCTTAGTTCGTGTTGAAGAGAGAGTACAGGGAGATCGTGGTTTGGGTGGGTGATGTTCGGGCTGATCCGCAGGCCGTCTCGAGGGGTGTTCCGATTTTTGATGTGACCTTGCATGGCCAACGCAGCATCCTCCCAAATTTCGGTCATGGCTGGATCTCCAAATAAGATGGGCACCACATGATGGATCATGTCTTTGTTGTTCCGGCATTGGATAGCAGTGCCTCGAAGAAGCAGTTGAAAGATCTGTGATGCTCGAAGAACCTCGCTATCGGCAGCCAAGGCAAAGTGAGTGAAATTCAAATAGGCGTCTTTGAATGTTTCCTCGAGAGAGGCACCATTGGGACCGCCAACTGGTGTCGCGTTCAGGATCTCCTTGTGGTGATCCTCGTGAAAGAGAGACTTGAGAAAGGCGATGACGGAGATGGGTCTGTGGAATCGGAGGTAGCCCTCCGATACATTCATGCCATACATCGACTCGATGGCCTTGTCATGTGCGATGATCCACAGGAGGCGAGTGACCATTTCCCCGCGTTCACTAAGGGCCAGATATCCTCCCTGTAGAGACTGCAAGGAAATTGGAACCTAGTTCATCGATCCGAAGCTGCATTTCTCCATGACGGTCGATGTTAAGGAACCTCGCTGCAGTCTCTGCGAGGATGGGCTCCGACGGCGTTCTCGTGCGCATGAATTGGCGGTGCTTGGGAACTGCAAACACGACGCGCGTGTGCCACTCCACGAGCTCAGAGACGGTGGCTCGTCCAGTTTCGTCGACCGAATCGAAATCGAGCAGGATGCGCACGGAGAGGCAGGCCATTTTCGCAGTCAGGCTCAGATCATCTCCCGCCGATGGCTCGTGCTATTTGAGCTTTGCGAACCCTATGGTCGAGTCCTTCTTCGTATAGGCATGTTTGTAGAGAGAACACCACCTAGAAAGAGACTCGGTGAGTCGGGCAGAACAGTTTCAGGCAAGAAAGTGACAATGGGCGCCCAGATCTGGCGATGACATCGAGATTGTGAACCGAGTTGAGGGAGACCGGCTCATTCAGACTCTGCTCCTTGAGGCTGGTGTACAGACCAGTCGCGAACGTATCGAATGAGAGCTCTGTGAAAGGGGGGGAAAGCATAGTGCCATGCTCCACGCGAAAGGAAGACTGTAAATATGCTGGCACAGCCAGTTCTTGTAGCTGAGACTTCGTGGAAAGGAATATCGTGAAGACAGGCAGCGGCCCGGCCACGTTAGCACCGTGCCCAGGTTTTGATACACGGTGCGTGCATGGGGGAAGTACCTCAACTTCCCCGTCATAACATGTGCCTCGTCGATGGATATGTAAAACTTGACAGGAGTGACTGGCGAGCCCTCGCTTCGTGCATCCTCGAGTGCGTCCAAGAGGCCTTGGCAGCTTGTCTCCAGTAACTCTTGCGCGCTTTTAATATGGAAGCCTCCGGATTTCACGATCTGCGATCACACCTGTGAGCGAGTCACGAGCCTTCGAACCCAACGACGGCTCACCGTTTCCGCATCGTCGATCGCCTCTTCATACAACGCCGCCCGTCTAGTCCCGACTCTCTCTGCAGAACTACCTTCTTCCATCCGAGTGTGCCACCATTGCGCGGTGTCGTCTGCAGTCGTGGGCCGGAACCTCTTGAGCTCAGTCGTTGCCTTTCGGAAAAGAGCAATGAAGAATGCGCCCAATCGAAGCTGAACCTGGGAGTCCGAAAGCGCGGTGGAGTGCAGGTGCGAAAAAAATTCTCGCACAGCGATGTCGGTAGGTGGATAAGCTGTATGAAATTCATATATGCTCGAGGGGTCTTACGATGAGCAACTCACAGAAAGTACCGACCGACCCGGGGTCCCGCAGATTGAGAAGAAACGCAAACCGCTTTCGCGCTGCGATGTCGACCGTACGAGACTTGCCCATACCGGAGGATCGAAGCATGTCTATCGAGTAGTTGTAGGGTGGAATAGCTTTTGCTGGCCCTAATTCGCAATAAGAATCTATCATGGCCAACAGGGCTTGATGACCCTCTCCCTGATAGGAATCTCTGAATGCGTTATGGATGTCTATAGATGCACGAGCTCTCGCTCTCATCTCTCGATCGTGGACAATGATGGCTGCACTCACTGTTCACTAGGTCACACGGAGACGACGGTCAGATATCCCGCGATCGCGGCGGCTTCGTTATACCCACTCAATGCTGGAGACAGTGTTTTCAAATCTATCTTTGGCTTTTGAAAACTCTCTATCGGGAGCGAGTTCAGATCGGGATTTGACGAGGGAGTGCGGCATATTGGAGGTGGCACTCACTAAGCCGTCGCATATCTGCCACGGACCCCTTCTTCTTGCATTTGAGGAAGAGCTTTTCAAGTTCAGCGTCATGGGCCCTCCAGTTTGCTCCTGAAATCATGTGCGGGCAAAGCAACGTCATCACCTTCACCAGCGATATGACTGATGGCGTTCCAATGAGGAGTTCGTCTACCGCCGTAGTGTGCGTGCACTGAGAGTGGTCATGAGTGTCGGCCACAAGTTCGAGCGGCATGGCGTATGTGGTGAGTAGAGCGATGCCTTGATGAAAGTGGACAAGATCTAGGGTGATGCGAAAGTCGTCGAGTTGCGGGTCCGAATTTATAGTGAGACCTGGCCTCATCGATCGATCCCGGCAATGCGAGGTCATCTCAGCCCGAGTTCGACGAGGCTTGACTGCCTCCCCTAGAACGACTTGTCTTCCGTGTATAGGGTCAGCAATGGAGACTACGTGCGAGCTCTCGCAGGCCCGCACAGAGCTGCTCAACACCAGTGGCATCAAGTCGCTTCGGGCCTTGGAACATCAGCTGTTCTCAAATGAGGCCGAGTCGCAAATGCCGTGTAACCGCTTCGAGGGCTAAGGGCAAGATATTCAAAGCTCGCGTGAGTGCATCGAGAAGGCCGGGAGAGGGCGCCACGACGCGGGACCGCGTTGGGCATGTGCTAAACAACTGCAAATATGGCGCGTCGAACGCGATGACCAGTGCGTGCTTGTGCCACTGGTACGCTCATCGACTGGAGCGTATCACTGCACTGCGTACATCCAATCATATGCCTTCCACCGCCAAGAATGCGAACGCCTCAAAGAAACCTCGCTCAACGAAGCGAATTGCTGCGTCGACGAGAAATGCTGCACCGGTGAGAACTGGTGAGCTGAAGGAGATTGCAGCACAAAGGAAGATTTTGACAGCGAAGAAAGCGAATACACGTACAGCTTCGAAAAAATCTTTCCGAAAGGGCATTCTGAAACAACCGATAGGTATGTCACATCCTCATATTCATTGAATCATGGTTTGATCACTGATTGAAAATCTATCTACATGTACTGTCGTAGCAATATCCGAAGGTATCCATGATCAACACAGTGCTACACCAACGAACACAGACTGTTCCGATATTGAACGATGTCTTTTGACCCTCGAGCTACCCACGAAGGCGGCAGTGAAACCCTGTTATGTATTGAACGAGCATCTTTGGAGGAACAATAAACTGGTGTGTGTGTTCAAATCTTCGGCCAAATATACTTGTATCCTGAGGTGAGTACAGCTCGCACGCCTGGAATGGTGGTGGGGTATGAAATATGACTCGCTTGAGCTTGATGGTGCATCAAACAGAATCTATTGTTGGTATCGTCGCTCTCCCTGTTCATTCCTCAGTTCACCTTTTCTCTTGCGACATTTAGTGCGCGATGACTGGCTGGAGTCATTTGACAGTGGGCGGTGGTTGCTGCTCCCTTCCTTTGACGTCCTGGACAAGATATGGACACAGTGCACAGATAACTCCATGTTGCCCGAAAACGCGAACAGAGCGCCACTTGAGCAGGTGTGGCAGCCTTTGTTAGCACTGACTACCGCCTTGCTGATAATTTTCATCAGATCTATGATGGCGCAGAAACATTTGAGTATCGACTGCTGCCGCTGGACAACACTATCTCCTCTATCACTCGCTTCGATCGACCAGCTCGATCTACCAATCCCAGGTCAAAAAAAACGCCAGCATCCTCTTGCTATTCCTATCCTTTTGACAAGCTGCCCACCCTTGTCTCGCATGTCAAGCCCCATTTTGTGATTTGTGATGCGGGGCCAAAGTTAGCCCATCGAGAATTAGAGGTTCTGACTCCGATCGCCTGCGCGATTTCTGGTCTTCCCGAGACTGCAGCTGCTTACATGCTGGAAATCATGCGGGACGCGTACTATACCTGGTGTCAGGTACGCCCACCTCTGACATTCGCATCGGCCCCTCGCACTCGTCGCAATGTGCTTCGTTCTGTTGCATGCAGCAAGCTCCCAAATCAATGCCATAGGTTTCCCGCATCCTGCTCAGGGCCGTGCTTCTATAGTAAACACGATTGGTCGCCTCATCGGTGCGCCTACTGCAAGGAGATCCTCAAACCCTGCGGATTGCACGATGAGCATTCGGCCGGCCTGGACAGCGACGATGACTTGCTCACTTGTGATAGCTCGGATGAAGCGGAAGATGGCCCTCGATGTCGAGAGTATCGTGAGCATATGGTTCGACATATAGAACAGTGGTTATCATCTTGTGCGCAGGAGTCCAAACAGCGAAGGCGACGTGCTCCGGAAAACGACGAGTGAATGAGAGACTGCGCTGAACACCGCCCTAGGAAGAGACGAAGGATCATCTAGCGCTCTTAGTCGAAAGATTGCAAATGTACCTATACCACTCTCGAAGATCCTGTAGCACTCTAGTATTCTCTTTCATATGTATTGGCAACCAGTCAATGCTCCAAGCCACATCGCGACTTGTCGCAACAATGCCACCATGCCACAATCTCTCCTTCGTCAGTCCGCAATAACCGTGCCACTACAAATACCGCTCTCTAGTCGTTCCTCCCACCACATGGAGGTGCTTCAGTATGAAAACTGGGCCGTATTTTGCATGATGTTCTCAAGTTTTCACCTATGAATATATATCATACACCGTATCACGTTTGCCTAACGTCTCGTTGGTAAACGCAGTCTTTCTGCCGTCGATGTCTCGCTCAACACCATCGGCACTTACTGCAAAGCGAGCGTCGATAGACGCCTCGGTGGAATGTTCGCGCGTCACCTGCCGGTAAGGAGATATCGCCCGTCTTAGAAACGGCCCTCCTCCACGATGCGAACACACATATGCATTGTGAGGGCGCCAACGGGACACATCAACGTGTTCTGGTTCTGGAGGGAAGAGCGCCGCTGCGGAAATTCCCCAGACGCGTCATAGCATCGCACGGGGCGACGCGAGGGTCCCGCAATCACGGATCCAAACACAGCAGCGGCGTGGGGCCCGAACACCGACCCGAATTAAAACCACGCGAATCCATCCTCAGCGCATCGCAGAGCCGGAAGCACCCGAGCCCGGGAGACCCGCGCGGGGGAAATCGTCGATCACGTGGGCCGAGGCCAAGAGCGACGCGTAGACGCCGTCTGCCGAGGGCGGGATCGCGGCGTAGGTCGCGGAGCTCGCGCCGGACGCGACTGTGCGATAGTGCCGCCTCTGCGCATCCGCGCAAAGACCGTACGGGTAGCCCTCCCTCTCGACGCACCGCACGCCGCTGGGCGAGGCGCCCAGCTCGTGGTGGCGGGAGAGCACGGGGAGATCGTGGTTTGGGCGGGCGATGGGCGGGTCGTCTGGAGGAGGGTGTCTGCGGTTTTGGGTGTGGCCTTGCGTGGCCGACGTAGCCTCCTCCCGGATCTCGGTGGCGGCCGGGTCCCCGAACAAGATCGGCGCCGCCTTGGTCGTCCCGGCACTGGAGAGCGGCGCCTCGGAGGAGCAGCCGAGCGACACCCGGAGGACCTCGCTGTCCGCTGCCAACGCAAAGTGCGTGAAGCTCAGATAGGCGTCCTTGAAGACATCCTGGAGCAGGGGTGCCTGCGGGGTCACCGACGGGTGTCGCGTGCGGGATGGACGCGTGGTGGGGACTTGAGAAAGGCGAGCACGGAGACGGGCCTGTGGAAGCGGAGGTGGTGGCGCTCCGACCTGCGCATGCCGTACAGCGCCTCGGTGGCCCTGTCGTGCGCGATGGTCCGCAGGAGGCGGGTGACCGTTTCCCCGCGGTCGCGGTCGCGGTCGCCACGCGCGAGATAGCCGCACCGAAAGGCTTCGGGAAGCGTTGCGGGCCCGAGCGATCGGTGTTTGTTGAGCATCCGTGCGGCGGCCTCTGCGAGGATGGGGTCCGACGGCGTCCCCGTGTGCATAAAGTGCTCGCGCGATGATGTCGTCGCGTGTGTTGCAGGCAGTTTTGTAGAGGGAGTGTCACCTGGAATGAGGGGTCCGTGAATGGGACATCGGTGGGCGCGGGGGTGGGGGGCCTCACAGTGGTCGGCCAAACTTGGCGATGACACCGATGACACACACCGAGTCGAGGGAGAGCGGGCCGTTCGCGCTGAGCTCGCTGTATGTACCGGTTGCGAAGGCGTCAAGGGGCAGCTCTGTGACGGGAGGGAGGGGCTTGGGCGCGGCTTGTTCCTGTAGTCGGGGTCGGCGTTGAGCCACGATGATACCGTGCCCAGGTTTTGATACACGGAGCGTGTGGCGGTAGAGTTGTTCACTCGGGGAGCGAAGACGCGCGCCTCGTCGATCGCTATGAAAAATTTGACGGTCGGTGCTGGCGAGTTTTCCAGACGGGCGGCGATCGCCAGAAGAGCTCGGCAGGCCGACCTGAGAGGACTCGGAGTAGCCCTCGAGATGCGGCGGTCTGTCGACGACGCCGTGCGCGGCCTACCGATCGAGAGCTCACCGATCTGGCCCGTTCGACGACGGGTTCGTAGGACGCCGCACGCCACCATTTCGCGAGAGCGAGGTCGCCCGCGTTTGGGAATTCGTTCGCGGCATCCGCTGCCTCGCTGATCGAGCGACTTTGGACGTCGTCGTCGGAATAGGAAGCAAGTTGCAGCCGCGCAAAGTGACCACGAGCGGCGACGTCTGGGGGTGGATAGGCTTCCCGGAGCGCGGGCGACGGCGGGCGGAGCTGTCGCCGCGCATGTTGAGAAGAAAGGCGAGGCGCCTGTGGGCTGCCATGTTGACGGTGCGGGACTTGGCCATGCCGGAGGATTGGAGGATGGCGAGCGAGTAGTTGTGCGGCCTGGTGCGCTCCGAGTGGTGACAGTGGACCATGATGGCCGGCAGGACGTCGTCGCCCTGTGCCTGGTATGGATCGCTGAAAGCGGCGTGGATGTCTGTGAGCGTGTGAGCTGCGGGCATGGGTGCTTGAGCTGTAGGCAGCGGGGGGGGGGGGGGGGGGAGTTTGCTCACCCTTCACCGAGACGCAAAGGTGAGACCGCATACGGTCGGCGCAGGCATGGTCGACATGCTGATCAGTGAAGGAACTCGATCTGGGTCACTGTCCGGAGCTGGAGGGGGTTGGGAGATCTCTGTCGCGAGAGGGGCCTGGGAAGCGAGGACGGTGCTCGCAGGGAGAGGACGCGACTCACGTGCGCGCGACTGACGGCAGCGGTGACGGCAGGGAGAGTCGAGGAGAAGCGCCGTGAGGAGGTGCATGGGAGTCGCGGATCTTGGCCGGTGACGCGTGCCCCACGTGACGCTCTCGCGCTCTGCCTGCTCCTGCTCGGCCGTGGTCACGCGCGCGCTCGCCATCGACGATGAGCTCTGGTCTGCCACTGGCCGTCGACGGGCGCGGCCTGCCCAGCGAGAAGCAGCGAGAGGGCTGCCCCGCGCCTTCTCTTCCATTCCCCCCCGCTCTCTTATACCCCTCCGCTCCTCCACACGTCTCCTCCCCGCCCGCCCGCGCTGCCCGATACGCAGCCATGCTCCTCTCCGCCGCTCTCCTCTCCCTCTCCCTCGCCCTCGCCCTCCGCGCGCCTCCCTTCCGCGATCACACATCCGCCCCTCTGGGCGCAGCTCACGCCCTCCACGACCGCGTCGGTAAGCTCCCCGCCATGGGCTACAACAGTGCGTCCCTCCTCGTTGCTCTCCCGCCCGTACCCAGCGCTCACCCCGCCTCAGCCTGGAACGCCTACCACGTGCGTATCCCTCCCCTCGTCCCACCCTCCCCGCCCCGCTCACCCCCCGCCCCGCCCAGTGCGCCATCAACGAGTCCATCATCCTCCAGACAGCCCGCCTCGTAAAGTCCCTCGGCCTCGCAGACCTCGGCTACGACCACATCAACCTCGACGACTGCTGGGCAGAGAAGAACCGCTCCGCCGACGGCGCCGTCCTCGCCAGTAATGGCCCCTCTCGCGCCTCCGCCCCCCCGTCCTCGCTGACCCCCGCCCCCGCCCCCGCGCCCACAGATAAACAGGACTTTCCCTCGGGCCTCAAGAACCTCACCGACGAGATACACGCCCTCGGCCTGTGCGTTCCCTCCCTCCCGCTCACTCTCGCCCCTGACACCCGCTTCACGCTCCCCATCACAGCAAAGCCGGCATCGTGCGTCCCCCTTTCTCTCCCGGCCCCCGCGCAAGTCGTACGCCCCGCTGACCCCGCGCCTACAGTACAGCGACTCGGGCTGGTTCACCTGCCAGCTCTATCCCGGCTCCTTCCAGCATGAAGAACAGTGCGTGCATTCTCTCCCGCGCTCGCCCGCCCGACACACTGACCGCGCGCACAGGGACGCGCGCACGTTCGTCGACTGGGGGTTCGATTATCTCAAGTGAGCACCGCCTTTGGCCGCTCCTCGCCGCCGCGCTGACCCGCCCGCAGGTACGACAACTGCGCAGGTTCGTCGCTGCCCTGTTCGCGTCTTGTCCAGCCCGCGCCCTAATCACCCCGCTCGCCCCGTCGCCGCAGTCCCATTCGACGACGTCCTGCGTCAGGGCATGGTCGGCAGTACGTCCCGTCCCGTCGTAGTCCTCTGCATCTCGCGCCGCCCCGGGTACTCACTTTGCTATTCTCCGCTCGACCCCGTCGCGCCGCGCAGAGTACGAGCGCATGGCGGACGCGATACAAAAGGTCGCCAAGGAGACGGGCGCGCCGCCGCTCCTGTTCTCGCTCTGCCAGTGGGGCCGCGTGCGTGCTCTTCGCTTCTCTCCCGTATCCCATGTCTGACCCCAGTCGTTCGTGGGCCGATGCCGTGCGTGTGTGCACGCGCCCGCGAGCAGGAGCAGCCGTGGCTGTGGGCGCGCGAGTTTGGCCAGAGCTGGCGGGTGAGTGCGCGTGGTGTTTCTGCGTCGTGGCCGCGGCTGATCTGCTTTCTTCGTTCGCGCCGGGGCAGACGACGGACGATATAGGTGCGTGCGGTGCGGTGTGGCGCGTGTGCGTCGCGGGTCTGACAGCCGCGCGCGCGCAGGCCCGCATTGGGACGCGATGTCGAGCATCATCAACCAGTGCGTGTGTCCCCGTTGCGTCACCTCCTCGCTCGCTTGCTCACCGCCGCGGCGCAGGAACTCGTTTTATTCATGGGCGTCCGATTTCTACGGGCACAACGACATGGACATCGTGCGCGCGCGCTTTTTTTTTATGTTGCTCGCTCACACTCGCCGTCGTCGTGGATAGCTCGAAGTGTGCGTGCCGCTCGATCTATACCCTAGGATCTGCTGACGCCCGCGCGTGTGTGTAGCGGCAACGGGGACCTCACGTACGACGAGGCAAAGTCGCATTATACCGCATGGGCGCTCATGAAGAGCCCGCTGCTCATCGGGACCGACGTGCGTTGCCCTCTCGCGGGGGGGTTTTTTTTCGGACGTGTGCCGTGTCGCTGACCGCCACCGTCGCCTCGTCACCCTCCTCCACCGCCGCCGCGCGCGCGCGCAGCTCACGAGCATCACGGCCGAGACGCTCGAGATCCTCTCGAACCGCGAGATCATCGCGATCAACCAGGACCCCGTCGTCGGCACGGGCCTCACGCCCTTCCGCTGGGGCCGAAACGTGCGTCCCGCCCTTCCTCGAGCGAGCGAGCGAGCAACTGACGAGGCCGCGCGCGCGCGCAGCCCGATTGGACGAACGACTACACGTACCCGGCGCAGTACTGGAGCGGCCGCTCGCAGAACGGGACCGTGTTCATGCTCGTGCGTGCTCCCACCCCCCCCTCGTCCTTTCTCGCTCGCTCGCACGTGCAGCACGCTGACGCTCGCCGTTTACTGCCGCGCCCGCAGCTGAACGTGCTCGACGAACCGGCGGACATGACGTTTAGCCTTACCGAGTCGCCGTGGATCCGCGCGGGGAGGCAGTACAGCGTCCGGGTGCGTCTCGCTGTACTCTTTGTGCACCGTCGTTTGCCGCGCGCTCACGTTTACGCTTGACGCTTGATACGACGCCCGCCCGCTCGCCCGCCCGCCCGCTGCCAGGACCTCTGGGCGCACACCGACAACGGCACCGCGGTGCGCAACTTTACGGCCGCGGCTGTGCCCGCGCACGGCGTCGTCGCGCTGCTGCTGCGCGATGCCGGCGACGAGCCAGCGGGCCTTAGCCCGCCGTGCGCGGTCATCGAGTGGTGCATGGCGCCGAACGGGACGCGGTACGACGGGCAGTGAGCGCGCGGGCGCGGTGGCGGGGGCGGGGGCGGTGGCGGTGGCGGGGAAATCCTGATTCTTGTTCGAGTTTGTTGTTCGTCGTTCTGCGTCTGTGTGTTTTCTTGTGCGTCGCGTGTGTACGATTGACGGTTTCTTGGTGCGACGAGCGACGAGCGGCGTGTGGTGTATGTACCCTTGCGAATGGACTCGGTCTTGGTACACTTTTTTTGCGTCTTTCCGGGGGCGGCTCTGCGATGCCCGCGGGACCTTTTTCCACTCCCCCACCCCATGCCTTGATTCGGCGAGGGGGGGCCTGAGGCTTCGAAGCGTGAGGCGTGAGCGCACGAGTCGACGAGTCCGGGCTCCTTGTTGAATACCTACGGCCCCCCCCCCTCTGCGCATGCCGTCCCCGGTATGGACGACGTTCTCGCTCCCGAGCATGTCGTGGCGGTCGAGGACTCGTGCGCTGACGACGAGGCCCTGCCTGGCTCCGGACATGCGCACCCGCCTTGCTCGGCAAGAAAATTTTATATATTGATGTACAGCTGCTTGATAACCACCCCCCCCCCCCCCCCCCCTCCCCTGCTCTCAAGAAGGAAAACAGCCAGCGTGCCCTTCAAAATCCGGCGGCGGCATCGGTGCGGAGCACCCAGACGCCGCGCGCCGTCCGTTATAGCTGCTACAGGCCTACGACCCGCGCCAAGGCGGCAAAGTTCGGCGAGCCCATGCCGGTTACCTGTTGGCGAGGCGTCGGGCGTCGGGCGTCAGCGTCAGCGCGCGAGGCGGGAGAGAGGGAGAGGGGCAGCGTACGGGGTCCCATCCGGCCGCTGCAGGGAAACCGTCGGTGCCGCAGCCGGGATTGCTGCCTGTCAAAGCCCGCAAGTCGGAGGAGGGTGAGCGCCAGAAAAGGGATGTGTCAGCAGAGCCCGAGCGTCACGCACCGGATGCGATGTCGTTGAATGCGCTAGGGTTGTCGTAGATCAGGGGGTTCAAGAACCCGAGCGGGCTCTTGCCGGCGGCGATGAGCTGATCGTTGAGGAGCGCGATGACGCTCGCGAAGATGGGGCTCGCGCAGCTCGTCCCGGCTACCGGGCTGACCTCGCCGCTGCTCACGATGAGGACATTCTCGGCTGGAGCTGCGACGTCGGGGAACGCGCGCGACCCGCTCGCTTTGAACCGGCCGGCGTTGGTGCTGCCGAGTGTGTTCAGGTAGGCGGAGACGGCGTTGGCTTGGTAGGACGGGCGGCCAAAGTAGTTGGAGAAGCCGCCCCCCGAGAGAGAGGCAGCGACTTCGGGGTTGACGCCCTGTGTGCCTCCGACAGAAGTCACGCTGACGTTGAGTGGTATCGGTCAGTGGGGACGCTGGCGACCGAGGATGACGCGGACGCACTATGGGCAACTCGAGGGGAAAGTGGGGATGAAAGAAGAGCAGCTCTGAGACTGGCTACCAGAGACGCCCCCGTCGCCGGAGGAGAACAAGAGGGAGACTCCGCGAGCACCCAGTTGACTGTAAGAGTTGCAGAGATTCCTGAAACCGCACCGCGTGAGTCGTCGAAGATATTCAACGCCGCAGAATCACGTACTCGGCGATGCTTTTCGGGAGCTGGTTCTCGTCGAAACCGTATGAGGTTGTCAGGACCTGAGACATGGATTAGGCGACGATGTGGCTGCTCTCATGAATAGGTGCCTACCTGAGGCGGATTGTCAAGGGCGAGTAGCGCATTTATCTCGTCCAAGAACCCGGTGGCTGTTCCGTCGCCCACGGTGATAAACGTTATAGGCACGTTCGATGCAACAGCAACGGTATACTCGATGTCGAGACTCTGACCGAATGGGAACCGATGGACATGAGCTTTGACTAGATTGATACGAAGAACACCCACCGCTTCGATGCCGGGATCACTCTCATCGTTCTCCCCGCCATCAACACTCAGAACTTCAAAACTGTTCGTGGACGGTAAATCTGGTCGGAATTCTTCCAAGAAATCCTTTGAGAACCATGGAACTCAGCGCAGCGAGCAGAGACCACGAAATGACAACAAACCTGAAGATCGCTGACACTAGCGAACTGGTTCAGAAAAGCAGAAACACCAAGTTGGTTGGACGATTGCGTAGCCGGGGCAGCAGGAATTCCATACTGCGCCTGCAGGCAAACAGGTGTCACCTGGCTCGCGCAGGACGCTGGTACGCTGTCTGAAGTCGCGTTTGAAGGTGGGTTGGGGATGATTTTCACATTCGTCTTGGTCAGTGGTGGCCTGCTCGTCCTCAAAGGGAACCTATCAGAACCACTTTAGCCATCAACGACGATACAGGATCGACCCAAAGCAAATTACGCGACGGTGGGATGTATGAGGCTGATGTGAGCCTTCAAAGAGTCGGGGATCGAGTACGACAGGGTGCGAACGGCCTTGACCCCGGTGTCAAGCTGCGTGAACGTCGCAAAGTTCGCATCGAGGATCTTGTTGGCTTGCTCAACAGTCATGGGGGCGGAGATCCAGTCGCCTGAAGGCGAAGCCTTGGAAGACTCAATGCCGTTAGACGACAACCATTCATTAACGGCTGCCACAGTCTCCGGAGTCGGCGCAACGAGAGCCTCGACCTAATGCCATGGACAAGACAGGTCGATCAACATTCAGGTGTGGAATTCTGTGTTATGTACGGTACCTCTTGCTTGGACAGGTGCTGGCCGTACTGGGGGCTGCCGGGAGTGCTGACAGCGTAGAGAGCATCTTCTAGCCCTTTGAAGTTGTTCTGCACGAGTGCGAAGCGGAGGCTGAGCGTAAGGTTAGCAGAGGCAGAGCCGCTGTGCACGAATCCGGCCGGAGGACCGTCGATGAACTCGTGTACACGCATGGCACGTTCGCCATGCGGGTTGGCGTATACGAGAGCAACGAGAGAAGCCAACAAAGCGAAAGATCTGACCATGGTGGAGGGGGTTAGAGAACGAAAGGATCTCTGAAACTATATGAGGGAGGTGTTGACTATTTTATACCAAAGGCCAGGCCCGCTGATGAGCAAAAGAAAAAAGATTCGGCAAGACTGCAGATGTGCTGTCTGAACAAATGTCGATGAACAATTCGATCTGTGAGACCGCTGTCGACATTTTCATGACGAGGTGTCAAGAGTTCATTGCAACGGGAATGGGGAACACAACGCGCACTCAGAAGATGGCAGCTCGGAAGGATATTATCCTATGGTCAGTTTGGACATTGCCGGAGGATTGTCACTAGACACACCTCACGACACTGCAATCCCTGAACATCCATATGGCGCAATTGCATGACATAGCGTTCCGAACCGTCATAGCCGTCATATCTTCAGACGGCACTCACCTAACGTTGTTTAGCAGTGGCCATATATGTCGGCAAAGTGGAGGCTAGTGTCAAATGCACGACACTCCCGCCACCATTGCATCAGACACATTTCCGAGCAACATCTCTCATTTTTCGGCCGGCTAGCTTACCCTCATCAACTCTACAGAGACAGCATATGCAGCCACTTTGCGGGAAGCGCTTCAACTCATTTGCTTCCATATGAAGTGCCGAGCCTTCGATTCCGACGTGTTCCATTTTTTTTCCTCGAGATTCGCACGCAATTAATGCACTGCTGTTGATGCCGGCAGTACATGCGGTGCATCCGATCTGCATTTCCTGTGGGTTGATGCGTCTGCACAGATTGGTGGCAAAGGTAAACCCGCTGTTGAATCTAGTATCCCGAGAGCCATTTACCCCAGGCTGGCGTTCACATGCTGATCAAGCCTAGGTCCACTCGGGGTTGAGGATGCTCGGACACGTACTATAAAGGCCTATTCCGAGATTAGGCCAGACAACGAACAAGTGGTCACACGTACTGATGGTGGGGTAAAAGGGCTACATGGATGCCTCACACGCGCACCCAAACGACATGTCACCCGCAAGTGGATTACCCTGAAGACCTTAGATACCATTGAAGAATGTCGGAAGGGAGGTGATAACAATTTGGACAAGGAATTTAGCCTACATTACAAATCTCAAGTCAAGCCTGTCATTGCCGACAATGCAGATCACAAGCCACGATTGATGGTGCCGACTGAGACTGCAGCCAAGGGTTTTGTCGTGGACGTCGACAGCAAGTCATCAGCAAACCCATAACCGGTCCTAGATGCTTAGGTCATCTGGGGATATCTGGCTAGATGTCTGCATCAGTAAACCAGCAAAAAAGCTTGACTAACTTTGAGACCTTAGCAACACCAACAAGACTTGCACAAGTACAGTATCCTTGGAAATCTAATACAAATGATTTCAAGTGTTAATACCTTGGAAAAGGTGTTTGTACTTATAGAATATCTTAGTAAGGGTAATCAGAGATTCTGACCATACTAAGTTTGGCAAGTGATAACTGTATAAGAGCACTCAGAGTTTTCAATTGTTGTAAGCACACCAAGTCATCTGGAAAAACCTCCTCTTTTAATTATATCTAATTATTCAAAATGCTAATCTGAGCTAATTATAATATATTATCCATAATTAACTTTATAATCAAATCTGTAAGTAAAGGTGACATTGTCTATACTACTACAGTCCCATTAGAATCTACAACCTAATTACAATTTTACACATTCCAAATCCATATTATGTAAGTGCTACAATCTTGTTTTTATTGTATTATTTATTTCCAATTGGTTTACTATATTATTGTCTCATGCCCAAATTCAAATATCAAAAGCCCTGATTTTTAGGGCATTTATTGACCCCTTTATATATAAGATAGATAAAAGATGAATATGTAAGAAAATTAGAAATGTTGAGATTGCCTTATTTATATCAATATATTTAGGTTACTAGGTAAATGACTTAGACCTTGTGGCTTAGTGGTTTAGAGCACTAGTCTAGAGTGTGCAGGTATAAGGTTGTTGGTTCAATTTTGGTAATGGGCAAGTTTACTATAAGGTGTGGCTTTAGTTTAATTATTGAGCTCTATATACACTCTATAATTAAAGGTATAGTAATAGTAGAAAAGCCATAGGAGTGTATTGGTTGATATTTTTCTAGATGTCCATATAATAAATTAGCTTTAATTAGCTCTAATTAGACCTTGTAATTTTAGGATTAGAAAAGGGGGTAAGCTAAAAATTCTGAATGGTAATTGGCAGAAATCTAGCTATATTTATGCTTAATATGGTTAATTTGATGTGGAGCTTTTCCCTGATATGAGAGTATCAAGCTCTTCTTTGTTGCTATCATCATTACTGTCAAGATAGTGGTTTATGATGAGTGTGCAGCACCAACAGTTGATGATAGTATACATAGTATGCACAGTACTAGCCCCTAGATCCTAAACTGGTCTTACAGTTTAGGACTCAAAATCCTAAATATTTTCAAATTGTACTAAAATCTTATTTAGGTTTGATGCAATAACCCTAGATCCTTATAGAAAGTCATCCAATAAATGATCTTTTAGGAACAATTAGAGCTCTCTGTTCCAAGTGGACAGAACGCAATGTGTCACTCTCTTTCACTAGTGGGAGCCTAAGTGTGTGGGATGGCAGGCAACATGATCATTGCAAGGAAATTATTGTTGATATCCAAGACAAGGAGGGGAGCAAGAAAAGGCCCACACCCTCTGACTTTGATGGTCCCGGAATTTGGCAGGGTTCAAACAAGGCCCTAAAACTAAAATTAGACTCTCGGGTGACTAGAAGCAGCAAGCGCCAATGGCAGTAGTTCCATTCCGTTATAACGGATTTTTTGTTTTGTATCCTTATGTCGTACTACTCACGGACTGTCACCCCTTTTGTAGTTAACCGCATACCATATCGCAAGCACTTTATAGCTCATATCTTACTAGTTTATTATTATCATATATCAATCCGAGTGCTGCCAATGCCCGAGGTCTAAGATCTGGTAGGCAGGGGTCTTGCCTGCTGCACACCACATGGACTTCGCTTAGTAGGTCAAACTGCATTCACCTGCACCGCTAGGAGCCAAAATACCAGTCATCGCATTACACTCGACAGAATAAATACACGCAACACGGCAAGCCACAACCCTCAGTCTGATTGCCTGCAAAACTCACCCCCACCGGCTCTTCTTCCTCGGTCTCCCAGACCCTGCGTCCTTGTACGACTGCGTGTATGGATTCTTCGCCCGCGCAGCTGTGGGCGGTGCGACCGTTGCGGACGCGGGCGCAAAGTCAATTTTGGACCGCTTGGCCGCGTCGTGCTGCTCGGAACGCCGCTTTTGGAGTTCAGCTTTCGAAAAAGAAAATGGGGGCGGTGAGGTGGTGGGGAGGTGCATGAGGATGTGCGTGAATGGCAGATCGCGCAAGCGATAGGGTATTAGTGGGAAGTATGCCCGAGAAAGCGTCCGAGATGGAAAGTCCCGGGTCGTATTGCGTACGCCGAACCGTGGTATGTCAGGTCATGTAGGCGCGAAGGAATCGCGGCGTGGGACATCGGACGTTGGACATGTGATTCGGGCACCCGTACAGCCAATAATGTATACCCATGAGATGCGAAAAAGATAGGCGGGGATCCCGCATCAATGCGCATGCTCGAAAGAACGGAAGAAAGAGTAGGGCACAGCAGTGCACGCACCGATATTATCTGCAAACCACTCTGGCCTCAGGCCCTCGTCTCCATCCACATCTATAGCGCTATCAATGACATCACCATCGGCAAGAGAGGCAAGGGCAAAGGGATCTCCAGCCCGGCGCGGAAAATTGGTCGCGCGCTCATCGGCAGCTACGAACTCGACGAGCTTCGCGTATAAGTGCGGGTTTCGGAACGCGCGGCTCGCCATGAGCGAATCATTAAAGTGGCGGCGCTGTGCGGGATCGCGCTTAAGCGCGTGGAACTGCGCGAGCTTATGCTGTTTTCCACCACGAGGCGAAAGTTTATGAGTGGGTTGTTTGTATTTGATATTGGAACGTAAGAAGGGATGGACTCTACCTCGATAGCGGGGTCGCATGGCTCTGTAGACGGCGGCGGGATTCCCCAGTCGACAACGCCCGGAATGTCAGGTGGCTGCACCAACTGGCGAAACCGTGCGAGCTCGTCTCGTGGGCGCGGCTGCACTAGCGTGCCGTTGTCATCCGCATCATCTTCGGGCCCTACACTCCCCCCTGCGCCGTCTGACGTCGATACTGACGCCGACATGGATGCCGAAGAGGGTACGGTAGACAGCTCAGGTGCAGGTGCAAGTGGAGGCGTGGATGTAAATGTCGAGGCGGAAGGCTGTGCGCGAGGCGGCGGTGGGGGGGGTGAGGGATCAATATCGTCAGAGACGTGCGCGCGGGTCGTGTGTGGCTTGGGGTGTGCAGGGCGGCGGATAATGATGGGCGGTTTGGCGCTAGTGGGCACGTTGCCGGCGGACGCGTTTGACATCACGGGGGTTCGACGAGCTGCAAGTTGGTCGTCAATACCCACATTCATGTATAGGTTGTAAAGAGACGCGTGTGTATGATGGAGAAAGAAAGATGGGGAGGAGAGAGAGCGTGTGCCTACCTTCAGCACCAAAAGCAGCTGTCGTCACTACGGCGCTGCGGGAGCCCGAGGCTGAAGCTGATACCACGGTCGATGGTTGGAGTATGAACGACGCGTGCTGGGCGCAAGCAGAAGAAGAGATGGTGTTTTCAAAAGGACGCGGGCGAGGAGAGAGAGGGAGAGGGAAACGGGGCGCGCAGCGGCGCAGCAATGGGGACGCTCACGATGGGATTGGGATCTGCGGCTGAGCCTGGCATTGGTTGTTGAGAGTTGCGGTTGACGTTGGAGGCGGCGGCGATGGATATAGAGGTGGTTGGATGTGGGTGTAGATGCTCCGTGTCGCTGTCGTCGTCGTAGGCGTAGGAGACGAGGCCTGGATCCGCGTGAGCTATTATCAGGGCAATGAGGAAGAGAAAGAGAGCTCACCGTGCATGGCTTCGAGCAGCTAAAACAAATCGAGCGACTAAAAAAGGTGGTCGTCAACGTCGGCGGCGACAGCGACGAAGACGCTTGAAGAGACGTCACATGTAGTCGTCACGCTTTTCTGTCTTGATGCATTGATCACAGGGCATGGAGCCATCGTCATGGGCATGTGGTGTAGTTGGTTATCACGTTCGCTTCGCACATTTCCGAGCTTGCGAAAGGTGTCCGGTTCAATTCCGGACATGTCCATTAATTGCTTATTTTCATCAATATTGTTGTGCACTGCTTTGATTTACTTTTTCTCCTAGATTCACATTAAATTGTGAAGGTTAGGTATAACAGCCATGAAGTGAGAACTATGAGGTATCAGCAATATATATCAACTTGGCTACCAAGTTGAAAGTACACAAATAGAGTATAAAATACATGCTCCAAAAGAATTGTAATTCCTGGCACCTTTAGGTCTAGGACTGTCAACAATAACTCACCATATAAGGAAAATGTTCTTTAAATATAATGTATCACTCCTCATATGTTACTTGTCTTTGTTACTTTTTTCTCTAAGGCCCATTTATTCAAATATTGTGTAAATATTAGCAAAGGAAGACAGATATACAAATAATACTTATTATGTTCTTGTTTTGCTCCTTATCTCAAGTATTATTGTGCTAACCTCACAAAGTACTCTAGAGACCACCAGGCATTTTTGCAGCACAGCACAATTTCCTCTAATATATATTATATGCTCAACATTATGGCATTGGGCCAATGCAGTCTTTCTTGTAAACTATAGTTATTATCTTGGAGAATGTCGCAGACTTAAGGTCAATATACAATATATATAAAGAGTGGGCAAAATAATATAAGGCATTGTTATGATCATGACTTATTGGGCTTTTACAGTAGTCTATTCCAATATGATTATCACAACTATTAGGTAGCCTCATATACTGAGGCATACACTAAGGTACAGATATTATCTTTGGTCATCCACTCTCAGTGGACCCACCTGTTGCTGGTTGAGTATCACAAGCCTATTGCAGCAGGCACCTTTTCCTGCCTTACATATTACTCACACACAGGCATGGAGCTGGAGCTCCTTGTCTTCCTGGTTGGAAGGAGACAAGCAGAGAAGCTAGAGTAGTCATTCTTGGAGAGTAACGACCTAGAGAATACCTACTATATACATACATGGGATTCCCATGCCCTTTCCTAAAGTAGTATAAAAGGCCTATAGAATAGGCTAAGGTTCTTTAGTCTATTCTCTTTATTCTTGGGTAGTCTTTATACTGCCCACTTCATTTCACTGTGGTCTTCAAACCATAGTCTTTATTTTGTTGCCAATACTGCAATATACATCTGGCTCTTGTGCTATATGTACAGTCAAGACTATCGTTCCACTCTTCCTCCATAAGCAACCTAGGGAAGAACCTCTTACTCTTGGGGTTACCAAATGAGCAGTTTGTAATAGGCATTGCCAAGCACTTGCTATATATACCTTGAGCATTAACCATATAGGCAGAGCTACAAGCAGCTTTGTAGCATAATTTTGTAGCAAGCTTTATTGTGCATATTATGATCTGGTCTATTAGAGCCTCCTTGGCTGTCTATTCTGATAACAATCATTATAACTACTAGGTGGCTCTAATCATAAAGCATACATTATAATATAAGGTAATATTCTTGGCCATTGACTTTTAGTGGACTTACCATTACTAGTTAAGTATTATTAAATAAAGATAAATGACCAATGTGAGCTTACATGCAAGTATTGTTAAGCTCCTAGGCTTATCACGTGCACTTGATGCACTAAAAGGGGTTCCCTAAGCTAAAGCTGATGGTGATGGCCCAATAGATAAAGTCGATGGCTTGTCTTTGGGCATTATTCAGGAAGTCTTGATCACTATTGATCCAGTCCTCGAAGAGATGGAGGAGATGCTGGTTAACTAAGTGTCTTTGTTTGTCTGGGATGAAGAAGTCTTCTCCAACATCTGGAAAAACACCCCCTTGTATTAGCTCCGGATTATATCTAATAGTGTCTAAAAGTATCTAAAAGTGTTAATAGTATCTAAAAGTGTCTAATTTCCTAATTGGGAGCAACACATTGTGAGCATTGGATTGGTTTCTAATTTCATGATATTAGCACTAATTCTATACTTAGAAGTCTTTAATTATTAGTAGGAAATAGTACGTACTACTACTCTATCAGTGAGAAGGTAAAGATGTGGCACATTCTATACTATTTTAGCATATTACTCTCCTTCATATATGCCTATACTATTATCTTGTAGCTCTTTTGCTGACTTTCCAGCTGCCTTTACAAGGGATATAGAAAGAGAGAAATATGCATTGATGCCCCCAGCCACTTTGTTGGCAGCTTGGCAGCTGCCACAAGAGGCTATGAAGACCTAGGTACCTTGTCCTTGCACACAAGATCATTAAAGTTGTCATTGTTAGCCAATGCCTGCTACTGGTCATTATAGGACACAACATGTGGGTTGGACTTAGGGATATGCTATATGCAGCCTTATAGACCTTGTCTATTAGTATAGTGGCTAATACTGTCTTGTGCAGCACACAATTACTATCACTATTGATATTACAATTTTTAGCACTATTTATATTGTTTATTGCCTTTTTATACAGAAGATGCTCAAACTTGGTGTTTTCCTCTAGCTATTAGGCTGTGGAAAAGACAGTCATATTGGTATGTGGTGCCAGAATAATATATTTGCCTGCCATATAGGAAATATATGCATTAAGCATATTAAGATTACTTCCAATAATCTTGTGCTTATTTATATATAGGCATGCCATACATATACTCTTGTCCCCACCCTCTACCTTACTAATGGCTATTTGGAAAACCCCTCTCTCTTATTGGATCTTGATTATTCATAATCATGTTTTTGATCAAATTTGCAAATTCAGGTAGCATTGTCTATATAGTAGAGTCCCATTGAATATTACACTCAATCATAGTTTTACACATTCTCAGTCCAAATTGTATAAGTGCCATAATTTATTTTTATCCTATATAAAGTGTATTATTTATTTTCCATTGGTTTATTATCTTTTTAGCTGGTGTTTAAACTAAATCCTAAAAGACCTGACTTTTTAGGTATTTATTGACCTATTTATTTATAAGATAGAGGAAAGATAAATGTTGAATAAAATCAGAGATGTTAAGGTTGCCTATATTATGTCTACTTATTTAGATTACCAAGTTTATATCTTAGATCTTGTGGCTTAGTGGCTTAGAGCATCTGTCCCAGATGCTTGCATATATGAGGTTGTTGGTTCAATTCTGGCAGAAGGCAAGTTTGTTATAAGGTATATTCTGTGTTTAGGTATTGAACTAGTGCTCTAATAGATATGACTCTATAAGAAGGCTATGAGAACTGTGATGCTTGATTTATTATGATTATTCCGAAATTTCAAGTTATAATGAATCCTAATAATTCCTAATTTAGGAAAATTATGTCTGATTAGAATAGGTTTAGAGGGGAGGTAAGCTAAAAATGTCTAATCCTAATTGTTCTTAATTATGCACAAATAGAACTAATCAGAGCTTAATACAAAGGGGTGGTTTTCCAGATGTAGGTGGCTACTCCAGCATATACTCATCCAGTGACTGAGTATTTGGTAGTGGTATTGATCCTTGTTATGTCTGGGTGGATAATCAGAGTGGTGGTTCCTGATCCTGTTATTTCTTGGTTAATAGCTTGGTTAATTCTTGTTGCTATGACTGTTCTGTGATGTCATTTTTCTAGTATCTATTGAGCCACCTCAGCTAATGATTGGAGAGTAGGTTGTTCCAGGATTTGTTAGGGCAGGGAATAAAGAGCTTGTTCAAGTGTTAAGCTGCTAAGCTTATCATGTGTACTTGATGCACTAAAAGGGGTTCCCTGGGCTAACTGTGATGGCCCAACAAATAAAGACTATTGCACATCTTTGGGCTTGTACTAGGAAATCTTGATTACTATCAATCCAATTCTCAAATAGATGTAGGAGGTGTTAGTTGATGATAGGACAATATTCATCAGATACCAGGAGATCCTCAGATGGATTCCAACAGATAACTTCTGATGGATTCCAATCGATGACTTCTGATGGATTCCAACAGATGACTTGATAGGCAGTGAGTCCTTGACAGGTTGAGGGCAGCAGAGGATGATAAGAGTTGTGAGGCAAATCCAGTGCATTGTCAGACTAAGTATAGTTTTACAGATCTAGCAGAGTTTGCAAAGCATGGGCTGAAGGGGCCAGACACTGGGTACAGTGCAGAGATTGAGATGTATACAAAGTGAACAAGCTGATCTTTAAAGAAGCTCAGCTCTCCTATTTATAGTACAAGCTATGTAGAGCTGGACAGAGACATGGTCCATGCTTCTGAATGCTAAGTAAACTAAATGATCAGGATCTGTAATCTGCAGTCATAGTTTTACCTCCGCAGCTCCTTGATATAACCATATATAATAAGTATATCAAATGTCTGTCTACAGCAATATCAAATAGAACTCAATCACAATCAACATCAGTAATCCACATCGAGGATGAGGGAAGGATGAGTCATAGTATCGTAAGTGTTCACATGTCAGCATGTAAATGGTGTACAGTCCAAGTCCAAGTTATGTGCAAAGCTCATGACCATGTTCTGAGTCACGTGCCTTTTCTTCTGCCCACGTGCAGAGCACATGTTAGGATGTGGTCCTAACAATATGCTTGGTCAAGGTAAAAGATCCTTAAGATAGCTAAATATTTGGATATGATGTGCCTTTATGATCTTTACAAGTTTTTATTATTCTGCTATCAGTAAATCACAAGGAGAAAGTGTAGAAGAGGAGATACAAATCCCTTATTATTATATCTAGTGAATTTATAGAAGAGATAGTGTGCAAGAGATGGCTATTGATAATTTAAAGCCATCTATGGTGCACCATGACAGTGTTTGTAGAGCCAAGCCTAGTACTAGAAGCAAAAAGCAAACACTAAGCCATAGAATATGAAGTATAATATAAAATAGTTTATGGCAACAATTGTTTTTATGTGCAATAAGTTGCCATTGACTAGTTGGAGGGTACCGTAGAGCTTTAGAAAGTTAGCTGGCACTATGTTGGCCATTCATCTTTATTATAGACTACATCATGTATGAAATATTTAGGTTAGTTCAAACTACCTTGTCCAACTTAACTTCTAGCCCACACCTTTATATAGAGACTATGTCAGAATATTGCTCTAGGGAAATACCACCTAGTAGTACTCTGCCACATCTCAACTTCCTTATCCAACTATTAGGAGGGTGACAAATGAGATAAGGCTGCCACTAGCTAAAGAATTGGCTATCCAATGATAAGACTTATAGGATTGAGACTAGGTAGTTGTTATGAAACGCTTCACCTATGCTCACCTACTTTTCTCACCTTCTTGATAAGGACTCGTAGGACCTTTCTCCCAACCATACCTCGTGTTCCTGTTCCACTGATACTTGGTCCGTGCATCTGCTTGTACATATTTATGGATACTGCGGCGCAGTGTGGAAGCCCTAGGCTATCCACTTCTGTCCAATCTAAGGACTGCTGTTCACACAGTCTCCTCTGATTCTAAGGCATTAGTCTGATCAGTCCTTTGACTTCTCCCATCATCACTTGTGGCCTAGGATCTCCTCGTCCCGAACAGCCGTTCATGACATCTGGATAGCCTCTCTTCATAAAAATCCTACTCCACCTTTTCTTTGCAGCAGAACACCGGCTAGTTACATACGGCACTAGGCAGTCCCAAAAGACAAGCGTCCGTCGACCATAATAGTTACTATACACTTCGAGCGAATGATTGGACGATTCCACTTTAGTGTGGGTCGTTTCAGGTTGTAGAATACTTCTATCTGGTAATCAACCCAGTGGAGGTACGACCGAAACAATTGCACTCAACGTTACGTACGGTACTATACCAGAAAGCAGAAATACTATACCCGGCTAGGAAGAGCTGCTGTTGCCTTGACCCTTGAACCTTGATCAGGTCGAGACTAGCGCGGGCTCTTTGATCCAACAAGACAACTTCCCAAGGTTCAGGAAGAAGCGTAGGGCGAGTTCCACACGGAACCGACTACTTGAAACACTCCGACACATTCGTCTATTTCGAACAACCTATCAGAAGAACATCCAAGGGAAACTGGGTTTACGTAGGAGGACAGAATAGCGGAAGAACAGTTGACGCCCTGCTAGTACCCTGGGAAGACAGGAAGGCACCCCTCAGAACCGTAGATTCCCCCACCCAAACAAGACCCACTCTGTCACCAGTCGACATCCCCAAAGAAGACATCAAAGAAACCCCAATTCCTGCGGGAGTATTGACCCCGGTCGACGAAGAAGACCCGGAACCTATAGCAGGACCGAGTCAACCAAACCCAAACCCAAACCCACAACCAAACCCTTTACCAGCCGCAGGAACCACAGACGACGAGGATGAAATGTCAGACAAAGGAAACAAGCCGAAAGATTTCGATGGCACGAGGTCGAAATATAGAGAATGGATCTATGAATGTCACATGTACATTCTCACCAACCCGACCAAATATGACACCGATAAGGATAAAACCCTAATGGTGTTATCATATATGAGAGAAGGGACGGCGTCACTCTTCGCCCAGAAGTACTACTTCGACAGGGAACTTCGAGAATACAAGGCAACGGAGACAAGAAAAACATGGGGAACGTTCAAGGAATTCTTAAAGAAGTTAGCCGCTGCATTCAAAGATGAAAGTCTCAAACAGAAGGCGAGACAAAAATTATTCACAATGAGAATGGGAAAACGATCAGCGGATGAATTTGTCACGGACTACCTCATGACGGCAGGAGAAAGCGGATTCGATCTCGAATCCACCGTTGACTATTTCCGCCGAGCCATACACCCGGAAATTCTCAAACAAATCTACAGACTCCCTGATATGCCAACAACCATGGACGATTGGGTAAAATACACCCGAAGGTTCGATAACCAGTGGAGGGAGCTGCAAAGCATAAAAAGCTCCGTACCCTCCACCGTTGTTTGATCCAACAACCGTTTCCGCTACAACTCCTCCAACGCTCCATCATCCATGAACAACTCAGTCATCCCCATGGCCATAGATTCAGTCCGAACAACCCTCACGGACGAAGAACGCAACCGCCTCAGGATGGAGGGTGGGTGCTTTTACTGCCGTCAAAAAGGACATATGGCAAACCAATGCCCTGCCAGGGGTTCGTCTAGGATACATGAAGGGTCAGCTGGATATGTTCAACAGGGTAGTAGAACGGTGGGGAACCGCTCGGCTCAGGCCGGCAGCAGGATGGGAGGCGGAGGAGGCGGCTATGGCCGAACGTTCTCGACAGGAACTTCAAGCGGTACTCAGGGAAGCGCTACGACGCAAGGTAGAGGCGTGGCGACGACTAACCCGTTCCGAGCCCGACTCGCAGCTTGCCAGGCCCATGCACCCGGACCGGATGCGCCTGTACGTGAGATGGAGCTTGAGATCAGCCGAGAAGAAATCCAGAAAGTTATAGGAAAGATGAGATGGGACGAGCAAGAAGCACTCCTTCAGGAGCTGAATGAGATGAGCAAGCGGAAGGAATCGGATTTTTAAATAGGCCTACGGCTCCGGTGTACCGTAGACCTGCTCCAGACTCTCCTGTAAAAACAATCATACGGCTTACCAAATCCAATCAGAAATCGTCTATGAGGATAAACGTGCACCTGAAACATAAGGAGGGAACCACCAAAGCCCGAGTACTAATTGACTCAGGAGCAGAAGGACTTCTCATCGATAGACAATTCTGCCTGAACAACAATATAGCAATGCAGAAAATCGATAAACCCATCCCTGTGTTTAACGTGGACGGAACAGCCAATGATGGAGGAAAAATCACCGACAAAGCCTGCCTGCTCATGAGAATAATGAATGAAGAAGGTGATTACCACGACGAACGATGCGAACTATTAGCTGCCAACCTAGGAGGAGAAAACGTAATCCTAGGAACGGATTGGTTGCATGAACACAACCCACAAATTAACTGGGTAAAGAACAGTCTTACGTTCTCAAACTGCGCCACCACGTGTCTAGTCAGCCGACCTAAATTCACCATACAGGCACTAGCGCCCACCCAGCACAGAAAAAACAGAACAGTTGGGTATTCCAGGATAGAAGACGATTTGGAAGAAGACGAAGTCGAGGACACCTTCTTTTCCGAATTCTACGAAGAATGGTATTACCAAAATCCACTAGAAGTACATCCCCTCAAAGCAGTTCACATTGGTTCCATCGGAAATAAATCACAACAACTGGCAGAAAAAGCGAACAAAATGAAAACGGAACGACCTATTGAAGAAATAGTCCCAGCATATGTTCTTAAACGATTTGCCAAAATTTTCAGCCAGGAAGCGTCACAATGACTCCCGGAACATTCACAATGGGATCATAAAATCGATATGAAACCAGGATGGGAGCCAACAGGATGTAAGCTGTATCCCCTAACAGAAGAAGAAGAAGACCAGCTTCACGAAATGCTTCAAGAACATTTGAAACGAGGAACCATTAGAATATCCAAATCCCCGCAGGCATCACCCTTCTTCTTCGTAAAAAAGAAGGAAGGTAGCTTACGGCCGGTTCAAGACTATCGGAAGTTGAACGAATAGACGATAAAAAACAAATACCCACTACCCCTAATTGACGACGTAATAAGAACCATCGCCAAATCAAAGGCAAGGATCTTTTCTAAGTTTGACGTAAAATGGGGGTACAACAACATCCGCATAGCGAAAGGCGACAAATGGAAAACAGCCTTCATGACCAAATTCGGCTTATTCGAATGCCTCGTGATGTTCTTCGGTCTCTGCAATTCACCCGCCACCTTCCAAACTATGATGAACATCATCTTCCATGACCTCATTGTTGCGCAGGTCCTTGCGGTCTACATGGATGACATCCTGGTGTTTACAAAAACCATTGAAGAGCACAGGCGCGTAACAACCCAAGTCATGCAGATACTCTTGGACAATGATTTATTCCTAAAACCTTCCAAATGCACCTTTGAAGCGGACACAGTTGAATACCTTGGGTTTATTATCTCTGCGGATCACATATCTATGGACCCGGTAAAGGTCGAGGGAATCGCCGCCTGGCCAACCCCGAAGAACCTGAAAGAAGTACAATCCTTCCTCGGTTTTGGAAACTTCTATCAGAGATTCATCGGAGACATCGCTACCATAGCCCGACCTCTCAACGACCTCACAAAAAAGGATGTACCCTTTGAATGGACCCACGAGAGAAACGAGGCATTTGAACAGCTAAAGCACTGCTTCACATCTACTCCCATCCTTGTTTACCCAGACGGCAATCGCCCATTCCGCCTTGAAACCGATGCGTTGGACTTTGCTTCTGGTGCCATCTTATCACAAGAAACGCCAAATGACGGATGGCACCCTGTCGCTTACCTGTCCAAGTCCTTCAATGCAGCCAAGCAGAATTACGATATCTTCAATAAGGAGCTACTTGCCGTCATACACGCCCTCGATCACTGGCGCGTGTACCTCGAAGGCGCACGACACCCGTTCGAGATCTGGTCCGACCACAAGAACCTGCTGTACTTCTCTACCGCAAGAACCCTCTCCCGTCGCCAAGCACGTTGGTCACTTTTCCTATCCCGCTTCGACTTCACCCTCATCCACAAACCCGGCATTACTCACCGACCCAATGCTTTGTCCAGGCGTCCAGACCTAAAAGAGGGGGTAAAATATGACAACAAAAACCAGGTATTACTACAACCCCAAATGTTCGTCAAAAGCGCAACGGGACGAGGAACAGTCGAAATGCTCGACAGCCAGCTAAGATGAAAGTTAAAAGAAGTCACGGCTAAAGATAAAGAAGTAACGGACGCAATGGAACTTATCAAAACGTCCGGACCTAGAGCACTCTCAAAAGGCTTACAAGAGTGGAATTACGAAGACGATCTCATCTGGCACAGAGGGAAAATATATGTCCCACCAAACGACGAACTTAAAAGACAAATCACAAAAATATATCACGATTCACTAGCAACTGGACATCCAGGGAGATGGAAAACCTACATCCTAGTGTCAGATAACTTCTGGTGGCCAGGAATGTCCACATTCATAAAAGAGTATATAACAGGATGCGCAACATGTCAAAATACCAAAAACATTACACACCCCACACGCACTCCGCTCATTCCAAACGAAATACCAGAAGGACCCTGGCAAACAGTCACGATGGACTTCATCACAGATCTTCCCCAAGTTGGACCGTATAACGCCATTCACGTGACAGTAGACAGAAGCACCAAAGGTGTTGTTTACACCCCATGTGATAAAACCATAGACGCCAAAGGAACTGCCGATCTCTACATGAAGAACATCTGGAAACGATACGGACTTCCAAGGAAGATTATATCTGACAGAGGTCCACAATTTGCGGCCAGATTCACGAAGGAACTATGGAGGAAACTAGGAGTAACGACAGCATTATCAACTGCCTACCACCCAGAAACAGATGGAGAAACAGAAAGAATCAATCAAGAACTAGAACAGTACCTACGGGCATTCTGCAACTACGAACAAACTAATTGGCCTGAACTATTGCCATATGCGGAATTTGCACACAACGTCAGGGAACATTCAGCGACTCACTAATCGCCATTTGAACTCATGTATGGCTATAATCCAACTTTTACACCTCCAATTACACCGAGATCTGACATTCCAGGCGTAGAACAAAGGTTGGAAAGGTTGGAACAATTACGACACGAAACGAAGGCCAGCCTGGAAGTAGCGGCTGAACTGATGAGAAGAAAGACAGCCGAAAACGAAGTCAAATTAGAAGTAGGACAGAAAGTTTGGCTATCGGGAAAAAACATCACAACCACACACCCGAAAGACAAACTAGCCCCGAAATTGCATGGACCATTCGAAATAGAAAGCAAACCAGGACCGGTGATGTACAAACTAAAACTCCCGCCAACGTGGAGAATACACCCCGTATTCCACGCCCCATTAATATTACCCTATCAAGAAACAGCCGCTCACGGCCCCAACTTTGAACAACCGCCACCTGACCTCATAGACAGACAGGAGGAATACGAAGTCGAAGAAATTCTTGACAAGAGGAAACAAGGATGCGGGTATCAATACCTAGTACACTGGAAAGGATACTCAAGCTCCGCGGATGAATGGGTCACGAGAGCAAACCTAGGGAATGCTAAAGAACTTTTGGAAGCATATGACACGTGACATCATAACTTACCGCTACGGGCAGCCCTCGCAAACATCGGACAAACAAAGTCAGAAACATATAAAAACCCAAATTCAATCATTACAATTCCCTCATCCCTTCAATCACTCATTCACCCTCCCAGCGAACATGTCTTCCAACGAATCCATCTACCTCTCTTCTGAAGACACTCTCGTCGAACGACCCTACGAAGAAACACCCTCCACTGAACCCTCCATTCCTTCAACCCCCGAGATGTCCATAGTAGAAGAATGATCCGTACCGTGGGACACAGACAAAGAACAAGCAGCGCGGTGATGAGCATGCACCCGCGCTAGGGTCCGAGGGAGGTATTCAGGAAGCTTTGGGGAGATACCGAACAGTGCTAGACAAGTACTGAAGACACCGACTTTTACCGAACACGGTCGGTCCCCACCCGACCAACGACAAGCCACCGAAGGACGATTCGGCAGCACTTGGGTCAGTTCGCCCACACTTCACGTACTTACCATGACCGCACAGGAGTGTTACAATAGGTGTGTACGAGATCGGAGCTAGTATTCCGTATCGGCCGATGTCCTCCGTGAGTCGGTCGGTCCTTATCGCTTATCTTCCCGACTTCCGCATGGTCGGTCAAACGCGATCTTGCACCATTGCTTGGCCACCCTGGTCGTACGATACCTCTCCTTTATTTTTCATTGGTTCTCCAACGCCTGTTCCTGCTACCTACACTCGGGCGACGGATCCCGAACGTTCGGGATTTCAACATCACTGATTACCTTTTACCTTATCACCTTCGGAACCCATATGGACATCTCACCTACCTTCTTATCTTCTCTGATCACTAAGGCTTGGTGCCCATTCGACATCTACTCTCATTTCAGGTTCGATATTTTACTTAGGGGCGCTGTTTACTATAAAAACCTACATACAACTCTGGAATAAACCAGCTTTCGCACCCCACAGTTCAGAGCTCATTCGCACTCATCTCAACCATCGAAATCGTCTTCGTCGACTTCCGAAAACTTGTCATCCTCGTCGTTCGGCCTCATTCACGTTCGTACTCGCCTCTTCGCTCATACCCCCCATCCTCCCTCGTATATTGTCAGAGTCCCGTGTGGCTCTTAAAGCACGTAGTTGTCGGTCGCGACACTACCTTCTCGTTACCGACTGCATCGCCGACACGACCGACCGAACGTTCGGTCGGTGTTCGGCGCAGTCCCAAAACTGCTTGGGCGCTAAAATCTCACACTCCCCGATTGCTTCTCAGTACGCCTTCAATTTCTAAAGTCATCACTTACAATTCCTTGTGTATCAGATACTAGCTCCAGCACCCCTGCATTAGAGGTTGTTTTAGTGTTGTGCTCGGCACTTAGAGCTACCTCTAGCGTATCAGCGGGAAGCGGAAGAAGGGTTTAGCGAGTATCTGGAAGGACTGGATGAGGACGAACGACGACAAGACGAGATGATCAGACTACTCACGGAGGACTTCGACAGACCTTCACCTTCCCGCTCTCCCTCTCCACTACCCCTTGTCCGCACACAAAGCGAGGGGATCATATTCCCCAATAGAGAAACGTACCTGACGACTCCCGTCGCTTACATGATGGGGCTTATTGAAGGCACACCGAACACCGAATTTGTGTCGGGACCAACACGACCGGAGGTACGAAGAGCATTAGAGATCTTAGAAGAGGAAAGGAGTTTTGTCCGACATGCACAATGAGCCTTACAGATCAGAGAGGGAATGCTCATCGCCCGCATTAATGCAGGCGAGAGGAAGCTCATAGGTCTAGACCGGACAACACCTCTTCAGGACACCTTTCATCCCGCCGACGACATCACCCCTGTTACCGAATATCACATGCCGACCACGGCTGTGGTATCTCGTGCCTCGTCTTCGGCCTCAAATGAAGCACCACTTCGCCCAATGCCGGGGGCTTATCCCACGGAACGCGGCAGAGGAAGGGACATCTATAGGTTCGCACAACTATCGCCTCACTACCACATCATACCCGCATGACTGGGCTTAATCCGCCCTTCTACCCAAACTCGACCTCCCCTTCCCTTCGTCGAGTATGACTCCAGTGAGTCCGACACCCAGCCCATCGTCCTCCGTCCTTGAGGTGCTTGAAGAATGAGACGCTGACGTCCGGTACGACGTAAAACTGCCGGGGCAGACGACGGTTCGAATCCGTTGGGCTGGTACCCACTGCCATGATGAGACGAGGGACTCGGCTCTAGAACGCAGTCCCCGCATGGTTGGTAACGAGGTGGGGTATCGTGACGTCCGTACTCAAGGGCTATCGCGTCACAACTCGACTGTGGGCAGCGAGAATCTGTGCCCTAAGTATTATTTTGTATGACTCAGATTACACGCATTGCTTATGTTTTTCCTGGACTTTTACTTACCGTCTCTGGCACTGACGGCCTAGAGGGGGGGGTAATGTTATGAAATGCTTCACCTATGCTCACCTACTTTTCTCACCTTCTTGATAAGGACTCGTAGGACCTTTCTCCCGACCATACCTCACGTTCCTGTTCCACTGATACTTGGTCCGTGCATCTGCTTGTACATATTTATGGATACTGCGGCGCAGTGTAGAAGCCCTAGGCTATCCACTTCTGTCCAATCTAAGGACTGCTGTTCACACAGTCTCCTCTGATTCTAAGGCATTAGTCTGATCAGTCCTTTGACTTCTCCCATCATCACTTGTGGCCTAGGATCTCCTCGTCCCGAACAGCCGTTCGTGACAGTAGTTCAATACATACTATTCAACAAACTTTATTAATTCTATACCCCAAGCTTAGCAATCTGTTTAAAGCACCTGTCATATATTATGGTTGAACAATGGGTCAACTATATAAGTATACCAAGGAAAATAGCTTTGGCAATCCACCACCTATTGACTAGTGGGAATTCCTTCTAGAAAAGGATATTTTCAACAATGATTTTTTAGACAATATATATGCTGACTAGATCTAATACATGGATAATGCTTTAATCTATCTCATAAGTAAACTGGGTATTAAGGAGATCCTCAATACTCCCAAGCTTGAGATTATTATCACAAACATAGATAATGGCAGGTTTCTCTTATTGTATACAAATTACAGTTTTAGACATACACCTCTAGTAGAGGCAATCAAAAAGTTATGTGTTATGCTGGGCAAAGAGCAGGGTCTAATGTAGTATCTGGATAGGACCAATTAGTATTAGAAGCCAACACCTACATCAGCAATACATTTAAAGCTGTACATTTATTTGTTTTTTGTCTAATGTTACCATCACTGAATTTTGAGTAGTAAACCCATTGGCATGTCAAAAAAGAGGCCTCTTCCAAAATAAAGCAGCATGAAAGTTCATCTTTGGTGCTTACCAAACTTTTGAAGTAGCAGTTCAATCTTCTAGCTGTCAATTTTTATAGATGTTCAGTGTCCATATGCACCTATGACCCCACACAATTCTCTATAAGTGGATCTTCTAGTGACTTTGTGTCCATTAAATCTATGAGTACTAGATAGTCATGTTGATGGAATAGATTAGCAGTTCAAAAACCAGAAAATGAAGAACCTATACCATTCACATGTACATGTACCCCTCTACTCTACACAACCATTTTAACCTTTTACACCACTCATCTGAGCCCAATGACAGACTGTTGAAATGCCTATCCTTGTACTTTTGACTCTCCGCCCAAAAGAGACAGTAGTGCACCCTACAAATATGATAAAATCCTCGAGGCACCTTGTCTCACTCATGATTGATGCATGATCAAGGAAGAGTAATTGAGCATTCCAATGGCTTGCTCTATGAAACTCATGGGATGGCAATGGAACAAGGAACATTGTCAGAGTAATCTGTTTATACAGAGTTTATTGTCTCATTGTCAGTCATCCTCTCTACTTGGTGTGAACAGACTGATAACCATTTCCTTACATACAAAACAAGATCCTTGCAATATACATCATATTGAGCACTAGAGCCAATGGGATGGAAACCACCGGTGTGGGCTGTCCTTGCAACGGCTACAGCGATGGACCGACCATTCGTACCTAGTGGCTGTTCAAATGTCATTTTGTTTGATGCTGGCCACGTCTGGCACAATGGATCGGCGACCTGCAACGAAGCATATGAACACATTTCAAATCTAGTTGTATACAGTCTGGAGCAGCCTCGACTTGGACATCCTCTTCAAAGACCAACGTGCGAATGGTCTTCATCTCTCATTGAGGGTATGTGCTCTCATTGACAGAGCGTCGGAGAGTTGGACGATGGAACACCGTGAAACCCAGCGCAATCTTCACTGACTGTCCTTCAAAGTTGACAGCAATCTGATAGGCAGTAAACACTTATTGATATAATCAATTCTGCCCGAGATAAGCTGAGTACGACGACATCCAGATGGTACTGGCCTGGCCACGAGTATCACAAACCCGCCAAAGCCCTAAGGGCAACAAAGTCGGGTGAGCCAAAACCCGTCACCTTCGGTGTACGGTCAGCATGGTCAATGTCATCCAGAGGAATGAGGCTTACGGGATCCCACCCAGTGGTTGCTGGAAATCCGTTAGAGCTGCAGCCTGGATTGTTACCTAGATCCGAAAGAAATAAAGGTGAACTTTACCATACACTGAGATCGATGATGCTTACCAGACGTAATGTCATTAAAAGCGTCTGGACTTTTGTAAATCAAGGGGTTCAAGAATCCAAGAGGATTCTCGCCGGCAGCGATGAGCTGATCGTTGATGAGTGCAACGATGCTCGCAAAGATTGGGCTGGCGCAGCTCGTCCCAGCAACGTTGCCTGACTGACCCTCCCAGATGATCGTGACATTCTCAGCTGGGGCGGCAACGTCTGGGAACCCACGCGAGGTCGCATTGAAGAGGCCAGCGTTAGTGCTACCAAGGGTCTTCAAGTAGGCTGAGACGGCGTCGTCTTGATAGGACGGGCGGGGGAAGTAGTTGGAGAAGCCGCCTGAAGAAAGCGAAGCAGCGATCTCAGGGCTGATGCCCTGGGTGCCTCCGACGGAAGTGATGCTAGATTGAATTTGGTCAGTATAGATGAGAATGGAGGCTATGATATGACGGACTAAGGACAAGTTCCTGGAAACACCGGAACGAAGGTTGTACAAGTTGTATCCGGCTGACCACCGGAGACCCCTCCATCACCAGAAGAGAACAAGACAGAGACGCCTCTGGCACCCAATTGGGCATATGCTTGGCACAGTTTGCTAGCATTGGGTTAGATGATATGCTTATGTCGAAATGCTTGGACAGGAACTCACGTCGCAAGTCCAATCGGGATTTGGTTCTCGTTGAACCCATAAGAGGTAGTCAAGACCTATTCGGCTCAAAAATAACAAAGTGATTGAATTGCACATTCAGAAATCATACCTGAGGTGGTTTGGTTTGGTTAAGCAGGACATTGATCTCGTCCAAAAATCCGTTCAAATCATCTTGGGTCTGGTCGCCGACTGTTATGAATACGGTCGGAACGCCTGTCGCGACACCAACGGTGTATTGGATGTCTAGGTTCTGATGAAGGGAGATCGGGCTGGACTGCAAGGTTTCAGTTTAATAAGACGCTTACAGCCTCAAACCCAGGCTCTTCATCCTGAGAGTTTTCACCGCCGTCAATACTCAGAATGGAGTAGTTACTCGAGGATTCCAAATCCGGCCGATATGTCTGCAAGAACGACTGTTTGGGATAAATCGTCCATGAAGCGATATTGTCAATGATCGTAGTCTGAGTGGGTGACGCACTTGAAGATCGCTGTTGTTGGCATATTCAAAAAAGAAGGCCGACACGCCAAGCCTGTTAGATGACTGGGTTGCCGGAGCTGTGGGTATCCCATACTGAGCCTGCAAGCAGGCGGGCGTAACCTGCGTCTCGCAAGACGCTGGCACAGTATTCGAGGTGGAGTCAATAAACGCCGCTGGGTTGACCTTTACAGTAGGTATTCTGACAGGTGTGACAATGTTCTTCATGGGGAACCTGTAAACATCTCCGTCAGTTGCTTGAAATATGATAATCCCAATGCAATCAATTTACACGATGGTCGGATGCACAAAGCTCATATGATCTTGCAAGGCGATAGGTATCGAATACGAAAGAGTGCGTATGGCTTGCTTTCCGGTGTCCAGGTGAGTAAATGTCGAGAAGTCGGCATCAAGAAGTTTATTGGCTTGTTCGACTGTCATGCTAACAGAGATCCAGTCTCCAGCAGGGGATACTTTCGTCGATGTGAGACCGTTCGACGATAGCCATCCATCGACCGCCAAGACCGTTTCTGCTGTGGGTGCAACGAATTTTTCGACCTGCGACGATATATTTAGATGGAATGCCACATCGGTCGTTTAGTGGTCATTACCTCCTCCTTGGACAGATGTCTCCTATATTGTGCGCTACTAGGTGTGCTGACATCGTAAAGGGCGTCTTCTAGGCCTTGGAAGTTGCTCTGCGCGAGCGCAAAGCGAAGATGGACCGTGTCATTGGGAGAGGCGGGGCCGCTGTTGGCGTATCCACTTGGGGGACTGTCACGGCGTTCGTGCACTCGCATGGCACGTGGGGCGAGCGACTTTGCATAGGAAAGAGCAAGAAGAGATGTTAACACGAAAGCAATGCGTCTCGCCATGTCGCAAACGGCAGACGACAGAGGTATCTGATGGTTGAGTCGACGGGCCAGCGTTTATAAGGAAATCAAGCAAGTGCTTACCCGAAAGACAAATAACAATTGCTCAAAGGCCCAGGGTCCATGTGCTGCTTCTGACCGCAAGCCCTAGCAGTTGCCTCGACGAGTGCCCAACACCCCCCGTGCATCGAAACGCGCGCAGTTCTGAGACGAAGTAGACAGAGTCAAGGGCGACTGCAAGGTGAAGGCGTAGATATTTGGCATATGCGTCATATAATTGTCCACGACGGTGTGCTTGGACGGGAAGCGTAATTTAGATCGGTCGGGATTCGGAGGGAGCGCGACGCGGCGACTTGTCATGCACATTAGCCTCCCACAGATCACGACGTGCGAGCAGGACGACTGCATGACGCTGCCCGTGGCGACCATGGATCGAGCTGCACGAAGCGACGATGGCCATTCCGGGGCAGAAACGCACGAGAGGGTGTACTTTCGCCGTGAGACGCTGGTGCTTGTGTACAAGCCTTTGCGTAACCGATTTCGTAAAGCTATTCGCGGAACATGTGCAACAGGCATATTCGAGGAGAGCCGCGAACCCTCCTCCACTTGCCACCATCGGTGGTCATGAAAATAAGCCCGCCTGTCCACCTTTGCATCGCTGATAATCACCATCCAAGTCATGTCAGAACATCAAGCCTGCCATTCTGAGACCGCGACGCCCGCTGACGAGGCACCTGCCTGTTCCATTTATCCCGACGACGAAAGAGGCGCGAGTGGTTGCTACTATCCCAGGAACATCGCACTGACCAGCTGCACAGGACCGCGACAGAGTCGTTGAATACACACCGTTCAACGAACTTCCGTCAATCCTGCACCCCAAGCTCAGTAATCCGTTCAAAGCACCCGTTATGCATTGCGGTTGAACATTGGGTCAACTATGGAAGTACACTGAAGAAAACGGTTTCGGCAATCTCCCCCTCCCCTGTCGACTGGAGGGAATTTCTCACAGAAGAGGATATTTTTGACGATGGTTCTTCAGACGATATATACGCCGACCAGATTCAATGCATGGATATGCTTTGATTCACCTCGTCGGCAAACTGGGTATCAAGGAGATCCTCGACACGGCCGAGTTCGAAATCGTTATTGCGAACATAGATAACGGCGGTTTCTTCTCGTTGTATACGAATTACAGTTTCAGACGTGCACCATCGTCAGAGGCAATCGAAAAGCTGCGTGTCGCGCTGGACGAGGAGGAAGGTCCAAAATGGTATCTAGATGGACAAGACTAGTACTAGAAGCCGAAACCTGCATCAGCAATCCGTACAAAGCCGTACGCCGAATAGTTCTTGTCCGGTTTTGTCATCGTTGATTGCTATGCAGAAAACGGAAGCATAAGAGCCCTTGCAAGTCGGAACGCCCTTCTAATAGCTAGATGCGCGCAATTACTGACTCGCGTTGTTTTGAGATGACCTACATGTCGTCGGCGAGTCATGCTCGTGTTTGGTGCTCAATAGAGAATGGTACGACAACACATTCACCACGTACACGGACATTGCATAGTTCCCGAGAAAACTCATTGATATACACCAAATAACCCCAGTTCGTAGCTATCCTTTCACACGCAATGCAACAGGCGTCCGACAGCGTCAAACATCAAAGAAATAATACCTCACACGCACACACGCGCCGTCTGTTACAACCCCGCCGCCTTTTTCAACGCGGCGAAATTGGGCGATCCAAAGCCCGTCACCTGGTGATTTGAGTGTCAGTCTCAAGAGAATCAAAACCAGGAATCGGCGACGTACAGGGTCCCAGCCAGCCTTTGCAGGGAATCCATTGGTGTTGCAGCCTGGGTTGTTGCCTGCAGGGAAGGGTGTGGTGAGGATTTGCATCACTCACAGACTGCTACATGCAACGCACCAGACGTGATATCGTGGAACGCGCCCGGGTTTTTATAGATGAATGGGTTCAAAAACCCGAGCGGCTTCTTTCCAGCGGTGATGAGCTGATCGTTGATGAGCGCAATGACGCTCGCAAAAATCGGGCTGGCACAGCTCGTTCCGGCAACAAGGCCGAACTGGCCGCTTAAGGCGATCACGACGTTCTCAGCTGGGGCTGCGATGTCAGGGAACGCACGGGAGGTCTTATTGAAAAGGCCAGCGTTGGTATTGCCGAGGCCTTTCAAGTAGCTTGAGACGGCGTTGGCTTGGTAGGACGGACGGGCGAAGTAGTTGGAGAAGCCGCCTGAAGATAGAGAGGCGGCGATTTCGGGGCTAACACCCTGTGTGCCTCCGACGGACGTCACGCTGTTTGACTCGATCATTGTGAGGAATGGGGTCAGGCATAGAAGGACGTACAATGGACAGGTCCCTGGGAAGACCGGGACGAAAGTAGTGCAGTCCTGGGACTGACCACCTGAAACACCTCCGTCACCAGAAGCGAACAAGATGGAGACTCCACGGGCGCCCAACTGACTATATGCGTTGCACAGATTTCTAAAAATGAGTGATAAGTTTGACTTTTATATGTGGACTATAATGAAGTAGCGTACGTAGCAAGGTCTATAGGAAGATCATTCTCGTTGAAGCCGTATGACGTGGTCAAAACCTAGAGGTGTCGATCAGGCATATTCGTTGATGCTGCTGCCCTCGTCAACAAAATGCCTTACCTGAGGCGGATTGGAAAGGCTGAGCAATTGATTTATCTCGTCCAAAAATCCATCCAGGCCGTCTTCATTATTATCACCGACTGAGACGAAGGTATTGGGCACGCCCGAAGCAACACCGACGGTGTACTGAATATCGAGATTCTGAGGATATTTGAATGAGCAGAATTGCGACTGCAACTACACAGCGTCCTCACCGCTTCAATGCCGGGCTGGCTTTGATCGTTTTGCCCGCCATCGACACTCAGAAGCGTAAAGCTGGACGTAGATGGCAGATCCGGCCGGAATTGCTTCAGGAAGCTCTTGACGTTCCGATCTGCGTCAGCAAACGAAATCGAAGATTGGAAAGACGACCAACTTGTAGATCGCTGTTGCTGGCAAACTCGTCGCCAAAAGCGGACACACCGAGCTGGTTGGACGATTGTTTCGCCCGGGTCGCAGGGATTCCATACTGTGCCTGCAGACACGAAGGTGTGACCTGGGTCGCGCAGGACGCGGGTACAGCGTTTGAGGTCGGGGTGGAAGATGGATAGGGCTTGATGACGGGCTTGATGATATTCTTCACAGGGAACCTAAAGACATCGACTTTAGAGATCAAGTGCGAGACATGATGAATTGGAAAGGACTCACCCGACGGTGGGATGTATGAGGCTGATGTGGCCCTTCAAGGAGACAGGGATCGAATACTTCAACGTGCGCACGGTTTGGACTCCGGTATCAAGGTGCGTAAATTTGGTGAAATCTGCGTCTATGAGTTTGTTAGCTGTCTCGACAGTCGTGTCGACCGTAAGCCAGTCGCCGGCAGGCGAGGCCTTGGAAGACGTGAGGTTGTTGGCTGAGAGCCATTCGTTGACGGCTGCAAGCGTCTCAGATGAGGGCGCGACGAGAGCCTCGACCTGAGAGCCCCATCAAATCGAGGCAAGTACTGTAGGCTGTGTGGTAAACAGTACCTCTTCCTTAGACAGGTGCTGGCCATATTGGGGGCTACCGGGGGTGCTAACGGCGTAAAGCGCACCCTCCAGCCCTTGAGCGTCGCTCTGCACGAGCGCAAGGCGGAGGGTGAGGGTTTGTTCAGCGGAAGCAGAGCCACTGTTCACGAAGCCGCTCGGGGGGGCATCACGCCGCTCGTGTACGTGCATGGCACGTGGGGAGTGCGGTTTGGCGCGTGCGAGGGCGAGAAGAGAAGCTATGAAGACAACGGATCCAACCATGTCGGAGGAAAACAGAGAACGGGGAGGAAGGGTCTCTGGGATCGAAGGAAAGTGAGAGTGTCTACTTTATAGAAACGATGAGGCCTGCCGACGACGAAGAAGGGTCGAAACTGAAGGGTGCTGTGTACCATGTGCGCATTACGAAAAGAAGATGAACAATCTGATCTATTATAATTTCGTCGACGATGTTCATGGCGATACATCAAGGAAGACCATACAGGCAACGGGGGCGCTAGACTTGGCGAAAAGAAACATCGCTCTAGACTTGGTCAGCTCATAGCACGGCCGTGTAATTGCCGGCAGACTCACCTCAAGAAGTTACCAGCTCTGGGAGTTTACAGTGAAAAGACAGGATGAAACACTTCCTACCTTGGGGCTGACGGATTCGCGACCATCCGCCATGATGATGGCAGCGGATACTCATTCTGATTTGAGAAGAGGCGTTGCAATGGACTTTCCGGAGCTAACGCAATGTGATAGTTGCCTTGGAGGATGGTATTCCAATAGGACTAGATGCGAACAACAATCCCAGGCCCTTGAAGGGTAGGTAGATCGCTCTAAACGTCCATAGCGAAGCTTTCCAGTTCCAAAAGTGGCAAATTCTCACGCTAGGCGGCCATCCGGCCATTGGGGGCACCTGGTGGCCATCACTTTGCTTCCGCGCTATGGTCTTGGGTTCAAACGTTCAACTGTACTCACCTCTCGAGCAACTGCTTGTCGAATAACCTTGCTGAGAACTTCATTTGGGCAACTTGATTTCACGAACATGGCCCCAAATCGCCCGATCCTTTCCCTAGAGACGCTGAATGTAGCATGTGTAGCGACTCAGCTGGTCTGATCATGCGCAGAGTCGCCAAGCTCGATGCCTTCCATTTGTCTCTCGTACCAGCTGACAGAGAGTGTAGGGCGATCTGCGTGCGGGAGGTTCAAGCCACGGTAGTGCCGCTGTTCGATCAGACAACCGGAATTCTGCTGGCCCTGGTCTCGTCATTCTACATCTTTGTGTTGGATCCAGCCTTTCAGGGTCCAAAATCATTCAAAGCTCGCCTCACAATTCACTTCTAGTTTTGGCTGTGCAAGCGGAGCGCGCCTCAAGTTGTTCGTATCGAGATTGATGCTTTCGTTTCCTCTTGTGCACAGTCTTTGAACTGATCCGAGCAAATGCATTGGTGGATCGACTCGAGAGCATGAGCAGACCTCGTGCCTTCACCTGTCAAATGTTCGGGGTCGTCTCGATCTCCCCTCCTCTGTCGCGATTAAGTTCGACAGTCGTCTCGAGAGAGACGATCTTTTTATGCACGATGGATGTCGACCATGGCATATCTGTGAAGCCAAGCTCAAACACATCAAAAGTTAAGTGGGACATCAAGATGAAAAAGAGAAGTTGTTGGATCTGATACCGCTTTACCGTTCAAAACGCACAGACCCTGATCAAGTCGAAATATCTTGTCTGACATCTATACTCACTATCGTTGCACTGGAGTTGCAAAAAAAAAAATTCTTCATGGTATCGTAGATCATACTTTTTTTCGCTTATAAATTTTATTGCACATGCGGAAATATCTTAAAATATGTCCTGTCATTTTTTCGTATTTTTGAGGCCATGGACAGAATTGCTGTAAAATGTTTGAGAAGGAGAGTCCGAAACGAGCAAAACTTGAGAGTTGCAAATCTTTCTGACGATCGGGTCACACGTCGTCACATGCAAATTTGAGCTCTGGTTGCGGGACGACTTGCGAAGCGGCGTTTCAAAAAGATGACCAAGCATCACGCGGCCCGAGGCTCCTTGTCACTCTGCCTGCCATCGGACACTGCTCGTCAAAAACAATTTGGTGAAGAGCATTGAAGTCTTCAAAGTCAAATTGAATGCTCTATATGTCTTCAGTGGTATTTTTTTATCTTCATTATTTTATTTTTATTGAAATTGAACTCAAGGATCTGAGGAATCTTGAACATCTTTGAGAGAACTCTGTCCTAAAAACCATTATCCATTGCTTTCTCACTGCTGCACCCATTTTCTGTTCCTAAAAAAACTAGCATACCTGTAGAGTACTTAAATGAACAACTGTGAGTTTTTCGAAAGGTGCCGTCAAAAAATGCTGCGAGGAGCTCGATTTTGAACCTCCCATCCCGTTTGCAACTCCGGTGCAACGATAGTAATGACTGATTCATCGACATTCCAAAGGCGGTGTAATTCGGCGACCCAAGGCCAGTGACCTACGCGGTGCGACGGTCAGCCATAGTGAGGGGGGAGGCTAACAGTCACAGCTCACGGGATCCGGATTATTGCCCGTGAGATAGAGCATGCATCCGTAGAATGCGTATTTATAACAGCAAAGGGCACGAACCGGATGTTATATCATTGAATATGCTCGGCAACGCGTATATCATGGGATTCAAAAATCCAAGGGGCAGCTTCGTTGTAGCGGTGCGTTCGTCGTTTAGCAGAGCGATGATGCTGGCGAAGATGGAGCTCGAGCCACTAGTTCCGTCCACGGTAATTGCTTCGCCCTTCAATGTGATGATGATGTCCTTGGCTTAAGCAGAGACATCAGGATATTCACGCCCGTTTAGATTAAATAATCCTTCATAAGCTTTGCCAAGTTCTTCTAAATAAGCGCCGACTGCGCTGTCTTGTGTGAATGGGCGATCGAACAAGCGGGAGAAGCCCCCTGATGAGAAGGGAGCTGCTACCTCAGGGTTCGTGCCCGTGGTATCTCCAACAGCGGTTACACTAATGCGCACTTGATGAGTACACTCAAGGTGAAAGTGTCAGACGAGCATACAAGGGGCAAGTTGCAGGGAAGACTGGTTGAAATTCGTCCCAGTATTGGTCACGAACACCTGAAACACTGCCATTTCCAGATGCAAATAAGCGCCGTGCGCGTCCAAGACTGCATAAACCTTGCACAGATGTCTAGGTTGACACTGAGGGAGATGATGGCGGCACACGAGTATGGGACTCACCTGGCAAGGGTAGGCGAAATGTGTTCCTTGTTTATACCGTGTGATGTGGTTATGACCTGATTTATTGGCATAATGCTAAGAATCGACAATTGCATCAAGTGTATTTTATACCAGGCGCATGAGGCTGTTCCAAGAGAAAGGAGGCCTCGGCTAAGAATCCGTCAACGTCGTCTTCACCACAGACGAAGGCAGATTTGATGCCCAATGCAAGGCCAACAGTGTACCGGACACCAAGGTTCTGACAACAAGGTCGTTTGAATCTAGAAGCAGGCTGGCATAAATGTCATGAATGAGATCGCTTACAGCTTCTACTGTGTGATCGTGACGTGTAGGATCTGAATTTCTGTCTGTGCTATAGACATTGAAAGTACCCGATGACGATGAAGCAGGCTGGAAATCCGCACGAAAAAGCTGCCCATATAGTTGTTGATGCACCAGCAAGCACTTTCACAGCAAGAAAACATACTTTCAGGTCCGCCTCGCTGGCCCAGCTATTTCCAAACTCAAAAACACTGATTGTTTTGATGGCCTGTGTCGCGGGGGCATCGGGTATTCCGTACTGTGCCCGGAGAGTAGAGGGTGCAACGGTTCCATTGTAGACCTCCGGCACCGGCCTTACTGTCGAGTTGATATACACGTCGGACTTCATCTTCAGGGTCGTTTTCTTGATGGACCGCATCACATTCCTCACGGGAAACCTGCACAATTGAAATCAAGTCAAAGTATTCTGCATCAGTGGCACAAGATGAAGAGATAGAGCGGGGGGTACACACGAGACGGTAGGGTGAATAAAGTTGACATGGTCCTTCAAGGCGGCGGGAGTTGAATACTCCAGCGTGCGTATGGCGGTCGCTCCGAATTCTTGGTGGGCGAAGCTCGCAAAGTTTTGCGGCCATGAGCTCACTGGCCTGCGCGATCGTCGCGTTGACGCGGATATAGTCGCCCGCGGGCGAGCCCTGTGCGAGGCGAGACCGTGCGCCGCGAGCCATCTACTCACGGCAGCGACAGTCTCGGGCGTGGGCGCAATCAATGCCTCGGTCTCCTCTTTTGTGAGGTGCTGTCCGTATCGCGGGTTGCTTGGTGTGCTGACTGCGTAAAGTGCGTCCTCGAGGACTTTGAAATTGCCCTGGGCGAGCCCAAGATGCAAGGTCAGTGTGTGCTGCGCGGGCGCGGGGCCGCTGTGCACGAAGCCTTCGGGGGATCTGTCAATGCGCTCGTGCGCACGCATGTTGAGGTACAGAGAAGCGCTTGAAGCAGACGCGGCGGCGAGGAATGAGAACAAGATGGTGAAGACTATGGTCGTGTCGGTAAACGCAGGGGAAGGTAAGTTCCCTGCTGGTGGGACGAGACGGAACTCTATTTATAAGAAATAAGACATTTGGAGGATGATGGCCAGAAAGGATTTTATTGGAAAGAGCACAGGTGTTTCTGGACTAGCACAAGATCAGGCTGCTCAAAACTCGACTCTGATGCAGACGGCGTAGTTAGAGCGGATTTCGAAGACCAAGGCCATAGAAAATGCTTGCGAAGGCATCCGCAGAACTGATCCATTACTGCACGATATGCGAATAGATACACACGTAGTTCAAGAATGTCAGGGCTAGGCTCATGGACGCAGACGGTATGCACACCGGTACCGAGACGTGCGCAATCCCTTGACCTACCGGCCCTTGGAAATCATGGGGATTGAATGCGGTAGCGATGAGAATGTACAATCCATTGGGAGACGCTGATGGTGGTGACGGTGAAAGCCATGATGTCCCGCTCGGCTCCGGCCTGCAGCACTGACGTCATGTGTAATTTCCCGTGTGCCAGTCAAGAGCGGGTTCTCTTACACAAGGTCATCCTCCACCGTTTCATGCAACCCTCTCGCAAACACTCGCGGAATACCGACGACGACGACGACGACTTGTCTCCTAAGCACAGTCGCGTTGCACTTCCTCAAGTTGCATCGGACGACTTCTCGTCTCAGGATAATGCAACGATGGATCGACTTGTCACCCAATGTCTGAAAGACCGCTGTCCAGATCTGAATGAACATAACCTGTCAGGGCCTACTCTTGTCTGGCTGGCTTGTTTGGATGTATCCTACGCGACCCTGTTTAACCGCACAGCATGAGTATACGCAGTCGGCACTGGCTTATGCGTTGGTTCAGAGGAATCCTGCGTTCGCGGAGGCATTGCGAGATGCTTGGAAGCGAGGAGAGTACAGAGAAATACGAAATTCTGGTACGACTCAGTTTTGCGATGACATGCACACTTCGCTGACAACCAAATGTTCAATCAAAGTACTCCTGCGATCGCCGCTCGAAGCCTCCGGACGTATGCGCATACAAACTCCAAAGCGGGTCCAGAACGAGGCACTAACAGGCCCGATACACTGCAGACTGATATTTGGAATGCTAGTTTAAACAACCATTTGCGCACACCCTACAGATGGCCGTAAGTAAAAATCTCCCTCGAATTCTTGACATGCTAATCACTTACCGCAGTCGTTTGTGCCGCTTGGACTGGACGATATCGAGACAACCATCATCGTCTACTCCGAACCATCAACGCGATGAGGACGGGAGATACTCAGGGCGACTATTCCAACTCAGTGGCGGTCGTACTGGAAAATCAAGAATGGTCGATGAACAAGCATGTCTCGTTTTCACGCTGCCGATCAATTTGCGGGCGAGCAACGAAAGTAACCGTATGTCGTCCAGTTTTTTCACATGTCGTCGAATGTTCTGACGCCGAAATGTTATAGTTCTCACATGTCCACCCCCCGATGATCGCGTGCAGGAATAGCTCATCCAGCCGCAAGCGACATATGCGGACCTACGCGTTCATTATTATATTTTTTTCATCCGCCTCTTCCGTGCCACACGTGAAGAGTTGCGACGCATATACCCAGATAACTTGGTGCCTTCATACGAGGATATCACAAAGGTGTGGCGGGACCATCTGCGTGAGCATAAAGACAGGCATTCACGGAAGATCTCTATGATGCCGTGCTGTCCAAACCCACTGTTTGTGCCTCACATTCATATGAGCCACCGATGCTCATTTGCGTGCACAGCGCGAAATCTTCACCGACCTATGACCACAGCACAAGGCAACTTGGATCGAAGCAGCTGAGCTGACGCTCGACCGGCATGCTGCCAAAAGCGAGGCTTTGAATGAGCTCAAGCTGTTGTCAAACATCATCGATCCATCGTGGGAGCGCGACCCTCCTTCCTGTCACATTCAGCTTGTGATTTACTTTGACGAGGCCCACGAGCTCGCCTCCCGAGCTGCACCTGGGAATAAGTACGACAAGTCGCTTTACGACACGGTGCTTTCGGTCCTCAACGATTTTGTTTCGTATCCCCTTTTCGCGATCTTTCTCTCCACCATTTTGCATGTCGCTCGATGCCCGCCTTCCCAAGATTTCGCTAGCTCGTCACGAGCTGCACGAGAGAGCTTGCTGCAAGCGCCGGTCACAGAAACTCCCTTCGACTGCGCCCCAGATTTTGTCGTCAAACCACATGGTCTTCGACTCGGGGATGCTTACGCACATCTACAGACCCTGAAAATCTGCTTTTGATGCTATGGCACTTTCTTATAAGGATGACATTCCCCGACTGTCAGCGTCCGTCCTGGAGACAGCACGCAGCAAGCCCTTCTGTGCAGACACTGCGGAACCCTTTTCCAGCTGCTCCCAGGCGGCAAAGCTGGCGGTCGCCGATGTCCGGCTCTGTCTGGATTATGAGCCAGGGCGACGGGTGCTCGCGGAGGCGGCGATGACGGCGATCCTCGTCCAGGTGAAACGCCGCGAGAACTGGGGGGGGGGGGGGGGAGCGCTGTGAATGACGACTTTGCCGCGGAAGACGTCGCGTTTTTCCCCGCGCGAGGGAGCGGGCGGGCGGCCGTATTGCACGGTCCTGATGGAGCTTGGCGGCGGCCTGGCGAGGACCGAGGTTTCCGACGCGACCCCTTTGACGCGCACGGGGGACGGGGAGAGGGTGCCGCCCGCGGTACAGCGTGCGCGCGTACGGCTGCTCGGGCGCGGTTTACGGGGTGATCGGGCGCTCTGAGGGGGACAAGTACGCGCGGCTGTTGGGGAGTCGTGAGTTTGTGGCGGGGCACCCGAGCCGCGACGAGGGGGCGATGGAGGCGGTGCGGAGGCAGAAGCCGGTGTGGGTTCGGGGCGGCGGGGGCGGGGGCGGGTGTGATCGTGCCGCGGCACGAGGGGGGGAGTCGGATTGAACGACGTCGGTGACTCGCATATCGTGAATAGGAACGATTGTTTTGGGGCCAAGTGTTGGACGGCGCCGTGTCGCCTCCGCCGTCTGGGCTGAAAAGCAAGCCTCGTCAACGCGGGCGCACGCACCGGCGACCTGAGCGAGGGCGCTGAGAGGCCGGACTGCCCGAAGAGGCAAAGCCGGCGGGGGGCGTGGGAAGGGTGCGGAGGGGGACGCTGGGAGGCGTGTCCGCTCTCTCTCACCGCTCCATCAATGTCGTCCTCCAACATCTACGCCGTGAGCACCGTCCTCGCCGTCCCCCGTCCCCCCCGTCCCCGTCGTCGCTCACATCCACCTCCTCTCCCACAGCATCGCACCCTACAGCCCACCGCACAGCCCTCCCAGGGCTCCTCCCAGCAACAGAGTCAGGCCCGCCTCAACGAGTGCTTCGACACAATCCGCCAGGAGTTCGACGGCCTCTCTCAGGAGTTCAATCTCCTCCGCGGCCAGCGCGACGACTTTGAGAGCAAAGGTGCCCACCCCCCGCTTTGTTCTTTTCTCCACATCCGCCACATACCCACGCTCACCCCCGCTCTTCCTCCCTTTCTCGGGACCACCCCCGCCCCCCGCCCCACAGTCTCCGGCCAGGTCAACGAGCTCAACATCATCCGCCAGAGCCTCTACGACCTCGAGGCACAGCATGGCAAAATACGCCAACAATACGAAGAAGAGCTCAGCCGCCTCCGCGCAGAGCTCATGTCCCGCCCCCAAGCCCCCCATCCCAACGTCGGCCCCGGCACATCCGGCCTCGCCACCCCCATCACCTCATCCGGCCCCCCTCTCCCCCTCTCCGCCGGGCCCAGCCAATACAACGACTCCTTCTTTCCCCGCGATCGTGACCGCGCCGACAGGGACCGTGAACGCGAGAGGATCGACCGCGTCGAGCGCGACCGCGATCGTGAGAGGGAGCGCGATCCCCGCGACTCCAAGAGAATAAAGACAGATACAAGGATCAAGTCTGATCGTCCAGGTGCGCCCCCCCGCCGCTTCTCCGCGCACGCTTGCCCTCTCTCTCTCTCCTGCGCCACTATCCTGTGAGATCGCCCATGAGGCCGCATAGCCCCGAAATAATTCCATCCCATCGACCAGCCTGCGTTCCATCATCTCACGATGCCTTGTTCCTCCTTCGCCCTCTCCGTCGTCCCTGACCTTCCTCGCTCCCCGCAGAACATTTCAGTCCCTCCATGAACCCGGGCCCCTCGCATCCTTCCAATAAACTCCCTCCAGCCCCAGGTGGCCCCGGACAAGCGCCTCCCTCCTCCGCCTCCACGCCCTTTTCCGGCGGCCCTCCGCCCTCCGCCACCGAACCCTCCTCCAGCGGCTCGGGTGGAATGGTCCCCGTGAATAACGCCGGCGGCGGCTTTCTCGAGGACATGGACCCCCACAACATGCCGCCCGAGTTCAAGAAGGAGGGTACCGATTGGTTTGCCATCTTCAACCCCCAGGTGCCGCGCGTGCTCGACGTCAATCTGGTTCACACCCTGCTCCACGAGAGGTGCGTGTTGTTGTGCCTGCATCGCCACCCCACCCCACCCGCGGCTAACGCCGTGCGATCTCGATCAGCGTCGTCTGTTGCGTGCGCTTCTCCGCCGACGGCAAGTACCTCGCGACGGGATGCAACCGGTCTGCGCAGATATATGACACCAAGACGGGTGCAAAGACCTGGTGCGTGCCGCCGTCGCGCCTCCTTTTGGCCGCACGTCGCTGATCGCGCGTCACAGCGTTCTGATAGACCCAGAGGCGACCAAGACGGGCGACCTTTACATCCGGAGTGTCTGCTTCAGCCCGGACGGCAAGTTTCTGGCGACGGGCGCAGAGGACAAGCAGATCCGCGTATTTCACCTTTTCCACTTTCCTCTCTCGCGTGCACGCCACAGCTGACGCGATCATCCGCGCAGATCTGGGACATCGCGAAGCGCCGCATCCGGAACGTGTTCAACGGGCACACGCAGGAGATCTACTCGCTCGACTTTTCGCGCGACGGGCGGCTGATCGTGTCCGGCTCGGGGGACAAGACTGCGCGCATCTGGGACATGGCGGACGCCAAGTGCACCGTGCTCACGATCCACGAGCCAGAGGCGGTCGACTCGGGCGTGACGAGCGTCGCGATCTCGCCCGACGGACGCCTCGTCGCGGCGGGCTCGCTCGACACGATCGTGCGCATCTGGGACGTCGCGAGCGGGCTGCTCGTCGAACGCCTCAAGGGTCACAAGGACAGCGTGTACAGCGTCGCGTTCACCCCCGACGGCAAGGGGCTCGTCAGCGGCAGCCTCGACAAGACGCTCAAGTACTGGGACGTGCGCCCCGCGCTTGCCGGGTTGGGCTCGGGCTCGGGCTCGGGTCGGAAGGACTCCATCGCGGGCGGGGCGGGGCCCGGTGGGGGAGGAGGCGTCGGGAACGGGAAGAAGGAGGGCGGGGAAAAGGGGAGCTCGTGCACGATGAACTTTGCGGGGCACAAGGTGCGTGGGCGTGGCTTTGGGCGTGCGCGCAGTGCTGATGTTTCGTTTCGTTCGCAGGACTACGTGCTCTCGGTCGCGGTGTCGCACGACGGGCAGTGGGTCGTGTCGGGCTCGAAGGACCGGGGCGTGCAGTTCTGGGAGGCGCGGACGGCCGTCGTGCAGCTCATGCTCCAGGGACACAAGAACTCAGGTGAGCGGCGCGTTGGTCGCGTTCGTTTCTGGTCGCTGACGCGCGCGCGCACTATGCAGTGATCTCGATCGACCTCAGCCCGGCGGCGAGCCTGCTCGCTACCGGCAGCGGCGACTGGCAGGCCCGAATATGTGCGTGCGCCCGCTGTACTCGGCGAGAGCGGAGCCGCTGACCTTTCTTTGTTTTTTTTCAGGGAGTTATACCACGGCATGATGATGATGATGCGCGCTCTCGTCTCTCGTCGTCCTCATTGTCATTGCTGCTGTTGTTGTTTTCCATGTATATCATAATGCGCCCCCGTCCACGTCCACGTCCCGTCTCCTCCCCGTCTATCTCTATCTCCTCCTGTTCTTTCCTCCTTTTTTGTGTTTGAGAGTCCGTGAATGTGAATGTGATATGCCGTGTAGCGACCCCAAAATGTATCGCGCCGAGTGCCGCCGCCCCGCCGTGCCCCACCGTTCCCCGCCCCGCTCCGACCTGCCATCTCCTTTCTCCCCTGCTTTCTTTGTTTCTTTGTTATTTTTTGTTTGTCTTTTTTTGAACCTCCAGCGCGCTTCTTTTAGCCCCGTCGCCCGCCCTCGCCCGCGTCCCTCCTCGCGGATGCATACTTGTCGGGTCGTCCGTGCTCCTGCTTGATGGTCGACGAGGGGCTGCGGCTGCGGGGCACAAAGCGTCTTTGAGATGGACAGAATGGGAACTAGGAATGTGGTATGGGAATGCGGTCGGCGGGGCGCGAGGAGGGTGGGCGGCCGGGCGGTGGGCTGAACGACGTGCGACGTGCGACGACGCGGAGTTGTTGAGCTAGCGGGCGAGCGGGCGGGCGGGCGGGGTGTGGGAGTGTCTACATATCTATCTATCGATGTGCTACTCTTTTTTTTTTCCTTCTGTCTTTGTTTCTGGTTCTGTGTGTTTCTGTGACTGTGTCTGTGTGAGCGTCTGTGTGAGCATCTGCATGTTTTGTGCCTTGCGGATTGTGTCAATTTCACCGCGTGCGATGAGTGCTGGCCACTGGGGGGTCGCGCGCTGCCACGCGGGAGGGACTCGCAAAGTGGAACACGATCCATCGCGCCATGGCACCAAACATATAACGTTCTCGGTAGTACAGTACACGAGGTCACAGTAGCTGGACATCCCCTCTTTACAACCGACCAAGATGGAAAAGACACCTGTTCCCACACGATACACAGGGGACGCTCACTGAGTTTGGTACGAAAAAGAAAGAAGGTGAGTGGCCGTGGCCTGCGAGACGCCGGGGCACAGAAAGCTCACCGCGATCCCGAACTGCTCGACGTGCAGCTCGACGCTGGGGCCGCCCCGGAGCACGCTCACGGGGCCCTTGACGGGCGCACACAGCGCGCCGCGGACACGCCTGCTCAAGCTCGCGGGCCCGCACACTGGCTCGCCCCCCCGACGCACGCGCGAGTCAGCCGCCGCGGCGATCACATACATCCGGTCAGCGACCGCGAGAACACGCACCGTTCACGGACACGCTCCCCCGCGCGAGCGCGCACGCCTCCTCGATCGCGCCCTCGACGTCTGGCCGGCCGCGCGCCACCGTCGTCCGCGGCAGGCGCGCGATCTTGGCGAGCGACTTTTCGTCCTCCACGCTGCCGCGCTCCTCGTTCTCCTCATCGGCTGCCACCGCGGCCTCGGGGGAGGCGATGGAGGATGCCTCGCTGGCACCGTCCTCGGGCGAGGTGATGTGGATGCGCGCATCGATGCTTAGCGAGGCGGGGGCGTGGGCGAGCGCGTGGGCGAGGTCGGCGTACGCGAGGTTGATGTGGTCTGTGGACGGTGTGGGTCAGGCTGGAGTGCGGGGCTCCACAGGGCTGGATGGGAGGATGTACCTGCGTGACGGATGGACCACAGGAAGATGACACGGCGGCACGCAGACGGATCTTGGCGCGCGCGACTGTGAGAGACGTGAGCATGCGAGCGAGCGGGACTGTGCGCCAAGAGCAGTCACCCACCGGACGAGGTCGAGAAGCAGTGGGCTGGTGAAGGTGACGCCGGACCCGCCTGAGACGATGCAGAGCGTGGGGGTCAGAGACGAGCGGTGGCGCGCGTCTGTATGTGGGCTTACCAGCGATGAAGACGACGGTGTCGAAGCCTTTGAGGCTCGGCGGGACACCGTACGGGCCATCCACGAAGACCTTGACGGGGCCTCCCTTTTGCGCAACGTCCATCAGGCGCTTCGTGAGGCCCTGCCGCGCCCTGACCACGAACACGAGCTCCTTGCCCCTCGCGTCCTCGCTCTTCGCGGACCCCTTCTCCGGCGGGCCTTCTGCTACCGCGCCCGCCGTGTCCATGCGGGGCACGTCCGCGTTCGCGATCGTGAACGGGTGAGACTCGAACAGCAGCAGCGACACGCCCGGCATCGTCAGCAGCGCGCACTGCCCGGCGGACCAATGGAGGTACGACGGGCGCCGGACGCGCAGGCGCACGAACCCCGGCGCGGCCACCTCGGCTGTCGCGTCGAACGTGCCCAAGCCCGATTTGAGTCCGAAGTACGAGTGGTTGAAGAGGATGACGCGGCACAGACGAAGGAGTCTGTCGAGGCCCCAGAGGACGAACGACGGCCAGATGTAGTGCTCCCGCCTGCGGTGTGTGGGGTGTGTCATCAGTATTTCTCTAGGTTACGAAAGACGGGAACACGGACTTAAATCTGCGCGTGTGGAAAAAGAGAGAGAGCAGGATTATGCTGGTGCGATTATGGATTTAGAAATGTTCGGAGACGGCTGAAAGATGCGCCGCTTACAAGACGAGGAGAAAATGGGTGACGAAGAATGCCTCATACTCGTACCGGCGGACTGGGCGCAAGGTGACGATGCATAAGAACGTTAGAGCAGTGGCAGCTAGTATACCGCATCTTATATATCTGCTGTCCAAACCGTCTTCGGTGGTGAGCCTGAATCGGCGAGACCGGACGTTATTGGCTTTCGGGCAAAATACAGAAGCTACTCACCCCAGTTGGATCTATAGACGTATTTGAACCGATGCGTCAATAATAGAGCACTGGACGGTACACAGAACTGCTCACTCTCCCAGCAGCGTGCAGCCAAATCAGAGGCACGAGTGAGCGCGCGCACATTCTGTGCAGATAACTCAACTAAAAATCGCGTGATCAGATCTTGTTACAAACGGAAGATCCGGTTTCAAACTTGCCTTCTCAAAGCTGACGCCAGTAATGACTGCATCGCGAACATGTCAGCTTTTCAGTTACCGGCGGCGATGATGCGTGCTCACGAGAGATGAGATTGTTTTTCATGCCCAGGGCGACGATGAGAGGCATTTGTACTGCGGCGATGCTGGCCGCCCGGTTAGAATAATACGTCGGGTCATATCTCTTGCCGGCTGTGGTCGTCGCTAAATGAACCCGATATTCAACTCTCAGTACAGGGGGGTCGGGAGGAAGCAGAGCTGACTGTTGATCAGAGACCAAACAAATAAGATGATGATGTACGTGGCGGTTATGAGCAGCTCGGCGACGTTGAGCGTGTACTTGTTCCCGATAGGGACCGTGCATCGAAAAGCAAGGATGCGATAGGCGTTCACGACTGCGAGGGGCAGCCGCCGGAACGCGATAGCACCGCGCGCTGGACCGTTGCGGTCTTCTGAGTCTCTTGGCACGGCCGTCTGTCTTCGCCTCGCCAAGAGACGAGAGCCCACGTTCCCGATGCCGACGAGGAAGATAAAGCAAGCAATGAAATACCACACTTCCTTGGGGTACTTATTGGCGAGCAGTTTGCGACGGGCCTTGTCGAGTTTTGGGTTTCCAGCGACGGCAGCGGCAGCCTCCACAGGAGCGAAGACGGCGTCCATTTGCACCATGATGCCAAGGCAAATGGATAGGCCCAAGGAGTGAATACAATCGGAGATGACATCGCGTAGACTTATATACTGGAACGGACGGCCTCGCGATCATGGCCAAAAAGGAAGACGAAGGCCGGAGAGAACAGCATGGGAACGACAAGAACGCAAGCCCGTCCTGACCGAGTGATGCGCACACCATTCAAGGGCTGCCTCGAGCAAGAGCGGGCCAGAGAAGAGGAGAGAGTGAACGGTTGAAGAGGTTGGACGGCTTCCAAAAGGCGCCTCACGTTTATCTGATAAGGTCATTTGACTGCGTGCACCGTTCTGATCCGGTGTCCGCCAGAAGCGCTGATTATCAGATATGATATACTTCGGGTCCCAGTCGGTTCCTTGGGGTAGACTGACTGCCCATCCTCCCGCAACTTGCAGAAATGGCGTGCTTTTGAGTAGCATTGCTGTAAGCGAGGCTCCCCAGTCGTGGCAAGTTTCGCGGCCTCCATCGTGATCGGACTTGACTTGAGGCTGAGAGGGTTCAGGATCATGCCCTGATGCCTAAATCAGATAAGATGTCGTGAGAAATGTCAACTTCTGGCAGATGTACGTGAACCTACATTTCACCTGCGTCTTCCCCGGCAATGATCATATCGCCGCGTGGATGAGTCTGCATTAACATCGATGCGACGGACCGTTGGTCTACATAGCCGTGCACAAAGCTCACGGTGGACTGGCAAGGCATATAATTCAATGACTTACTGGCATTCGCTCCGTTTGGGAGCGGCTGAAATGAGACATGTCCCATCCTCAACTCTTATTGTCCAAGTAGACATGATCATAATCGCCCGCACTACCTTCGCACTCGCCCTGGTACCTCGAAACATCGCATTCTCAGGCTATCTGACAGCGCTGCGCTCGAACAGAACATCTCTACTGCCGCTCCGTACACCCCGGATGGTGCCAGCTGATCGCTGTGAACGCGAAACACCCTCAGGGCCACGATTAATTGTATCCGATGCCATGCGAGACACCGACGAGACCCAACGAGAGGGAGCAAAGCAATGTACTGCACGGGCGGCGATCTAGACCTGGAGGATCGACGCCAAGCATGCGAAATTGGACTGCGAGCATCTGATTCGTCGGGTGATGAGTCCTCCGCAGACGACTGACGAGAAAGGCGCGCTGCGTACTGTGTAAGTACAGCCATTCTGATCCCACTTCGCACGCCGCGCCCGATGCAAATAAAGGAAGACTGCCCAGGCTGTGAGTAGAGCGAACGAGGAACTCGCGTTTTCCTAGTACAGCTCGAGGTAAAGGCCAAAGATCTGTATTTCCTTTTGAGCGTCTGAATACCTCGTTATGAGGATCAATAAGGTAGACAAATTTACCGAAGACCGCCAACAAAGAACGAGATGGTGAACTTGGTCGGATGTGTGTAGCTGCCAGGGTGCGATAACTCCCCGCGTCCATAGTGACAAACATCGGCAAACAAGGCCTCATCCGATGGCCGAACCGATGCTCCACTTCGTTAGGCCTACCTGTGCAATTCAGATCTTGGCATCCCTATCCGAAGCGCGGCTGAGGTGTGTGTGGAGATACCTCAGATTCGCCGAGGTCGACAGCGAAACGCCAATCGACTATCCGTGAGAAGCATCTCGAGACTTGTCGCTAGTCTTTTAGAAGATTCGGGTCTTCGAAAGCACGGGAATTGTCAAGGTCCGTTGCGAGTGCTTCCATATTCCGATTCGGCGCTGTTGTAAATATACTCAGAGACCAACTGCCAGCACATTGTCAAATGCCGAATCAACCTATAACGTATTGTACTCTGCTCCTATTAAAAGACCCTCTCGAGGATGATCCTTCATAACTCGGTGATCGTCTAATCGCTTTAAAAGCTCGCACCTGCGAACATCTCATCCGAGCAGACTAACCTGAACACCGCCAATAGGTCTTTGTGCTCGTTCGAGCTACTTTTGCATCGAACAGTGGAGCTTGCTCGTCTGCATCGAAACTAGGAACTGAGATGAGTCAACTGGGAGCGTCTGATTGCCTGGTGCGAGTTTCAGAACCCTCCGCTTTTTCCGTCTCTTTTCATAGACATTGGCATGATAGTAACCTGTTGCGTAATAGATGTTATCCCTAAATGTTTTAACCGCCTCCTTGCTAGGCCATAAATGACCAGCTTGTAGGCATCGATCGGTCTGCCCATAATCCCCTAGTTGGCCTCTCCATAATGTCTCTTGTGGACGCTACCCTTCCTGGTGGCGTAGCAGCTCAATCTGCAAGTCACGACCAAGCTCTCAGATCTTTCCTCGCCAACGAATATCCGAGGGAGGTGTGGTACTTCCTTGCTTCTTTGATTCTTCTCGTGGCTCTGTGCAACATATTGTCGCACAATTTATCTAGGTGGATCCCGACTGCTGTGTCGAAAGACCCGGAGGATATCCGCACGTCGCGCAAGGGTCCCATCACGCTCCGAAGGTTCCCACTCGCGATTCTGAGCGCATTCCGCATCGTGGCCTTTCGCTGCATCGTTCCCATTGGACAAACCTTTTCGCTTAATGCTGCAGAATTGTTCCTTACGGCACTCTATGTTGCAATCCTGTTTGCATGGACTCTGACCAACTGTGAGTGACCTCTATCTTTAGCTCTGATACCGTGATTGATATCCAAGTGCCAGCGACGACGACGACTGGTAGTAGATATGATCCGACGTACTATTCCAATCGAGCAGCCAGTATCGCAGCAGTTCAAACGCCGCTCATCGTGGCCCTAGGCATGAAAAATAACATCATCTCTTGTGAGCATATACGACTGCCTCATTATCATGTGCTACTGACCTTGCTATCTAGCTCTCACTGGCATCAGTTTCGAGAAGGTAAGGGTTATCCCGTAGAGTAACGATTGAACATGACCTCATCGCCTTTCATAGCTGAACTATCTTCACAGAATGTGCGCTCGCGCTATTGTGCCTCTAATTTGGCTCCATGCCGGCGGGAGGGTCAGTTCATATTCACTTTCATCCTAGGATATTTCTGATCTCAAGTTTTGTTATGGCTATCTACAGATCCAGCTTGGGTGAGATTTCGACCACACTCAAAGTATTAGGCCACGTCGTTTGATCATCTCGTGCTCAGACTTGTCGCCGGTACGGCTTTAGACAATGATTATATGAGATGTGGTGTACTTGCTGCCACTTCCTTGACGCTCTTATGCATCGTGACATTGAGACCTGTTCGCCGTTTGGAGTATGAAGCCTTCTTCATCACTCACTTGATCCTTGTTATGTGAGTGAGAACCCTACCTTCATTGTTCGCTATTCCTAAAATGATCTAGGATCGTTTTGCTTGCTGCCTTTTTCCATGCGCGGCAATTCCAGTGAGCTTTTCTTACTATCTCGCACATACGAACTCAGATCCATTGATTGCAGGCGTGATCATTATATTTGGCCATCATTCGTTCTCTGGGGATTCGACAGACTACTCCGCTTTGCGCGCATCGTCATTTTCAATCAATCCTATTTCGGATTCAGCCCTGGTTTGGGTACATTGGATGCGAAAGCAGAAGTCGCTGCGCCAGAATTTGTTCGCCTGCGACTCAGGCGCTCCAAGCACTTCCATTGGACCGCTGGACAGTGTGCCTTCCTGACCATGCCCAGCATCTCCCTTCTGCCCTTCGAAGCGCATCCTTTTACCATAGCGAATGCGGACATGAGTCGTGAAACTCCGCTGAAAAGCCAGGAGGAAAATGAGGCAGCAGTTGTTCGCGTTGAACAGGGATACGATCTCATATTTCTCATAAATGCTCGGCAGGGATTCACAAGGCGGTTGATGGCTATAGCGGAGAAGGGTGGCTCCATGAAAGTGTTTGTAGATGGTCCCTACGGCACCCCGCCATGTCCGAGAGGTTTCGACACCGTCGTATTCATTGCTGGTGGGTCAGTGGTTGAATGCTATGAACTCATTGACCTCAGATTATGATAGGTGGCTCTGGCATCACTTTCACTCTCCCATTATTCACTGACCTTGCTCGGTGAGAGCTCACTGCTTCAGCTATGATGATATCGTTCTCATGCTATTTAAAGACGCGCCCGCCATGATCCCTTGACATGTCGTAAAGTTGTATTTGCTTGGTCCATTCGTGTTGTCAGTGCGTCGTCCTATTCATCGTTCCATTCTTGATTGTGACTGATCATTCCAAGGTCACGTCAATCTCGTTTATGACGAACTTTTGGAGATTCTCGCTAACATGCCAGAGCAACTGGAGGTGGAAATATGCATCCATATCTCGAAGGCACGGATTGGGTCGTATCAGGGATCATCCGTCGACTCCGAAGTACACCAAGAAGAAGAAAAGCTGATGTCCAAACTCAGTCGTCTGCGCAGTACGACTGTCGGCACTGGTCGAGCGAACGTCAAGGGGATCATTGACGACGCTTGTGCTCTAGCTCGAGGAAGTGTGTCCGTCAACGGTACGTTCCATGACCTGCCAGGGTGTTTCTTGTCTTCATTCCAGAACCATCATTCTTCGAATCCAGTCTGTGGTCCTGCTGACATGGGGAAACGTGTCCGAGCAGCCCTGCGCTCTCCGGTCAAGGGGCCCCTTGACGTTCTCAAGGGAGGTCCCAGCATCGATCTCCACATCGAACAATTCGGGATTGCTGTGAGTTGTCACGCCGCCATCGCTGACACGCGAAGGTTCGTTCGTTGACGTGGTCTCAGTAGCAGGACAGATGTAGCCCTCTGTGCGAGATTTGCCTTTATAGGTCACCGAGAAGGAGTTATCTCTATTTAGGCTTTGCTATTCGTGCCCTGCTTCGACTTCTGGGATTCGAGTATAAAGTCAGATGCCCTGATGAGTACGTGTATGTTATAGATAGATCCGAACAAGGTGCTGCACGAGACTGCACGTCGAGATGTGCTAAAAGACTATTTACTTTTGAGTTTGCTTGAATAACGCGTTGACTTACAGACCAACCTGAACATGCTTAGAGGCCTATAGAGTCCCGCATACTTTGTCCCTAACTCTGACCGAAATGTCGGCATCGCTAGTCTCGAACGTGCGCTTCGAGGCCTTTCGCTTAGCGGTTGATCGACTTTGATCCAGGTCCGTCCGGTTTCAGGGGAAACGGTGCACGTCGCCGATGAGTGGAGTTTAGACATGCTTACTTCCTCTTCCTTTTCTTCATATCCTTTTGAGCGATCTTCCTCGAGATTTTGAAGCATCAACTGCGCCAGCCTATCCACACACTCAATATGTCTGGCATCGATGAGCTTGACCCAAGCTCTATTCCCGCCGAGTTCTTGAAAGAGGGTCCTGATTGGGTAGCCGCCTTCAATCCACGCGTCCAACGCGTCATGGATGTAAAGTTAGAAAATAAGTTCATTCATGACAAGTACGTACGGTCGTTTTCATACCCATGCAGAAGCTCACAACGCTCGCTTCGTACTTAGGGTGGTCTGCAGCGTGAGGTTTTCGGGTGACACGAGATACCTCGCTGTTGGAGTTGATAATGGCGTGAGCCTGTACGACATGAGCACAGGAGGTACGATTGTGTGAGTCTTCGGTCTTCAAGCAAGCTCTGTTCATCATTTATCCCTTCTGATACTTCAGGTTGCCATTCGATCACGCAGGCGATGTACCAGACCGGGATTATGTGCGCAGCGTTTCTTTTAGCCATGATGGCAGATCCTTAGCCGCGGGATGCGAGGACAAGTCAGTTCGCGTGCGTCGGGTTTTCATTTACCAATGCGATTTGACGCTGACATTGTGTGAATTTAATGCAACAGGTATGGGACCTGGAGAGTAAGCAGCTCGCACACACGCTCTCTGGTCACCGTCGTGAAGTCTATGCCGTTGAATTTTCTCCCGACGGGAAAACTATTGTGTCGGGCTCTGGTGATCGTACGCTTCGTCTGTGGGATCTCACTGCCCCTTCTCCATCTGAGTCTAGTCGCACACTTGTCGTGGAAGATGACCTCAGTAAATCCGACACGGGAATCACCGCACTTGCCATCTCTCCGGATGGCGATTTTGTAGCTTCAGGCGCGCTAGACGGGTCGGTTCGCATATGGAATATCAAGATGGAGGAGCCGAAGGCCATCGTTCGTTGGCAGGCGCACCAGCAAAGTGTGTACAGTGTCCGATGGGTATTGCAAGGCAAAGGTCTTATCACCGGAAGTCTGGATCGGACGCTGAAACGGTGGGAGATCGGCGTAGTCGGGGAAAACGGAGGGAAGAACGAGTGTGTAAAAACAATGGTCGGCCATAGGGTGTGTATCCAAATCGCATAGATGAAATGATATTGACGTTCGGAACAGGACTATGTGCTAGCGACGGCAACGGTGCAGGAAGGATATATGCTTCGTGCTGCGTCAGCGTCCAGAGACGGGACCGTGCGCTTGTGGGACTTGAAGACAGGACAAGCACTGTTCTTCATACAAGGGCATACCAACACGGGTGCGTGAAACCCAGATCTATGTTTCTCGCTTAGCAGTTCATCCTAGTTCATCTTTCAGTGACATCCGTCGACTTGAGCTCGGATGGAAAGTTCCTAGCGTCGGGGAGTGGTGATGGCTCGGCACGCATCTGTAAGCATGGGTCTGCATAAATCCATACGTGGCTAACTTTGAACACCGGCTTTAAATCGCAGGGAGCTACACCCTCATCTAATGGAGCCTAACTGATGTTATACCCATTTCCAACTTCATACTCTTCACTGGGATGTACGGTAGGCCATTTATCCCTAAGATGTTGTAACATATATTACCCATTGTGGTTGTTCGATTGCGTGTAGCCGTCGAGTTTGTGAGACTTATTCACTCGGCGTAGCACTGGTCAAGGCGCTGACGAAGCATGGACTAAATCTTCAAAACTCTAATTGATTAAGCTTGTGAGCTGCTATCTCTATTGCCTTCACGCGTCGTCGGTGAAAGACAACGCCTAAGCTCTCTTGATACAGTGAAAATAACATACACTTCGCTTTCTATGGAGACATCGTAGTAGCGTATACATGCGCAGCTGCACACACACCATGGAAGGCGATCAATCTAAATGGCGAATGGCAACCAGTCCTACGATCTCCTGTGAGATCGTTCTAAACCAAGAAGCGGGGTCGAATAAATATTTACTGGGCACAAGGGAAATGTTAGAAGTATTCAGTGGCTCATCATGTAGAAACACTTACTGCGAACCCAAAGTGTTCGACAAATAACTCAATGCTTGGACCACCTTTGAGAATGCTCAATGGGCTTGCGGCTCCAGAACGCAGAGCGCCGCGCACACGATCCGTCAAACCGGCAGGACCGCATACTGAGGTCTCGAGGCATCAGCACTGTAACAAGGCGCCTGGAAGAGGCATGCTCACCGTTCACAGACACCTCGCCTTGTGCAAGGGAGCAGGCATCCTTGAGGATATCTTCGACATCAGGCCTCCCCTGGCTGACCTGAGTCTTTGGTAGCCGGAGCATCTTCGACATTGCCTTTTCATCCTCCTCGGTATCGGTGGTAACGGAAGATGATTCGCTGGAAAGGAGTGCAGAGTCTTCTGAACCAGTGATATGGATGCGAGCGTCGACGTTGAGGTTGGCGGGGAGATTGCTGAGTGTTTCGAGGAGGTCTCCATAGATAAGGTTAATGTGATCTGGATACGCGCGATTACCGACTGTGAATGAGCATACGCAGAAGGGACACATACCAGGATGGCGAATTGCCCAAACAAAGACAACATTCCTCGTCACAGAAGGCTCCTTGCGAGCACGACTGCATGTCGTGTGATAAGCCACAATCAAGATCAACGTGAAGGATGATCATCCACTTACTGTACAAGGTCGACCAATAGGGGACTCGTAAACGTTATTCCTGAACCACCTAGAAGCGGAGTACATTATCAGAAGGGATCATTCAGGGAACGCATGAACGTACCAGCGATAAGGACAACCGTATGGAAGCCTTCAAGGCGAGGTGGAGCTCCATAAGGACCGTCGACGAATACTTTCAAAGAACCTCTGGTCTTTGCAATGTCCATGAGACGCTTCGTGAATCCTTCGCGCGTATTGACAAGAAAAACAAGGTCCTTTCCGCTTGACGAGTGCGGACCTTCATTCGACGCTAGGCTTTTTTCGTTGACTTCTTCCGTCCTCTCGCGGCTGATGTCCGCATTTGCGATAGTGAAGGGGTGGCTCTCGAATGGAAGGGTGGAAACACCGGGCATCGTGAGGAACGCGTTCTGGCCGGCGGACCAGTGAAGGTGTTTGGGCCGTTTGAATGTGAGTCGCACGAATCCTGGTGCGGCAACCTCTGCGGTAGCATTGAATGTTCCGAGGCCAGACTTCAACCCAAAGTACGAATGATTGAACACAACCACGCGGCACAGCCGAACGAATCGATCGAGAGCCCAGAGGAAGAGAGATGGCCAGAGGTAATGACCCATTCTATCGAGCAAAGGGTTATCAGTCGATGCTCGCGCCGGCTAAACCAAGTGAAATTACGCACTCTTCTTCAGCCGCATGGAAATATCCGCCAAGGAGCATGATCCTGCGCCAATTTGAGCAATATTCAAATCACAAAGAGAGGGGCAACGCACAGGACAAGGAGGAAATGAGCAACAAAGAAGAACTCATATCCCACAGCGCGGATAGGTCTGAGAGATACAATACACAGGACAGTGAACGCAGTAATCGAAAGAAGGCCTGCTCGCATCCAAGCGTTGTGGAGAGTAGTGTCGCCCTTCAATCTACAATGGAGAAACATCATCAACGTCCGCACAAAGGACCAGGGACACTCGTCCTCACCCAATTTTGAACTGTGGATATGGATGAGCGACATAGGAGCGACCTAGAGAGCTTGTAAACTTACTCGACCACCAGCATGGATCCACAGCAATACACAAATCACTCGAGCAGTCATACGGTGAAGATAGTTCAACTGCGCATCCTATGAGAACGGAGCTCAAATTCGGGGTGATATACCACGTACCCTGTCAGATCCAACTCCAGTGATGACTTGCGAGAAACCATGAGACCGAGAAACAGGAAGGAAGGGAAAGGAGCAGGCCTACGGGAGATTACGTTATTCTTCATCCCGAGAGCGACAACGAGCACGGTCTGAACAGACGCGATATTCCCCGCGCGGTTTGCATAGTAAGCTGGGTCATATTTGACACCAGTTGTGCTGTTAGCTGTGGAAAAAGATGTCATCGATCCGGTGGACAACTATAGGAGAATGAAAGAGCGGCTCACAGTTGATCAACGTCCATGTAAACATAATCGTGATGTACGTCGCGGTCATGAAGACCTCAGCAAGGTTCAAGGAGAAACTCTTTCCAATCGGAATGACGCAACGGAAGGCAAGGATACGACAAGCATTCACGATGGCGACAGGCAGCCGACGAAGAGAGACTGAACCTGTGGAGGATTGTCCTTGTACCTCTACATCTTTAGATGGAGAAGTGCGCCTTCGGCGCCAAGATGACAGGACAGAGACCAGGTTGAAGAGTCCAGCGAGGAAGATGAAGGAGGCGACGAAGTACCAGGTCTCCTTGGGGTACTCGATCGACCTGAACCTCCGAAGAGCTCTGTCAGGATTGACCGTAGCGAGAACCGTATCATTCATGACGTGAAATGGACGGGGGACGAGGTCGACCAAGGCTGGAGGAGGAACGGAAGGGGAAGACGAGGGTAGAATGGGCAAGCATGGTCGGTTTATAAGGAAAGGAACGGAGGGATGCGGAGGAAATTTCAGGCGACATGGATATGCGAGAGCAGAGAGGATTTTCCGTTGAAAATAGTGTGGTAAGAGCCGCGAAAGGGGTAACCGAGCTGGCGCAGCATGCAGTCTTTGCAGGAGGCATGCTTGGCGTTATCTGATAACACCGCCGATCTTTTCAGAACACCGATGAGATAATCCAGATCAAAAATTCAAACGCGCACATCTTGCAACAGCTTGCAAGCCACTCTGTCGAGTCGAATATAGACGCTCGAAGTGAGCGAGCGCGAGAGAGAGTGTCTTGCTTTGGTTCACGGAAAACTCACCGATGATGTCCTGTGTGTCCATCACGTCTTATCAGATCAGGTCGCTAATCAGATAATTAGCATCTAATCAAATACCCAGCACCAACCCATCAGCAAGGCAATCGTGCGGAAAGGACCATATTCCCCAGATGCGGTCGTGCACACTTGCACACAACCGTCGAGCCACGATACGCGCTGATTCTCCTCATAAGCATGGATTATTCATGCTTATGATGATGTAGACGTGTGGAAAGAATACAATATGTGGCGAGCGCATTGCACATCAACCCTCGAATCTGTGTTGGAGATGCATTCTAGATCGCCAAGCAGATGGGGCTGTGCCTTTGACTACCTGTGGTTGACATATCATACTCGTTCACCTTTGTTCACTCACCATAAAGCGAGCCTCCAAGCTCTCTAACAGGTTCAGTTGCTGTTTCCTCAAACCAATATCAGAGCTATAGAAACATACCATATTGTACGAGATTCTTCGTTTGTTCATCTTATTGGCATTTCAATTCCACTTTCGATGCTTGGCAACTGAGTCCTCGTATGCTTGTGTTCGACTGCAGTGCTGCACGGAACTCTTCTCAAACATGCGGTCTCACATCGACTTTGTTCCTGATAGCCTAGACAAATATCAGTATTTTAGCATGGAACTTGCGTAACCAGCACTTATTTTCAGGATGCACATATGCATCCAATGAGGGTTTCACCATGCGGCACATGTAGAATGCACCTTGCGTGATGCTCATTTAAGTATCTATTGTGCGCGTGTGTCAACTGTTTCTGGGCCTATGCTACCATACACCCGTCTCAGAACAAGCAGTCTGAGATGTGCTGCAGTCAACAGTCGACATCGAGGGTATTGCATAAAATGGGACAACGTATGGATGCGCATGGAAGAGCTGATGGAAGAACTGACTGACGACAATTTTAGAACAATCGCAGGAAAGACTGCACCACATGAGACTCCTTCACGCTAGGGTCGACGGTTCGATAAGTCAGTCATGCCAGGAAAGGCGCTGAAAGACGGTGATGTGAGAGCCGAACACATAGATAGATGCGGCATGACACTGAGTTCAGCGACCAATACGGACGGGTCGCCACGCAACTCCGATCGTCAGTGTTTGCGCTCGTTGGATGCCTCCTCGTGACGCAGTGACAATTCTTGATTCATGATCTCAGTCTAAGAGCAGTCCGAACAAGGCGTGTCGACGTCTCGGCCTTCGTGACGCGTGAAGTCGGACGTCGTGGGTATTCGAGAAGTGTTGTTCCACAAGGTGCAAAGTATCTTCAAGCACGAGAAGCATGTTTATCTTGGATAGATACTGTAGATATAGCAGATACCTGGAAGAAAAAGGCGATGGCGCCCATACGGACTTCTGAGGTACGTCGGCTCATGAGGCCCAACAGCATGGGTACACGTACTTTGAAGCTCACCTGGAAAGTCCCGTTGGAAACTCAGGGTCATAGTGAGGTGTCAAAAGACGAATACATACGACATTCATGGTAAGATCCGTTCGCTATAGCATGATACAGTAGCGCAGAGATAGCGGCCATGCGCATTGTTTCCTCATAAAGTGCACAGTGCCCATGGGTGTATGTTGATCGAAAGAGCCTTGGTGAAACCAATCTCCGAGGATAGAGCTGGATTGAGAGATACAGCTTATAGGTCGACGACAAGAAGACGCGAAGAGAACTAAAATTACAAATCACGTGTCTACATGTTTCGCCTGTTGCTGGCTTCGGCACATACTCCTCGAAAACAACCATGTTCCCGACGCTAGCCCGGTTTTCGAAAGCTTCACGACGTGCCCTGACACCAAAGCGTGGTAACAAGGACTTCTACAAGGGTGTGTTAGTTGGTACTCTGTGTGAAACGCTCTCACTCAGATGATACGTCCCGTTTTAGGCACCCGACAGGCGTTCCTCCCTGGTGGTCATCGTACTGGCGCGCCAGGAAAACACGTCGTCGCCGGAAAGGCTAAGTATCGTCTTATCGACGAGAAAGTGCGCTTCTTCGTTGCGCCCCCTGTGGAGGAGATCAACAACTCTTTGGTGAGTGCTTTGTATCATACTTAGCTAGGTTAGAAGCTAAGCGCTCTGTTGCGGTGGATGGAAACGTAGCTGAAGCCATACGTGGACCTTAGTGTGAAGCTGACGACAGCACAGAAGAGAGAGGTTCTCGGCAAACTTCCGAGGGGTGGTCTGACGGGGGAGCATTACTTCGCGAAGGCCCCGCGGACAGATGCTCCAGAAACCCCATGATAGGGCGTCGAGGATCCGGTTCCTGTTCTTATGTTTGCGCCCTATGCCTGCTCTAATTCTGATGATCGCTTTCTCTCGGTTCAGAGTTAGCTGAGCTCATACAGAAATCAATCGTTCGATTTCGCTAGGTAAGCTGCTTATTCATAGAATTAAGAAGACATGCAGGACAAATCTGCTATACTACGAACTCAAGGCAACATAGGATGCTCGCGCGGAATCGCAGAAGTTGAGAGAAGGACGGATGGAATGCAACAGGCCCTGAAGAGTAAGTGGTAGTTCGATAGTGACCACACCCACACCTTGCCACCTTGCATTCCGCCTATCTCCGGTTTGTCTCCCCCAACATCAGTAAGTCTCCGAGGCAGGGTGCTTCTGGTCGGCCTTCAGTCCATTCTGTCGAGCGGCATGTCGCGGACGCAGGGAGGCCAGCCATCAGGCTCGCCGACGGCGAAAATCTGGCGCGGCTACCTTTGATGACGCATGAGGGCAGCGCGGAGAAGGCCTCGAGGGGCATTGGGAACGGGCATGTCGTGAGCTTGCGTTCAGCCCAGAGGGTTTACCGCCTTTTCCCGTCGTGAACTTCGCCCAGAATCTGACCCCACACAAGAGCATCGATACGAGGCCAGATTGTAGCCCACGAGGTCGACAATTCCCATTGCGATTGAGGCGATCCACGGCGCACACTATGTATAACAGGCTGATGAGTCTTTGTATCGTATAAATTTCCAGATGACAGAATGAACAGAGTGCCTGGAGTTTATTCCGCTGTGTTTTTACTATGGTTGGCTGCCGAACTGTGGCCTGAAAGGATGTCTCAGGAAATCTCGGTGTCTCCAATGATCATTTTGTGAATCAATAGAAGGATATCTCTCGAGACAGCTCGAGGACGAGAACCGAGGGATACCGCGATCACATGATTCTCACGTGTGGACAATGGTTGGTCGCAACGGCTTTCCTGGTTCGAACGATCAGTTGCAGTGCTTCAAGTTTAACTTATCCTCCACCACGCTCTTTTCAAGGCGACCAATATAGGTAGTACCCATGTCGCAGAAGGTCAAGATTGCGGCGCGCCTGAGACCCAGAATCAAGGGTGAACTCGATGACGAAGGCGTTCGCGTTGTTCATGCCGAAGATGACGGGCCTTCATCCATTTGCGTCACCAATCCGAGAGATATTTCTCAGGTCTTCAAGTTTCCGTATGTATCTGCAGCGCATCCTGAATACTGTGGCCTACTGTTGTCCCATTAGTTGATCGGGCTAATGGCTTCTGCTCGTCTGGCGCCAGGTTCACTTCTTGTTACGACCAAACTTCAACACAGGAGGATATATTCCAAGCAGATGTAGAGCCCTTGATTGATGTTGTTTACAGCGGCGTGGTGAGCATAGAATCTATAATCTCGGCCACGAGCGTATCCTATAAGCCACTCCTCCTTGACATGCTTATTCACACTTAGACCGTAACGATTTTCGCATATGGCGTCACATCGTCAGGGAAAACTCATACAATGCAGGGGACAAAATCCCAGCCTGGTGTGATTCCAAGAGCTGTACAAGTACGTCTCCTATGGTTCTGATCCCTACCCGTCTGTCAAGGGATGTTCTCGTCTTCAACTAAGCCACGTATAGGCAATCTTCGCCCGCATCCCCAGCATTCGACAGTTTCAAGTCTCTATCTCTGCCTCATACATGGAAATATATAAGGATGAGGTTTATGATTTGCTAGTCGATCGAGAAATGGTATGTTCTTTTACTTTCTCCTCAATTTACAGTCATTAGGGCATAGTATGTCCATTGGCACTTGTACCGACTTTCAAAGCTAACTAGAATCGTTTGCTATGATCTGTGCAGGCACCGAAATTACCAGTTAGAGAGAATGACGTCGGCAAGGTTTTTGTTGCTAACCTCTCTTCTGTTCCTATCCGCACATTTGAAGAGTTTGACTCGATCTATACGTCAGTCTACATCGTCTCCCTATTTCCTTGCCTTCAAATCGCTGATTCCACGACAGTCAAGCCAATAAGCAGCGATCTGTCGGATCAACGCTCCTAAACAGGGCATCCTCTCGATCTCACGCTATTGTAACGCTGGAGATCAGCATGTTGGATGTACAAGAGAACAAGAGTGTGTAAAGCACTATATTGTCCAGATGATGTGACATGACTCCTATCTACAGCTCTTACGGGGAAGATCAATTTGGTTGATTTGGCAGGATCAGAAAATAATAAGGCATGTTTTTTTCCTATAACCGATTCGGACACCATTTGAATATTTTCTTTTTCTTTTTCACTGATACAGTTGACTGGCAACGATCCCTCTCGAATGGCTGAGTCCGCAGCGATCAACAAATCGCTCAGTGTCCTCGGTCAGGTTGTTCATTCTCTGAATCAAGGAGCCGTGAGTGTTCTTCAATCATGACATCTTATACCTAAATGTTTCACCGTTATCACTTCGCAGTCGCGTATACCCTACCGGAATTCCAAATTAACGAGAATCTTGCAAGACGCCCTTGGTGGCGAGTCCGTTGGTTTGCTCATATGCAATCTAGCACCCGGTATCAAGTTCAGACAGGATACTCTCAACACTTTGAAGTAATCAATGATTTAACGTTCTTCTGCAGAATCCACAAAAAGCTGACATGTCACGGTTAATAGTTTCGCTGTTCGGACAAAGAACATCGAGAACAAACCTGTCATCAATGAGCGAGGCAAGCGGCTAAAACACCCCTGGATGTTCAAGACTGACTTATGTTCAACAGACAACAGACCAATGCCTAAACCTCATTTTGCCGCCGTTCAGCAGCCTCCGCAAGTACAGAAAGCCGCTGTGCTACCCGCTCCTGTTGCTGTCGTGCCTCGACCTTCAATGATTGGTGGCCGTCGACAATCTCTTGTGCCTAGCCTCGCGGGCCCCTCTCGTGTCCCACGCGTTTCCTCATTTGGGATAGCTGGCTCTGCTGCACCATATCCGACCTCCCATCAGCGTATGGAGAATAGTGTCGGAAGCGTCCACAACAATAGGACTAGCTTGCAGCTCACGGACAAAGAAATTGACGAGCGGGTAAGTCATGCAAGCAATATGAACCCGGATAAAGTTTATCGCACTGATGTTCATCTAAATTGTTGTAGATATCAAAGGCCGTGGAAGCAGAAGTGGCTAGACGAATGGAGGAACGCGAGAAGGAGCGGTTGAAGGAGGAGGAACAGCGTGTGAAGGAGCTTCAGTCTCAGGCCCTCCAGGCTCAAGCCTCTTCGTCACCGAGAGAGCAGGACAATATCCCGTCAGGGCTGCTGTCTCCTATCCTTAGGCGACATCAAGACCTTGACAATGAGCTCAGACAGCGGCTTCACGACCTAGAGAAGAAATAGTGAGTAGGCTGATAAACCAACCACGCGTCCTTGAAGGTCAACTACTTACTTCATTCCAGCGAACGCGGCAGTAAAGAGGTTGCAATGGCTGGAGGAATGTCGCCCATCTCTCGGAAGAAGACAGGACGAGCATATGTCGCTCTTGCCCGAGCCCATTCTGAGAAGTCAGACTTCTATGCCTTTCTTGTTCAAGGACCAACGACTGATATACTTCCTACAGGGGTGATCTGCACGTCGCTCTCGACTTGTATCGCAAAGCGGAGTCGTACGTTCCCGACAACATCAAATTGAAAGAGAGGTGGATACTCTTCCTCATTGAAGTCTTTTTGTATAGACTTACATACCATCGACATTAATTCTGACTACCACACTCCTTTGTTTTTTTTTCTGCTATGGCGCGTTCGCGTACTCGTGTCGCGTTGCGCTGTGTGTGCCGTGATGCGTGTGATGCAACTCGACCGACAAACAGGATCATCGAGATCGAATGGGCTATCAAGAACGGAAAGGAGTTCAAGCCATCACCGAAGAAGCCCAGGAAGACGAAGACGAAGAAGAAGGGCAAGGAGGGCAAAGCGAAGGGAGTGCAAGCAGTGTATGAACAGAGGGCAGTGAGTGAAATGGAGACCGTTATCGAGGTGCCCGACGAAGAGGAAGGAGAAGCAGGCTTCGTGGTGCTGGATTTCGTTCCGGAGGTAGCCAAAGAAAGCGAGGATGAGGAGACAGTGGAGAGTTTGTTGGAACAACGAGAGGTCGAGCTCGGAAGGTTCAAACGAATGATGAAACATCGATTCGGCAGCGAGGTTACTGATAATTCAAGCAAGCGGGGCGCAGATGATCAGGACGGCGTGGACATGGAGACACCGATGAAGAAACAACGAAAGAACAGGAGTCAGGAGACTGTTGGAGGCAGTGATGTTGAGTAGGCTGCAGCTGCGCTTGTGAGAAAGGTATCCATATTTGAGTTGTGATCAGGACAAGCATTTCATGTGTCTCGTATGTGTGGATTTTCTTTATGTTTTGTTCGTCGCTATGTTTAATTGCTATCTTCTGTGTTGTGTGCAGGCTTTAAAATGACAACTCCAAGTTGAATATTCTTCATTGGTGCGCGAATGTGTGTCTGCGATCCCCACGTTGCCTTGGCCTTTGAATAGGATCAGGATGTCAACTTTCTTATGGTTCCTAATCTCTGACGCATCAGCGGAATCAACAGAAGCCCCTCCTTTTCTGTTCCGTCCAGGTGCAGTACCATTTTGGCGCTGAATCGAGCGCTAAGCGCTGAGCAGCCTTGGTAAAGTACATGCCGTAACACGCAGGAGGGGTGCTCTGGATGGCACTACTGAAAAACATCTAACCAGGTTCTATAATGCACGATGTTCGTCTTGATAGTGTCTCAGTGACACAAATATGTCCGTACGGATGTAATGGTGGGAGTCGAAGCCCGAATGTCTGTGAAACCTCTTCCTTGAACGGTATCCGCAGTCATTCGCACGTCAGGCGCGGGTTTCGTTGTCCAATCGATGCTCTGCATCAGAACTGGTCATACCGACAGAGCACAACTGGCAGCCTGAATCGCTGCTTCCATGTTGGCTGACGCGTTTCCGCATGGGAAATGATCGCGCGTGTGTCCATCGTTGTATATAAGCCTGGCAGCTTCAAGACACGTTTCAGCTTTCTTTTCCTGTTCCTTCGAGGTGGTGCTTACAGCCATACCGCCATTCACGTCGATTTACACACATGTCCAACTTTGTCCTGCCGCTCTCGCAAGTCGAGAAGGATGCAAGGAATCATGCACTGCTTTGCTCCATCGGGTTTTTGATTTTGCTTCCCCTCGGCAGCCTTACTGCACGATATTTGCGGACAGTCACGAATGGGTGAGTACGCCTACGATTGGAATTGTAGTATCTTCTAATCCGCCTCCACTCTCTGTGCCGCGTCTGCCCCGAAAGCTGGTGGTTTGGCCACTGGTTGACCAATTTCGTCGTCGCTGGCCCTGTGATCTTCGCGGGTTGGGCTCTAGGGTACAAGACGACGAATGAAGGGTTTACGGGGGGGCATTTCAATGATCCACACAAGGTGCGTCTTCAAGCTACGGTCTATTTGATTATTATATTCTGACTTGGATCGTGTGGTCGCAGAGAATTGGACTCACGCTCCTGATCTTGTATTGTATCCAGCTCCTCCTGGGCATGTTCATTCATTTCTTCCGCGTACCCTTCTTATTCGTGGGGCATCGACCCCCACAGAATTACTTCCACGCCATATTTGGCTTGATCATACTCGCTCTCGCGGCGTACCAGGTATATCCATCAACGTCATAGGGAGATGATGATGACGTATGCCGATTGCTCAGGTCCATTACGGTTTATATACGGAGTGGGTGTTCTCGACTGGGAACCTACATCCCGTTCCTGAATCCGCGAAGCATGCATGGCTAGCGCTCATAATTGTGCGTCACCATGATCTTATCAAAGTGTGGTCAGAACTGACTGTGATGATTTTCGTGTTCCATCTCACAGGTCTTCTGGTCACTTTATGCTCTGGGCTTGGCATTTCTACCGAGGCAGTATCAACAAGAAAGTGATGGACGATTGCTTCAACATGATAAGAGGGTATCAGAAGGAAGGAATTCGAGCGAGTGAGGGAGGCCACCGATCACAGTATCGGGGTGCCATAGAGTGAGCGTAAGAGGTGCGACGTCGGAGGCAGAGAACGGATTGTAATGATACATACACAGACGTGAAGGGACGGTCCTGGCTACACGGATGGCGTTGGTCCTGTATCTAGTATACGGACATGGACTTGTCTAGGTAACGATACAGTGAGATCAGAATAGAACGAAAGGATAGCGGAAACGAAATGCAAACTGCAAATTTAGAGATTGAAGGATATAAGAATGGGTATCAGTGGGTATCGGGGCCGTCCCTGGACGACAGTTTTATCACGCCGTAGTCGATCATCGAGGTCGCGGAGGAGTGTCGAGCGTGGTGGTCGCCCTAGTCGATGCGAATCCTGTGCAAGTAACAAGAACGCATCTGTTTTGTTTATTGTCTAACCGGTATAACCCGCCGCATTGTAGCAGGCCGAATAACCCGAACCATCCGGGTGTTTGGAAGTGGACCATGGCGAAGATGAAGACGAAGACGGAGACGAAGTGGCGTATGGCCATGTGGTCACCTGATCGGCGGGGCCTTGATATGAGTGGAGACGATGGGAAGTGGAAGGAAGGCCTGCGGAGTCTGAGGAGCCATACGTCGACGCCTCACCAGCTGGCTGGCCGTATGGGGATTGTCGATGCTGAGGGTGCTGGGGGTGTGAACGAGTGGGGGGTCCCTGTTGGGAGTAGGTGACAAAATCGGGAAAGTTTCCGGATAAAAAGAGAGCGCCCACAAGGAGCGAGCTTGATGACGGTGTGGGGTATATCATGACGCCCGCACCCGGAAGCCTGTCTGGGGCATTCCAGGGCGCAAAAGCGACCTGCCGAGCGAGGATGAGTAGAGGGTGAGTAGGTAGTCAGCCAACAATGATCGGGATGGGCGGATCTCACCATTTGGTTGTCGTACAAAAGCCGAGAGAATGTTGTGAACCTTGCCGAGTTGGCCAAGTTGGCTGCCGGGTCCGAAAGCCTGTCGGGCATGAAAGCGCAGACGGGTGGATTGTTTCGTCTAACCCAATCAGAGACGTCGTGTAGAGTGGCGCGGCGCTGGCTCAGGTAGACGTATAGGTGTGAGGGCCAAAGATCCATTCGGCTTCAATACGGATGTCAGTATTGACGATCGCAGGGTCTGATGCGTGGACTCACTTGTCGCCGTCAGTTTCGGCAGCAGTCACAAATACATCTTCGAAGGAGTTGCCCCGCGAAGTGGTGAGGTGGGTTAGGGTGAGAGAGCCCGACCACGACCTGGACTGGGGAACTTGTTCTGCCGGCGGGGGAATGAACGCCTCGAGATGTGTGGGTTGGCGGAATACCATCGCTTTGGAGGAGAGAATCGCAGGCATGCTAGGCACCTCTTTAACGGGATGAGGGATGGCTGGTGTACATAATACGTGGGGGTACTTATGCGTGGGCGATTATCTAGGGTATCAGGGATGTGCCGAGTCGATGCTGAAGCATCCAGATGCTCGGGCATGCTGGGGCGACCCATAATGGAGAAGCAAGCTATCAAAGTCAAATTTTGGGTCCGTGGGTAAGGAGGGGGGATCTGAAGATTTCGCTGTCCCATGTACGTCCCGCGCTGCACCGGACCAGGCGTCCATGCAATCTATGAAGAAATTCGAATCGATCAAGGCACTGACGCCTTGTATAAAGCGCCAGAGGGAGTGGCATAGACCAGGACTGGAGCCTGCAGCTTACTGCGGACGATGCGGTGAAGATTTGGATGTGGTAGGTATGAGAGAGTGAGCTGGTCAGAGACGATCTGGGCGTGCCTGACAGATCGAATCCGGTTGAATGTCGGGACGTGGGCGGTTGACCTCGACAACAGAGAAAAGAGAGGCGTGGGCCCCGTCTCCAGGACGCCCTACCCGAGTCTCCGCATAGATGTGCTGATGATTGCGTCAGTGATAGCGTACAGACAAGGAAGATGAATTACGGCAAGCGACCGTGAGCGCCGGCCACATAGAACATCGAAGACGCGCCCCACCGGAGTACTTTCTTATGGCCGCCTGCTACATCGTGGCGTGCAGTCCCCAGCGTAGCTCCCGCAGCGGTCGCTCACGGCTTGGACGAAGGGGTTGTTCACGTGCGCAAAAGCCGGGAAGTCCGTGACGCTCTGAGTCAAGATTGGGCACATCGGGCAGAACAAACGGCACTTTTCTCCCGAGCAGACGCCGATCCTGCTCGACATTGTCAGCGTCGTCACACTGTCCCTTTCAAGGCGAGCGCAGCGAGCATCGTCAAGACGATAGTTCCTATCCATGTGCCAAGCAACTTCAATCCCGCTTCACCCAACGTCCTCCTATTTACTTGTTCTCAAGCTCTCACTCCCTATTCCGTCTGCCTTCACGACCACTCGTCATGCTTGTCTACGCCGGAACTCCCGATCAACACCCCCTCCAGGATTGTACGATGGGGTTATATGTCTGTGTATAATAGAGCCATCTTCATATTTGTGGCCATTCACACGAGATTTCAGCACAAATTTCAATTCGCGGCGTCACTGACATGTTTTCTTTTATCCAAAAAACTTTACCTGACGAGCCCACGGATCAATACCCTTCTATCGGTGCGAGCGTCAATGAGAAGATGACATATCGTATCTGTCTCGACATAACCAGGTACACGCACATTCTTCTGACAGTGCTTTACTCCAAGGATTCGGGAGCCGTTAATTAAATCAATCAGTGGTTGCCGACTCGTAGGGCTGTCGGAGGCTGTCGGACGTCGCGAAGATGCGAGCAAACGCCTAGGGCCCACCGGAGCCGTACTGGCGAATGGGGGTTGCTACTTACGTTTCTCCTCGCAGTACAGGGGTCTCCTCGCCATCCAAAAGCTAGTGGGCAAGATCAGGGAGTTCCCCTTGTTCCTCAACGAGCAATTTGTAAAGCGCCATGAATCATGTGTGCAGACGCTTCTACATTGAATGAGCACATGCCACCCGTCTGCGAGGTAGGTGAAGTTATAAGAGGCGGGCAAGCTCAACACTATTCTAATATCCACTTTTTGGTCTGACCGACGTGGGCTCACTTTGTATAAAGGTGAGCAGTCTTATACAAGTACCCCTTTGACCCTTCGCGAAGGCATACTGTCGGTACCATGGGCGGCGTCACTGGGATGCTCGACTGACAGTGTGAGATCACTTAGGAAGGCATAGTGAAGGGCATCTCGGAACGAATGCTTCACGGCCCGTGCCGTCCCTCCTTGCTTCGGAAAGCACAAGAAGCTGGCTATATTTGCCTCATCTTTGCGACCAACATGGATATTACTGCTCGAAGAAGCTCTCACCCTGAAACCGACTATCTGTAGCTCGCCGTTCGTCCATGTCCAAGATACAGATCTGGAACTTTGCATTTGTAAGGTTCTGAGTATGTTAGCGATAATGATTCTTATTTCCAACACCCCATCTTTCTCAGCGCTGAGTTCGTTTTCGTCACCCGCAAACATGAAACTGCTCGCTTGCATTAATCAATAAGCTGATGGAAATCCTCTCGCTACGGGAAAGCTCAAGTGGTGTCAGTCACTTGTCAGTCCGAATGATATGCCCCAAGGTCTCACTGGACAATATAGCGTCTGGCACAAGTTGATCACCGTCATCAAAGTCGTTCCAGTCACTGTGGTGAATTACTGGGGCCCATAAGATTTTGATATCCGTGGCACAAAGCGGTCGTGTGGCCGTCTTCAGTGATTATGAGGGTGCCACAATTCGTCCAACATGACGATGGCATGTTATCCAGCTCAGATGATTTTCCTCCGGATCCCGACACCTATCCACACACAAGCGGTCCGACTCGGGCCTACGCCTCCCATAAAGAGCACTTGTCCATCTCTTTCGGCCGCCGCTGGTCCGCTAACGACTACCAGTCTGCCAAGATTGCGTTCAACGACTGCGGGCCAGAGGATATTAGAATACGACAAGTCCACACATAATGCCGTATTTACAAGGCATCTCTATTACGAGGGAGTCGAATCTGGGGCTGGCGCCTTCTGATTTGCCGTAAAAATAGTGGTCATACCGGCCTTCTCTCATTCTTGAGCATACGATGAGAGGGAGGCAGTCGTAATATGAAGTCCGAACTCCATATGCTGTTATTCACCTTTCCGGCGGTGACGAAACATCGCACTACGAGATTGGAGCCTCAAGCTTCGGACTTCAGGCGCTTCCGATTCTGGCGATCTATGAGATGTACCTTGCAACACTGGCATCGGGTTTTTCTGGGTAGCACGGAAGGACGGAAGGGGCCGATGAGCCTGAAACGCGGCTTTGATGCTTGAACTGCGGGCATGTGGGCCACCCGGATATTTGCCTGGATTTAGGAACAATGAACTCGAGGATGCGGGAAGCTGTAGAACGGCGAACCAGGTGCTGAGCTAACCGAGAGCGACCCTGTATGTTAGGAAACACTGAGCATACCATCATGGGTAAACAGTTAAAGAGTCTGAGGCACATTTATGAACTATGCGGAGAAGCCGTTGGGTGAACTAGCAGAACACTCGGGCACGCACACCTATTACTAGTCCCAAAACGCAAGAAGTCTTTTAAGATCGCGGCGATCCGTTTCTGTGGCATGGCAACAGTCGAGATAGTTTAACTCATATTGCATTGTGTGCGTCTGGCGGTCTTGGGTATTTGAAGACTTACTGAAGGTATGGGGGGCGCAGCCTTGGGGATGTGATACCGATGGAATGCGACTCGGAATATGAGGTCGTGTGCTCATCAAATTGGGCCACCGTTCTGAGGGTACCCGAGAAAGGCGAATAGGCCGAGAGCATGGTAGTGCTGGATGTATGAGATCAATTAGATCTATAGAGTGGTCAGAGACGGGTGGGCAAGTCGGGGTATCTGTTTGAGGGAAATCTCAACTCGTGCCACCATCAACGGTCTCGAAAGGTCATGAAGACAGCTCGTACGGCATTGGCTAATTAGGCAAGGCTTCAAACTGCTATCACAAGATTTGAGCTTGTGGTTCACGTTTTCACACCGTGATGTGGAATTTCAGGTCGTTAGAAAGACTCGAAGCCCTCTGAGTCTACTATTCGATGTGTCCGCTCGACAGGTCGATTGTTTTACAATATTTGAGATAAGGTCAAAAAGAAAGCAGGATCTTGCGGGTGCAATATGCTGGAAGAATTCCGCAAAAAATTGGGCTTACCAAATTGGGCGCTGTCAAGGTCAAAGAGGAAGCCCGTTCAAGATAGAACAATAAGCCGGGGTTGCACTTGACTACTGCCGATGGCGTACCTCATATATGTGATAGATTTGGTCTGGCTACACGCGTGGTTAGGGACAGAACCGAGAGGTTGTAGGTAAGGCTGCAGGGACTTTTGCAACCGTTGAGCAATGAAGGTCTTCGGGCGTCTGATAAGTTCGCTGGGAGGATGGTCAGTCCTGGATTTGGAAACGATTCGAAAAGGGAGCAGACAAACCAGCCCATGCAGATTGGAGAGGTGTTCAATCGACCCCTACCCGCTCCTACTCCTCAACCTCACAAGTGATTGTTGCATCTGTCCTGATTAGTTCTTGAGGAGAGCTTCCATTCAGGGCATACTTGTTGCATATCCAGACAACTTGTCAAAACGCGTGAACTTCATCGATTATAGGCGACTACAGATACGGTCACTGGAGCAACAAGATTGTCCTGAGAAATATGTTCGCCTTCATAATTTATAAATGTAAGGTACTCGAACGAGAAGGACGTACTCACCGCAAAGTAGAACCGAAGAAATAGCACCTGACAAGTGCGACGCCGAGTTTTGAGTTAAACTGATTCTCGAGCCAAAGGAGAGCCATGTAACAGTAAGTAACAGCAAGAAAATCAAAGCCGAGTTGTTTGGCAAGAGCACCCGAGAATGGCGGCTGCTTGATAGATACTCGCATAATGTCGAATAGCGTGCTGATGCCTCAAGTGCTTCTGGAGGTTGTCATACTAAGTAATACCCCGCAGTTAGCTTTTGTGAGCGCTTCTCCATGAGTTCACGAACATCGGTGGTTCAGTCGAGTTGAAGTAGCCTTATAGAGCATAGGGTCAGTGACGTCTGCATGTTCTGCAACGTACTACGAAGAGTTAGCCTGAGTTTAAACTTCAAACTTCCAAAATCGTCAGAGATGGAATATCCTACCTTGGCTGGATGCTGAGCAGAGCTTAGATGTGGGAGTTGGTCAGTCGATATCGATAGAGCTGACGTTGGTAGTAACACTCGGGCAACCTGGCACAGTGCAAGAAGGCTGCAAGTTTTCTTTCGAAAATATGTTCAACTTGAACGTTCTGAACTTCGAGTAAACCGTACGGATGATGTAATCAAGTTATCGTCTTCACTCTGTAGTCCGTCCTTCCTTTCTATCTCGTCACTGTCACTCTTCGCCCATCATGCGGTACTACGAAAACAAGTATCCTGAGGTCGACGAACTTCTCATGGTTCAAGTCCGTCAAATTGCGGAAATGGGGGCTTATGTCAAGCTAGTCAGTCGTCAATAGATCTGCATCACACACTGTCTGATTTTATTTGGCTGCACATAGTTGGAGTACGATAACATCGAGGGAATGATCCTACTTTCCGAGCTCTCCCGTCGTCGTATAAGGTCGATTCAGAAACTCATCCGCGTTGGCAGGAATGAAGTTGTGGTTGTTTTGCGTGTGGATAAGGAGAAGGGTACGTTCTGTGAATGATGTTTTGGTTTATCGCTCATCAGCGAAAACTCACAACAGGCTACATCGATTTGTCAAAGCGCCGCGTCTCACCAGAAGATATCATTAAATGTGAGGAGCGCTATATGAAGGCGAAGACCGTCGCGTCTATCATGCGGCACGTTGCATCGCGGCTACCATCTGTCGATGCGGACGAGGCCACAGAAGGGGCGGAGATCGCTACAAAAGAAGCACAGGATGCGGGGTCTGAGGTGGCGGTCTCTGCAGTTGGGTCAAGTGAAGAAGAGCGGTTAGAAAAGTTGTACGACCAGATTGCATGGCCGCTGGGACGCAAGTATGGTCATCCATATGAGGCATTCAAATTGGCTTTGACGTGAGTTCCTTTTACCTTTACATTCTCATAGTGCTGACAAGGTTACGATGTAGCGAACCAGAGACGGTGTTTGCGACTCTTGGTCAGACCATTCCTCCGCCCACCTACGCCCTCCTGATGCACACCATCGCCCGCCGATTGACACCCCAGCCTATCAAGCTGCGCGCGGATATCGAATTGACGTGCTACACTCCTGCTGGGATAGATGCAATCAAGAAAGCGCTGAGGGCAGGAGAGAAGGTGAGCACTGAGGCAGTGCCTATCAAAGCGAAGTTAGTCGCTCCGCCACTATATGTCCTGAGCACGAACGCAACGGACAAGGTGTGTCTCTCCCTGTTTGGGATTGTGCATGATCTAAGAGGTTCATAGTTCGGTGCCGTTGAGCGTCTGGAGCGCGCGATCGAGTCCATTCAAAATTCAATTGAAGAGGATGGCGGTGCACTCATTGTGAAGATGAAGGTTCGTGTCAGGGTTCTATGTGTCTATTGTCATTGAGACTTATTTTTTCTGCAGCCAAAAGCTGTCTCCGAAACTGAGGAGCAAGATCTCGCTCAGCTCATGGCCAAAGCCAGTCGCGAAAACGCAGAGGTCTCGGGAGACGAGGACGACGAAGAAGTGTAAGAAGTCACTGTTATTTAGCACAATATGTAGCTTTTTCCCGGTCGTGTTTCCACAGAGTCCATGTTGTATCGATTAATGGATGGGCCTAAGGTGCTTTTGATTGTTGATACAAGCGGTCTACGAGAATGTCCATAGAGATGCTATGGCGTCTGTCGCTGCAGCCGAGTCCAAACTGCCAAACGTATCTCCGCGCAATTCCAAAGCCATGGCTGGCTCTTTCTTTACACGACGTTTGGTTTCTGCTTCGAAAAGCTAAATACCTGGTAAGATTCGAGCACCAGGAATGAGGCGTGGGTGCCTACCGTGCTGTAAGTATGGTCTAGGAAGTCTTCGAGTGGGTAGTTGGGCTTGGTGAATGCTTCTTCGAAAATGCAGGCCAATGTCGACACTCCAGAGTGATAATGACGCTTGTGGGAGTAAAGCTCCCACAGAGACGAATCGAGGGCGTTGGTCAGGTTGGGATTGGATTCATCGGGTAAGAAAGGGTCTATACGAAGGGTCAATTGTTTTCTATGATTTTTTTTTGCAGATACAGCGAACCTTCTGTGGATTCGGAGCCCTCGTCCTCGTCACGGTGGATCATGACCATGAGAGCAGGATGGCGTTTCAGTACGTTGTAAGTGAAAGGGACCATCATGACGATGCTAGATGGTGGGGCGTTCAAGGAAAGGCGGGATAGGCGCTTGACAAACGAGGCTAAAAGTGTAGCAGGAAGATGTCTGAAAGAAATCCTAAGTTTGATTCGAGAGGATTTACATAAGGAGCTTACGATGAACTCAAGAAAAGGTCTGCCAATCGGAAGAAGCGGGCTCTGTGTTTGAGATGGAGGACATCACGATCCAAGAAGGCGTACAAGCGGGTGTAAAACGATGGATAATCCCTACGGAACCACGATGTTAAGTATAAGTCTTCGAAACTGCCCGAGCAGCACTCACAAATTATACTCCTGCATCAGAATGAACAAGGTATTCAAAGCAAGAAGACCGGCAACCCCTCCTGCGAACCGAGGTCTATTTCAGGCATATGGGGATGTTCGGATCACTCACCGTAATCCACACACGCGCCCACCCAGTCCATCAACATGATGGCTCGAGTAAGATGCGGCATGACTCCCCGGTGCATCGTGTTCAACGCTCTTATAGATAGCGTGCTCTCAGAGTCACCATCAGAGAGCTGGGGCAGCAGCGTGAGCCATAGACGGGTGAACACCGCACGATGCGAAGGAAGCGAATGGAGGGATTGGTGAACAGTGAGTTTGCTTAGGCGAACCGAAGGTATGGTCGATTTTGCAGAGGACTTGGAAGACGTGTCGGGCTCGTTGAAAAACGCGCGCCAGTCATCTGCATCAGGTTCTTCGTCAGACTCATCCTCGGCTGCTGTTGCGCCTATGGATTTTTGAGGTTTGGCACCGAGCTCGGTCACCCACCAGGCTTTGAGGTCCGATGGCTGGGTGGGGAAAGATTTAAGGTTTTCGAGGATGGTAAGTACGTTCTCGCGAACATGGGGATGTTTTTGAGGAGGGTTGGCCAAAAGGATAGGACTGAACGCCGAGAGGGAGAAGGTAAAAACAAGAAGAGGGGTAAGACGAGATGATCACATACTGAGCCTCTCGTAAGAAGAACCATCGCACGTCGTCATATACGTTAAACCATGTCCCCATGAGCAGGTCTCTGACTTGCGCGTCTAGGATCTTATTACTCGCATTGCTCGCATTGCTTCCCGTAGCCTTTGGCCGAGAGGATGACGGGCACAAGAGAAGGCCCTGTACGATTTTTTTGAAGAAAGGGACATGGAACTGGAGCTGGGCAGACGACTTGCTTAATGAGCTCGACAAGTGTTTCAGTAAGGCGAATAGGATTTGCAGTGACGATGTCTGTGGACATTATGAGAGGCGGCACAAAGTCTGGTGAAGGGATGAAACACACCCGCAACGTCATCTCCTCGTCCTTCAAAAGGCCGAACAGAAAGTCACTGAATTCCGACAGCTTGTCCGAGATCCACTCGCGCACGACCTTGGCCTCCTCATCGCTATGTGGTCCGAGCCTCCCGCTGTCGATCAGAATGACGAAGACGCGGTACATCGCGTAGATCCCTTTCAGGGTGAGCTGTGGATCCTCATAGCTGACAGTGAGCTCTAGAAGGTCGGCGAGGGGGTTTAAAGACGAGTTGGAGGACGCGGCATCGGTGACCTTGGTTTCCAGCGCGCGGAGAGCGGTCAGTGTGTCATCTTCTGATGTTTTTCGGCGTTTGGAGGGTTGAGAGAGGGAGGAGGGAGGAGGCATGGTTGCGTAGTGGTCGTTCAAGCACCGGCAGAGGACACAACGCCGGAAATTCACAAGTCCAGATCGAGAGCACACTTCAAAAGCTTCAAAGCTTCCGTTCACACGTGATTGCAAAAATAAGTAGATTGTAATTTTTGGAGTATGAAAGAAAATAAAATGAAGTGATGACGGGAGACAAAGCAAAATAGAAACCATAGGCGTAAAGAATCGTTGCTGGCTATGTACTATATACTGATACAGATGATTATACCAACAAAGAACAGCATCGTACGACGCACTACATGTACTCCATGCAAAGGTCGGAGGTAAGTGTGTATGGCAAACAGAACATCCCGCAACAGCGCAAACGGCCGGCTGGGTATTGTGATACAGTGCGATTCCCCGACGCTGACGTGAACGTAGGCGCGGAGGTCCACCCGCCCGACGACCCCATTAACACAACACCTGTCCATCAAACACCCATTTTCCCGGCTACTTACATCGACTGCGCCGGTCGCACCGAAGAAGCTTATGGTTCCCCGTCCATGCTGAACAGATCGTCGTCGTCTCCCGTGAGGACTGGTCTACTAAGCGGACTGAGAGGAGTACCAACGTGGGCCCATCCCCGGCCGCTCGGCGTGCGTGTCGTTGGGCCAGAAGGCGCAGCAGGCGTTGCGGGGGAACCCTGTGATAGCGGCGTCCGCGGCGGCATGGGGTTCGAATAGGGAATCCTCGGAAGCATTCCCTCGAGTCCAGGGGGAGGTCCTTGTTGACCACTGCTACGGAGGTGCTCCGAAATGTTGGAGTTCCCAGGGGACATACCAAGCCAATCGCTGAAGGCATTCCCGGTGCCTGGGATGCTGGTGCCTGGAGCGAAGGCGGCGGCCTGTGGAGAGGCGAAGGTGCCTGAGTTGGACGGGGAGGATATGAGTGGGGGTGGGGGCAAAGCGTGGATGCGCGAGTAGCCTGCAGCGAGGCCCTGTGGAAGACTCTGGCCTGGCGCGTGCGATTGAAGCGCGCGGGCGGACGGGGAGAGAGCCTTGCGCTCCGCGTTCTGCGCGAACTCGCTGCCTCCAGGTATGGGCCTGCCCAGCTGGAAAGGCTGTCCGCCGAACGACTCGGGCTGCGCGCCGTCAAACTGCTGGCGCTGCCCGCCAGTGTGGGACGAGAGGGGTTCGTTCAAACGCGCGAGTAGATTGGCAGCGTTCCCGCCCGCGGGCGCGTTCGTGGGCGTGTACGCGCCCGGGCGCAGGCTGCCCACGGACGGGCGCTGCAGTGAGCTCTTGGAGTTGAGGTAGTGGTGGTGCAGGCCGGGCAGGAACGCGGCAGACGCGTTGGAGGGGGAGAGGAAGCTGGAGATGTGGTCGTCTGCGAGAGAGCGGCCACCGAAGCCAGAGTTGGACTTGAATGAGCTGGGAGTTCCACTGCCCAGTCCGCCCCCGTTCACACTGAGGTCGGCGCCCCGCGGCGACCCGACCGGCACCTGGCCGTTGTCCGCCCAAATTGACTTGATGTCGCCGAGGAGGGAGGGAGCAGGGACAGAGCGCGAGTACCGGTGATGGTGCGTTTCAACGCTCGGACGCGCTCCGGCGCCCCAGCCATCTCTGTTTGGGGTCAAGCCTCCCGAAGCCACGGGGTTCGTCGCGTTCGTTCGGGAATACCTTCTCGACCGTTCCTCCGGCGTCAGCAGATCCGTCAGCGAGCCGGGAATGAAATCCTCCAGATCCTCATCTTCGACCACGATCTCTCCAGCTAGTGATTCTTGCCTATTACGGTTGCTGGGATGCATATGCCCGAGATCTGTCCGCCACGTACGCACGGCACCGAGAGACGCTGCCAAACCCGAGCGAGCTCTGAAGTCCTCAGAAGACTCGCCGCCAAAGAACAAAGTCTGTGTTCCAGGTGCGGAGAACGGAGAAGTGGAAAGATACGTAGGATTCTGTGCGGGAGATGTGCCAGGAGAGAGGCCTTCAAGCGGAGGGTGACTAAGGGACGACACAGAGCGTGAAGGGGAGCCGATGGGACCCAAATCGACGGAGTTGGATGGTCCGTGGTTTCGACGTGGTGCAGAAGGCATGCTGAAGGGCAAGGGCGAAGGTGATGATTTCGACGTGCTGCCAGATTCGTCTTCCAAGCCCTTTTCACCGTGAGGTGAGTCTTCGGCGGCAAGGGGAGGTTGCTTTTCGATGATGGGAGACTGAATAGTGGACTTGCGTGAGGCAGGAGCGGAGGGAAGTTTATTTGTTTCGTCAGGAAGGCCAAAGGAGGCGAAGTCCGTATCCTTGAGGGGAGGGGCGGGTGCAGAAGGGGAGACGGCCGATTTTAATGACATGGGAATGGGTGGACGGGCGGTGGAACCCTGGAGGATACGCGTCGGTGCGGTCGAGCCTGAGAGAAGGGAATTACGTTGGCCGTTAGCGCCGGGGGCGGTGGAAGTGCCGTTCTGGGAGAGTTTCTGAGGCTTTGTAGGTTTTGCACCTCCCTCGCGGGCGGCGGTACCTGACGAGTTAGCAGCCGCCTGGGCAGCCTTCTTGTTCTTACGATCCATGGCCATGCTCTGGCCGGGGAGGATATGAGCGAGAGCACATTTGTGGCCGAACTTGCAATTTCCCTTTACGAACCAGGCACAGACATCCTTCTGCTGCCCTGGCTCGAGGATGGAGTGCGAGAAGGGACAGGAAGAGCCGGCGGTGCAGGAGCCGACTCTGAAAAATTTGCACGGGACATGGGAGAGGTCCTTGGCTGGGAGGGCGGGTGTAGATCAACGACTAGGACGAGGAGAGAGTAGGATGGAAAGGGCGCACGCTTTGAGGAGCCCTTTGACTTGGGGCCCTTTTCGCGCTCTCTATCTCTGTCACGGTCATGTTCCCGTTCGGACAGGTCGTTGTCGGTGCTCTTATCTGCGACGGGCATGGCTGACGGCGAGGAAACAACACGAAAGGAAAAAAAGAGGGGAATTGAGACGGGGAGTGTGCTGGATGTGAGACAAGAAATGCGGCTTTGGGAGCTGTTTTTGAACGGTCGGGGCGGGAAGAGGAAGCCCGAAGAGGAGAGGGCTGGACGAGGTGGCTTGCGTCGCTTGGGCGCTTAGCTCTTCGTCCCGTGGCACACACGTGACCCCCGGCGCGTCCCAGATCGATCGGGCCGACGCCCGTCCGGGCGACGTTGGGGGCCGTCGTCGTCCTGCCCTCCGACGTCGCCATGGATCAACGCACCGCAAGCTTCGTCGTCGGCCACAACTACCAGCTCATCGACACAATTGGCGAGGGCGCGTATGGCGTCGTCTGGTCAGTCGCTCCAGCCTCCTCCTCCTCCTCCTTCTCTTACCCGTGCACATGCTTCCCTCCAGCTCCGCGCTCCACGTCCCCTCCCAGCGCAAGGTCGCCATAAAGCGAATCACCCCCTTCGACCACTCCATGTTCTGTCTCCGCACCCTCCGCGAGATCAAGCTTCTCCGCCACTTCCACCACGAGAACATCATCTCCATCCTCGACATCCTCCAGCCCCCGAGCCTCGCAGAGTTCAGGGAGGTCTATCTCGTCCAGGAGCTCATGGAGACCGACCTCCATCGCGTCATCCGCACACAGACACTCAGCGACGATCATTGTCAGTACTTCATCTATCAGGTTCGTCCCCTTCCCCCCTCGCTCTCCATCCGCTCCGGACGCTCGCTATCAACTGTGCCCTCTCCGATCTGCTCGCCCCCCAGACTCTGCGCGCACTCAAGGCCCTTCACTCGGCCGATGTCCTCCACCGCGATCTCAAACCCTCAAACCTCCTGCTCAACGCAAACTGCGACCTCAAGGTGAGCGTGACTTCGCTTCGTGAGGCTTCTATCTGATCTCTCCCGAGCTATGCGACTTTGGGCTCGCCCGATCGGCGCGTCCGCCCCCAGACGTCGACGACAGCAGCAACTTCCTTACGGAATACGTCGCGACGCGGTGCGTGTGCTGTGGTGCGGCGATGCTTGATCCTCCCCGCCTCATCCGTGATCTAGATGGTACCGTGCCCCAGAGGTCATGCTCACCTTCAAAGAATATACCCGCGCAATCGATATCTGGAGCGTCGGCTGCGTGCTTGCAGAGATGCTCAGCGGAAAGCCGCTCTTTCCGGGTCGAGATTGTGAGTTGCGGCTCGCGCACCACGTCTCTCGCTCGCCGTCTTGACGCGTGTTTTACGACACGAGATCACCATCAGCTGTCCATTATCCTCGATATCCTGGGCACACCCTCGATTGACGACTTCTACGCGATCACCTCGCAGCGATCGAGAGAATACCTCCGCGCCCTGCCCTTCCGCAAGCAGAAACCGTTCAGCCAGCTTTTCCCGGAAGCGAACCCCCTCGTGCGTCCAAGCTCGCTGTTTGTAGACTTGTTCCAAGCTCACGTGAACTCTACAGGCCATCGACTTGATGGAGAAATGCCTCACATTCAGTCCGAAGAAGCGCATCGACGTTTCAGAAGCCCTGAAGCATCCATACCTCGAAGTACGTTCACCGGCCTCTCCTCTACCCCTCACGCGCAACGACTGAACTACCTCCCACGAACGCCCTTGAACGCATTGGTATAGTCATACCATGACCCAGATGATGAGCCTATCGCAGACCCGCTTGACCCTTCCTTCTTCGACTTCGACAGTGCCGAACCTCTAGGGAAAGAAGAACTGAAAGGTAAGCACATGTCATGTTGTGTGAACATGTTGCTGTGTCTAGCAATTGATCCCACTGTTCTGTAGTCTTGATATACAAAGAAATCACACACTCTTGAGGGGAACTGAAACAATGAAAACTGCTAATTAATGTTATTGTCATATATTGTACACTGTTTGATGTATACCTGATCAGTATTTGTTCCTTGTCAGAGGAGCAAGTTTTTGAAAACTACTTGTGCAAGCAATGACAAGAGCCTGGAGTCTGGTATATTATATTAAGAGTGGGCTGTTTAAGAAATTCTGTTTTAATATATTAAAGCATATTAGATATAAGCTTCAACTGAGTTTTCCTGACCTCTTGAAGATACACAATTTTTTTCCTAACTTGTGTATAGCTTGGAAAGTTGGGATATACTAGGGAGCTGTTTAGTAATGAGCTGTTTAAAAGGGAATTTTAGGGGCCTTTCTTAGGACCACTAGGTCTAGGCTAATGTGCTATTAAAAGGCATACCAAACCTTTGCTCTAGTACCTTGTTCTTGCTTTTGTTCACCTTAGCGCGCTACTTCTCTAGTTAAAATATGCAAAGTAAGGCTTTAACCTTTTGGTTTACTTGTACTATCTCTCAGTAAGTAAAAAGTATGTGGTGTATAAAGAATAAGTAAAAGGTAAGTAACAGGATTAAATAGTTCAAATAATTAATAGAGTAAGGGACCAGGAGCCCTGCTTGTAGCCAGCACTTTGCAAGTATTAGCTGTGAAATAGTTGTAGTCTTCAAAGAAGAGTATGTGTTAGTAAAGCATGATACAACTTTAAAAACAGACATTTGACAAATACTGATGTTGCTAGGAGAGCACAAAAGTTATATATTATACAAGAAATAATAGGAAATGCTTTAGGATGATCTTTTCCACAAGCCATATAGAGATTAAAAAGATATAAATATACCTTTTAATATAAAAGAGAATTATCCTCCTTATTCTCACTACCCTTAATTTTTCTACTAATATTCTAACTTAGATATTGAAGGAGCAGGTATAGATATGTTCTTTATAAGTAGTATTGGCTAGGCTACATTTAACAAAAAACCATATACTTTGCCAACTTCTACTAATAGTTTGGGAGAGCTTGCACTTCTTATAGAGAGAGTCTTTTTCTCATGCTACTCATAAACATACTAAAATAATGTTTGGGCTTTGGATTTTCTTCTATGCCAAGATTGTTAAACTATTGTATACAAAGAAAGAAGTGATAGACTAGATTTAAGATCAATAAGTAGTTAGTAGCAGAGGCTCAGTGTTAAGAGCTGGCTTATTCCCTTGCTTGTCATTCCCTTGCTTGTCAAGGGTTATCATACCCTTGTAATTAAGCACCCAAACCAATAGAACAAACACCACATAACAAAGCTTGTCAAACTTGTTAAATTACACACACTTGAAAAAAAAACATTATTACAGCAACTTCTGAAATTATGTGGAATCACAAGTTTTCGCACGCGAGGTTGCCACAGGGTTCGGAATCAGCCGAGCAGGACCTCAGATACTCATCTTGTAGCACAGCTCAACCGAAGCCGAGCCACTTCACTTTAGTTGAGCAAAGTTGTTTTTACAGTAATAAGACTATATATATAAGAAAAATGAACTAAGAATATTTTTGAGTGAGTGGGGATGCAGCCTGAGCCTGGTTATGGTTATGAATAGTTGTTTGTAGGTTATCACGAAGCAGATCAAGGAACATAGGCAGACATAGGCAAGATGAAGGGTAGGCGGTAGGCCAAAGAGGAAGAAAAGTAAGGTACTCATAACAGCTCAAACATATCTGTTTCCTCATCTTCTCTGGCTTCCTCCTCTGCAACAAATCCCGCTGGTATTTTCATCATGCTCTCTGCCGCTTCACAATAGAAATAGTCCTCATAATCACAGGACACTTGCTCATTGAAGTCAGCTGCTTGGATCCAAGGACCATAGAACATTTTGCGACCATCATTCCATACACGCTCAAAGCGCACCTTCCTCTGTGTGTTACATTTAGCAGTGGCCTCTACTTCAACCTTGGGTCATTTGCATCAGGACTATTCCACTAGTCAGCCACACCGCACTTTAATCGAATAACATCACCATCACTGATCCTTAGCTCTCGAAGCTTGTCGTCTGGGATGTATTGTAGGATATCTGGACCATATCCCTTGCTGCTCATCTGTGACTGCAAGAGGACCGCATTTTTGACACCTAGGTTGTTCTCGGCATGGGCAAGGAACCATGGCAGCTTTGTGGGAGTTAAATGGATAAGAGAGCCCAAAGGAAGGGAGATTGTTTGGTGTGGTGGAGTACAAACTGGTGCGTGCTCTATGACATTGCTATTGCTGGACTGTACAAGGGCAGCTGATGGATGAGAGAAAGAGTTTGAAGATGAAGTGCTAGCAACAGGGATGTGAGCAAGGACAAGTGATAGGATATTAGAGATCTGAGCAAGGTCGGTACTTGTTTGTGAAGGTCCAGTATTATTGACAGTGGCCATGATAGCCTTGTGCTCAGGGTGGAGCAAAACCTCTCAAAATGCTGGATTGAATAGACCTGAGTTGTCATTGGGAGGTGCATCAATCGTGCATTTGCCATCGTACTGGTTCAGGTTAGGTACAAATTATTATCCTCATCACAAATTGTACTTACAAGACCATCAATCCATTGTGATATCTGTGCGGTACTCAAGCAATAAGGATTGCCTTGGAGATTGGATTTCGATGGAACAAAAACAAGCCCTCCATTCCCATCTGACCGCTTGCTATCTAGCCTATACAGGAAGAATGGTGCCATGCGCTCACGTTCAGATGCTCTGGCTAGAGCGTCTTCGTTGTCCTTCACAGGGTTTCATAGTCAGTAAGTAACCAATTTAACTATGGCTTGTACGAGAAGCACATACTGAGCATGCCTGGTCTACTTCTTGACCATCTGACCTACTCGCTTCATCTCCATCTTCTGTACGAGCCCACCCACCATGATGCTTTACTAGCTTGCAGACTTTCTTCACCACTTTCATGTCAACAAACACAATTATTTCACTGGGCTGATGCTCCTCAAGCCGCTTTACTACTTTATTCCATTCTTCTTCACTATCCACGTCCAAGGCATTTTTTGCACTAGCAAAATCATGCTGCCATCAACTGCAAGGCCAGACTTGACTAGAAATTGTAAGCATACCTTTAACTCTTTTCCGGTGGAGCCAGTATCTTCATGCTAAAAGGCTTTCTAGATGGAACCTCATACCTTGTTTTGCCATGGCATGCAAGAACTTGCTTTGCAAATTCAACCTAACTATCATGTCTTTGAGTCACCTCCAACTCAAAGTACTTCCTCTTCTGCCTATCCTTTACCTCTCTGCCTTTGCCCTTTCCAGAAGCAGAAGGAACATGCTTCCAGTATGTCATTTCAACAACAGCGGTGACATTGATGGGTTCTGGAGCAGAGGAATGAGCAGGGCTACTTGAATTTGATGTAGGATTGTCGACCATAATAAAGTGATAAATATAGGGGTTGTTTGGATAAAATTATCAAGGCAGTATGCACGAAGATGGTGGGGTGGTCTGATAAGCAATATCGGGAAGGAATAGATGCATCATCCAATAATTCAAAAGCTTATTAGCTGCATCACTCATCCACTCATACATATGAAAATCTTTGTATGATACCACACAATATCTAGCTATAATAACCACATATTCTAAACCACTCTAGTGCCTTCCACGGTCCGATGCTATCACATGCATCATGGATTGTCATTAGACAGCTATCCTCATAATGGCAGCAGAGATAGGCTTTGATAGCAGAGAAGGCGAGTTTGATAGGATTATAGTCGGGGGAATAGGATGGGAGGAAGATCATTTTGCACTCTGTAAGATATACAGTACATCAATAGGTGCGGCATATATTACTAGAGAGGAACATACCTGCTTCATCTTCAATAATTTTCCGAACCTCTTCTGAGTGGTGAATTGAACAATTATCAAGTACGATACAGCTGCGAGGACCAGGGTATGGATTTGTAAGTGGAATCTATAAGAAACAAGACCAGAATGGTTAGCAAAGGAAAACTGGATTAGAAAATGGAAGGTACATACAACATAATAGCGCAAAAAATCACAGAACTGCTTAGTGGTAACTAAACCATCAACAATCTCTCGAGCCACGATTCCATTGAGAGTGATGGCAGGCAGGATAGAGTACCACTTTCCATGGATAAAGCACCACCTCTGATAGACCCTTGTACCTCTCAACAACCACCCCTTCAACTGTCCAGGTGTTTTCTCATTCTTTGAGGCCTCATCGAGAAAGACCAACATATTTGGATCAGGTGCAATTTTCCCAATCACATACCAAAATACAGCACACTGAGAGTCATCACGCTCGAGAGCACACTTTGAAACATGTTTGTTGGTGTAATCAAGGGCTCGCACAACAGCAAGAAGAGTAGTAGTGGAGGTCTCAAGACCAAACTCCTTTTGGAGTGCATCCTGCATCTCATCAAGATAAGCACATGGGTTCTGCTAAAGAAAGGTATGGAGGAAGTTGAGATGCATATAGGACATGACACGATTGTAACTATGTCGACAGGCATAAGGATTCCATGGTACTCCATATTTTTGCTCCAACTTCAGTGGCTAATACACACAGCTCTTTTTGATGCCAAGGTGGTCACATATGTGCTGAACTGGCAGCTTGTATAGATGAAATAGGATTAGAATATGAGCTTTAAGAGAGTATGGTACGGAGTGTGGAGGCATAAGAGTAGTAGGACACCGTCGTAACAACTGGCGCAGAGCAGGTATCTAAGGTCCTGCTTGGCTGATTCCAAACCCTGTGGCAACCTTGTGCACGAAAACTTGCAATTCCGCATAATTTTGGAAGTCGCTATAAGTTGTCAATTGTCAAGTTGCATCATCACATGCAAGTCACTGTATTTCTCTTCCTCTATATGACTATAGTAGAAAATTCAAATGTTTGTATGTACTTAACTGTCTACAAATGTCCAACAATCTTGTTTCACAGCACTACATTATCCTTGTCAAGTTTGGCAAGCCTGTCATCCTCATTAATCAATGGGGCACTATAAGAGGCAAAAAAGGTCTTATCATCAAAATCATAAAGAAGGCGTATTGTCTTATGGCCAGAGCTCCTTGACAAGGCAACATATAAGTTGAAGAGGCTCAACTTCCCCAATGGTAGTAATACTATATCTACGATAATATACCAGATTGTCTAGCCTTGCAACTGGTAATCTGTAAAGGCATATGTAGCTGCCATTGGAAACTGATGGTGCCACATACAATGGGTAATGACCTTGCTACTAGCTGGCATTGATATCTTGATCTGAAATATTTGAGCAATAGGTTCAATAGGAATAACCAACTTGCCCAATCCTTTGGGTTGGGTTATCTGGGTCCTTTGCATTTTGACCAAGATGCAAGTTGGTAAGTGCTTAAGATAGACAGCATGATCAGATAATAAAAAGTCTAACAGCTTATTAGAGTACAGAATAATTCCAACTATCTCTCCCCTAGCCCCATTTGCTAGATTAGGGTCAGTCATGATATGTGTCATCACCATGACCTTCATTCCAATAGCTAACTCAACTTGTTCAGGCAGATCACTGCACTGCTCATGACATCTTCCCTAGCCATTGACATGATGGCTAGCAATGCCGTACTTTTTAGCAAGCATGAGTGGCTAATACAGTTGGTCCTTCAGTGTATCCTCTGCATAGCAGATAAATAACCTGCCCTTTGTTTTGGGGCAGTGTTTGTGAATTGCAGCATCATTCCACTACCTATAAATGGCATGCTGAGGGGCCACAAGTGCTATACCTTTCCAAGGGTCGGATAAGAAATTAGTTGGAGGGCATAATAGGTTTGAAATAATGAGTTGACATAGCATGTCAAGGTCCATCAGCTTGACACATCTATGCCAAAGGTTCCATAAAAACTGCCTCAAAACAGGACCAGTAACTTGCATCTGCTCTTTCAAGATCACAACATTCTGAAATTCATTATGGATTGTGCAGCCTACTTGTGCATCAATAGTGTCATAAGTAGGATTAGTGGGCTAGTACAGCACTTATGAAGGGCCTATAGCAATGGGTAGAAACTGATAGAAGTCACCACATAAGATCATGTTGATCCTTCTGAATGAATGAGTAGAATTTGACTAGCCAGGTTTATGCTTTCCAATGCTAATATGATAAGACAGTTGTGCTAAGAAACTTTTTGCCAGCATGGAACACTCATTGAGGATAAGATACTTATATGGTGCCCAAAACTGGCTGAGTTTTCCTTTTGTCTTATTACTGAGATCTGCATGACTAGATTGTGAGATTGTGTTTATGATGTGGGTTGTTTTATCATCAATCAAGGATGCTGCAACACCGGTAGAGGCTGCTTTCAATAGTTTTTGTCATACTCCATACTGGGCAAAGAACTCTGTTACTATTTGGATTACTTTTAACTTGCCCATTCCACCCTCATTATGAATCAGCAAATGTAAGGGCAGTACATTGTTCCTGGCTAGTGTTTATTCAAGGTGCCAGGTGATGATGCCATATGCTTGTTTCTAATCAGTTTTGAGTTTGAATGGAGCAATTAGCATAAGGACAATCTCTGAATGCTCTGAATCAAGAAGGACAGCTGGCAGTTGACTGACACTGATTATTAACTGAGAAATGCCAGGCTCAAGAGAATTTCCATTGATATTGTTGATCTGGGCTATTGGAGTGACAGTGAATGTATTTTGATAGCTAATATTGGCATCTATAAAGGACTTTCACAATAGAAGCTAACATATATTGTCTCCAGTCACAGGACAGATATTGTCTGGCTGCACAGTCCACAACTCTGAGTTGCTAAGCTCAAAGATACCTATTAGCCTTGCATGCTTAATTCCTATGTTTGTGTAATTTTCTTCTTATAGTGTGCCCTAAATTAACTACAGAGCTGCAAGACCTTCCTCAGTGAATAGCAAAGCCTCTGGCACAAGACAATCTTCTGGAAGTCTGAAGTTATCTTCATTGGCAGTATACTCATGTTGTGCTTGTGACAGAACAGCTTGCTGATGATTGCGAGCAGACATGCACTCATGACAATACTAAACACCATCAATGATTCACAGGGTCTTGTTTATTGCATTTGAGCATAGCTGGTCAAATACAGCCTCCCATATTTCATAAGAATCTTTGAGATTTATTTGCAGATTCCACCAAGGCTTCAAAAGCATCACCATGCAAGCACAATAGAGCATAGAGATTTCTAGATCATTGTTTCAAGGAAAGGGACATCTGAGAAAATTTAGCAGATTATTATATCCTATGCTGCATACAATACAAAAAACCTGCTCATGTTTAGGATGCTGATGTCAATAGTGTACATGCTGGTTAAGTAGTCAACCTAGATGCCACAGATCATTTGAAACTGGAGAGGCTTCAGCTCTCTTATGCAGAGTTACTGGACTATCATAGGTATTGACAAAAAATCAAATAAGATAAAAGTCTCCCAAATTGTCTCCACAGCACTAATAATCAACTACTTGACACTTTGTGTAGAGATGCCCAGTTAAATTGGTATCCAAGGTAATCACATTATTTCTATTTTGCATAAAAGAAAATTATCAGCTGAGAATGTTTGTATTAACATATCAAAAGACTTACCTCTGCATTATGTGATTTCTATATCTCCTTCTCTTTTAGAGGCCTCTCTGATTTTTCCAAGTCTTTATCTACACTGGATGTCACATCATAATATCTACAGTTATAATTATAAGATTTATATGGAAGGATTTGGTAGAATATATGTACTTATTATTTGATTCATTTATAATGCTATTGAATTGCCTAGAAGAGTCTGTCATTCTATCAAAGCAATGAGAACAATTAGACTAAGATGTTTGATATATACTCACCCCTGTATATCCTTGAGCTCTAGGAAAGCCTTAAACAATGCTCTGACAAATGATGACCAGAAAATATTGGTATAGAAATAAGCGTGGTAAATGTCACCCTAGCCCATGGGATACAATATTACCATTGGCTTAGCTGGCTTTTGTTTCCAGTTTACTAATGAGAAGATGCAAATTAGGAGCTTTTGGTGGTTATCTTGAAGACTATCTAGATAGCTTGACCACTCTAGATAAAAGGCATGGCCCTTTGCCATGAGTGCTAACATGTTGTGATTCTTGCTTTGCTTTTTTGTAGTATAGCCAGTTATATGGAATATGATATTCTTGGTGTCACTGCCATTTGTTAAGAGCTTTACATTGTTATTTCACCAAACACTTATGGCAACTGCTGGATTCCACACATTTATAAAGGCATAGAGATATTTTGGACCCCAGTTCCCTCCTCCATCAATGAATTCTTCTTTTGCCACCTAGAATGGTACTCCTTGCTTGCACCAGAAGCCACCCTTTCTATTAGGGATAAGGCAATAATGAACCTTGCAGGTATGTGCCTGCTTTGCTTGAGCAACACAGAGCTCAAATGTGGAGAGACGTTTGTTGTAGTTAGAAGATTTAGGCTGGAGAGGACGAGAGTAGCTGACTTTAATGTCATTTAGAGTATTCTTCACCTCAGTTGCCAACCCAAGGCCTTGTTATGATCGTGTTCAATCAGGCCTTAATGGCGGTCTATTCCGATATGATCATCATAAGCATCACGTGGCCTCACAGGTTGAGGCGTACAATAAGGTACAGATAATAACCTTGGTCATCCACTCCCAATGGATCACCTATTGTTGGTTGAGTAACACGAGCCATATTGCAGTGGGTATGGAATGCCGCCTTACAAACTACTTACACACCAGGCATAGAGCTCTTAGTCTTTCCTGGCTGGAAGGAGACAAACGGAGAAGCACAAGAGTAGTCGTTATTGAGAGAGACAACTTAGAGAATACCTATGGATACATATATGGTATTCTCACGCCCTATTTCCTAAAGTAGTATAAAGGCCCATAGAATAGGCTAAGGATCTTCAGTCTATTCTCCTTGTTCTAGTACTGTCTTCCTACAGTACTCCTTCGTTCTTAGACAGTCCTCACACTGTCTACCCTCGCTTCAATACTGGCTTCCTACAGTATCCTCACTTACTATACCACAATACATCTCTGGCTCTTATGCTACGCGTACAGTCGAGACTATTGTTCTACCCTTCTTCCACGAGTAACCTAGGGAAGAACCTCCTACTCTTGGGGTTACCAAACGAGCAGTTTGTAACACTAGAATAGACTCTTCTGCCCCTACCTTGCTCGCACTAGCTTGCTACCACACTCTCTCTCATAACCTTCCTTAGTGGGGATAATAGACCCTCATTAAGAAAGCATTACTACACACACTCTAGAGCAAGACCTAGGCCGAGACTATCCTCCCAGCACTAGACACATCGACAACCAACTCCATCATAACAATCGCCCTATCCGGCACAAGGGGATCCATTGGCTCTATAATGATACCAATCACATCACCCCACTGAACTACGATAACTGCTCATTCTGAAATAGGCATTACTTTTTCACATTTGACGACGGAACTAAGGAAGAAAGACTTTGGAACAAAGTAGAGAATTGTTGGGACCTACTGCCCCAATATAGGGAACCAGCACCGGTAATCCCCAAAGACTTGGAGCAAGAGGAATCAGCCTCACAGTCAGACTCCAACTCATCACTAGACCAAACACTGATCAACACCCAAAATGAACCACTCACCAAAATGTCGGGACAAGCTTCAACTTTCACAGACACCCCTCCCACGACAGTACAGTCTGGAAGAGGGAAGGTCAAACTCCCAGACAACTACACAGGCGACCATATTGAATCCCAGAAATTCATGCTTCAATGCCTCCTTCTTTTCACAGCAGAATCCGACCGGTACAAGACCGATCAGGACAAGATATCCCTTGTGCTTTCATGCATGAGATATGGCACGGCAGGAGCTTGGGTGGAGAACTTTCTCCTCAAATCGGTGGGAGTGGACCCTCCCACTGACCTAGGCACCTGGATGAACTTTTTAGCCAAGTTCAGACTACAGTTCAGGGAGACAGGCAAGACCAACAAAGCATGAAGCGCACTCATGGCCTTCTCCCAAGGAAGAATAATGGTTGATGAATACTCCAACCAGTTCATCCTCATCACCACCGATGCCAACATCTCTGACAAGGAACAGGTCCCCTACTTCCAACGTGGGTTCGACCCGCATATCATGGATAAAATATATGACAAGGAAGTCCAACCGAAGGACACTATTTAGGACTGGATTAATACAGCCTGCAAAATAGATGGATGGCTTAGAGCCAGAACGGCTCAAAAGGCCATCCTCGCCAACTCCACCTCCTTCCGCAGTGATTATCTGAATCGCTTTCACACCCAACCTGCTATTCGCTATAACTCCATAAGCACCCCTCACCGAATGAATAACCAAGTGGTCGATATGGACATCGACGCTACCAGGAAGTGTAACACCAAAAGTCAAAAAAGGAAATTTGGCGGCAAGCGACCCAAGTGTTATAACTGTGGACGATTAGGGCATTATAGCGCTGACTGCCGATCCCCACGCAGAGGCATTCTACCAGTTCGAGGAAACTCAAAGGGACACATGGGTACGACAGGGAGAAGAAACTGCACAGTTGATTTGGAAGGAGAAGATGACGCACCTGCTATGGGAGACCAAGCGGGAATATATCGAGGGGTGGGGACGGAGAACATTCTTCGCAATGACCAGCGGGTACCACAACCTGGTCCTTTGGTGGAACGTCCACACTCTGCCCCATCCGTATAACCCCAGACAAACCATCAGCGACACGTCATGTCGCCTGATGGACGACAGGGAAATGGAGGCGTCAGTCTTTCTGCTCGAATAAGAGCAGTGCTAGGAGAGTTAGGAGAGGATGAAGCAAGAGAAGTAATCTTGGGACACGCGGAGCGTTTTTCCTGACCTCTCCCTCACCAGCAAAGAAGAGAGGTTAAGGAAGACCCAAGTTTGACACCAACAAATGTATTCGTATTGAAGCAATGAATGACTGCATCATCACCCCCATATGCCTAGATGTAAAGGTATCAAACCGGGATCATTATGCTGGAGCAAAGGCAACCATTGACTCAGCCTATAAAGGGGTCATAATAAACAAGACTTGGGTCAGGAAACATCGCTTCCCCACCTACACGCTCAACAACCCCATTTGTGTCCGGAATATTGATAATACCATTAATAAAGCAGGTCTCATCCGATTTGCCTTGGATGTGAACCTCACAATTTGGGACATCCATGGACGAACACACATCGAGCGCGTCCAAATGTTTATCTCCAATCTAGGGAAGGACGACCTTATCCTAGAAACAGATTGGCTGAAATACCATGATCCCTCCATCAAGTGGAGGCAACGTGAAGTGCACTTTGATTGGTGCCCCCAAAAATGCCACCAACCACACAGGTTTACTAAGGAAAGGGAAGAACCACAAAACGATAGGCGGTTACGGAATGTGGAGCCATGGCATAAACCACGGATCAGTGAGTGCAAAAAACAGTGCCTAGAACATCTCCGAAGGATATTGGAAGATGTTGGACTCCGCGATCACAGCGGGACGTTTGGTGTCCAATTACGGGCCTACCTCAAGAGGAAATGGCTTTTATAGGACATAAATAAATATGCAGAAGAGAAATGAAGGGCTCAGATCAAGCCATCTCTTTCACCAAATGGGGGAGAACCTGACCTCCCAAATAAACCCTTAGGAAAACAGGCTACAGGGGAACCGGTCATTCGGAAACTGGCCCCTGAACCATCAGGATTTGCCAGCTTCGACCAAGACTTGGAAGACGAAATTATCATCACCAACCTAAAGGAAAGAGTCCCCAAGGCATACCACGAATTTTTGGACATCTTCAGCAAACGAAAGTCGCAGCGACTCCCGGAATATACGTATTGGGACCACGCCATTGATTTGAAACCGACCTTCAAACCTCAAGTACCTAAAATCTACGCCTTAAGTCCAGAAAAACACAATAAATTAGGAAAATTCATCAAGGAACATCTTACCAAAGGGACCATCCATCGATCCACTTTGCAGACAGCAGCCCCATTTTCTTCATAAGAAAGAAAGATGGAAAACTGCGCCCGGTACAGGACTACCACCATCTGAATTCGCACACCATTCCAAATGTGTGCCCTCTTCCACTAATCCAAGAACTATTGGACGTGATCAAAGGGGCCACCATCTTTAGCAAACTAGACATGTGATGGGGATATAACAATGTACTTATCAAAGAGGGAGATGAGTGGAAAGCAGCTTTCATCACCCCGTTGGGCTCCTATGAACCCACGGTGATGTTTTTTGGTTTAACAAACTCACCGGCCACTTTCCAAGCCATGATGAACATGATCTTTAGAGAACTTATCACGGCCCAGAAGATAACCGTATATATGGACAACATCCTCATCTTTTCCAAGTCCATGGCAGAACACATTCAAGTCCTAAACCAAGTTTTCCAAATCTTATGCGACAACGACCTCTACTTGAAACCAGAAAAATGTGAGTTTTACAAGGAAAAACTCCAGTACCTGGGATACACAATTTCAAAGGACCATGTCATTATGGAAGACTCTAAGGTGGATGCGATAAAAGATTGGCCAGTTCCACGCACAGTCCGAGACATCCATTCCTTCTTAGGTTTAGGAAATTTTTATAGGCGCTTCATCAACAAATTCTCACTAATCGCGTGCCTTTTATATGACCTCACCAAAAAGGACGAAAAATGGAACTGGACTCCAAAATGCCAAGAAGCTTTTGAATGATTAAAGAAAGCTTTTATCAGCAAACCCGTCCTGAATTACCCAGATCCCATGCATCCATACCGATTAGTGATAGACGCATCACTGATTGCTTATGGAGCCACCCTTCTGCAAGAAGGAAAAGATGGTGACTGGCACTTAGTTGCTTTCCTTTCTGGGTTATTCTCACCAGCAGAGTGGAATTACAACGTCCACGACTGGGAACTCTTGGCTATCATAAAAGCATTGGAACACTGGAACCACTACCTTGAAGGTGCACAACATCCCTTCGAGATCTGGACAGATCACAAGAACCTGGAACAGTTCCAAACAGCGCGAGATCTGTCCCGACAATATGCCCATTGGAGCCTTTATTTGAGCAGATTTAACTTTATGCTCAGCTATAAAGCAGGATCAACAAACCATTCTGATGCTCTGTCCAGGTGTTCAGACCTAAGTGAGGGGGTAGAATCTGACAACAAGGCTCAAATTTTGCTCCCGGCCAACCTTTTTAACAAATCTGACGAAACATTAGTGGAACCACCCCCAACAAGGCATATAAAGTCCATGGAAATTGCATCTTCAGACCTTATCTCCCTCATCCAACATTCAAAATTGGAACATGACGCCCTGACAAGGGTTGCCCTTGCCAAACTCTTGCGAGTAGGGCCACAAGGGATGAGAGGACTACTGGGACATTGGACACACAAAGACGGAATCACCAGGCATAACGGCCACATATGCATTCCAAAAGACAATGTCATCCGAAGGCTCATTGTCAAAACGCATCATGACACACCTGTGGTAGGACACCTGGGTAGAGCCAAAACTTTGGAAATGGTACAACGACACTACTGGTGGCAAAACATGACCAAATTTGTCCATGAATATGTGGACGGATGTGCCGTATGTCAATCCACAAAGAACTTAATGCACAGGACACACCCTCCTATATACCCTTTGGAAACCACCAACATCCCTTGGCAATTCATCTCAACAGACTTCATCATGGACCTACCCAAAAGCAAAGGCTTTGACTCAATCAACGTGGTAATGTACCAAGGGCTGTCCAAAGGCATAGTCATCACCCCATGCAAGAAAACGATCATGGCAGAAGAAACAACTATGCTGTTCCAGAATAATGTTTTCAATCGACATGGGCTGCCGACCAAAATAGTGTCCAATCACGGTCCTCAATTTGTGGCCAAATTTACCCGAGAACTCTGGAAATGGCTAGGAATCACCACCGCCCTCAGCATGGCTTATCATCCCCAAACAGATGGAGAAACGGAATGGGTAAACCAAGAAATCGAACAATTCCTGAGAACGTTCTGCAACTACCACCAAGATAACTGGGTAGACCTTCTGCCGTTTGCCAAGTTCTCGTATAACACTCAGAAGCACTTGACCATGGGAAAATCCCCTTTCGAAGTGCTATATAGGTTCAACCCCCCTTATTCAGCCGATACTGCACTAGAGACAAAGGTACCCACAGTAGCTAAATGCATTAAGATGATCACAGAAGTCCAATAAGAAGCCGCGGCCAGCCTATAAATAGCCAGCAATTATGCCAAAGACCGGGATCTTCACAGGAAACTTTCTCAATGGAAGGAAGGAGACCAAGTATGGCTAGAAGGAACCCATATCCGGACAACCCATCCTAAATTCAAACTTGCCCCTAGGAGATATGGCCCCTTCAAAATACTGGCAAAAATAGGAACCCTGGCATATAAAATTCAAATTCCCCAACACTGGAAAATCCACCCAGTATTCTATGCCACAATACTCACTAAATATAGGGAAACAGAGGCATATGGGGAAAACTTTGCGAGACCATTACTGGAGGTATTAAACGACGAAGAGCATTACAAAGTGGAGATCATGGACTCAAAAAGATAGGGACAGGGAACCAAGTATTTGGTCAAGTGGGTGGGATATCCCAAGGCAGACAACACCTGGGAACCCTACACTCTCCTAAAAGGAGCAGCAGAAGAAGCCATGAAAGAGTTTCATGACCAATACCCCAACAAACCCCATCTGGGAGTACCCTGAAAAGTGGAGGGAAAGTTATAAAAGAGCAACAAGAAGGGCTCTAACAAATCATATCCCCCACTTTCTCAAGTTCACTCCTCCACCCAAATGCTCCTCCACAACGACCACGATGCCTCATTTCCATCTAGAAACTCCTCCCCCGATATCGTCCTTATGGTCTTTAATCCAGATGTCGGACGAGTAGAGAGAAGAACAAGCCCTCACTGATCTGATGCTGGACGAGTTGACAGAGGAACCAGTCCTCACCGTCCAGAACCCACCATTGCCGTTCTTACCCCAAATCTCAACAACTTCTCGGATGACGATGCTGAGGATTATGCAAAGTTCAAGGAAAGAGAAAGAACCCGCCGACCGTTGCAAGGGGGAGCTCCTGGGATGCACCATGGCATGAGGACCCTGATGACAGAAACTCACCGGGCACTGACAAACTACCAGTGGGAGTTCCACTTCCTACTGGAGTCACAACAAATGTTGGAGCTGCGGGTCCCTTGGGATTATGAGCAAGAACTGCAACTCAACTTCCAAGCCATGAAGAAGTTGAACCAATATCGATTCTACCAGGAACTACACATCTGCCAGTACCAATTAGTGGACAGGTTCCCAGCTCCATGGGAGGACCTACCCCTTGTACAAATCCTCACTCCAGAAAATTGGAACAACACACAGACGCGCTTCTCCAGCGCAACACTATCTCCGTGGTAATACAAATGGCCACAGCCATGGCCCTCCAACGACTCACTAACTTTTTGGCAGGGCAACCTGGAAATAAAAATAGCGACGTACCTCGATGACTGGCTAGCGCCAGTCTCCAGATCAGAATGCTCGCCCTCCAGACCAACCCTGACACAGCCTCCTGGTACAAACATAATGACGGATGACCACAAGCTCTCCTCATCCACCCTGATGAGTTCTCTCAGTATGTCAACAGAGAGCTCCTTCCAGCTCTCCTCTTCATTGGAGAACTGGGGAATGTCCAACCAAGCAGAACCGACCCTTTCCGTATTGTCACTTGGAACGTACCATGTCCCGGAGAACATCCCGTTGATGAGCATGCACCCGCGCTAGGGTCAGAGGGAGGTATTCGGGAAGCTTTGGGGAGATACCGAACAGCGCTCGACAAGTACCGAAGACGCTGACTTTACCGAACACGGTCGGCCCCTACCCGACCGACGACAAGCCACCGAAGGACGTTCGGCAGCACTGGGGTCAGTTCGCCCACACTTCACGTACTCACCATGACCACATAGGAGTGTTACGATAAGTGTTTACGAGATCAAAGCCAGTAGTCTGAATCGGCCGATGTCCTCCGTGAGTCGGTCGGTCGTTATCGCTTATCTTCCCGACTTCCACATGGTCGGTCAAACGCGATCTTGCACCATTACTTGGCCACCCTGGTCGTACGATACCTCTCCTTTATTTTTCATTGGTTCTCCAATGCCTGTTCCGTCTACCTACGCTCGGGCGATGGATCCCGAACGTTCGGGATTTCGCCATCGCTGATTAACTTTTACCTTGTCACCTTCGGAGCCCATATGGACATCTCACCTACCTTCTTATCTTCTCTGATCGCTAAGGCTTGGCGCCCATTCGACATCTACTCTCATTTCTTGTTTAATATTTTACTTAGAGGCTCTGTTTACTATAAAAACCTACATACACCTCTGGAATAAACCAGCTTTCGCACCCCACAGTTCAGAGCTCATTCGCACTCGTCTCAACCATCGAAATCGTCTTCGTCGACTTCCGAAAACTTGTCATCCTTGTCGTTCGGCCTCATTCGCGTTCGTACTCGTCTCTTCGCTCGTACCCCCCGTCCTCCCTCGTATATTGTCAGAGTCCCGTGTGGCTCTTGAAGCACGTAGTTGTCGGTCGCGACACTACCTTCTCATTACCGACCGCATCGCCGACACGACCGACCAAACGTTCGGTCGGTGTTCGGCGCAGTCCCGAAACCGTTCGGGCGCTATAATCTCACACTCCCCGATTGCTTCTCAGTATGCCTTCAATTTCTAAAGTCATCACTTACAATTCCTTGTGTATCAGATACTAGCTCCAGCACCCCTGCATTAGAGGTTGTTTTAGTGTTGTGCTCGGCACTTAGAGCCACCTCTAGCGTATCATTTTGGAGCCCACCGCGAGGGGTTAGTATTCAAAATTACCTCAAGGAATCTACGTCGCTCGTCCCGACCAACAGCGGAGCGCGAAGAACGACAAACAGTTATCGACAGCTTCAATACGCAGGAAACCTCTGCCGACCGAAGTTTGTTCGGAGACGCCGATATAGTCCCAGACCATTTATCCCACCATCACTACCTTGATCTCGAATCCTCACCATCGCTCTCGCCGCCACCCGACTCCACTTTCTTCTTAACCCCACCTTCGTCGCCGAACCGATCGTTACTCCCACCAATTTCCCCCATCCTCGACCTTGCACTCTTAGAACAATCACCCCCGTCTCCTATACCATCTCTCCACGACTCCATCTCTCCGTTAATCCCACGCAGCCCCGTCTTCTGGACGCCGACCATACGACCGACTTCACTAGAACGCTCCTTCGAACCAGCGACTCCATCCCCAATCACCTTAGCAAACAATACCTTCTCCCCCACCTTTGACTTTATCACTATGGCAACCCCATCCATGCCCGCTCGTGGAGATCGAACGGCCCTGACCTTTGACCCCCATCAACCCCGCGAATTGAGATGATATTTTGCCAACCTAGACTTCCACTTCGGTCGGTCAGCGATAGAAGACGACCAGGAAAAGAAGAAACACACTTGCCGATTCCTGGACGTCGACACCTGCGAGCTTTGGGAATCGCTCACCACTTTCACCGACGCCACGAAGACATTCAAGGAGTTCTGCGAAGAAGTCTACAGACTGTACCCCGGATCGGAGGAAGAGCGCAAATGGTCGGTATCAGATATGGACAAGCTAGTCGGCGAAACGAGCAGGGTCGGTATCTTGTCTCTCAGCGAACTCGGCGACTATCATCGGCGATTCCTGGCGATCACGGTATTCCTCCTCAGCAAAGCACGAATCTCTGTCGCCGAACAAGGACGCGCCTTCGCTAGAGGATTCCAACCGGAGCTATGGGCAAGAATCTCTCAACGTCTACAACTCAAGTTCCCCGATCATTTCCCAGACGACCCATACAACCTCCAGGACATCCACGACGCGGCCCGATTCGTCTTGCACGGCACCACGTCCGCCTACAGCACGACCTCTACCGACATCTCTCGAGCAGCCCCCGCCGCACCGCCCACCAACGCAATCAAAGCCAAAGACCTGGCAACCATGTTCGAAAGACTCACCGACACCTTTGTCAAGGCCATCGCAGCTCAAGGGACGTCCAGGCCAGCCGATCGACCATCCCGACAACCAGGACAAGGCGGCGACAACTGCATGTTCTGCGGCAGTCCCGAACACTTCATGCGCGCCTGTCCCGAGGTCACCGAATACATTCGGATTGGCAAATGCAAGCGGAATATCGAGGGGAAGGTTGTATTGTCAAGTGGGGCATTCGTACCCAGAGAAATCACAGGTAGTAACCTGAAGGACCGAGTTGACGAATGGCATCGCAGGAATCCAGGACAGTTGGCGACTGGACAGATGATGTTCACGGTAAATGCGACGCCGACTCACCCGATGACGATAGCCTCCCGTCACAATTCACCCTCGCTGCTGGATGTCACCCCGACTTACCAACTCACCGACGTCCAGCGAATCGCAAGCCTCGAACGCGAACTATTCGCACTCCGAACGCGGGGCGCGAGGGCACGCGAAATGGCCCAGACAGGACGTTCGACACTTTCTCCTTCACCGGCTCCCGAACGAGCGAGGACTGAAACCCCCGAACCCGAACCCCGACCGACCACCCCGACTCAGCGACCGCCCCCGGTACCAGCCAAGGACGATGCTCCGATCCACCCATACGCCAAAGCCCAGGATGCCACCTATGCACCACCACACGAACGCAACATGGGGGCCCCGGCGAAGATACCATCGGCAAAGAAGGATGCTCCGGCCTACAAAACCACGGCGCCGATCTACGACGAGAAGGTAGCAGCTGAGGTCTACAACAGGGCAATGGCCACTCAGGTGACGCTTACCCAGCGCGAACTACTCTCCCTCTCTGCCGAAGTCCGTTCGCAGGTCAGAGAAGCCACGTCGGCACGCCGATCGCCTGCCAAAGACGCCAGCAATGTTAGGACCTTCTACCAAGATGCCGAGCTACCCTACGCCATCGACGATCTCGAACCACCGGCTCGACCAACCGTCTCCTCCTTCGTCAATGTCCTGCACCAACCGGAAACACCCCCGCCGGGCGCGATCATCATCCCCGACATGTACGAAACGTACCTGAAGAATCTACAGCCCGGTCAGGTTCCTCAGCCGTTGATAGTTGCTAAAGAATTGTCTGCCCTAAGGTCCATCGTTCCCCTCGTCGATCATCAGCAGGAAGTCGAATGTGTCATCAACCCGGGTTCACAAGTCATCGCCATGTCGGAAGGCATTTGCAACGAACTGGCGCTCATCTACGACCCCGAAATCGTCCTCAATATGCAGTCGGCGAATGGCGAAATCGACCGATCCTTGGGCCTCGCACGCAACGTCCCATTCCTCATCGGCGACATCACCCTGTACCTCCAAGTCCACATCATTTGGAACCCTGCCTACGACGTTCTCCTCGGTCGGCCCTTCGACATCCTCACCGAAAGTATCGTCAAGAATTATTCGAATGAAGACCAGACGATCACCATCAGCGACCCGAACACAGGATGACGAGCCACCATTCCGACGATCCGGCGAGGACCCCCTCGAGTTCTTCACCGGAGACAAGCGGGTTTTCGCGACTCGATGAATTGATCCGAGATCAAGGAGAAGTTGCACTGATCATTTCCACCGATCATGATACCCCCAATTTCCCACTTATCGAAGCGTCCTCAGATTTCCATTCTCTATCTCCCTCTCGTCGCGATCTTTGTCTCAAGTACATTCTGGCCGCCGATTTGGGGCCCGAAAATCATCTCAAAAACAATCTCGATACCGATATGTCGTCTTTATTTTCCTTAGTCGTCCCCGGTTCTTTCCATTCCACTAATATCGCCGACCCGGTCGCCATCTTCGCCGCCAAGCGCAAGTACAAACCGGTTGCACAGAAAACACGACCAGTCTTGGCCGACCTCCCCGAAAAGTTCCGAATCGTTCGGAACATCCTCGGTGACCCTCTCGCTACCCTTCCGACGCTGACGCCGAACCCCCCACCATTCACACCAACCGGTAGATATACAGCCGAACGACGCAACCTCATCGACAAAGTCCACTCGGACGACTTCCTTTGGCCGGCCGAACGACAGCTCATGCACCATTTCATGTGTCTACAAGAGATGGGATTTGCTTGGGATGATTCGGAATGCGGACGTTTCCGCGAGGACTTCTTCCCACCAGTCAATATGCCAGTAGTCGAACACAAGCCCTGGGTTCAGCACAACATCCCGATTCCACCAGGCATCTACGACGAAGTGTGCAGACTTATCAAAACCAAGATCGCCGCTGGAGTCTATGAGCCGTCGAATTCGTCCTACCGATCGCACTGGTTTACGGTCGTCAAGAAGACGAATAGCACCGCCACTGGCACCAAACTCCGAATCGTTCACAGCCTCGAACCCCTGAACGCAGTCACCATCCAGCATTCAGGTGTGCCCCCATATACCGATCAGATCGCTGAACAGTTTGCAGCTCGCGCTTGCGGCGGCATTCTGGATCTCTATGTCGGATACGACGAACGAGGGCTCGCCGAATCATCTCGCGACTTCACTACATTCCAGACCCCGTTCGGAGCCCACCGACTCGTCACCCTACCCATGGGATGGACGAATTCGGTCCCGATCTTCCACGACGACATCACCCACATCCTCCAGCCAGAGATCCCAGCCACCACCATTCCTTTCATCAACGACGTTCCGATTCGGGGCCCACCGACCCGATACGAACTTCCGAACGGAGGCTTCGAAACGCATCCCGACAACCCCGGCATACGACGATTTGTGTGGGAACACTTTCAAGGCCTCAATCGGGTGGTTCAGCGGATGAAGTATAGTGGAGGAACATTTTCGGGACACAAGGCGACACTCTGCGCAGCCGAAATCACAGTGGTCGGCCATCGCTGCACGTACGAAGGAAGGTTGCCCGATGAATCTAGGGTAGAATCAATTATGAAGTGGGGACCATGCAGGGATCTCTCCGATGTTCGGGCATTTTTGGGGACGATCGGTGTCGTTCGGATCTTCATTCGGAATTTTGCACACAGGGCACATGCACTGACTATGTTAACGCGCAAAGATTTTCCATTCGTGTTCGGTCCAGACCAGATAGCAGCCCAAGACGACCTCCGGTCGGCACTGCTCGAATCGCCAGCCCTCCGGCCGATCGACTATGGGTCGGCAGCCAACGTCATCCTCGCCGTCGATACCTCACAAATCGCGGTCGGCTTCCACCTCTGTCAATGCGCACTCGACAATCCGCGGGTTCGGTACTATGCTCGATTCGGCTCCATCACCCTTAACGACCGCGAATCGCGATTCTCCCAGCCGAAGCTCGAGCTCTACGGTCTCTTTCGCGCCCTCCGATCGCTCAAAATGTATCTCATCGGCGTTCGGAATCTGATAGTCAAAGTAGACGCACGCTATATCAAGGGCATGCTCACTAACCCGGATCTCGAACCCAGCGCCAGCATCAATCGGTGGATCGTCTCTATCCTTACCTTCCATTTCACACTTGTCCACGTCCCTGGCACCTCTCACGGCCCCGATGGACTCTCCCGACGACCACCGCAACCCACCGATCGACCCGAACCCGAAGACAACTTTGACGACTGGATCGACAATCTCTACGGCTTCCTCCATCAGATCAACAACACGTTCCCCACCTCCATCTCAACTTCGACCACCGCCATCTTCACCTCCTCACTCATAGGCGACCCCCCGACCAATACCGGCTCCGACGACGAAGGCCCGACTATCGACTATTCGGATATCCCAAGATCGCAAAAAGCGTTGGAAGCCGAAGAACGCCTTTGGTCGGTCCGTGACTGGCACCGAACATTGGTTCGGCCCCCCTCTCTCTCCGACTCCGAATATGCTACCTTCCTACAATATTGCACTGAGTTCTTTATCGCAGCCGACAAGCTATGGAGAAAAGACTCGCACGGTCAACACAAGATTGTTGCAGCCCCTTCTAGTCGGATCACAATTCTCACCGCCGCCCACGACGACGTTGCTCACAAGGGATTCTACGCCACGACCGCCTTGATCGCCGAACGCTTCTGGTGGCCGCACATGAGGCAAGATATTTCTTGGTTTGTTCGGACATGTCACCTTTGCCAGATTCGCCAGACTCGCAACGTCCTCATTCCCCCGACCATCGCCACGCCCGCACCACTCTTTGCGAAGATGTATATGGATACCATGCACATGCCGACCGCCGGCGGTTTCAAGTATCTCGTTCAAGGCCGCTGTTCGGTATCACACTACCCTGAATTCCGAATGCTGCGACGCGAAACAAGCTCAGCCCTCGCCGACTGGATCTTCGAGGATATCCTGTGCCGATGGGGGACATTGGTAGAGATCGTCTCCGACAACGGACCAGCGTTCGTCAAGGCACTCGACCAGTTAGCGAAAAAGTACCACGTTCGGCACATCCGTATTTCGGGCTACAATTCCCGCGCCAACGGCATCGCCGAACGACCTCACTTCGACGTTCGGCAGGCTCTGTTCAAAGCCGTCGATGGAGACCAGGCCAAGTGGAATCGTGCAGCTCATTTCATATTCTGGGCTGATCGCATTACTGTTCGGCGCCGAATGGGTTGCTCGCCATACTTCGCAGCGACCGGAACCCATCCCCTCCTGCCCCTCGACATCGCCGAAGCCACCTACCTCCTGCCACCGCCGACCACAACCCTCAGCACCACCGACCTCATTGCCCGACGAGCCATAGCCTTGCAGAAACGCCGATCAGACCTCGCCCACCTTCGCAGCTCAGTTGTCGACACCTGTGTCCAGGCCGCCATCCGATTCGAACAACAGCATTCGGCCACACTTCGCGACTTCAATTTCCACCGAGGCTCGCTTGTCCTGATGCGCAACACAGCCATAGAAAAGGTGCTCAATCGGAAGATGCGTCCACGGTATTTAGGGCCTCTGCTAGTAATTTCTAGGAATCGGGGAGGAGCATATATTCTGGCCGAACTCGACGGATCAGTCTTTGATCGGCCAATTGCAGCATTCCGTGTTATTCCTTATTTTGCTCGCAGGTCTCTGGAGCTCACCAATCTTGAAGCCCTCCTCGACATCTCGCAGGAACGCCTTCGGGCCATGGAAGATTCCCGATCGAGCGACAACGACGCCGAAAACGATAGTGCCGATGAAGACACCGACACCAGCTCAGTCCGATCGGCGGAAGACGACGACGCGGCTTCGGTGACCTCCGACTAGATCCCACCCTCCCACCCTTCGCTCTCTTCGGTCGGTGACTGGGGACAGTCACGATTTCAGTAGGGCAGAGGATTCACAGATATACCCATTCCTTATTTTCGTTTATTCGTCACAGACATGGACTGACACCCAATCATTTCCACATCTCTTAGTACTTTTTGCCGCCGAACGATCGCCGACCGAATAGTCGGCACTCTTTTTCCCCATCACTCCTTCAAGTACCAAGTCGCATTGAAGACTTCTTCCGATTTGCGCAAAACCATAGGGTTTTATGCCTGTGATGACATACTGAGGCTTCCCCTAATATTTCATTTATTTTCTTCATTTCTGCCGAACGCTTCACTTACAAGTACATATTCACACAGTCATTTCCCCGACCGATTTCCCCAATCATCGTGGCCCCGACTTCACCCAACAATCAATTTTCACACAAAACAAGTTTCCCTTTTATTTTATGCTACATTTTGATTTTATAAACAAAAAGGGACAAGACTCATTCAGCAGGTACAAAATCACTGGACACCGACATTCCGGAATCGCTCTCCTCTGACGAATCCCCAACCAGGACAACGTCCGAAGATGCCGATGGACCCACCCGGGCCTCGAGCGCCGCCAACTCATCCTGCCACATTGCGATTGAATGCGCCAGCGAGGCGCACGACCCCTCGGCCACAGCAATCCGGTACCAAAGTTCGGACGCAATACCCTGGGCGACGACCAGCGACAGACGAGAAGAGTCGGGCTGGACGGGGACAGCGGCCGAACGAGGACGAGAAGGACGAGAGGAAGCAGGAATGACCTTTGTTGTGGTCGGGAGCCGCTTGACCGGCTTCCTGTTGCGAACGGCTGTACCAACCGATGAGCTCTCACCCCAGCGATCACCGAACCATTACTTACCTTTCGTCTGTGCGATACTCTCCCCGACCGAACGCTCTGGGACGAGTACCTCCACCTTGCGCCGCTTTAGAGGGCGAGATGGCTCCTTCTCTTCCGACTTCTCCGCTGCTGGAACAGTCGACTTCCCCTTCCCCTTCGACTTCCCCTTCTCCTTCGGCGTCCACCAGGGCTGAAAACTGCACCCCTTTCGTTCGTCGGCACACTTGATGCATGAGATCTGGCCAGATCTCGTGTAGCAGCGAAACGCCCTAGTGGCGAAATCTTCGGTGCACCGATAACAGGCACACTCGGCCTAAGAAAAGAGGGTCAGTATCAGGACAGGGCGGCAAGAGGGAAGGGACGTACCAAAACATCACCAGGAAGCAGTCCAGGAGGGTTCTCGAGGACCTTCCCAGCGCCGTTCCTTTCCACCGGGGGACGAACCGTCGACATTTGGCCTGTGCCAGGACCCAGAGGAAGCACGACCCGTCCAGCAGTCGGCGTCCGTTGGCGCGCGAACTCTACGACAACGGCAGCGGCCGATTTCCTGCCCTTCGCGTCGGTCGGGGTGGCGGAGGCGACCGGATCCACGCCCATGCGGCTCATAGCGGCGGTTGCGGAGGCGAGTGCAGGATCGGCGATAATAGATCCCGGACGAGAGGGCGAGTTGGCGAAAGAAGGAGCGGGATGGGAAGCTTCGGCGACGGAGGCGGAAGGAGAGGGCGAGCGAAGAAAGAGGGGGAGGGGTATGACGGACTCTGCTTCTAGGATGGCCATTTGACGGTCCCCTTCTTCCGGTTCGATCGACCCACTGAACATCGCCTCCACCAAGGCCTCTCGACGCCGCTGACGATCTTCTTCGGCCAACCGACAGGCAGCGGCAGCCCGCATCGCCTCGGCTTCCTCAGCCTCACGTTCGGCGACTTCAACCCGCGCAGCCTCCTCTGCCAGGGCCTGTTCTTCGGCCGCTTGTTGCTGCACTGCAAAGCGCGCCGCACGCTGCGGCAAGATGCGCGAACCCCAGGCAAGCCAGTCGTCAGTGGCAATATGATCGAGGCCTCTCTCAGCCTCGGCGACCCAGGCTGCGAGTTCGGGCATGTCCTGCCCACGCGCCGAACGATTGAATACAGCCTGCAAGGACGTCAGCAGCCAGCAGAAGGCAAAAGGAAGGACCGACTTACCACTCGTTTGGCGAACCCCTGCGCCCAGGCCTCGTAATCTTCGTATTCGGCGGCGCCGTCGGGAAGGGCGAGCATGTACTCCCCGAGTTTGGTTTTGAGGACAGGGACAATGGAGGACATGGTGGGAAGGCCGAAAGGGTTCGGATGAGGAGACGAAGCGGCAGGAGGGTAGCGATGAAGGACTTAGTCGCGGGAGAATCAACAATCGGCAGGGGATCGTGGTCACCTGACAAAGCCCCGTGCCACTACGCTCGGCAGAGACCGCGATACGCGCCACCGCTCCTTGCCGACACGCTCTCACGCCAGCGTCTAGTTGGGACACGCTAGGCTTCAGCCACTTCCTCACCTAATCAGTTGCCATGCCACAGGACTTTGCCGACTCAGCCCCGGTCTCTCTTGCGCGCCGACCCGGTCCTTTCTACGACATCTCCTTGCCGATTAGTCACCTGTGCCACATCTCTCCCACGCACCCACACCTTTCCACGCCACCGCTCATAGCCGAACTCTTTCCCACATCCACACCACCACATTTTCCACACCATTTTTTTTCCGCTCCGACTCATAGCCGCCGACCACTGACTGAGGACAGTCAGGATTTCAGTAGGGAGGAGATGATGAGCATGCACCCGCGCTAGGGTCAGAGGGAGGTATTCGGGAAGCTTTGGGGAGATACCGAACAGCGCTCGACAAGTACCGAAGACGCCGACTTTACCGAACACGGTCGGCCCCTACCCGACCGACGACAAGCCACCGAAGGACGTTCGGCAGCACTGGGGTCAGTTCGCCCACACTTCACGTACTCACCATGACCACATAGGAGTGTTACGATAAGTGTTTACAAGATCAAAGCCAGTAGTCCGAATCGGCCGATGTCCTCCGTGAGTCGGTCGGTCGTTATCGCTTATCTTCCCAACTTCCACATGGTCGGTCAAACGCGATCTTGCACCATTACTTGGCCACCCTGGTCGTACGATACCTCTCCTTTATTTTTCATTGGTTCTCCAATGCCTGTTCCGTCTACCTACGCTCGGGCGATGGATCCCGAACGTTCGGGATTTCGCCATCGCTGATTAACTTTTACCTTGTCACCTTCGGAGCCCATATGGACATCTCACCTACCTTCTTATCTTCTCTGATCGCTAAGGCTTGGCGCCCATTCGACATCTACTCTCATTTCTTGTTTAATATTTTACTTAGAGGCTCTGTTTACTATAAAAACCTACATACACCTCTGGAATAAACCAGCTTTCGCACCCCACAGTTCAGAGCTCATTCGCACTCATCTCAACCATCGAAATCGTCTTCGTCGACTTCCGAAAACTTGTCATCCTTGTCGTTCGGCCTCATTCGCGTTCATACTCGTCTCTTCGCTCGTACCCCCCGTCCTCCCTCGTATATTGTCAGAGTCCCGTGTGGCTCTTGAAGCACGTAGTTGTCGGTCGCGACACTACCTTCTCATTACCGACCGCATCGCCGACACGACCGACCAAACGTTCGGTCGGTGTTCGGCGCAGTCCCGAAACCGTTCGGGCGCTATAATCTCACACTCCCCGATTGCTTCTCAGTATGCCTTCAATTTCTAAAGTCATCACTTACAATTCCTTGTGTATCAGATACTAGCTCCAGCACCCCTGCATTAGAGGTTGTTTTAGTGTTGTGCTCGGCACTTAGAGCCACCTCTAGCGTATCACCGTGCCTGTATCAAATCCAAGAAGGCCTCCGTACATGGTCATGGAACGCCCTCCTCCAAGACAACAAGAGGTTCATACAGTGCATAGCAATCCCACAACCTCCTCCTCTCACCAGGTACAAAACATTCCCATATCCCAGGGTGGTACTGACAAGGAGAAACCGCCCATCCATCGAAGAAGTAAAGGAAGGAGGAGTTGAGGAATCTAGACAACCCTCCGATGTGGAACAACTATTGGCAGGGGTTTTCGACACTGGCCTGGAACGCCTCCTACTAGTACTAGATTTCATACGGACGAGGGACAGGATAACCAAAGTAGCCGCAGAACTCACCGCATTGATTCGGAGGCTCAAAGAAATCACTTTTGGACTCGATCCGAGCTCGATGCATGGGATGCTCTAGATGACCTAGGGAACTATGATGACGCAGATCCCTATTACCGACCCAAAGAAGGAGGCGACGGCTACCAAGAACCCTACGATTACTCAAGGGACTCATAATGAGGAAAAAAAGGGGGTAAGGAAGTTAAGGAACTCCTTCCCGATAGGAGTTAAGGTCTGAAATGACCTAAAACTAGTTCGTCCGTAATGACATAAAACTATGTTCATCCCTCAAGACGTTAGACTGTATGACCTTGTCCAAAAAAGACATTAAACTACCCCACATCTGGGATGACATCTAAACTATTGGACCTGCATGTCTTCAAACTGTGAAAAGACAAGAAGGCAGGGGAAGTACCTGACCACCCGTCCTGGTTCAAATGATGGTAAGAATCAAAGGCACATAAGCGGGCATAATTCCATGTATGACCTATAGTGGGATCCTTCTACATCCTCGCTGTCAAGGGGTAATCTGACAGATGCACCAAGCATCCTATTTAGATCCTCAGTTTTACAGGGTTTTTTCCGCATTAGGGAACTCTCTACATGACAAACTCTACTCGTAGGTGTCGACAAGCCGGCTCTTCGTCTTGGTACAATGAAGGTGCCCGTACATAACTGGTTGCAAGTCCGAGGCCAAGAATTATGATGCATAACTTATTAAGTGAACCCTCATAGTCAAGGTGTGACTGGTGTTTTGGGACATCCCACTTTGGATCTCCCGTTTTACAGGATCGTTTCTGCATTAGGGGATCCTATAGCTGATGCATGAGATAAGTAGAGTCCGGGCTACCTCTGCTTAAAGTGCTTCCTCCAAGGAATGCGAGGCCATAAATCACATTTGGAACAATGTAAAACTACCAAGGGCTTGGTCCACAATGACTATAAACTACTAGGGTTCGCAATGACATTAAACTAGTCCTCGTCCGAGATGACGGAAAACTACCCTTGTCCGAGATGATATAAAACTACCATTGACCCGAGGAGTGTGGTTGTATTCTAGTGAAGCGCAGATTTTTGGGAGGATCCGCGTCGCAGAACCCTGCCTGTAAGCGGTCAAAGCGCTTCGATGTTCACTCGCTTTTCAGTAAAAGAACATTGGGTCGACTTGGTTCAAATCCAAGCAAGGGGTCTGGGGATGTAGAAGAACACACATTTCTTCATGGTGCACCCAGTCTAGTCCTGGAGTCGAAGTACAAGGAATTCCACTCCAAGACCTAGTCAGGAGGCAACTAGGACACGTGCCTCGAGTTGAAAATCTAGTTGGAAGGAACTAGATCACGCAACTTTCTTTGGCTCACATTGCGGAAAAACAACAAGAGCTGGCCACTCATCCACTCATCCGGAGAAGTCTATTCTGCCACCACATCCAAAACAACGTTAAACTACTGTCCCTTCATTCTAGGGATCATAGGATGTCATTTCAAGATTGAGATGGCATCACATCTGCAATGACGGTAAACTATTTGTCCCTTTTCACACAGGGATTGTAGATGATGTCTGTATAATAGACAGACACTGCCTGGTCCAAAATGACCTTAAACTACCTGTCCCTCCAAGCATAGGGACTGTGCGTGGCGATCTTGACAAGATACCATGCGTCTGCGATGACGTTAAACTAGCGCCCCCTTGGACTTAGGGGTTGTTATTGATGTCCACGCCCTCGGACACCAACATGTCTGAAATGACACTAAACTATTGTCCTCTCAAGAATAAGGATTGTAATGGACATCTCAATCAGATACCATTTCATCTGCAATGACATTAAATTACTTGCTCCTTACCGCATAGGAGTTGTAATTGGCCACCCTGGGTGCCGATCGTCCACAATGACACTAAACTACTCGTCCCTTCTGGTACAGGGATCATCAGTCGACATCATTTTTGATGAAGAAATGCCAACCAAATGTCCGAAATGATGGTACACTACCTTCGTCCTCAGAAGGAAAAGCCTATTGTGACTCGAGGGACACAGTCAGACGATAGCAGCCGCCTATGGCATGGCGTTAAACTGCAAGATTGCCTATGGCACGGCATTAAACTGAGCGGTCTCACAACATTGAGACATTACAAGTTATCCAGTTTGATATAGCATAAACCATTCCCATCATGCCTTAGTAGAATCTGGAGCGGGTAAAGTCTGGTCTAAGGCCCTATGCACATAACTAATAAATGGTCCGGCGTGCAGAAACATCTTTCCCCACAGATACTCCATGTTGATGATGAAGCAGGTCTGCAATAACCTAGAAAGCAAACTACTAGGAGGCATAAAGCGCCTTAATATTGTCCGCAACGACAATAAACTACAGACCGTCTGGCAAGACGTTTAAACTACCATCGTGGATATATCTCGCAAACCCGAACAATATATCAGCTGTGGTCTTAAGATCTATTCGTGCATGCAAACGGGCCAATTTGGAAAAGGAGTCAGACTCCTCCTTACACCTCATGGCGCCCTTCTAGTCTAATTCTCTTCACATCCTTGCCTCAAACCCAACACTACACGTGGTATTCCCCACCATAGGCCCACGTTTGTGACAAACAAACTCTGGATGCCATAAACTGCCTCACCAGAGATGAGTCTACTGTATGGGGACAATACTGCTTGGGATTTGATTGGGCACCCTTACCGGAGATGAGATCACTGTATGAGAGCGGTACTGCTTGGCCGTCGACTTATGCTTAAGCATGCTTTTAGGTAGTCTAGAGAAGTAGGCCTAAGCATTCGTAAAGCAATCAACCTACTTATCCGTGGACACCGCCAGTCGCCATTGAGGAAACAACAAATCATAAGGATAGACGACTATCCTGGAAACACTGAGGTTTGGCCCTTAGAGAAGGAAGAAGAAGAACCTGATGACACAAACTAGAACCCACACACTAGAGTTTCTACTCATCCACACACCACTCGTATTCATACGCCTTTCTTGATACTGTTCCAGAGGAGGCTGGAGTAAGACCGCAAGGAGGTTTACCTGCGGCAAAATAATCCTTACAGGTAAAGGAAGAACATCCTATTGATGAGGGGATTGGTACCCCCAATAGGCAAC